ATATCGACTTAAAGCTCTACTTCGCGGAGTCGACTTAAGACTTTTTATATATAGTTTTAATACTTTCGTTATATTCTCGAAGAATAAATTAAGATATTATCTATATACGCTAAGTAGAAAACGTTAAGATAATTTCGTAAGGCTTAGTTAATATATTTCTAGAACGTACTAGGCGCGTTAGTAAGTCTAAAAGAAGTAACTAGCTATTCGAAAAGGCTATATCTTATATAGAATACTATTATCTACTTATCTCCTTTTATAATTCGAATTTTATAAAAGGCCGCGATAATATCGAGCTTCGTATACTACTTTACTTACTCGATATTTCGTAGAGTCTTATAGATTAAGAATAGTAGATATCGATTCTTCTTTATTAATTTATTTAGTCCTCGATAATTAATATAGAATCGTAATTCTCCTTCTAGCTTTCGTACGAAAAGAACTAGAGCTACTATTAACGAGTTACTTACTCTAATAAATCTCTTATTAAGGAATTTAGTAAGTATACGTCGTAGTACTAAGAATTTATCTCGAGATATATTATATAGCGAGCTCTATAGAACTTAAGGTTTCTTTTCGTCTTTTAGTTCGAGGTTAATCGCGTAGTTAATTCTCTTCCCTCGTAAAGGAGGTAACTTCTCTACTTTCGTACGACTAAAGACGTCTAAGAAATAGTAGTACTATTAAGAAAGCTTCGTACGCGAATTAATAGGCGTCTTTACTCTAAGTACTTTTTTAATATTCGCTATCGTCGCCGAGAATACTTAAGTTTTCGTACGCTTCTTACTTTTTTAAGCTAGTAGACTAAATACTATAGCGAAGACTTAGCTATAGTCTAAGAGCGTATAGAGTTTCTATAGTATATTATAGACTTCTAGATCGAAATATTCTATTAAGAGAGAGTCGTTCGCGATATTAAGACGTATATTATTCTTCTTTATTTAGAGTAACTTAAGGATAATTTCGTACGCTAGGTTCGAAATAATATAGAAGAACGCTATTTTCTTATAGCTATTAATATCGACTTTAACCTTTACTACTTTAGAGATTTTAAATCGTACGAAAGAGTCGAATTTAGAGATTAAACGAGAAGTAATAGAAATACGCTTAAAAGAATAGCGAGAAGCGAAGCGAAAATTAATTAAGTTATATAATAAATAACTAGAATTAATTAAAGCTAATATATAATATTACTTATTTAAAAGTAATAAAACTATAAAGGATTAGTTATCTATCGAGGATTAAAAAGCCTTCTATTTCTTCTTCGTCTTCTTCGTACGCTTCTACCGACGACTTCTAGTAGAAGCTATTCTTTTAACGATTCCTCGTCTTTATTCGTAGTTTCTACTACTACTATCCTCCTTTCCGCCTTAGGTTATACGGCGGAAAGAAGAAGGTATTTAACGATAAAGTAATTCTATTAGTCGTAGTAAAGATATACTTTAAGCTCCTTTTTCTAGTTAAGTATCGCTTATAATATCTATAAAGCTCTCTATAGTCCTACCGAGGACGCTATAGCTTATACGATTAGCGTTTAATCTATCTTATTTTTTATATAGCTAATAGTATCGAACGAATTATTTCTAGACGTCTTTTCTCTAGCTTTCTTCTATCGAAGAGCTTCTAGATTTATACTAACTATATAGAGGAAAATATAGTATTCTCTATAGATTAATAGAATTAGCGTTATAACGAGGGCGCTCTTTAAGTCGTACGAAAGGTAGTTTAATATAAATATCTTCTTTATCGAGTCGGCCTAGTTTAGTTCGCCGGCCTTAAGTAGCGTACGATTAAACTCGACGAGAAATACGCTAAAGGACTTTTCGTTCTACTTTAGTTAAGAAAGCTTCCGTAATACTTTCTCTACGACGTCGACGTCCTCGTACGTCGCCTTTAATTAACTAATAAGTCCTTCTATATTTATTTCGAGGGTTAATTATACGAAATTAACCTACGAACTAATCTAGGTAAGGGCGTAGCCCCTTAGTCTACTATAGAGATACTAAAATCGTACGACTTCGATTTCTTCTTACTTATCGACTACTAACTTAGCTTAAGCTTAGGTAAGCTATAGCCGAAACTCTAATCTTTTTCTATTAAATTTAGCTAGCTTAAGGAGCTTAGCCTTTCGTTATATAGAGTTAAATTTCTATATAGCGCTCGTCGTCGTAGAAGTCGTTACTTTAGGCGTACGAGCTTATACTCTATTCTATTAGTTAAGTTAATTCTTAAGTACTATTATTCTTTAATTTTAAGCCTATAAGAGCTAGTATAGCTCTACCGTCTACGCTAGAGCGATTTCCGTTAGTTACTAATCGTTATCTATTTCGTACGCGATACTCTTTCGCTACGTACGATAGGAAGCTTTAAAATAATATAAGAGTTTAGCTAGAAATTTAGAGTAATTCGTCTAACTACCGTATAACGAGGATTCTAAAGCTAAGGAGAGAAAAGAAAAGAGAAAATCTATCTACTATACGAATAAAGGAAATACTTCCTACCCTCTCCTATAGTAGGTTAGTATAGTTCCCTAGAAGATAATCGATAGGGAGGAGTTACGTAGCTTCGGCTATATAGTTATATAGCCTAAAGGTGCGCTACGAGTAATCGCTCTAGGGCGTACTCTAGAGCTTTATACGGGTTTAACCCGTAATACTCTCTATAAGTTAGTTTTAACGGAAACTTAAGGAGTACTCAAAATAAGGTAGAATTTATAAGGCTACCTATTATAAGGATGAATTAAGTCTATAGAATAAAGTACTCCGTGTTAGATACGGCGAAAATTACTACGAAAAGAGCATCGAAGACTTCTAGGAATAGATCCTCTTTACCGACGAATTTCACTATAATCTAAGCCTTAATCCTAATCTAATAATCCTACGAGAGCTTGGTATACGATATAATAACGATAATATCGCTACTAGAGCTCCTAAAGGAGCCTTATTTATCCTACACGGCGCAGGATACGCTAATTAGCACCAAAGAGCGAGAAGCTTATATTTTAGTAGGATACTAAGGCGGAGAAGGCTACGATAGAGTAGACTTAGGAGCTAAAGAGGCATTTAAAGGAGTAAAGGCCTCCTCGACCTTAAAAACCGCGTCGCCGCCCTATAACTAAGTCATCTAAGGAGTATTAAGTTCGACTAGAGTAATATAGGAAAGATATAAATAAATAGTAGCTACTTTATCCTAAACTAGTGATTTTACAGCTAAAAGGTAACTTAATGACCGAAGCCTACTATATAAAGTATATTCTACTAGAATATATTGCCGCGATCGAGCAATTATAGGCGCAATTTCATCACCCTTTTTTCCTTGAGGAGGACGGTAATAGCTCTCACGGCACTCGCACTCAAGGCCTTGCAACTCAATTACGACAGCGCCACGGTATTCAGTGTTATTGGCACCCGCTATACTCACTAGATTTAAGCCCTGTAGAGGCCGCCTGGAATATACTAAAGTAGAGACTACGCTAGATACCGGGCGTCAATCAAATAACCTATGAGGAGCTTGTAGAGCTAGCGCAGGAGATCTGGCGGAATATTACTATGGAGGAGATCCGCAAGAGAATACGAGATATGCCTAGGCGATGTGATTTACTAGTAAAAACTGGTGGAAAGCGCATAAAAGGGCAGGATTGGTGGTCGGTAGAGGGTCAAAAAGCACATTATATTTCGGCTAAATATCGGGTGTCCCACGAATTATGACACCCGCTGGGTGCCGGACACACTGACTTTTGCTTACATAACACCAGCCCCTTTGCGCATCCCACCGGCTCCTACATCTATATCAGAAGGCATGGACTGCGAGGCCTCTTGGGTTGAATTATGGAGTCAAGTTATTGCGTTTGATTGATATGTATTGTATTATCCTGGAGAAAAGAAGGATACCACCTCTTTTGCCCTTTCTTCGCAACATAAGAAATATCATTGCCCGGCTATTTAGCTAAAACCAATAGTTTGTCAGGGCCGCTTGTTCATGCTCATGAGAGTTGTTGTAGGACAAAAAGTCAAGTCGTTTGGTAGGAATATTGCCCGAGTGTCCGGCACTATAGGGCCCACAATTACAAAATTCTGTTTGTTGTACATGGAGTTGAAAGCGGCAGATAGCCGTCTCAAAGAGCCTTTTCGCACTAATCATTGCATCATTCCGGAGAATCAAAAGGCCGTTGTGGTCGTGAGATACTATGTGCACAGTCGTGATAGCTCGGAACTGGAGCCCGACTTAGGTAAATCAATCGCGATCGCGAGGTCCCAAGATCCCTTGAATATCCATCTTGGGCCGTTTTGGATCAGGCTCTTGTGTGCCGTCATCTTTATTGGGCTGTTCATGCCGAGGCGACTGATGTACTCCCGGGCGGTACTGCGCTTCGGATATCGCAGGATCAATCGGCCCTATACTAGAAGGCGATGTACGAATAGGTGGCAATTGAAGGCTTGCTGATCCTTCCAAAGATAACAAAGGCTCGCCGGACATAGAAGAGGATGTCACCGAGCGTGGAAATATAGGATTGGAATATGTAGGAGGCCCCATTTGGCCTTGGATGGGAGGGAAGTTGTAGGGACTTGAATATGTAGACTTTGGTCGTAAGGAAGACTCAGGCGGAGAGTGGCTGTAAGTTGGCGACGGACCTGTCATAGATCCAGGCCCCACAGGATACGGCTGAGATGAGGGCACAAATGTGCCCACAGCCGTTGCGTGACTGGGTGATACCGAAGGAGGTGCATACATCGTTGGAAGTGGTGGCCCGCGTCCATATGATGTCTGGAGAGGTCTGATCGGCGGATATGTGGTCGATTGTATCAGGCTGATAGGGTCAGAGCCTGGATGTGTTCTCGGTGAATACGATATTGCCCCTGGTGGTAATGATTTGAATGTTCGTCCTGCCGAAGGGTCTTCTGGTTTCAGAGGGGGTCGGCCTCGCTTTTTGTGCTCTACATCTCGACATGAGTCCTACTAACGATTATTATTTGCTGTAAGCCAGGCTTCGGAGAACATACTTCTTTACCACTTTGGACACACCGTCGGCAGGGACGGCTTTCATCACATCTCAGGTGTTTCCTCTTACAATTTACACAAGCAGAAGTAACATGCGGCTTGGGTTTCCTCGTCGCCCTCGGAGAAATGGGACTTTGCGACAAAAATTCAGGATCGGTGACCGCCACGGTTGAGGTACTAGAACTTGGTCGGTAAGACGTAGAGGCGTATGGCCCAGGCTGAGGTACCAATTGCGTGAGTATTTCACCACCTCTTGCTCGAGTGCCTAACACTGATGCGGTCTGTTCCGAAGACGTGAGAGCAGGAGAGGTGAGGGCAGGGGCTGTCGTCGCTGGAGGAGTGAGAGAGCGCTTTCGCCGTCGACCAGCAATCTGAGGAGGATCAGTAGGGGGCTCCGGTGGGGGCGATCCGGACATGGGAGGTGAAGGAAGAGGTGCCCACAAGGGCGCAGCAATTGGTTTGGGCAAAGTCAGGTTTGTCGCAAATCTCGAGTTGTCGATACTGGACCGGTGTCGCTTGAAAGATGGGCAGAAGGGAGGAAAATGAGGTAGAGGTGAACACTGCATCAGGTCACCCCGAGTAGGCAATATCAAATCTGCATGAATAGCAGGCTCTTCCAAGTGACGGAGTCGAGGTGGTGCAAGCCTGGAGGTGAAGTTGAATTTCGTCCCAAACGTGTCCGTGCTCGGTATCGACTGGTATGCTGGTCGAACCCGTCCGCAAGATCAGTTCTTTTGAGGCGAAGTACCGATGTCTGTACATCCGACGCTTATTCCGATGTCCGTGCCAGTCCTTGGGAGTAAGTCAGTGGTGTGTCTTGGAGCCCAATGAACTCGAGGAGAGGTGGGCACAGCATATAGTACAGTCGCGCTGCATACCTTGTCAGTTGCCTTTGGCCCCGATTTTATACACAACCAATATTGACCAAATAGAGATCATAATATGATTAACGAACCGCGAACAGGAACTGGAGAACGAGTGATCGTCTTGAAAGTAGAATCTGGCAGGCACGCATTTGCAGCGAAGACAGGAGAGGCGGGTTCGCAATGAGAGGATTATAGCAACGGTGGAGAACCAGGAAAGAGCGTCCGAAGTGGTCGTGATTGTCGACAGAACAGCTGAAAGAGGTATCGAGTACGTACGCCTTTGTGTGCTGGAACACTTGGTGGCCTCGGGGAATGTACAAGTCACAACACAAATACGATCAGGCTTGAGTCCACACAAGAAAGGCGAGTGCTATGATGGGCGAGGAGTGGTGTTTGCCTTGCGACGCAGCAATGCAAAAGCGGCCTGGTCATGCAGACGGACAACCGAGAAGATAGAATTGCAGACAAATTTCCTCATGTTCGTGATCGTGGGTGATGATCTGCTCTATTGAAAGGCAGAATATTGGTCCAATAGTTCGAATAGCTCGCTCCACATTGGTATGATGGGGAGTCCAGGGATCCATGAAGGAGCTGAATGTTTGCATTAGCCTCTGCGTCTGACGGAGACTTGGCCATGTCTGCCGCTGTCAATTGCGACATGCTATAATCCGCAGCAAGCGACTGGCAGCATGGTGTGGATGAGGTTTCGCCGCTCGTGAGCAAGGTGGGCATCGGTCGCCCGGTAGCACCAGACAGTGGTGTCTCGGCAAGCCAGCGAAGCGATGGCACCAGCCACAAGCCACCCCAGGGATTGATCAACAGTGAGAGGGTTTGTCTGCATTCAGCTTCTTGGGATGGGTGGCAACCTGACAGGCCAAGGGGCAATCCAGCATAAGCTTTTCCTGGCCAGGGGGTTAGTGCGGTGGATCGGCAGACGTCCACGCCGGCGACTTTGATGCTGGCCAACCCCGGCGCCAGTAGCGGATACTAACGAATGGCTTTTCGATTCTTCCCTTGCTCGCCTCCAACAAGGCTCGGGGGTATCACCATTCGCCGGAGACTCGTTTGTGTCCAACAGGGAAGGCGCTTGAAAATAGTGATTGCTGGTCACGGACCTCCCCAATCGGTTCATTGGTGGTCGTGATAGTGATATGGAGAGACATTCAAAGACAAGCCAAAGGCGAGAATAAAATAGCCCACCGAGATCTGACGAATGACGAGGGATTCTGCGTCGGTCGTACGTTCCCCTGCCTGGATTAGGCATTCTACCGGAGGAAGTGAAAGCAATGAGGGTAAGGGTGCTTGTTGGTGGTGAATGGAGCTCGGCCCCCAAGGACCGAAAATTTACCTTGAGCCTTGTGTATTGTTATTTGCACGATCCAGAACAGAAGCGAATGTCTGGCATGAAACCCAGGATCAGAGGACGCCCTCCCAATAATCTCAAAGATCAGCCGGGCCTCATGCACCAGAAATAGGCATGTCTGCGCAACCGATGACGCGCTGGGACCCTCCGCAGTGGGTTGGATGTTCCACAAACGTCCTAGGTACGGGTGGAGGTTGTCCAGTGACATCGGACATCGGGCATCCGTCTACGAGGTACAGTTCGAGTCAGAGCTAAAACGGCAGGTCTTGGGCATTGAGCACGTAATGGGTGGAACGATTGATATTGGCCAAGGCGATATCGTTTGTCTTCGTCATGTTATCCGGGCCGCCTGGCCAGGGATTCAAGCCATTTGAGGATGTCCAGACAATCGATAACGAATGCTTTTGTCTGCCACAAGGCAACCCTGCTAGTTGTTTTCTCTTCGGGCATAACTAGAACGGACGGAGTAAGCAGACCGTGTTTCTTAGCTGGAGGTGTACCTAGCAGAGGCATTCACTCCAGCCACCGGCATGAAAACAACCCTTGATCTACCACTGCCTACCGCGCAGCATAAAAAAAAGGGCACACAGGCGCATGTTCCTGTGTTCTTGTTTCTGGGACTGACCGCCAATTACAGCGTCTCGTGATTGATCGTCTGGTCGAGCTAGCCTTGGGACAGGACGAGAAATTAACAAGTTAGCACCGTGGTCGTATCCAAGTGAACATGAAGACGACACACCCCTGCAAATAACAATGCACTTTCTCTCGAGGGTTCTGACTCCTCAGCCAGACCAGGGGTCGCGGGTTATTTCTGCCTTATCCGATGTCCGGCTTAGGCTCCCGCTGGCTCATCGTCCCGGCACTGGTTTCTCGCTTGTTAGGTGTCAAGCAATCCTCCGGCTGGGTCTGTGCGGGCCCCAGGGGCGAGAAGGAGATAGGCCCGAGACTTGCACGGTTAACCACGATTTTGTAGGCGGGGGTGAAGTTTACAAGGTGTTCCATAAATAATCTTATATGACGTCCCGTCAAACCACCTCGTATTTTGGACGTGTTGCTGAGTGATGATTATCGACCCATTTCGACAGAATAGAGTTCATGTGTCGATTTCTGGAGGTGACACGAGCATACACAAGTTTGGTGGACAAAGTTGGCTTTGAATCATGAGCCAGGTCACAAATCTGGTTACGACACGCCGAATTGCAAGTGTGGGAACCCATCCGAGATGGAACCCTGCCAAAGACCAGGGGTTTTAGCACTGGTGTCCGCCACCCTGGAGCAATCTTGAAAGGTGGCAGCCAACCGACAACTTGGCTCCCAATGGGGTATTACACCTGTGGCTGTGGGCTTAAATTGTTGACGTTGATCTCAATTGTGTTCGATAGCGGAGGGCGCGGCAAAAAGCGATGTATAACACTATTGATTTTTCCCTTGAAAAGAGCCCAACAGGGATAGTGGACTGCCAATGGCAGCACCACGGGGATTCGCGTGGGGCCCAAGCCAGGCGAGGAAAAGGATCGTTCCGATGGGTGACTTAATATTCTCCGCAAATCCAATTGCAAGCTTTGGGCATCAAGGGCGTACTGTGATTGCTGTCTGGCCTCGTAAACGTCCAATGTACATTTGGTGCCAGGAAGCGTCCACAGCTGGTATCCAGGATTGCTCATTTCGTCAAACTGCACTCTGTACAAATTGCCAGCCGGTGGATTACTGGTAGGGAAACCATGCGATCCCAGTTCCATTGACCTGGGCTGCATCTCCCAATCTCACGCCTTTCCCTTCCATATGCATGTCATGGGGGCCAGCAGATTCCAGTCCCCTGGCCCCGACAATTGATGGAAGCAAAAAGCGCAACGTTGGAAACTCTGTCTAGGGCAAGCCAGGGGTGCGACTGCGCGGTGGAAAACAGGAGACGCAACAAGCTCGTATCCCTCCGGGAGAGAATCCTGACCGTCGCATGGCGCGTGAGCCACAATTGGCCTTGAATAAACTGGTCGGCGGTGGCACCAAGTAATCACTAGTGCCTCAGGGTGGCAGCCTAGTCCAGGCATGATGGGCACGCCAACCGTTCACTAGAAGACATCTCCCGGCGAGCCTTGAAGACACTATTTTATTCTAGTGCTGCGCCTCTTCAGCCTCTTCCTTCATTCTTGGGGAACTCCAAAAGCCAGGCATGGGACCCCCTGCAAAGCTGAAAGCGTTTTGGTTTGTTGCTTGTTGCAAGTTAATCTCGTCAAAATCAATATGGCACGTGGAAGATCCAAGATGGGCAAAATGACATTGCAAAATTTCCGCCTTCAGACCAGGGAAGGGCCCCGGCATCCGGGGTCTCTCGTCTGTGCCCTGGACGAATTACTCCGTCGATGAAGAGACAACACTTCTCTAATTTGGTGCGGGGCCTGAAGCATCCAAAGTCTGCAACAGTCGAAGTGTCGTGTGTGCAACGTGAGTTGATACTCGACATCATATGTGGTTTCCCGAGGAGTCGAGGACTGTCGCCCGGCGATCTTTACCTAAAGCCCACCAGATCAGTGTAAGATACGTAGAATGAGGGGACCAACCTATCAACGTAGAGCTGCATATGGGAGTATTTCTAGTGATGCAGACTGGCGCCCTCGGTACTCGTAGGCTCTGAAAACACCGACCAGGGCACCGAAGACACGCCTAGTCCCCCAAATTTCGAATGGGTGCCACTGTTGGTACAGTCGACTCCACGCGAGAGACGAAGTATACCTAGGTACGAATACACTTTGTTTGGTACCCCGTGTTGCCTACCTTTCCCACCTCGGAGGCCATTTGGATTGTTAGGCACCTTGAACATGGGGCATTTTGCTAAGCGTGGGGCGACGGTAATTAACCAAATATTACATCGTCGTCGGCAAAGATCCATTATTTCAAATCTCAGTCCGCTTGGAATTCTCCGTACTCGTAGCACTTGGATTCGAAGTTATTTCCATGCTTTTGACGAGGGCACCGCTGTCGAGCGGACAATCATCATCTGATTTGTTTTCAACGATTTGGTTTCGCCCAGCTACTCTAAAAATTGGCCGTAGTGACTGGCAAGTCGTAGGATCTCAGAAAAGTACTGTTCTAGCAGCGTATACACACACACACTCACACATACACACTTGACTCAAAAAGTGAACCACAACAGATGTCCTGAGGTGTCTTGAGATATCTTGAGATAGGTAGGTTCGTGAATCTTCAATGTATGGTCCCGGGGTTCAAGTCACAGGACATGCCAAGCCTTGACATGACGACTTTCTATCAACACCTCGATTCTGTGACAATCTCGTCTGCTTCATCATGAGAGTCCAAACTCAACGCTAAAACACATGTCGGTTTCAACTCTTCACTCAAAACTCCCAATCTGCCTGAGAGTAAGTTTGTGAATGACACAAGACGAGCAGACGGCCCTTAAGCAGGTTCCTATCTTCAATGTGACAAGAAACGCGGAGTCGTTCACGTGAGCTTCAGACTACCTGAAAGCTACTTTCCCCGCCAAAAGAACCACACAACCCTCCTTTAGCTGGAGCTATACCAAGGTCTTTTTGACGCCATCCTAACCTGAGTAGCATAATCTCAATCTTAGCACCAGGTCACGGCCGAGAGCATCGACCCCTCGAACCCCTCGATAGTCTTGATCTGGTCTAAGAAGCAGTAACCATGGCGTCTGAAATCCCTCCTGAGGGAGATCCCCTTGTCGCCACCCTCCCCCCGGCGACCGACTACATGACCTATCTTACCCTGTTGGAATTCCAATTAACTCCTCAGAATCTCCCAACACTCAGCAGACTACTAGGCGATGATGATGGTACCCTGGCCAAAGAAATTGGCTGGGACCTGCTTAAGCTGGTGCTGCGATTCTTGGGTGACGCTCCAGACGAAGCCAACAAGTGCTTGGAGATTATTGCCCGCAGAGGCAACCCCCGAGAGGTGGTAGTGCGAGTAGCCGAGGAACTAGAGAAATTGGGCGATGGCGAAGACGACGACGATCTCAATGTGGATGACAATGACGACGATGAGCTGCCCACGTTTACAGGCGAGGCCCCTCGAGTCCATCTTGGAGCCATGGCTTTGGACGGCATGCCTCCTGTCAAGGCAAAAGCTACTGAAGCTGCTACTGCTACTGCTACTGCTACTGCTACTGTCGAACCCACCAGCGAAGCGGCCACCCCTGCACAACCACCGCCTGCTAACAGGGCATTGAAGTTGCAATCTCTCTTCAACATGCTCGGGATTCTCCATCCAAGAATTAAGACACAGTTCCCAAGCCGCTTCCTCGCCACATCTCTGCCAGCAGCCCTAGGAGCATACAGGCATGTTCCCATTACCACCGCCAGCACACTGTCTTTTCTGGCCGTTCTAGAACAGCTGGCCGGCAAGACACGACCACCACTTCCACCGCGAGCGAGCGAAACACAAGTTCCACTGGCGGCCACAGCGACCACAGCGACATCGACAGCGACATTGCCAGACCCGGAGGCCAAGACCGAAGAGGCAGAGAAAGGCGGGGGCGTCAACGTGCCATCCCACGACGAAAAGGCCATTATTTCCCGGCTGTTGCACGCTGTCCTGCTCGAGATCTTGGACGAATACCTATCGTCTCTTTCAGACGACCAGTTCCCATCCATGTCATGGACCAGCCGACTACGCGAGAAACTCGAACCTCAGAAGCTCCTCCCACGTAAAGGAACCGAGACCCAACTGTTCGAGGGCTCACCCGAACTCCAGGCACGAGAAGCCGTGCTTTCGAAGGTGCAGAAGATCAGCCTGGATCTGGGCTGCGATGCATCCGCCGAGATCAAGCGGCTCGTGCACGCGGACGACGTCGACGACGACGACGGACTCGAAGCGGAAACAGAGGAAGAACCGTCCGAGTACCCGACATCTCCGTCTCAGATCCCGCTCCCACAGAACGGAGTCATCTTCCTCTACGCATACCAGTCGTACCTGGACGCAGTCGGCGCTGGCGCCGGCGGCACCTCCAACCCTGGGGCTTCACTGCTTTCCATCCCGGCGATTGCTCAGCTGATCGACCATTCCTCCCCTCTCTCAGCAACCCCAGCGATCCCATCGGCCGCGCTGTTAGACTCGCTCCTCTCCCTGCTCTACCGACAAGCACTAACCGTCTCCCAACACGTTGAAGCCCAACACCAACAACAACAACAACAACAACAACAACAACAACAACAACAACAACAACAAACACCCCCACCGCCTCCTACACCCTCCCGTCCCGTCCCGTCCCCGGCCAAATTCCTCCTCCTGATCAGCACCCTCACGCAACTCTTCAGCATCACACCGTGGCCCTCCCTGCGCGACTCCGCGCACCGCATCGCAAGCCAACTCCTGCACGCGTACCCAAATCCATCGGTCCGCCTGCAGATCATCGCGCAGACGATCGAAGGCAGCACGCTGAGCTCCAACTGGGCGGAGTTCGAAGAGGACCCAGACCCACAGCCGGGCATCGACGAGGAAACGGGCCTCACGCGGAGCACGTCGGCGCTGGAGCCGCATCCCATCCCGCTTGCGCCGCCGCAGCAGCTGGGCGTGCTGAAGGCTGTCGGCGTCGATTGGTTGAAGGATGAGGTCGTGCGGTTTTTGAGCGTGCGGCGACTGCAGGGAGGCCAGCAAGCAGCCTCTGGACCTGCAGCTACAGAGCCGGGCTTGGACCCGAATCTGATCATGGACGAAAAGCACGAGGCGGAGATCAAAGGCAACGAATCGGCGCTCCTGGATCTCCTATTCCCCAAGGAGCTGCCGGCGCTTGGTGTCGTCGATCTAGCTCCAGGAGGGGGAGCTGAAGGAGAGCCAGAGGCAGAGGCAGAAGCAGAAGACAAAATATCCGACTTCTTGCTGCACATCCCCTTCTACATCTCGACGTTGAATCTGCTCAGCATCATCCTCGCACCACAGCCTAAGCCTCAGCCTGGGTCTCCCGCTCCGTCCTCGAATTCCGCATCGTTCACGAGCCGCGTCTCCGCGCATGTCACCTCGCTGGGCGCGTCACTGAAGGTCCTTACGTCTTTGCTTTCACAGGCGTCGTCGACTGCTGATGATGGATCCGCCGGCGACGCCTATCTGGCTGAGAGCCGAGCGGACGTCTTTGCGCTACTGGACGCGTATGAGCGCGCGTGTGTGGTCTTGGGAGAGTGAAGGGATTACCGGGGTGGAAGTTCGATTGGGATTGCGAGTGCACGGCCTTTAGGTGGGGAGATACATGGGAAGGAGAAATGACAGACACCAAAGGTTTGGGTTGGGTTGGGATTGCTGGAAAGAAGGTAAAGGCTAATTGGGTCAGGCCGTGGGGTTCGGGGTGCTCGTGGGAAGGCAGAGGAAAGGTGAAAGGGCCATGATGGGCTCCAAAAGCGAGACAATGACGGATGAATGAAACGATACAAAAGCAAACGGCTGAGACGAATGAGTGAAATAATTTGGGATGGGCATGTTGTAGTTTGCGCACATGCATGTTGTCGCCACGAGACGATAATGGCGGAGAAAGGATGGACAGCAGAATCGGGTTTGACCGCTCTGTGTGTAATTAAAGTACTTTTGCAAGGTAGTTAGTTGGTGGTGACCTTGATTTTTCTTGCCAACAGCGGCGTTTGAGAATGAAGAACAAATGTAAATGGACCGAACATCTGGAATTGAAAATGGTATCCTCGCGTTGAATAGTCAGCAATGGGGTTGCGATGTAGTCCGCGAAAGTGACTCCTGCTAGGGAAATGAACGATACTGGAATCCGTTCAAAGATCAGGAAATCGGAAGAGAAAATGTCACCCATGTAGGTGAGTGCTAGAATCTCAAGGGAAATAATGTATTTTACTTTCATGTGTAGGACTTCATCCTAGTCGAGTGGCTTGGGATTCTGAAGTCTCTCAGTATTTCACATACAGAAGCCACCCGAAAAGAGTCGAGGAAGAACAAGACGCTCGAGAGTTTGTATTAACTCCAATGGAATTCAAACAGAAACGGGAAAGCAAAACATCTTCCACGAATAACAATGTGCAGTTGTCTAAACCCAACGCCAGCAGACCATCGAAGTGCAATGACGAGGTAGAAGCCAAGTCTCAGTCAGTGTGAATGCCCCGTGAGGTCGTCAGTAGAAAAGGGAGTAATGAAGATGTGTCGACGCTGGCCCTGCCCCACACGATCAACGAGAAGCCAGGGACCCTCGAGACTAGGGCACGTCTGGTCATGCTGGGTGGACGGCCACACAAGGTCCTCCGAGACGCCCAAGCGCGACTCTCTCACGGCCTACGGGCGACGCGCTCCCCAAGGTTGCACCCCACGAAGACTTGCGGTCAATTCCGCACCCGGAATAAAGTCTCAAGTTCAGAGTTCAAGAGCACCCCACTTCGTTTCAATCCCGCCAAACAAGATGTCCGAGTCCAGTGTGCCGAGCGCCAAGTGCCAAGTGGTGCATATAATTCTGCATGTGGAACATCTTCGGACTGCTCCGGCCCGGAAGACACAATTGTCTGAAATTTTCCGGGTAACAAAGTGTCTCCTTCCTTGAAATTGGGGCCAACACCGGACTTTGCGGGCAGTGAGAGAAGCATGCTGTACGAGTACTCCAGATCTCGTGGGGTTTCCACTCGGTAATACTCGAGAGTATCGACTCAGTTCAGTGTTGGTTGTCTAATATTTTGATGGTTGTTCCAGTTTTCTCCGGGATGACCCTACCCCACTTCGACAGTTCGTCACATGCCACAGAGCCCATCTTTTGCATTTACGACCAGACGTCTTCCTGGTAAACGCCACTGCTGCGCATGCTCTTGACCACTTGCTCGGCTTTCTTTTCATCGATGCCTCGTTCTTGTGCAATAATTTGTCCGAGAACTTCATTAACCTCTCGGGCCATATGAGCAGCGTCACCGCAGACATAGAAGTTGGCCTTTTGTTGTAGAAGCTCATTGACAAGTTTTCCGTTTTGTTTGATAAGGTGTTGCACGTATATTTTGTGTGCTTGTTCTCGGGAAAAGGCATTGAAGATGGTGAGTTTGTCGCCGAGGGCTTGCTTGTATGCCTGCAACTGCAATTAGTAAATATTCTCAAAACATGAAACTCGCAGCCAACTCACCTCCCATTCTTCCTTGTAGAGCCAGTCCTCTGTAGACTTTCTGCACCCGAAGAAAAGAACCGTCTGCCCGACATCCTCACCCCTCTTCGCCAGCTCTGCACGCTCCTGCACGAATCCACGGAAAGGAGCAACTCCAGTGCCAGGGCCAACCATGATAATAGGCTTGTTTGGATTCGAAGGTAGCTTGAAATTCGAATGACGGACGTGGACCGGAACGTGAATACCATCGTACTTGTTGCGGGGGCCGGTGATGGAGTAAGTGAGGCCATGGGGAGATGGATCCGGATCGCCGTTCTGCTTTTGCTTCAAAGCCAGAAGATAATTCGTGGTGACACCCTTGACGATATGACCAGCACCGGGAATGCGAAGAGACTCAACCACGGCAGTGACAGAGATCTTCTGTGGCTGCACCACCGAAGAAGAAGAGATCGAGTAGTAGCGCGGTTGCAGTTTATTCAGACCTTCAACAAGACACGAGAAGGGGACAGCAGACCAGGGCTCACTGCTCACCGCTGAGATAGCCTGGGCAATATTGAGCATCTGAGACGATATCTTGTCTTTGAAGTAGTCGGCATCTGAACCCAACCTGGCGGCTTCCTTCTTGGCCTCCTCGTTTGGAGCAAAGGCAGCCAGAGTGGCCATGAATTGACGAGACACAGGAGCGCATATCTCAATGTGATATCGGACGGCGGCATCGTAAGTGGTGGGCGTTGGGAAGGGAACCTTGGCAGTGGGATCAAGGCCTTTCAGACTGATAACCGTGTGGCGCTTAGAGTCCAAGCCGAAAGTCTTGAGGAAACGATCCACTTCCATGCCAGCATTGGTTGGCCAGACTGCAATGTGGTCACCGGTTGTGTATGTCATGCCTGAACCTGAAATGTCAACCTCAACATGAAGGCAGTTGCGATCTTTGACGGTAAAGACCTCTCGGGATTCTGCAATGGGCGCGATGAATGGGTTGTGGGCATTGTATGGGCCCTTTTGAGAATTTTCAAGGTGGTTCTTGTTGGGTTCACCCAGATAGACGGTATCATCTTCGACAGACATGTCCTCCTTTTCTTCGACGCTGAATACGGGTTCGTAAACGGCTTCGCGTTCCTCGAGACCCATCTTCTCAGCCAAGGCAGCCCACATAGGTTCCTTCCATGCGAGAAAGTCTTCTTCCATTGTGCCTGCGCCATCGTCACCTTCGCCGGCGGTGCCAATTCTTTCAGCACCCAAGTTGGTCAGGATCTTGTCAAGATTCCGGACCATCAGGTTATAGTGCTCATATGTATTGTTTCCCAAGCCAAAAGCGACGTACTTCAGCTTTCCTAATGGCTTGTCTTCGCTGGCTTCGGAGAAGGAAGGAGGGTCGGCATTGATGAATTCCCAAAACTCAACCGCATTATCGGTAGGCTCACCCTCGCCATAGGTAGCCATGACAAAGAAGGCGATCTTGTCTTCGGGGAAAGTGTCGAGGTTCTCAAAGTCATAGTCTTCCAAGTCAGCAGTCATGGTACTGAGACCAAAGCGAGCATGGCCCTCTTTAGCCAAACGGGAGGCATAATCTTCAGCAGTGCCGGTCTGAGAACCATAGAATATGACACAGTTCTTGCCAGTCTCTTCTAGCTTCTCCACAATATTTCTGGAGCCCTTCTTTGAGGCGCTGCCATTGAGATTAGAGCTGGCATAAGGGTCCTTGGGAACGCCCCAGTAGGTGCCTTTGGTGAAATATGCAACACTACCAACGAGGAGGAGGAGGAGGACGATAATATCTAGAGTGTCGACCTGAGCCATAGTAGAGGGGTCGTAACTGACGGCAGAAAAGACGGGACGATGCGTGTGCCCTTGGGCTTGAATGAGTTGTTGCAGGAAAACCCAGATCTATGGGAGTGAAGTTACCGACAAACGGGGGAAAGGACAGACTGTACGGATCGGGATCTATTCAGAGCGAACAGCAACGTGGAGAGAGATTTGGCAGCGGATGAGGATTGACTTATGTGGCCTGATATGCCAAGATCCGGTGTGGGTTGGGATGTGGGAGGGTGCAGGTGCAGGTGCAGGCCTGGGTTGTTGGAATCACAGTCGCACTTGCCGTAGAGTTTGTGCAGTTTGGTGCCAAAGAGGCTCGGATCGGACCAACTGTTCGGGATTATTGATGGGTGGAAAATGAGAGAAGGGGCTGAGCGAACTTGGTTGGGCCCGTCTACTTGTACTTTGGCAAATACAAACCCCAAACGCAAGCCCAGCAGAGAAAATGGCGGAGACTATGCGCGATCAACGGAGTCGAGGACGTCAGCGTGCAAAGCTGAGCTCTATCACTCTATCCGAGGGAGGGAGGGAAGGGTGTGGACGGGGATAGAAGCATTGCAGTGTCAGTCTAAAGGTAGTTACGGCAGTGCAACTCTGTGAGATCGGGTGTTAATACGGTTCTGGTTGTGGGAGAACGGGACTGCCCGGGGGGGGGGGCAAAAGGCCCTGGAGACACACCGCGGAATGGATGGGGGGAACAGTAATAGGCAACCAAGAGAACTGTGGGTGAGTGGGTGCGGTGCCCGACATGCCGACAGTGGCGCGTCCGAGTAGGCGGTAAGCCACACCTCCTGATTCCAGCTGTCAGCGGCAGTTCCAGTGCGTGACCACCGAAGCTGATTCCAACGGGTGGATGACCACCTTACGGGCGAGGCTCGGGCACTTGGGAGGAGGCTAGGCTTCGTGACAGCAGCCGCAATTCAAACACTTAGGTACCTAAGGGTCTTCGTACGGGGTACCTAGCGGGGTACTCGGTACCTGGGTACCCAGGTGGGCACCCTTGGGTAGGCACTGAGTTATGGACTCAACAATATTTCGCACAGAGACTTCGTTATTCCAAACTACTCTCCACTCCTCTGTGCCTTAGCTATCTCACCGTTATCTGCTCTGGGATAATCTAAACCTAGGTGAGGGATAATATTATCACTAGTACTCACTGCCTACTAGGCGACTGGTGGGCTTGCCAGTATTATTCTTCATGTGATGGCATTCTCGGCCAACTCAAGGTGCATACTGTAACTTAAGCCCTGCCCCTCCGGCATCGGTCTAACGTAATGCCGTATCTCGTATTCCGTACCCTAGTAGGTAAGTCGCACAGTGTGTCAGTGTCATGCAACAATCCCCTCCACCACATGTCCCTCCGCCCAAAAATAAGTTAATTCACACATGGTCAGCACATAGGGTGAAGACAGGGGACTGATCGTCAATAATTACGGAGTACGATATCTGTGCAATGACGGAGAGGTGCAGTGATGCTCGTATTGCCCAACTGCGGCCACTTTGTCAGCCTTGGCCTGCGAGCCAATATGGTGATCCCCTGAATCCTGAGTTACCTAGGTATCTGGTGCCGGATCATTGACTACGAGTAGGTTTCCCGTGCGAGTAACTCGGCGATTCGCCCATCTGGTCTGATTCGACGGTCGAATCTGCAGCACAACGAATAGCACCTTGTAGCACACAACCCTCCAATTCATTTGCGTCGTTTCAACACCCTCCTTTGTAGAACAGTATCTCTGCGGCTGGTTCTGTTCTTCTGTAGGCCATGTTTCTGCTCAGTCGTGTACGAAGTGCTCCTTACACTGTCGGTGCCTCTCTCTGGGCGAGGCGAAAGAGCCAACTTAGCCGATTCAGTTGACACTTAGTGGTTGACTAGTCAGCTAGCCAGCGAGTTAACTAGTTACCATCCGAATTTGGTAGTGGCGCTCTATCACCGCCAGTCTAAAACAATTCATCCTTTACTTGCAACAACCACGTTCTCCTCCATCAACTTTTCCACATCTCCCACCTTCGCACGCTTCTTTGTCTCTGTGCAAGTCGTTCACGGAGCAATGACGCGCCTGTTCCACTTGTCTTCACCACGGCCATCCACGGCACACAATGCTGCATAACCGTGAGTTCGGAATTCTTCCGCAAACCCAACCGCTACCGCCTGCATTCTCCATAGGCCATACCCCTACCCCAGATTCTGCAGAACCCTACTGACGCTATCTATGAATGCCCTCAGATGTGCAATCCGCCTCTAGCGAGAACCAAACCTATCCCATAGACGGTCCTGGTCCTGAGCAGATATCCCCACCCTTGACCAACAGTCGATCGCAGTACGCATCCACAACCCACACAAGGGAGACTTCTCTGGCGAGAGGACGGCCACAGCAACCTGCTTCTCAGTCATATGGCTCTTCATTCTTGCCCCATTCGCGCGCTGGCTCGGCCCAGCCTCACGCATCAGAATCAGGATTGAACAATAGAGTCTCCCCTGCGGTGGACACTGGCCTGCAACGACGGCCCTCCAATAATTATGGTCACCACCGCCAGACTTCGGTCATACACGGTCTGCAGCATTCCAGGGGTCCTAGTTTCAATTCACCTACGTCTGCCAGCCCTCTGACGCCTGATTCATCCACCGCCGGTCCCAATTATGCTGGCTACCCGGCGGCGGCACGAAGAGGCCAATACTCAAATGGCGAGGCCCCTACCACCCACACAACCCCGGTGTCTCCGTTCCCAGGGCATTCCCAAGGCCATTCGATCGATACCCTCATAGACACCAATGTTCCAACAAGAGATAACCCACCTTCCCAACCAAGGAAGCGAAAAGATCAGTCACGGACTCGTCGTGGCCATGGCTACCAATCCTCCAGCTCGCAGGCTGAGCCCCGAACCCCCGGGGAATATGCTCTACATCACTTGTTTCATGCATTTGTCTTGAGGGCCGATCAAAGAATCAACCACTGTATTACGCTTCTCGATAATTCGGTTGCCCCGGTTGAGCAGGCGTGTGCCCCTGGTGTTGATGTTGGTTTTGATCAACTGATATCTTCTCTGGGCCATATTTCTCGAGAAGGCCCTAAACCTCTAGTGGACAGTTTGATGCTGTGGCGGAAAGGCAAGGGCGACACGGCGGCAAACTTGAAGAAGCAAGTCTATCAACAACGGCTGCAGGCTGGAGGCTCCGCAGTCAATCTTCCGCTCTCGCTGCCTCGACGACATACCGAACCCTCGCAGGGACCTGGAGAATCCAATGGTCCCCAGTCCAGTGCAGACCATGCATCGTCGTCCATAGAAGACTCTCTAACGCAAGAATATATTCTGGCGGATCGCAGAGCCACAATTTCGGTTTACATCCTCTGTCGAGTGTTGATTGCGATTTTTGAACAAAGCAATCTGGCTGCGATCACTCAAGACTTGGCCAACAAACTCGAGGACATCGTTTTTACCCAGATCAGAGAGGTTGAACCTGCACAGATATTAACCTCCTCCATACGGTTATCTAATTGGAGGATATACGGCGAAGTGCTGGGCCACATGAGTAGGCTTGACTTTGTGAATGTGACTGCTCGCTTCACCCAACAGCTTGATACTTGGCAACAAGAATTCGCTAAGAGCTCCGCCACTGCCACCGCCAGAGATATCGAATCAAGGCTTGAATTACTACTCTTAGGAATGCGCCATATCCACATCAATGCCACAAAGGAGGCCTCCTATGCAGTGACCGATTTCTTGAGAACTCTGGCTGCTTTATTCGCCGATGCTCATGGTCCCCGAGTGAAGCAAGCCTATTGTCAACTCTTTGAACGTCTTTTGACTGCAGTAGCAAGCAATCCCGACTGCTTTCAGGCAGTGCCTCAATGGAAAGATCTCATCGAAGCTATTAACGTGAGACTTGGAAGCATGCTGGTCAAGATCCGCCACTGGACCGCTGGCTTTCCAGTCTCTATTCTACTTCTCTGCATCTCGCCCCTCGAGGTGTTTTCAGCACAATGGTCTCCCATGATCGCAACCCTGGTCCCAAAGCTTAAGGACAGGTCTACAAGGAGCCAGGCGCTCCAAGCAATTTGCCAGCTTGTCTGGACATACCTGATGAGAGTTAACGAGCCCGGCCAAGTCAAGCAACGCCGGCTTGAGGAAATTGTCAGAATCACTGTTCCTCAAGGAAAGAAAACGCACGTGTCTTCTGACCCATCTATATCAATGCCTTTAGTCCAACTCATCAGGGTCATAGGCTATGCGTCACAAGATTTCTGCTTCAGGACTGTCATATTTCCTCTTGTTCACTACGACATGTTTCAATCAAGCAGAAACCTTAGGATCGAGAATATGGAGCCGGAAAGAATGGTCATAGGCATTCGTGCCTTTTTGGCAATTATGTCGGATCTCGAACAAGATAGCCCCAGCGGTCCTCCTTTCCCCGGATTCAATCTTCCGGTGAACACCCTTGATGGACTGCCCTCATCACCGATGAGCATGCGCACTAGCTTGGGTATTGAATCTCCAATACGTACCTCGTTCGAGGAAGATAATCCGCCTTCAGTCCCAGTGAATGTTTCTCGCCTTGACGAGAACGCTCGGCAGATCTATCTGCAGTTTTGCCAGATATTGGGCAAGATCACAATTCTTTGCGACAACACCTTCGGTGGTCAAGCAACATTGAACGAAAAGTTTTCTACCACGACCATGATCCCAAAAACTCCCCTCGTGGATGCATTTACCCTGACCCGTAATCAGGACGGAACAACCACCGACCAAAGACAATACTATTATGAGCTTCTTCATGTTGCTATACAGGCTCTACCAAGATGCTTCACTGATCACATTCCTCTCAGCCCATTGATCAATCTATTATGCACAGGATCTGCTCATGTCCAGGCCAACATTGCAGCATCTGCTACTCAATCACTGAAGGCAATCGCTCGACAAGGTCATGCACAGTCTGTAGCAATCGCCTTCCCGCGTTTTATCTTCCATTATGACTTGCAATATTCAACGATGTCTGATGAAGGTCGACTTGGACCTGCTCATATTGAGGCTACGCTCTCGCTGTACCTTGAGCTACTTCAAATCTGGACGGAGCAGCTAAAGCAAAAGGCAGTTGCTAATTCACCAGAGGCACGCGATCGCGTCGGCACTACCTCCACCAGGGCAATGCAGATGGAGCTTACAAATGTCATCCCGCTCGTGGACGAGATCGAGGCTTACGGACTCTTTTTTCTTTGCTCTCAATCTCGCCGGGTCCGCACTTTTGCGATCAAGGTCCTTCGCCTTGTCCTTCAATTCGACAAGGTGTTGGGCCAAGATGAGCCCTCAAGAATTATTAAAATTCTTGAAAACCAGTCTTCAAAAGTACTAAATTTCCAAGACGATGCCCTCAATGTAGCCGAGCGTAGCCGTCTTCAGAAGGATAAACGTGGAACTGCTGGCCAGAGCACGTTGATCGAGATTTGCAGCTCCGAAGTTTCCTATGATGCAACGTTGTGGTTCAAGGCATTTCCTAATCTCATTCGTGTCATTTTTTATGCCTGTCCAAACGCCATTGCCTTATGTCGAGGGACGGTCACGGACAGGCTGATGATGATGCAAAATGACATCGAAGGCCTATCGGAGGCGATGACAGGCCCATCTGCCTTATTCGAGTATCGTGCCCAGGGACGGAGCTCTGCGACATCTTCTGAAGTCCTTTTCGATCAATGGAAGCTGTATCTCATTATGGCCTGCGTAACAATCAGCTCACCTGGGGCGCAATCACAGAGCCAGCTGGCTGAGGCGGCCCATGCACGAAAAACTTCCAAAGGACCAGAACGAGCACAAGAAAAGCTGAGTTCAGCTCGTGCCTTGTTCTCTGCCATTATTCCAATGCTAGGAGCTACTCCCGATGCAATTCGTGATGCGGTTGTATCCGCTCTTGGATCCATCAATCGTAAGCTTTATCGGACTTTGCTGGAGTCTTTGCAATATGCGGTTATCAAATGCAACGATGAAGCGAAAGCAAGAATCAATCATCAACGCACGCCAAGCAGTCCTCAGCGTTCGCAGAAGACGGAACGCCTTCGCACGGAAGTGACCCACGTCTACAAGTCTACTGCTTCTTTCCTGCACCATGAAGATATCTACAATGATGAGTGGATACTTCATAATCTCGTCGCCTACACAAGAGATCTGCGCATTTTTCTGAGCGACACCGACGTTCAAAATGATTGGAGATTTCAGAAATTGCGGTATCACTTCTGCGGTCTGGTAGAAGAAGTATTTGAAGGTGTGAATCGATCGAAGACTCCTTCACGGTGGATGCCATTTGAGTCGCGCAAGTCGGCATTTGCTCTCATGGAAGACTGGTGTGGCTATTCTGCCGAACAACATCTTTTCGACCACAATCATGCCCATGCCCGGGAACTGAACGACCGTATGAATGCCAATGCTGCAACAGAAAAAGAAAAGAATAACTTGCGAGTGGCGGCATTGAGTGCAATGGCGACACTTTGTGCTGGCCCAATCACCATCAAGACTGACAGTAACGCAATCCTATCTTTCAACCTACAGCGGATGCTTTCCTGGGTGGACACAATATTTGCCACCAACAATCATAAAATGCATATGATCGGCAGACGAGCTCTTAAATTGCTCCTGTTGAATAACCCTGAACATCTGGTCGTCATCGATAATGCCATCGAGCAATGCTACAGAACAGAATTACCCTTGGCATTGGAAAGCTATTTCGGTGTTGTATGTGAGGTATTGATAGAGCAGGCAGAATATCCAATCACATTCTGGAAGATTCTCAGCCTTATTCTCTTCACACTGGGTAACGAAAATCGAGAGATACGCATGAAAGCAGCCAATCTCATCCGAACTCTTGATGACAGGCAGCATAAGAGCTCAAATCTCCAGGAGTTTGATATCAGCATCTCCGACAAGACTCGCGCCGTCTATAAACTGGCCCAGTTCGAGTATTCTAAGCGATTGTCCAAAGCCAACTCAGACCTAGCCTTCATGATTTTCTCAGAGTTCTCTCTTCATTATAAGTCAGCCCGAAGCGATCACCAGCGCAATATGGTTGCTGCAATATTGCCTTGGCTTCAGGTTGTGGAACTCCAGGTTGATCCTGGGACAGGAGGCCCTACAGCCGTATCATACATGCTGCTGGCAAACATGTTCGAAATCACCATCTGCTCCAACAGTGCAATGCACAATGAAGTACAGGCTTTGTGGCAAGCTCTAGCTACAGGGCCGCACGCTGGCAATGTCCAACTAATTCTTGACTTTATCATTTACTTGTCGCTAGATCGACGCGATCAAAATTTTGTCGAGTATGCCAAACAAATCGTGGTCTATCTCTCGTCGACCCCAGCAGGGTCACGAGTATTGGAGTTTTTCATGCTACAGCTTACACCGAAAAATATGGTAAATGACAAAAAGCACGCCGATGTTGTAATGCCTGACACTAGAAACCTGCCTTACGTGGCTGACCTAACCTCACTACTACCAATGGGCAATAAACAGGTAACTCATCGTTCGCTGGAGATCAAACAAATTGTGCTAACTCCGCCATAGGTCGGCCTCTCAATGGGCCAAGTCTCCCTGATTTTCCTAGTCGATTTAATGATCACTCCTGTGACGCTTGTGAAGGAAGAGGTAATCAAACTCATCCATACAGTCCTGATTTTATGGGATCATTATACAACGTCTGTTCAGGAACAGGCGAGAGAAATGCTGGTCCACCTCATTCACGAGCTGGTGACCACAAAGATCGAGCCCGGCACTCTTACATCCGCAAAGTCAACGATCGAGGATCTCGTCGATGCAGTTCGCTCAAATCACTCGAGGGTGAGCTGGTCGTACGAGAATAATACACGTAAGGATGAAGATGACGGCGCTAGCCGAGTTCCGCCTGCCATGTCAGTCTTGACCTCAGAGATCGTCACCATATTCAATCTCGCCTTCGATACTTTCAGTGATAGCTGGGCCAAAGAGGCTTTGCACTGGGCATCCATTTGTCCTGTGAGACATTTAGCCTGTCGATCATTCCAAGTCTTTCGATGCATCTCGGTCACCCTTGATGCGAGAATGCTTGCAGATATGCTCGCTCGGCTGTCCAACACAATCGCCGATGAACAAACAGATTACCAGACTTTCTCAATGGAAATCTTGACAACCCTAAAAGTCATCATTGGCGCACTAGATCCTAAAAATCTCATGCGCTATCCTCAATTATTTTGGACAACTTGTGCCTGTCTCAATACCATCCACGAAAGAGAGTTCTATGAAACGATGGGCATGTTAGAGAAGTTGCTGGAGAAGCTTGACTTGAGTGCCCCCGATGTAACTGAAGCTATGCTAAAGGGACAGCCAGGAAAATGGGAAGGGGGATTTGAAGGTCTCCAACCATTGCTTTACAAGGGGCTGAGGTCTGCTGACAGTCTCGATAAAACACTCCTTGTCCTGCACAAGTTTACGGCCCTTCCTGACTGTGAGTTGGTCGGAAGTGATGATCGCCTGGCTTATTGCGTGTTTGCCAATCTACCACGCTTCCTGAGGACCTTTGATCTGGATGTTGTCAACCCTGCGGCGTTCGCAACTGCTCAGCGCCTTGCACAAGTGGCGAATATCCAAGGTCACAGCCTCCTCTCTACCTGTCTCCAACGATTCGTGGACAAGGAGTACATGTTGAGCAGAGACTTTATGACCGCTAGCATTCAGGCCCTCAGAGTCTCATTTTTCCCAGCTTTCGACGCCCGGAGCTTGATCTTCATGGTTGGGCTTTTAACGAACAAGACTGGTTGGTTCCGGGTGAAAACCATGGAGATCCTCTGCGAATTGATTCCCCAGGTTAATATGAAAAGCCCAGCAATTACAACCCATGGGCCGGACCTAATATCACCGCTTCTTCGACTTCTCCAGACCGAGCACTGTACCCAAGCCCTAGAAGTGATGGACTTCATCATGGAGGTATCAACGACACCGATGGAGAAGCATCATATGCGTATGAGCATGGCCTCTGGGTCGGCAAAGGCCATTCGTAAAGAGTATGAACGGACTCAGAGTTTGTACGGCATACCACTGCCATCCGGTTGGTCTATTCCAATGCCGGCTGTCTACTCAAGTATGACTCGACACAATGTCCACGCAGTGTTCTATACGTGCGGAGATACTGATTCTTTGACCGAACAAGCGACCGCCACACCTGATGTCGAGTTCTCGGGAGACGATGGATACACTGACTCCTATTTCCCGCCACAAAGTCGCGCTGAAACTATTAGATCAATGGAGGCCGCAGCAGACACCAACGTGAGCGACCTGATCAATACTCTCGATAGCCTCAACGATTTCTTTGATGATGTTGATGACGATGATGTTTTGACCCCAACTGGAACGAGTCACCTTGGTGTTGCCGCGATGAACATACCCTCTCTTCCTGAGCATAGTACAACCCTTTACGACGAGCAGACTGCCCCAATTCTCCGTCAAAGCCTTGCGCGAAGTTCATCTCTGGCGGCTATGCAGGATGGGTTTGCTGAAACAGGTCTCCTGCCGGGAACAACGCATCGAAAACAGCCAAGTGCCTCGTCGCCCGGCTATCAGAGCATGGCACAGACATCATTCTCGTCTATCGATGAATTAGGGGGCCCGGGTCCATCGTTGCCTAACTCTAGCAAAAAGCAATCTAATCAGACTGTTTTAAGTCCTTTGAATCAAACTCGCCCTGGTTTACATGCTCGATCAATCACGTCTCCCGCAAACCAGTACCCCAATACTCATCCCACTTCGGAAGGATTACCATCGATACCTGCAGGCAGTTCTTTCAGGTCACAGGATGACTATGCAGATCAATATGACGATGCCTTGCTTTCGGACGGCGAAAATAGTCCCTTTCCGACACTTAATGTGCCTCACTCTGGCCAGTCTAGAAAGCTATCCGGTCCAGGGCCTTCAGAATATCAGACCACTCCTACCTCAGCTACTGAGACTGGGGGAGCATTCAGCATACAGGGTATGCGGCGAGGTATGCGACGTCTCACAGGTGGTAAGAGTGAAAGCTCAAAAGAAAAGGAGAAGGTTCGAGACAATGTTCGGATACGAGGTCAATCAGGCAGTCACAATCAAGTGACTGCTGCCATACAAAGCCCACGAGTACCCAAGGTACCTATGGAATACCTCAATGCTAGCAATAGCAATGTGGCCAGTCTCAGCCCGACAACAAGTCCTGGACTATGACGCCAACAAATCACCATGAATTATGCAATGTTCTCGCCTTTCTCCACGAAACATTAGAGATACCCATAGATCGTTCTACGAGGAAATGAAGACCAAGTTATCAGCACCTTGAACTCTACAACACCGCAGCCCCTGTACACAACATCAAGATGACTCTTGGAAAAGTAAGGCGCATATGGGCTGTATATAAGAAGAGGATGTGTTCTTGCTGAGGTTTTAAGTAATCAATTGAAAACAAGATTCGATCCACATTTCACCCCCTTTCGCTACATCTTGTTGACCGCGCACTGACCATAACAGCATTCCATGATCCGACACATTCTCACTCATCATCAGCGACGCGCGTTAGAAGATTAACTATTCCTCCGACCATGCCGATGAATCCAAAAGATCAAAGTGCGAGAGTTTGCAGGATGAAACTGATCAGCCCGAGGGTATGGCTTCTGTATAGTACTGCGGTGCATGCCTCTGCACAGTCAGGTATGTCTTCAACTTTGAGAATGAGAAGCCGCCGATGGCGAAGGACAAGGGCTAAAGTCTTGGTACAGTATCGCAGACCGATTCTTGTTACCTGACAACCACAGTCATTTATGGCGATCCTGAAACATGGATCAGCTACTCGGGATTTACATCTTCTTCCACCACAACTTCTTTCCCAAGTACTTCGACAGCCGCAAATAGTTTAGAGACAGTCTCTATCACCACAAGTTCTTTGATCACGCCATATCCAACTACGAGTTCCAGCTTGATCGGCAGCACTCCAGGTGTGTCGGCCTCGTCCTTGAGTGACAACCAAACCTCAGGGTCTACCTCCACATCCTCGTCTTCATCAATTATCGGACCACCAGCTCCAACATCCGCACCATTCGTCGTTCAAATCAACATCCCAAACCCGACCAATCTGAAGCTGCTCAAACGAGATATCTCATATTTGACCTTCGTCGAAGGCGAAGCATACCTGACCTCATACGAAGGACATGCAGCAGTCTTCCTCCTAACAGCCACCAAGTACCTCTTGAGTGCAGGCTCGTACGTTGAACCATTCTACGAGCAATATGGTCAAGAATACACCAGGCCGTTGTCCCTCCCTGGAGTGGTCTCGCTGCAGCAAACTCTAGCGCTCTTCGACAACCGCTACGGTTGGTCGTTCAATGATGGTGGCCTGATGTTGGGAAATGCGTCATTCTACGTCAATGACATTGGACGGATGTTGGTCTTCTTCGGTGGAGAGGGTCAGGCCCCTGACGACGCGGCAATCGCTGATCTAGGAGTCGCGTTCGTTGATTCCTTTTTAAGTTCCACTATAACGTCCACTTTTCATGTGACATCGACCTCTGAGACAGAGAGCACAAGCGTCTCTCCCACTATCACACCAACAACCAGTGATGTCGCCTCGCTCTCAACTACACCGACTTCCACCAATGGTGAGATCTCGAGCTCGACCGGACTCATTTCGTTCAGTTCAAATTCACCATGTTCGTCGGTCACAAACAGTATGGCCACGTCGACAGGCACAACGCCAGCCTCGTCCATGCAGCAATCAAGCGCGGTGGTGGTCAGCACTTCTATTCGCTCAACTGCAACCGCAACTAGTGCCTTCACTACGCTTGGAGCTAGTACTACACCCACAAGGCTATCGTCCATATATCAACCTCCCAGCGGTTCGACAGTACCGACTGTGTCAACTCAGACAGCTACTTCTATTTTGTCTCCGTTAACCTCGCTCCCTCCTTCGGCTTCTTCCGACAGCTCGCCATCTCAATCGTCAACAATCGCTTCGGCTAGTACGCCATCTTCGAGAAACAGCACCAGCACCGGCAATGGAGAGACCAGCATCGTTACTATCTCTATACCAGTCTCTCAAAGTACAATCATCCCCACTACACCCAGAGCTGCTTCATCAACTTCGACTGTCTCTGTCGGGTCTTCGACGACGACTCCCGCTGTCCTGTCCTCAGGCTCTCTACAAGGGTCTTCGACAACCCCTGTCGTCTCAGGCAGTCTGGCAACCTCTGTTTCTTCCTTCGATAATGCAAGCAGCACTCAGATGACCGCGTCGACCTCATCGAGGGTAATTTCGCAGACCTCGTCAACCTCGCTAATCTCAACAACAGTGCACTCGACAACGTCTACTACCCGCTCTAGCTCCTCAACGTCAACATCCACACCCAACCCATCCAAGCGCGGCCTCGCATATACCAACGTGACGACGCTAGTGTACTACCCACCACCGGACCCGTATATCTCGTGGTCATACAACTACTACTCGCTGCCGAACGCATCCAACAACGCGGGGCCGTACCCTTCGTCGCAGTTCCGGTTCATCCCACTGCTCTTCAACGACGACCCATCCCTGACCTCCATCTGGGCCGCGAACGTCAACTTCTCGCTCGCGAACTACGGCACCGACGCACTCTTCGGCTTCAACGAGCCCGACGCCTGCTTCGCCGGGCTATCGTCGTGCATGCCATTGAACAAATCGCTGCAGGGCTACGCGAAGCACATGCAGCCGTTCGCGCACCGCACGAGCCCGTCAACCGGCCAGCGCGTGAAAATCGGCTCCGTGGCGGTCACCAACGCGGGCCAGGACGGCCTGGCCTACCTGTCACAGTTCCTGGGCAACGCGACGCAGATGAACCTGACCATCGACTTCTTGAACCTGCACTGGTACGCGAGCCCATACAACATCCAGTATTTCAAGGATTACGTCACGCAGGCGTACAATGTGACCGGCGGCGGCCGTTATCCCGTCTGGATCACTGAATTTGGAATGGATCGGCCTGATTACCCGGCGCTGCTGGTGCAGGAGTTCCTCAGGAACGCGAGCAAGTGGTGTGATGAGACGAGCTGGATCGAGAGGTATGCCTGGTTTGGGAACTTCAACAGTAAGAACGGCGCGACCAACATGCTGTTGAATGCCGATGGGAGTGCGTTGAGTGCGTTGGGGGCTGTGTGGAGTAATTATAATGCGACGAACTGACCGGTGGAAAGGGGTTTGTAGGGCTAGGATGGAGCACTTGCAAGAGAGTTGAGTGGATGATTGGATTGATTGGATAAGTTTTTCTGTGGGTGGCCGTGGCTGTCTGGCTTACGACTGAGATCACTTCGCAAGGCAAGCGGATGATGTCGAGAATGGTTTGAAAATTCCCATATACCAAGTTTAGCGTACGTGTCTGCAGAAGGTGGATGGTTCCAAACTGGGTGGAAGTTCTTTGGTTCCAGGTTCTACTCTACAAATATGTGAGTTTATCGGTCTGCCCCTTTTTCAACAACGTTCAAAGACGCGATACAGGCCCTTCAGATTCGCGACCTCCACGACACCCTTCAACATTGGCTCAGTAGCCAGAATTCTAGACCTAAAAGCTGGAAAGATGACATGCTCCAGCGCGTACGTGATTTCTTTACGCCGTTTCTCAATGGCAGCGTGGATGTTGTCTGAACTAGTGTAGTGATTGTCCTGACCTTCATCTGAGACGGTTTCGAGATCAATGTCTCCAGGATTCACTTTGGACGAAGAGGCTGGCCTTGGTTCCGGTAGTTGCTCGGGAACGTAGAATGAAGCAAGTTCTCGCAACAACGTGCGAAAGCATTCTTCCTCTTGTGTCCAGTCGACAAATGGCCCGAGTCGAAGGAGAAATGTAGGTAGTTTAGCCAAGGAAGGGGTATATCCCTTTAGGAGCAAAGGGATTGATTCGAGATTTCCTTCATCGGAGATCTCGATGGCAAAGTATTCCAAGATCATCTGCTTTCGATCCATTAGTTGATCATAGACTCTTTGCACAAGGTGGTCTTTGTTAAGCTCTGCACAATCTGCTTCTGTATCGATGTAATGTTGTGCAGCCATTTCAAGCAACTCTCGCAGACTCGGAGGTGGATGAAGTTGGATGAGCCCGAAATTGCCAAAATCTGTGAGACCGACCTGATAGAAGAATTCATTGGCAGCCATCCCATAGTCGATGAGATACAATTTCACACCGGACTGAACTGCTGCTAATCTCCTGTTGCTATCTACAAGACCCACATAGGTGAGGGATGCAAATACTTCAGTAAGCCCGTTGTGCATCGACTCTCTAACGTCGGTACGCAGCTTTTTGACAGAGGAGAGTCGAACTTGGATCTGTTCCCGACCGGTAGCTGTATATACTAGGCCATCTGGAGGGGCAGACGGGTCGTCAATGGAAGTGCTAGGCGTAAAGGTAAGGGGAAGCATCGATGTAATTTTCCGCATTTTAGAATCTGTGCGGATAAGATTGTTTTCATAAGGCTTCTTTGTGGTAGATTGTTTGCGTGGTATGCTGCCATCACTGGAAGGGGTGTCTGCCAATGCACCAGGTCTTGGGTTCATTGGCGTCATGGGAGTCACTCCAGGTAACAAAGTCTGTGTCTTGAACATTCGACTCGTATCGACCTTTGCTAGTCGCTCTCTAATCTCTGAGCACACAACTTCAATGATTTCATCTTCGTTGAGAAAGTGTACTTCTCGTTTTGTTGGATGAACATTGACATCAACCCTGGTGGGTTCAATGTCGAGACTAAGATATGCGAATGGGTGACCACCCTTGGGTAGAAACAATTGATAGGTCTGTTCGATAGCTTTCTTGACAGCTGAGGATTCAACTGAACGATTATTGATGAACAGCAAAAGGGTAGTCCTCTTCACGCTGTAGTTTGCATTTGTGGAATATCCTGAGGCCTTGAAACCCCATTTGGAGTCTTCAATGGTGAATTCGACAAGTTCTTTTGCTATACCTGGTCCGTGGGCTTGCCTAATCCGATCCATCTTAGTTGCTGCGGCCGCTACTGAAAAGGCAGAACTTGTTTCTCCGTGCTTCTTAACCGAGAAAGCGACGCCTTCACGATGAACAGCATAGCGAGCGATCACGTCGAGGACCTTGGCATATTCTTCTGAAGGAGACCTGAACGCCCTTCGTCGGTTCGGAATGCTATAAAATAGATCTTCGACAGTGATCTGAGTACCTTGTCTGCCGGCACATGGTTTTGGGTCGGGGCTTTGACCAGGTTTGGCTGGAGTGAGTTTTCCAGCAGCGTAATGGGCTTGCCATGCACAGCTTGAATTGGCGGTCTTTGTTGTGACTTTGAGATGAGCAATATGGCTGATACTGGCTAACGCTTCTCCTCGAAAGCCATACGTGCCTATAGCCAGCAGATCCTCGAAATGTTTGAGTTTTGAAGTAGTGAAACGCTCGCATAGAATGGGTAAATCATCCTTCTGGTACGGCTTAGAGCTGGAGAGCATCGACCAGACACAGTTTCAGTACATACCTCTATTCCATGGCCATTGTCGGTGATTTGTAGTAGTTTGAGCCCGCCATCTTTGACGAGAATCTCAATGGAAGTTGAGCCTGCATCAATGGAGTTCTCAAGCATTTCCTTCAATGCATGCATAGGAGCAACAATGATTTCTCCTGCAGCGATTTTGTTGACGACATCCTGATCAAGAGCCTTGAGAGACGAGTCAGCCTTTCGGTTACCTACCTTTAGTCTCAGTGACTCGCCTTGATGCGACGAGGAGCCTCAGGAGGGAGGCCGGCCTCTTGAGCGGTCCGCTTGATACCACGAGGACCGTCGGGTTCTACTTCCATCGGTTCTGCCATTGTGATAAATAGAACGTGATCCCAGGGTCTGATGCATTAGGAACCAAAGACCAGCGACCTGATGATGTTGGTGGTCGGTGTTGGTGGTTGTCTTCCCCGCAAAATGGGGAGGCACGACCTGCCCGGATGGTGCCCAGATAGGCAGCCACGCTCTGGTTTTGAAGGACGGAGTGCATTGTGGCAAGAACCAACGTCACATGCATTTGTTCTCCAAGGCTAGTGCAACCAAACAAAACAGCACTCACCAAACAACTTCAACCTGTCCCTGTTACTCGACTGAACCATTCTACAACTCTGTGTCCACCCGCACGAGATCGAATTTTGTACATCTTCACAGATATCAACTCATCTGTGACAGATTCGGAAAAGATCATCACATAAAGAAACATCCCTCGGCGACCACGGACAAAGCTTCAGGTCACCCGTCACCCATGGCCTACCAAAGGTTATAGCAGTCGACGGCGAGCAGTCTGAATTCTACAAAATGGCCATGAATTTTGTCACTTTCAATCAGGACTACAGCCACCTGGCTGTCGGTACGTCGGGTTCTCTTCGTTGGTTGTTGAATCATCCCTGTTGACTAACGTTGTCCAAGGTACCTCGAGAGGGTTCCGAATCTTTACCACCGATCCATTTGCGAAATGCTTCGAGTCCAGAGATGCTGGCAACATTGCCATCCTCGAAATGCTCTTCTCGACTTCTTTGGTCGCCCTCATTTTGTCGCCGAGAAGACTGCAGATCAAGAATACTAAGGTGCGCCCTGTTGCTTTGAGCTGGAGATCCCCTGTTGACCGAGACAGCGGGATTCCATTATATGCGAGCTCACATTCCCCACGACGGTCTTGTCAGTCCGTCTGAATCGAAAGAGATTGGTCATTGTGCTAGAGGATCAGATATACCTTTACGACATCCAAACCATGAAACTGCTCTACACAATTGAGACATCTCCAAATCCTACCGGTTGGTGCTTGCCTGTCCCTCTTCTACCCAACTTTGGCTGACACCATACCTAGCAATCTGTGCACTATCTCCATCGTCGGAAAATTGTTACCTTGCCTATCCACTTCCACAGAAAGCGGCTTCTTCCTCTTTTGCGCCGCCCTCCCATACCCCACCAAACAGTACCCACGTCCCGCCGACCTCAGGCGAAGTTTTGATCTTTGACGCTGTCAAGTTAGAGGCCGTAAACGTTGTCGAAGCGCATCGGTCACCTTTATCTTGCGTGACGTTTAATAATGAAGGCACCGTTCTTGCCACTGCATCAGACAAGGGGACCATTATTCGAGTCTTCTCGGTGCCAGATGCTCACAAGCTATATCAATTCCGCAGAGGTTCTATGCCATCAAGAATATTTAGCATGGCCTTTAACATCACTTCCACCTTACTGTGCGTCTCTTCGGCCACCGAGACCATCCATATATTCAAGTTGGGACCACAAACCCGAACAAGCGAAGATGGTAACGAACCTGTCTCTCCTTCTAAAATCTCCACTGCATTTACCAGGCGATTGAGTCATGGTAGCGATACTCTCTATGACGATGACAATGGTGAAGATCAAGATGGATCGACGTCACCAACTGCGATCTCAAATCGCAAGCCCAATGGCACATTCATGGGATTGCTGAGGAGAACAAGTCAACATGTAGGCATTAATCTTGCCTCAACGGTGGGTGGCTATCTTCCTAAAGGCGTCGCAGAAATGTGGGAACCATCCCGGGATTTCGCCTGGATCAGACTTCCGCGGTCAGCTTCAGGAACTGCACCAAGCCAATTGCGAAGTGTGGTTGCAATGAGCAGCAATTCGCCTCAAGTCATGGTAGTAACCAACGAAGGCAATTTTTATGTCTTTAATATTGACCTCGCCAAAGGTGGAGAGGGAACTTTAACGAAGCAGTATTCGTGAGTATCGAAGACGTCTTTTGTTCAATATTTGCGCTAACAGATACCAGTGTGCTCGACATCAACGACAAAATGGGGGCATCTGGAATTGACTATTAGTCATAGGTGTTGGGCCAGATTCCTTCCATGGCCAGAGTCAAGAGCACAGAACATTTGATTTGATTCGCTTAGCGTTGGCGTTGTGGTGTGGCAACCTCCGCTCTATGTAGTGAGAGCCCCTATCGCCCTGATCACCTCAAAGATAATGATACATATTACGATACCTTTTATGGGTGGTTAGGAGTCCCCAGGCAGCGTGAAAGAGAACGATCGCATCAGGTTCTTATTGTTTTTTTGGTTGGCTTCTAGAGATCTCTATGCCAGATTTTGTGAAGCGTTCCTTATAAGGCTGAACACATTGCAAAAGCTACGGCGCAGGTTTTGAATTGAGCTCAAAGTATACCTACCTAGGTAGTACTTATCTATTTCAGTTCCAAAGCAAGCGCGTGTGACTTCTCTGCTACTAAAGGATCAGTCACCACCAGCTTGAATTCGAGGAAGCAAACACTAGGTACTGCAAGGGCAGACACATCGAATGAGTGCCACGTATAGTCAGCGAATACAAAGACACCGTCTTCCAAATTTGGAAGTCTAGATTGCCTAATCGAGCAATCCTCATGGTTTTTGCCAGTCCAGCAAAAGATTTTCCATGTGTTCTATGCTCGCTTCCGCGCGCGTTGCGGAGCTAAGGAGTCGTAGACTGTAGTAGTGAAGTTGACACGATGTCATGGCGATGTGAGGTCTAGGGACTCGGGGAATTAATGTTCCGGGGCGCTTTTCCTGCACGTGAATGGGAATGGAGCACCCTCACATAGATCCCGAAACTATATGTACCCAACTAGGTACGGAGAACTCTATTAACATATCGAGGCCCGGGGCCATTTTACTACGAAGGAACATAGCGGATGCATTGCATTGTAAGCATTCACGTTCCTAAGTGAAATCGATGCCGGGTCAATGTGGCTACATGTGTCCAGAGCGGCGAAAAGGACCCCATGTGTTCGGTTGATTGCCTGCCACAATGACGCCATCCTCGAGAGATGATTGTCCCTATCGATTCGAAGTAACGCTCATCTTAGGACTCTTAAGACATGATTGAACGCTGACGAGCCTACGCCGACCACCTCGAAGTACTTTGCACAACATCGCATAAAAAGTACAAGTAGCCGTTCCAGTGTGGAAGAAGACAGCACGAGCATTAGCGAGGCTTTAGGCTCTCCTCACGCCTGAGGCACTAGCCTGCCAGGTCCGAACCTGCAACCACAGGGGTCGGTCTTCCTCTCAGTGGGAAAGTCTGATTCTGACTGCTGCGTCATTTTCAGATGCTCGTCGACCCATCGACGGAGCTCATGCCGTTTTCTGCACACTTTGTTGTGGTACCGACCTGTGGATTATTCGCCCGGGAAATATGGAATCTCCTTTTTGGGCAGCCCAGGAAGTTTTCTTAGAGACCTTCCACAAGAGAAAATTTATCAGCAGCCGAAATATCTCTCCTCGACCCACCGCTTCTCGTGATCCTCAATCACATTTGCCGCGACAACTTTGATTTTAGGGAATACGGTCATCAACCTCTTCAGACCACGGCGACCGGCTAGGAATGTGACAAAGACAATCTTTGCCTCTGCCACACCATGGTCAACCAAAACCTTGACTGCCATCAACGCCGCACCACCACTTGACATTTGGGGGTCTAGCAGCATGACCGTTTCGTGAAGTGCGAGATCTGGGAATAGCTTCAGGTAATGCAATTCAGGCTCTCCAGTTCGTATGTTGGACTGGATGAGCAGGCGGCCCGTCAAACAATCTGGGATTGTTCGCTTCAACCCTGTCTCCATGGAACTTCCTCCTCGAAGAATGACAACTGCAGATACTTTACCCGCCGATCGGAGTCCGTTGTATTTATAGCCTTGAGGTGTGACGACCTGAGCTGATCGGTAGTTGTGGCAGTCCAGCGCCTTTTCGATCAATAAAGCGGTTAATCTATCAAAGTAAAAGGCGAAATCAACTTGACTCGTTGCAGGGCTTCGTAATATTGTCGCAACCCCCACAATTTGCGGTTTGTCGCCGAGTATAATGACATTATCTGAGAGAGAGAATTCTTCGATCTGTTGCCCTAGTCTCTCAAGCTCTTCATTGTGTTTGTCCGATTTCTCCTTCAACGTCTGCCGGATCTGATTGACAATCATCTGAATTGCCATTTTGTTGTGCATTCCTCGAGGGACAATCAGGTCGGCTACTTCCCTCTGTGGCTCCACATAGCGCTGGAAGACAGGCTTGACGTAGCGAAACCATTGCTTGATGGTACCTTCGATGGTTCTGCCCCTTTCCCGAACGTCGCGGACAATTCTCCTCGATAGGCATACATCAGGATCGGCCTCGACGAAGATCTTCATGTCTAGCAACTCAAGGACTCTCGGGTCATTCAAAGCCAATATCCCCTCTAGGATAATAACGTGTGGTGAATAGATCGACAATGTCTTGTCAAGTCGTTGATGTTCCTGGAAGGAGTAGACGGGGATGTCGGTCCGTTTACCTTGTTTAAGTTCAATCAGTTTCTCGACTAGAAGGTCGAAATCTATGGATTTGGGTGAATCGAGGTCCCACTCATTTTGGTGTGCTAACGCGTTTTCTTCCGCGCTCAAAGACTTGTAGAATGAATCGATTGATAAAATGATCACCCATGGCAAATTCAGGGCTTGGACGATTTCAATGGCTAAACTGGTCTTTCCAGACCCACTCGACCCGGCGATCCCAATGGTGCTCATGTCTGCCCATGGTGGAGAGTAATAGGCCTTTTGCGTTTCAGAGGCGTTGGCTGTCCTCTCAGCTAAGGTGACCGTTGATAGTTTTCTAATGTCAGCCACATCCGACATGGTGGCTAGTTCGTCTCAAGTTGAGAGGTAAGATCAGATATCCGGCTGGAAAGTGCTGCTGATATTGTCACAGAGCACGGCCAGCTGATGTTGTCAACAGGTATAATGCCAGGAAAACAGACCCAGATATGCAAGATAAGTATGACGCCTGTCGCCTTCAAATGCTATACTGGAGATTGCAGAACAGCTGATTATCAGTGGAGAGCTCGCGGAACGAGATAGCAAAGACAAGTGAGAGAGGAGACAGCTATATTGAGGGAGACAATCTGCTGTCATCAACCTACCAATGCTATTTTCTAGGTGACTGTCGTTGCTTGTCGTTACTTGAGTACGGTGCAGCACGGACATGACTGCGAAATCACTCTTTTTAGGCTCATTTGCTTTGAAGTAGATGCCAAGCTCTTTTGTGGCCCACCGTAGTCTGCCTCCAGGATTTCGTCAGACTTTCGGCATCTGTTTCTTCTTAGACTTCAAGCATCTTCAACTACTATTGAAACATAATCCCTTCATCATTTCTTGAAGCGTCTCCCCTTGAATGGAGTAGGCGCTCACATTGTCCGCTGTCCGGGCAGCCTCTTATGCTATTATAAAAGTCGGTCAGAATGGTTAGTCTCTCCCACAAGAGCTTTCGGTCTCTAGCTAACTTTTCTGTCAAGGCTGCTGCTACCCTCAATCCCTTTGAGCGCAGGGTCGCCGACACTCACATTTCTAAGACGTATGTCTTTCTCTCTCTTCACTGCCACGAGCCCTACCAATCAATATGATGCACTTTTGACAAAATGGGAATCTCTCTGAAATTACTTGAGGAGAACACTATTATTTTGCTTTCTGAAAAAAAAACCTCCACAAGAACATCGCATTTGCATAGTCAATATCATTTTATTGTGGCTCTTGTTGACTTTACATGCCTTGCAGCGATGTGAACAATCTCATCATGGACTATCTGATCACCGAGGGCTATCCATCAGCGGCTGAAAAATTTGCCGCCGAAGCCAACATCCAGCCCAAAACGGATTTTACTGGAATCCAAGAACGGGTGCAGATTCGGGAATCTATACATCGAGGGGATCTTCAGGTTGCCATCGAACTAATAAATGAGTTAAATCCGGATGTGAGTGACATTTTCTTTGCGTTCAGCACCCTCCCTTTTGAATGATTAGATTAGTTTCATGCACCACTCATAGCCTGCGGGCAGAGATGAGAGCAAAAACACCTTCAGTCCTCAGTATGACCCACAAGCATTATGTCCAGTTGTCCACGAGAGCAAATTTGTACTGCTTGCGCTGACCGGACCTCATAGCTCCTCGATACCGACAAAAAGCTGCATTTTTCCCTCTTACGCCTTCAGCTAGTGGAACTCATCCGTCAAAGCTTCACTTCTTCAGATCCAACTCTAGTCGGCCAAGCTATAGAGTTCGCACAGAACAACCTTGCACCCTACGCACCACTAGACGCTCAGTTCAAACACGACCTTGAACGAGCCATGGCTTTGCTGATCGTGCCCAAGGAGTCCTGGAACCAGGCAGCCTCATCATCGCGATCATCAAGCTCGGCTGCAGCAGCACAAGTTCAGAACGACTTTGGTGCTCTCGCCGAGCTTGTCGATCCATCCCTGCGCCGCAAGGTAGCCAAGGACGTCAACGAAGCAATTCTCCAGTCTCAGGACCAACGGAGAGAAGCCAACATTCGCTATCTCGTGCGAGCTCGCGCATGGGCGGAGCAGCTGGCCCGTGAGAAGAAGCTCGATATCCCCGAGAACATGAGCCTGGGTCTCGACAGTGACGAGCGTGCGACCGCCTCCCGATCCAATGGCCACAATGGTGGCGATACTGAGATGACAGGAAACAACGGCGAAGATAACACTCGCTCTGATGACGCGGAGCTCGCTCGATATACAAACATTCCATCCTGACCTGGAACTTCAAATCAGGAAAACTCAGCTGGAACTCACGAGGCCGGTAACGAACCGTGCCGTATATGAAATCAGTATTTAGCGATGGCGCTGGGGACAATTTTGGGGTGTTTAAATGATATTTATGCTTGTATGGCAGCTGTTGTCACAATTGTGCTCAGGCCCTTCCGTAAGGGATTCAACTTGGAAGCGTGAATTCTACTCGAGAGAGATTCTCCACACAGGCAAGGCGCATGTAGAAGCGTATCTAACGCCCAAACACCTCGCTCTGGTACAATCAAAACAATGACCTGTTTTTTGCTGCCACCCAGAATTGATGTCACCTCTCAGTCCCAATACCCGTGTCATTTTCATCCATTCATAAATCCATGCTGGATAGCTAGTCATTCCTCATTTTTCTCCACCAGCCGCCCGAATCCCCAGCAACCAACCAAGCAGAAAGGTGAGTAAATAAGGACGCTACCAGTTCCAGGTGCGACTGCTCGCAGTGAAGACGGGGGGTTTCCAACTCAGGCGACTGGGATCGATTCTGCGGGTGGGGAGGCCCTTGAGCTTCTCCTTTGCGCGGCGTTTCTCCTGCCACTCCAGCAGCTCGTCGCGGACGACGATAATCCAGGCGCCCTTGTGGTAGCGCAGCAGCTTGAGCACCTCGAGCTGCTCGTGCACGTCCTTCTCCGTCATGGCGGTCAGGCTGGCGATCTCGGCGATGGACGTCGAGAACTGCGCGCCGGACCCGTTGCTCGAGAACGCCAGCGACGAGTGCGGGTGCAGGTGCTCTGACGAGGGCGTGTGTGTTGCCGAGCCCGGCGGCGGCAGCCGTGCGGGATCCGACAGCAGCTCGATCAGGATCTCCTTCCAGAACTGCCGGTAGCCCAGCAGGCCCAGGTCCGAGAGCGGCTTCTCCGGCGAGCCCAGCTTGCCTTCGCGCTTGGAGAGCTCGTACGAGAAGGCGATCAGCAGCCGGCCCAGCCCCTGCCGCTGGTACTGCGGGAGCGTCAGGATGCAGGCGACGTTGTAGCCCTCGGCGGACTCCTTTTCTTTGCTGAAGTATCCCACCAGATGGCAGCCGTGCTCGTCGCGTGTGACCATGCAGTAGAACAGGAAGGGGTCGACGTCGTAGTAGAGGGTTTTGTGGTCGAGGAAGAGCTTGGACAGCAGGCACAGGTTGCGGCACCATGTGCGCTGCCGCCGGCCGTCGACCTCGAAGAAACTGATGAAGTCGTCGCGGTAGATCTCGTTGCCCGGCGGGTGCCGCAGCTCGCACTTCGAGCGGTGTCGCTCGTACGCCTTCTTGCTGCTGAAGTACGACAGGCAGAACTCATCGATGTACACGAGGTCCAGGTCGGCGAACTCCTGTGGGTAGGGCGAGAAGTACCACGGCTCAATGATGTGTTTTCCCATTTGGATTTTCTCCAGGTTGCGGACGAGGTGGAGTTGGGCGTGGTTCTGCACCATACTGCCGCCGGTGCGGAGCTTCTCGATCTCTTCTTCCGGTTCCATGATCGGCGCGACCTTTTCTTCGGTTTTGGTCAAGTCTGTCATCTCTACGTCTTGCTGTGTGCTGCTGCCGACGCCGACGCCCTCGCCGGCCGAGCTGAGGATGCTGTCATCTTGACTGAGCGTGGGCAAGGGTGTGCCGGCTTGCGTAGCGAAGAGACTTGCGTCGCCGTCCGGCGCGATTGCGTCGTCTTGGTTTTCCTTTCCGCCTGCTTTCGAGGGCACAGGTCGCTTTCGATCGTTCCCTGCTTTTGAACTGAGGAGATCTGGGGTTGCAGAGCCAGGCCGAGAGTCTGCGCGGGGTCGTGCGGCTTTGGTTGTCGTTATGCTTTTTGCGATGGCGGCTTTCGATGGCGGTGCTTTGCTGGTGACTGTGGTTTTCTTCTTCTCGGGTTTCTCTGGTGCTGGCCATTCGACTTCTTGACTCAGATCTATACGGTCTGCCGAGACCCATTCTGAGGAGTGTCAGAGACTTGCTGAGGGAAAAGGTGGTCAAGAGATATACATACCATCCAGACGTTTATTGAACTCGACATAATGTACGCTAGCATCCAAGTCAGTCATCAACAGAAACAATCATTGAGGCAAAAGCGACGACAGTCAGGACATACTAAAAGGTCAGAGCCCCATTCCTCTGCTTGATTGACAAGATCTCTGCTTTTCTCGGTTCGCCATTCTACTCATATCGCAAGTCAGCCGGCCATCTTTATTGCCTTCACTTCAGCCTCAATTCATCCACAACTTCAGAGTCACGTGCTCTGGTGAAAAGTGCAAACAACAGCTTTTTAGACATACCTTTTCGACGAATGCCTTGACACCAATCCTGCAAAACAATTAGATATCAATTGAGATTCAAATAGCAACGATTGTCATTTTACTACACAAGGTAAAACTTACTGTAATTGGGTCAGCGTGGCGAAGCCTTTGATGACCGGCTCGGGCGTGCCTGTCCCATCGGCGGCGTGGTCACCACCGCCTCCCATAATGGGATTAATATCGGTGAAAGTATTGTATGAAGTATTGCGATAAGTTTGACCAAAGGACTTGGATTATCGAGATGAATTGATCAAGTTTGGATGAAAAGTCTTGATGGAAGCCGGATACTGAAGGTTAGGTGATGTTTGGGGAAGGTTAGGCAAGAGTTTGGGGGAGTGGGAGCGCTGGAGCGGGATTTGCTTCAGGCAAGAAAATAGGCGCTGCTGGTCAACCAAGTTTGGCCACTGTTGCCTAAATTTTCAGCCTTTGGGGGTTGACATGACATCAAACTCCTGCCTACCATCACCAACTTGAACCCAACAATTCATTTTGTGTGTGAAGACTTCGAATTACTGCCACAATCATTGATCTGTCATGCTAATGGAAGAATGAAGGATTATATATACCCCTGGCACTCAGAGCCAACCACTGTCCAACACTACCCATATTGTACGCCGTATGGCACTTGTAAACTGTAAAGCTCAGAGGAAAGCTGCCCTTGATCGCTCATGATCGCTCTCAATTTCAACTCGCAATCAAAAGACTTATTCTCCCACCGGCATACTTTCAACCTGATCAACCAAACTTCTCCAGTTGTTCGCTTGCAACTCAGCATACTTGACTCGCTCTTGACTCCAGTCTTGATGCAACCGGCTGATGGCGTAAATTGAGCCTTGGAAGGTCACAATCTCATCCCTAACACACTCCTTGATGAATACTCCTCGTGCATGTTGCTGAACAATGCTCTCTTTATCCGACATAATACTGCTCTCTACCTTTTCCAATTCTCCAGGTTTTATCTGCGCCGGTGGTTTTTGTCGCAACTGTTGCAGTTTGTTCTCGGAAGCTTCAATGCGTCTCTCGAGTTGAGGGATGTTGTCACGAGCATACCGATCTCTTCGATCAAACATGTCCCTCATAGACACAAGACTATCGCGGATAGATTTCATGTCCTCTAGCACTCCGGTGTCCCATGCCCTCGCCTCATCCTCAAGGAGGGTTTGCGTGGTGGCAACATGTTTGGCTGTAGACTTGATACCCTCATTCAACAGAGGGACGTCATTGTTGTCGATAGCATAAGTGTCATCGCTGCTGTCTGTAAGATGAGCCAAAGCCTGGCTGAGTTTGGCACTGTCTGCCGCAAGGCCTTCGCTTCGTTTGATCAGACGTTCTAATAGAATACAGAGATTGATGTAAATCTCGGCTGATCGTTTGACCCCGATTCGGACCTGGTCGAATAGATCTGGGAGATTTGAGGGCAGGCTGTCTTCAAGCGTCGGTGGAAGCGACTTGCCGGTGAACTCTTCCTGGACAGAAATGGTGGCTTGCTTTCGCCATACGGCAAGTTCCTAATGAGAGGTCAATATCGAGGCCTTCGACACTACGGCAACAGGATGAGTTGCTTACAGTAGGGACCGTCAAAAACATAACCACCAAGGTCTCCTGACTAAGAACGGGATGTTGGACCAGTTGATTGGCGAAACGAACAAGACCTCTTCTTCTCTTCTCAAGAAAGATAGCGGCATCGGCTGCAAGATGAGTCCCGTTCACTGTAAGTTGCATGAGTCAAAAAGCATGGAAGTTGGTGGTATGACTTACATTGCACTCGTTTGGGTGGCAGCAATGGCAATCGTCTGAAAGGGTAGCGCTTCTGCAAGCAATCCAACAACCAAACAAAGTCACTATATCGTCTCACGACACTGCTTCCTCTTCGAACAGTTTTTACTTCATAGTTGTGATGCTGGAAAAGGAACATGCCTTCTTTCTCTGGAAGCATTGACACAATGACAGATTCACCAGTGCCAGGAGGGATGGTTACGCTCTGTGAGATAGAAGTGGTTGGTCCATGACTCGGAGGGTTCGGTCCTTGACCATCGTCGGGATCTCCAAAGCCACCACCCAGCGTCGGTTGTTCCGAGAAGTCTGCAGAGCTGCCATTGAAGGAGTTCCAGCCACCTGCAGCGGACCGAGATTGGTTTGGGGAGCCACTTGAGCTCGAGCGGTTGCCTGCTGTGGTGAAAGTACTTGTAGTTCTCACCATACCATTGGATACGCTCTTATCGACCGTGACGGAAACGCCATTGCTAGGCAGTGAGGGAGGGGCAGGAGCAGGAGCAGCAGATGAGGGAGGCATTCTGTTGTTTGAAGGACTGGCCCATGGGTCCGAGGTTAGATCACCCCCAAAGGAGTCTTGTCGAGCTTTGTTCAGGTTTACGGGCGTCGGTTTCGTCTGCTGCGGTGAAGGAGCCTTGGGCGGGGGGACACTGGATTCTAGACGATCGATGTAGGCGATTCGAGGCTGTGGAAGCTCTGGTAGAGATCAGCTACAGGATGCATTGGCATTGCTTGATGGATGCTTACTTCGCCGTCGGTCATCGACACTGTCAAGGGTGATGTCTTCTCCCTCTTGACCCAGACCGATAAGAGCGAGAAGCACATTAAACTCGCTCCTTCCCACCCCATTGGCGCTTTCCTGACCACCTGGTACGACAAAGTTGAAGATCTTGTGTTGCTCTTGCTCACTGAGGTCGCTGCTTTGTAGAACGTTTTTGATGCCAGCCAAACCAATTCCCACCCCTGTCCTCTCATTCGCATTGAGCACGGCATCAAAGGCATCGACATAGCTGTCTGGAACATCGGTGGCTGGAAGTAGATTCTTGACTAGATTCTGTCGCGCCGACTTCTTGGGAGTTGGCATGGACCAGGGCGATTCGCCGGCATCGTCTGCGAATAAGGAGGAATTGGTCGCAGGACGAGCAGGTTCGTCACCAAACAACGATTTGGAGTTGAGTGGTGCAGACTCGGTAGGAGAAGAACCGAACAGCGACATGGTCGCAAGGAGGAGAGGAGAGAGGACACGCGCACGCCCCCAAGGTAAGGTTTGGGTCAGTGGCTTCTCTCTTCAATGCAAGGTGAAAGGACGAAAGAAGCCAATTACGCGGTCGGCGACATGCGCGGTACGGGCGGAAGTAGTATACATGTACTCTGTATGAGCACAGGGCGGAGGCAAAGGTGGATGGGGACGAGACTGGGAACGAGACTGGGAATGTAGGTCGACTGCGCGGTACGAGTACTACGAGTACTAGTTGCAACGGCGATTGCGCTATCTCAAAGCAGTTGTGAAGTCACTCATTAGTTCGCTTAATGTCGATGCTTAGTCATCCTTGATGTGCGAGCGCAAGATCGCTGTGTTACATGACTTGAATATTGGATATCATCATCCCTACCATCTACGAGTATCTATCAACTCGTACAGTAGTCAGCCCTCAGACCTGAATGCTAAAGTCCTTGTAGCTCCATTTCTCTGTCATCTTCACCTTGCGCTTCTTGGGTTGCACTATGACTTTGCGAGCCTCCAGCTTGCCATTCACCAGTAAATTCCGAAACCGTTCGTTCAGCAAGTTACCCTCAGGCTTAAGTCGTCGCAGTGACTCTTGCAGCTCGTCCGGAAGAACAACCTCTAGAGGCTTCTCTGGGATTATCGCATTCCCTCTCTTCCGCCGGCGCAAAACTCGGTCGTCGCCGTCTTCTACCTCTGGAGTCTCATTGCTTGGCTCCAGCTCATCCTCTTGGCCGCGCTTGATCATAACCATGATCATCTGTTCTGTTTGCTTTGCCTTGTCCCCCATCTTCTTCTCGTGCTTTGCGATTCGCTCCGCTTCTTTTCTCCGCTTGGCCTTATTCCGCTGCGCGGGCGTTTTTCGCTGTGGCCGCTTCTTCTTCAAGGCCTCTGAGTCCTCATTCTCGGTCTCGAATCCTTCCCACGCGCTTTCATCATCCGCAGGGTTCGCTTCTGGCATTGCAGCCAGGGCTTGCACCCTTGCTTCCTTCTCGGCTGCCGCCTTGGCTTGGGCAAGACGTAAGCGCTCTGCTTCCACCTCCTTGGCGCCTTCTTGGTTGAGCAGATCATCCCATTCCTCGAAAGATGGGTTGTAGCTCGTACCAGCGTTGGGCTGCTGAACTGCTCGAACCGGCCTGCCATCTGCGGTCATCGGGATCGGCGCCTTTTTCAATGTTACGGGCGCCACCTTTGCTCTTGGTTTAGGCACATACTCGGTTGACTTGTCTTCCGGTACGCTAGCTGGCGTCTCCGCCGCCCATAGATCAAACCCGGATGTCTCGATGTCCAATTTGTCTGCATCCAATCTTGACGTGCTGTCAAGGCTGCTTTTCAAGCGACGCACTTCCTTTTTGCTCACCCAATCGGGTTTCTGCCTTTTGTTTGTAGATTCAAGAACTCCGTCAGTGACCGCCGAGTGTTGTCTCTTTCGCGAATCGACCGCTGGAACCGCTGAGCGTTTGGCGAGAATCTGATCCACCTTCAACGGCTTCTGTATTTTGTACTTCCTCTTGATATCCTCCGATCCTGTTGTATCAAGTGCAAAGAGTTCTTCGGAAGTTTTCTCTGCCACGGGTCCGCCTTGGATGATTTGTTCTCGGAGCGAATCCAAGCCATGCTGAACCTCTTCAATGTCGACATTTTTCCGCCAGGCCTTTTTGCCTTTGCGTGATGGCTGTTTGTGCTGTTGAGGAGCGCTTCTTGCTGAGGAAGACATTATGGCAGACTGACTCTCCTCAACCGTTTAGGGCTCTAACTTGTCTTCAGTAATGGTTGCTGCCAGTGGGGGATGAAATGAGCGTCAGAGAAAATAAAACTCCCAGCACCCGCCTTCCGATGCCAAGGATCGCTTTTAAGTTTTAACCCGTTTTAAGAGTGGAGATGCTGCCGCCCTGTGCATGTCACGGGCCCCTAACTCAACTAATAATATATCACAGCCTTGCAGCCTTGCAGCCTTCTTCACTACGACATTCTTATTGTTAATCGTCCAAACTAGCAGCAGCGCTGTCATCTCTGGTGCATGCCTCTACAGTCTACTTAACATAAACATGGGGTTTCAAAGCAAGATCTTCCCACATGTATAGGCCGGGATTTCAAGACTGCTAGATTCCAGTCGATCATCAAGTGCAAACCAAGGTAAAAGCCCTCAGCAGAGATCTAATATCTATTCTGATGCAAGTCGTGTTGTCCATACCGCCATTCTTCACTGCCGTCGATACCCTGCCCATCTTGGCTCACGATGAGTGGAGGCACCAACTGCGGTCGTAACCTGTTACCATTCTGCCACCACTCGATGGCCCTTGCCTGCATCGACATTTCATCCTTATCCCATTTCAGGTGACGTCGCTACACCGAGAGTGTTCCAGTAACCCGGTCTTGTTCCATGCACACCTGGCAATATCGAAACGCCATCTTGTCCGTGACAGAGCTAGAATCCTTCGGTGGCCATAGTGAGCCACACGAAGACTTCGCGAGGCGTGAGGTGCAGTTCCGGCAGATCATATGAGATCCGACGCGGCAGCTTCGTCCATATAAGCCTACGCCGATGCCGCAAGCAACGCAGATACGCCTGGCGGCATTCGGCATCCTCAGGTCAGAGCGTCCCACCCATGGTCTACATGAATGCCGACGTCTTAAGCTCACACTCAGCACGCGGTTTCCACAGTAATCACCTATAGCACGGGAGTGTCTCGTGCGCGGACGGCCAACTCCACAGCGGCCAGCCTTCACTCCTGACCACCAGGCTTCGAGACATCTGTCGCTCCCCTCCAGGGTCTCGACGCAGCACCTCCTGTGATGCAAAACTATTCGTTCTGTGGTAGGAGGCGTGCTTTCCGTGGCGATATAAGGCGAAAGTCAAGCAAAGAGTCCCACAGCAGGCAGTCCGCAGATCTACAGAAGGAGTTCTTGTTCCAGGTCAAACAGCCTTACCGGCCACTCGCCTTCGTGGTCCTATAGCCCTGAGACAATTGTGGACCGAGAATCACAATACTAAAATTTTGATCTTCAGGAGCGTCAACATCAGTGAATATTGAAGAACCACTGCTGTATAAAGTAGATATATATATGTATCAATAATACATAGGTACGATTATCTATGGTAGCGAAAGCGTTCTTGTCCTTCCAAGATGCAGGTTTTGTGTTATTGCAGGCGGCCAAAAGCCCCCGGGCATACAGGCTACCATATGGGGCCTGCATGACAACAGTCAAGTGGCCGAGTAGTGTTCCGCACTCTCGACCGAGCAGGCGCAGCCATGAACAATCTGGAGTTCTCGGAGTCTGCTCAGAGTTTCTTCTCGATCTAATTAGCGTGTCTCTTTCTTCACATTAACAAGGAATATCGATACTTTCTACATATATCTGACAGCTGAGCGCATGCATCGTATTTTCCTTCTCCTTTGCTCGGCTCTGATCTGCCCGTGGTTATTGTAGTTAAAAACGAAGCCTTAGATTTTGCCTTGACTTGGAAACATCTCCGATCAAATAGCCCAAGAATCGTGCTTCCCATTTCGTTTTGGTGTCTTTTAAGCCAAAGTCCAATTCAAGCTGGGATTTTCCTGGAGATCGCCTCACCGTTCGTTAACCTCACCATGCTGGTTCGCAGTATTATTAGCGCAGTACTCTCCTCTCTCATCTGTAGGACAGAATGATAGCATGGTATGTCATTGAACCATCGAGTTTAGATTACACCGATGCAGCACGCTCCAGAATAGCGTCGGCGGCCTTCTCGCTGATCATGTAAGTAGGCAGCACGATATAAAACCCGGGGATCTTGGGGAAGACGCTTGCGTCCACGACCCTCAGGCCATCGACGCCACGGACTCGGAATTTCGAGTCCAGGACAGCATTCTTATCGTCGTCAGCGCCGATCGGGGCGGTGCAGCTGGCATGGTGGCCCCAAGCCTCCTTTTTGATCCATTCCTTCATGGCGGCCTGAGTGGTGGCGTTCTGCGCAGGCCAGACCTCCTCGAAGTCGCCCTGGAGCGGGATGTAGTCCTTGAATATCTCGCGGGAGAACATCATTCCCTCGTACGCTGCCTGGAGATCCTTGTCGTCGGCGCCGCCGGCTGTGACGCCGGTGTCGAAGTAATTGAAGTTGATGATAGGCATGTCGCGAGGGTCGGTCGAGCGCAGGGTCACGGTCCCAGCGTTGTTGTGTGTGTGTGCCTTCAGCACAACCCATGCCCAGTGGTGTGCGTCTTTCAGCGACTCGGCTGCGTACCCGGGATGATAGCCTGTGAAGAACGCCGGAGCCCCAGAAATGAGGAGGTCGGGATCACCCTCTGCGACTGACGATTTCTTGACGATGGCAATGGAAATACCATTGGTGGCGTATGTACCTTTGAGGAGTGGGCCTGGTTTGGTTTGCCATTGCTTCAAGCACGGATCATCCGGAGTGCGCAGGAAAGTGCAGTACTTGGTGATGGCGAAATCGGTATTGCTGTCTCCCACAATTGTCGTCTCATATCGATCTTGTAGATTTGTGCCCACGCCCGGCAAGTCGACAATGAGAGGGATACCGAACTGTGACAGCTCGGAGGCGGGACCGATGCCTGAAAGCTTGAGCAGCTGGGGCGTATTAAAGGCACCGGCAGAGACGATCACTTCGCGAGACGCTTTGACACTGCCCAAAACACCGGCAGGGGCGGCGCCTGCTTGAGGATCAGCACGGTAGAGCCTGGGCCCGTCGAAATACTCAACACCAACTGCCTTGGGCTTGGTACCTGAAGTATCGAACAGTATTTTGGACACTAGAGTGTTGAGCTTGATATCCAGATGATATTTGCGCGAACCATCAGCATTGCGAGCATGTGCAGTCTCGAGGATGAAGTCTCGGGGACCATTGCGCTTCTTCTCCACTTCCGTGACTGCAATTGGGACCTGGTAGAGACCTTCAGCCGAGTCTCTGCTGGGTGTGTCGGCATTGATATCTTGCAACAAAACTTCAGCCAGCCCGGTCATCGTGTTGAGAAGCTTCCCAATAAGGCCCTTGCCCATGGCAGTTCCAGCAGCGATGATCAACGACAGAAGTTTTGTATCCTCAACAGCGAGTGACAACTCCGTGAGGCTGGTCTCCAACCAACCGTTGAAGCCGTGGCCCACGACACCGTTCGGAAGATATCTGCTGCGTTCTAATCGTTGAAAGTAGTTGCGCATATTATCAGCCTTCCACGAGGCGTCCCCCGTGATCGACGCAATGTGATTCCAGTCACTCTCGTGAGGATAGATGGTGATCATCGCGTTGTGCATTGAGCAGCCACCCAACGCACCGGTACGCGGATACCAGATACCCAGAGGCGTTGATCCAGCTGGTTGGTTGCTTCCCACAACATGCTCTCCAGACGGCAATTCCCAAACCATTTTCGAGTCCTTTGCTTGTCGTGTCACATCGTCATAGTGGTTGACGAAGTAATCCCATCGAATTGGTTCGTATTCTGTGGCTGAGAGCTGCAATGCTGGGACCTGCACCTGGAGGGCATCTCCGTGATCACTTCCGGCATCAATCAAGAGGACTTTGTATCCAGCAATAGCCAATCTAGATGCCAATGGGCCTCCCCCGGGCCCACTACCCACCACCACATAGTCGTAGTCTGCGGTAGCATTCACCTGTGTCTGATTGCTCTGTCTAGCAAAATGATAATGGGAATGGCCACGCGCTGTTCTAGTTGACAAGAAGCTGTCAGTGGTTTTCTCCCTTAGCCTGGGGGAAGATACACTCACAGAGCATTCACGGTCGAGCATGACAGCGCTAGGAAAGCCAAGAACCGCATTGTGATGATAAATGCGGGCTGATAGCACACAGTCTCTTACCGCCTGCCCTATTTGTTAAAATGAACGACTAAAGGGTCAGTGAAATGAGTGACATGGACAAGGCCATGAAGCAACGTTGGCAGTTGCGAATAGGGTTGGATATAATATCATTCACGCCATCGTGATCAGCCCTACTCGCTCTCAAAGCAGCTGGGAAATTGCTGCCTCCACCAATGCAAAGTGAGGACGCATTGCACCCCGAGGGCAGGCTGAGCAGAGAATTGATCGTCGGGAGAAAGTACTCCAACGCATCGTCAGAATTTTGGGGACTTAGTGCCGAGTAGACGAGACGAAAGGATTGAGGAAAGGTGGAGTGAGGTTGTTGTCTGCAAGGGCGAGAGGGCGGCATCAGGGCGAACGGTGGAGCAGGTAAACACAAGCCTGGTTGTTGCTCCCTCTTGAGTTTTGATTTCGAGCCCAAGCAGTATCAGGAACTAGCAGGGCTTGCAGAGCGTACTAGTCTACTGGAAGCTCAAACTCTTCCATCCCGGTATTGCTTAGACCGCCCTCTCGACCTCCACCTTAGCCTGGACAGCCCGAATGAATACACCGTAACGCGTCAGGCACGGGACGGATTCCTGGAGAAGGAAGCTAGCAAACGGCCTTCCGGCGATCGGCAGCGCTAACCAGGCAGCAGGAACCAGGAACCGGGAACCAGCCTGCAGGCCGCGGGCCCCAGGCATAAGGAGCCTTGCGTAGCGCGACGGGTCTAGCGTTTGCTTATTTCCCTAGTCTCTGGGACTGGTTGAAAAGCCGCTCCCGCTCCTGGTCGACCCGGTTCCTGCTGATCTACGAAAGGCAGGCTCGTGGCGGAACCGTTGTGGGTGCAGATAGTCATTGCGAATTCCTGACAGTGGATACTGGTGTACTCGTATATGCGATGGAAAATGCTGACTTTGCCAAAGGTAGAGGTGGCCAACTTTCAGGTCAAGCCGAGTTCTTCATCTCTTCCCCCCGATTCGGGTCTATGGCAGCGGTGCTCGGTGTTGTTGGCCGATAGATCCTCGAGTTGCTCGATTCTTAGTGACTTGGAAAGATACTGAGGTAAAATCTGAGATGATACCTCGTATTCCATGTCAAAACGGTGGCTGTGATCTTCTCCGTAACGTGCTGGAAAGCAGGCTTGTGGCACCTTGTTCTAAGCTTCTACACCAAGTAGTACGGAGTCCCACCATGTGATATATGTAGAGAGTTTGAACACGCACAGGCGAACTATCAAGTCACCGGCAGCAAGGGCTACCATGCTTTGCAATTTGGAATCGAGTAAGCTAGAACCGGCAAATTTGCCAACTCCGTCCTTTTGTCTATGAGATGATATCTACCCATACTTTGTAGTTCGTATGCAATTTTATCAGATATATGGTCCCGGTTATGGTGACGAGACTATGCGTCCATACTTGGCTGCAAGCATAGACGGGAAAGCTAGATATGCCAGGTGTCTGTCGGCCGTAAGAATTTTTCCATTTTGTCGTAGTCATGTCACCGTTCCTCTTGTGAGATCAGAGAAAAGCTCACCCTCAGTCGTGGCTCTTCGCTGTAGGCTGCAACGCCCAACGCCTTGGAAGGCTCGCGAAGCAGGGGGGCTCGATAACTTCACAGGAAGCCAACTCTTTCGCTGAGCATTAGATATGCAGGCAATCTCTTTACAATGCAATGCCAGGTCGATTGTCTCTGACATTCTCAATGTCAACCAACGGCAGAAAATCTTTGGTGTCTTGGGCCCGCCTGTCTGCTGGTGTCTCAGCCGCTGTAATTCCGCTGCCGGCACTCACTATGCCTTTCCCAAAGTTTCCACTGCTCTTGCTGTTCATGGTCCCCCCAAAAGCTCGAGGGGCAAGGTGTTTGAACAAAGAATAGAGGGCGGGCATGCATGCGCAGATGATGCCAACATCCATTTCAATGCACGACCAATACCCGAACGCTACACCATCCCAGGAGACGTTGCTTGACTTCGCAAATTGATAGAGGGTTTCCAGGCGCAAGATACTGACAATGGTAACGCTGGGTAGAAGTCAGAATTTGAGGTTTGCTCCAAGGATTTGAAAACTTACAATCCACCGACGCTTAGCATGATTGATATCTGCAACTTTTTCTTCCAGTGCAAATTGAGTTTTGTTATAAGCTTGAGTGGAAGGACAAGAATCACGATGTCAATGACGATGTTGATCACAGCAGCAGCCCAACCCTGAGCGTTGACATTTTGGCAGCGGCCATGGTGTTCTCCATCCCAATGTGTCCACGCATAGCTAAGAGGCCAGCATTGAAAGGCAGACACAATGAGGAACGCAAGCATGTATAATATCGTGGCACCCATGGTACAGAACACCCAGATGCGAAATTTTCGTTCTGGGAATACGCGGAGATAAAAGCAGAGAATAGTGACCTTGGTCAAAGAGATGACGGTGATGTACATAAGTTCGTCAGCGAAGTAGATCTTGATCCCAGTTAGCAAATAGCGACTGGTGTAAAATAGATGAATTCCACAGACCTTGAGAATTGAAGTGATACTGTCAGGCGGTATCGTCCATAAGTCTGTGCCAAATCCATGTTTTGCGACTATAGCAGACATTAGTACTTTCGCCAACGACTCTCGCGAGAATACTTACGTTCCACGGAGCATACTGAAAATGCTACCAAGAGAGCCTGTTTCATACCTTAGCTGTGTTGAATACGTGCTTTGAATCAGAGATCCCACCATCGCTATGCTTATGCATAGATCATCGTAGCCCAGTTCTGCAGCGGGCACAGTAAACTTTGCATATATGCGTACAAAATATACTATCAAGGCGGCAGCACCACCTCCTGCACCAAATCCGATTATAAGATCTCTTCTGTCCCGGATTGGTGCATCACAGGCTGTTAGAGATGCATTTTTGGTAGCTGGGCGAAATAACATTAGCTGGGACGGACGTAATCATTGTTTGCGCTGAGAACTCACCAAGCTGTTCCTTGATCGTACAATTTGCTGCAACACATGTTGTGATAATTGCCGCTAGTTCCTTGTTGGTACAGATGCATGCCTGATCTGTTGCAGAGCAACTTGATTGGGCTATTCCCGCCAGAGAACAGTCGAGCTGGGCTATCAGCAACAAGTTGGTAATGATTTGTAGGGGTTACTCACGCCACATTGCGGGTAGAGTGACGCCGCTGCCTTCAAGTCGGCGGCAACAATGGAAAATAGTGTCCAGGCAAAAACTGTGAGGAATGTAAAGGTTTTCATGTTGATCATTTCCCAAGGTGCATCGAAGCAGAATTATGCCTAACACAATGGAAGATTTATGCGAGACAGCAACAAGGTACAGCTGAGGTGTAAGAATCCGTAGATATGTGCCGATTCTCAAGGTATACACCTGAACAACGTTCGGGGTGGCTTTGAATATGAAAGTAGCGGCCTATACCGGGCTGGAGTCGAGGTGGAGCCCAACTTTCTCACTTGCCCCGTCTGCTTGGTTGTGGTCATTTACTCGCAGGCTCAACCAAGCCCAACTCCAGTAACTTTCAAATGAAAAGTCCCAAGTCTGCATGGAATGAGCACGGACTAAATGGGCCAAGAGGCTGTCTCTGATGGGGAAGACTCCTCAAGAACCATGATGCATGCATATCCACGTACCGAATATTACGCCTTGACTGCTGTCACTCTTAGGCGAAATCAAGTTCCAGCCGGCGAGTTTTCCATCATACAGTAGCAAGCCGTTCGTTACGAGCTCGTGGGTTGTCGTGCTTTGCTTAGTGCCTTACTCCGTAGTTGGTCTAGACACAAACCTAGCGGACGGAGTAGAAGAGCAAGAATGGACCCATGCGCCACTCCTGTCGATCGTCTCCACATTCGTTAGTCCGGCAATGCATGGTAGATCCCTGCTGAGAATCCTCCGCTAGGCCCCAGTGCAAGGGCTCTTTCTTCTTGGTTACGGTCCCCTCATCTGAATCATGCCCGAGCTTTCGGTACAGCGATCACTGGGTACGACTGGCTAGCTTTCAAGCAAGTCCAGGTACCATTGTGTTAAGCCACTCCCATTAAGCCGGTAAATGCTCAGGAGGACCTTGGCTCCATCTGGCCTCACGCTGGTCTTCTAGCAGCTGGGACTCGGTCATGACCGGCACTGCATCTTCCTCAACATCTTGCAAGCTCGCTGGTAATCAGGAGCAGGCCTCCCTTCATTCCTGGCCGTGACAAGAATGCTATCATCGACAAATGTCCTTGGAGAAAGAGCAGGCACAAACCATGACGATGTAACTCTGTTGGGATGCCACGTTGATACCAACCACCAAGCAATAAGTAGTTCTATTCTCTTTTTGGACCCAACTGCGTGATGCTGGCCAGTAGCATCGTGAGATTAGCAAGGCACTGGAAAGCAGGCCCGATCCTCAAGTGGGTATTGAGCGAAACGTAAATTGAATAATGGTTTTTCAAATAGTTCGTAGGTGAAAGTACTCCGTGCTCCGGACGTGGGACAGAGTACATACGGAGTACTCCGTAGACAAAGCGGTATCAGGGTTGGAAACCCATTATACCCACATATAAGGAGCTCCTTCCCGTAGTAATGCTTGCTAGCTTGGGCGGAAAAACCCAATTGCATGAGTGGGCTGCACTAAGAGTGGAGTTCGACTGACCCAGCTGATATCAGAAACACATCGCTCTTGAGGTAGTATGGTCTAACTCTTTATGGTGCTCCGAACCAGGTACCTTGATGGAGAATCTATGCTGATCCTATCGATTTTGGTCACGCTCTTCATCCTTTTCCCATGTCCCAAATTTGAATGGTGCTAGTGGGTACCTCCCATGGCTGGCTGCCAGGAGTGTCTTGGCAGGATGCGGCATCGAAGACGAACTAGCTTGCGTGTTCCAGCGATCCAACCTGTGGGGAATGGGCACATCCAATCTGCTCTCGGAACATTGTTATGCTCTGGATCTTATTGGTGTCACCGTCCGGCCGTTGGACAAATCTCGACTCGCTTGTTAAAGCCCTATCGACCTCAGCAATGTTGGAAATCTCTTGAGGGCTTATATGTGTTGGTATGGCTTCACAAATTGACCCGATCCAACATTGAACGCTGCCATATCATCTTTCATCAGCTCACTCTAGTCACTCTTTTGTATATTGCGGCGTCTTTTTTGGAGCCGTTGCCATTCCTTATTTGATATGAGGGTTTCTCTTTCGTTCTGGTGTACGTTGTTCGGCTGTATCGTTGTCTCCACATCGTTTCCAACTGCAGCCAACCTCGCAATTCTTGCCAGGTCAGGTGGTTTAGATATTCCCGATGATCTCACTTTGGAAGAGGTGTATCGCCACGTCGAAAGTCAAAAGGAGAAGAGACTTCTGATTGACCCACTCACTACACCAATTGAAGGTATGCAGTGACTTGGATATCGATTTCTTAAGACTTAGCCGTACTAACAAAGGGAAAGTTGATGGTCTCCATGAGTGGCGAGCTCCAGACTTTGCGGCAGGCGCACAAAGAGGTCCATGTCCAGGACTCAACGCTTTGGCCAACCATGGTTACATGGATCGATCTGGGGTAGCCAAGGTAAGAACAGGCTGAATCCTCCCTCCTTCCGACTCTGACGACGATCCTCCTAGTTTCTCGATGTTATCGGTAGCATCAACCATGGTGAGTAGACCGCCTCCCGACCTTGTCAGCTATTTTTGACGCGGTACAGTGTATGGGATGGACGTTGGGTTGGCGACAATTCTCTCAGTAATGGGTATGAGTTGTGCCTGGGACATACATAGTCATCAAACTGATTCCCCAACAGGCACCGTTTGGACTGGCAATCCTCTTTCCTTAAGTCCGGGTTTCTCCATTGACGGCACTTCTCCTAGGGTTCAGAACCTTCTCGGTAATCTACTGGGAGTCCTGGGTGAACCTCAAGGTATAGGGAGATCTCACAATTTCATCGAGTCTGATGCTTCCCTCACTCGTGACGATCTATACCTGACCGGGGATGCTTCCACCATGAACATGACCAAGTTTTTGAAGCTTTATAACCGCCCCGGTGTCGGAATCAATGTTATATCCACTGATGATGTGGTAGAACACTCTGTCGAAGGGCTCCAAGAATGCATTGCGACCAATCCATACTGCTGGTATGGCCCATACACTGGAATGGTTGCCCGCAACGCCGGAGTCGCATTTACTGCTCGTCTGCTGTCCAACCACTCTACAGAGAATCCACGTGGCATCTTGAGTAAGTCTGAGCAATTGATAAGATAAGAAAGAGCTAACTTGGAGGTAGCCAAAGATGTGTTTAAGTCTTTTTGGGGAGTGGTTGAGAATAATGATGGAGAACTCGAGTACAAACGCGGCTGGGAGCGCATCCCTGAAAATTGGTACAAGACCCCAGTGGATTACGGGTTGATACAGCTCAACTTGGATTTTATCGATTGGTTTCTCAAATACCCCCAGCTCGCTTCAATTGGAGGGAATACAGGAACTGTAAATTCATTCACTCCATTGGATATTTCGGATCTTTCTGGCGGGTTGCTCAATGTTGAGACATTGTTGGAAGGAAACAACTTGATCTGCTTCGCTTTGCAGGTTGTCAAGACTGTGTCTCCAAACTCCTTGTCGAACCTCTTTCAGACCTTGGCTGTCCCTCTCGGCCTGCTGACTGACGCATTAGGTGATGCTATAACAGGCTTGACATGCCCGCCTTTTGGCGATATTGCGTATGGAGGCCAGCCGCTCTGGGATTCATTGATCAAGGATTTTGCTGGGCCCGCAAAGGCTGCGTCTCCGCTGTGATGACTTAGCATCGGACGATATCAGGACAAGTTTTGACAAGATGCTTGTGGAATCTGCTCAACTACACCGACCCTTGTTAGTGCACTGTCAGAGTCATAATTTCAGGAAAGCAATAATAACGGAGTACTGTAACATTTTTAAGGGAGCCCAATTGGCACCAGAATGCAAGAAAACGTAACTACTGGTCGACGGTGTCGAATACAAGCTTGATGCACTCAGCCCTGGGGATGATGATTTCAATGAAGTCGTATAATAAAGCGGCATGCTAAGCGATTGCCAAGGCTTCACCTTGCAACTATCTGATCTGCAGTAGTCATCGCGTGAAACTTCGAACCTCGCATTTGATTTGCCTGCGCCGCAGACTGCAGGCTGTCCAGTTAGTCAAATCTTCATTTGCACCTTTCCGACAGCCTGTGGTTGTCGATCGGAGATATGCCTGTCGTCAAAGGAGGTGTGTGGACCAATATTGAGGACGAAATCCTCAAGGCCTCTGTGTCGAAATATGGGTTAAATCAGTGGGCTCGAGTTTCATCTCTACTTGCGCGAAAAACTCCCAAACAGTGCAAAGCGAGATGGACAGAATGGCTGGATCCTGGTATTCGGAAGATAGAATGGTCGAAAGAGGAGGATGAGAAACTACTACATCTCGCCAAGTTGATGCCAACACAATGGAGGACAATAGCACCTATCGTCGGCCGCACTGCCACTCAATGTCTCGAACGATACCAGAAACTTCTCGATGAGGCCGAGGCGAGGGAGAGTGATGAACTTGGTCTTGGTGGCCCCGAAGGAGGAGAGACAGCAGCTCCAACAGGCGACCAAGTCAGAAGACTACGACCGGGAGAATTAGATCCAGACCCAGAATCCAAACCTGCGAGGCCTGACACAATTGACCTTGACGAAGATGAGAAAGAGATGCTTAGCGAGGCTCGTGCACGTCTAGCCAATACACAAGGAAAGAAAGCCAAAAGAAAAGCTCGCGAACGACAACTGGAAGAGTCCAGGAGACTCGCTGTGCTTCAGAAACGACGAGAGCTCAAGAATGCAGGCATCAATATTAAAATTACCACTCGGAAACAGGGTGAGATGGATTACAATGCCGACATACCCTTTGAGAAGCAAGCTGCGCCCGGTTTTTACGACACGCTAGATGAGGAGGCGAAGAATGAGCGAGAGCGAGAAATGTTCGACCCTCGGAAGCAGCAACTAGCTAGGAAGCGGCAAGGAGACTCGGAGGACAATGTGGACTCTAAGCGGCAAAAGCAAGACAAGAACAAATCTTCAGCAGCAATGGCGGCAGCAGCCCGCGCTGGGCAAATGCAGCGTATACGAGAGGCAGAGCAACAGAGCAAGCGTCGGGGTTTGAACCTCCCAGCTCCCCAGGTCAGCGAGAGCGAATTGGAGGACATTGTGAAAATGGGCATGGCCGGTGACAGGGCTATTAAGGCTGCTGGTGACGACGACCTGGACGGCCGTGGGCTTGTTTCGAATTATTCTAACATGCTTGGAGCAACACCTATCCGGACGCCACGGGCTCCTGCACAAGAAGACCATATTGCAAATGAGATCAGAAATATCAGGGCATTGACAGAGACACAATCTTCATTATTGGGTGGTGAGAACACACCTTTGCACGAGGGTAGTGGTACTACTGGATTTGACGGGGTTGCTCCGCGCAAGCAGGACATGGTCACGCCAAACCCCATGGCAACTCCTTTTCGGCAGGCCGGACCAGGCTCACAATTGTCTGGGGCTACACCATCAAGGACGCCTCGCGACAATTTGACACTCAATGAGGGAGGCGAGCGTCAACTGGTTGCTCAGACCCCTCGAGATCTACGACTGGCGGAGAATGCAAGTCGATCGGCCCTGAGAGCAAAGCTGGCATCTCTCCCCAAACCAAAGGAAACGGAATGGGAATTGGAAGTCCTGCCTACGGAGCAAGAGGAACTAGCTGAACGAACAAAGATTGAAATGGAAGACCAAGCTGACATCGACCGCCGCGGACGTGAAGCACGTGAAGCAGCCGCAGCGGCTGAGTTTCAACGGCAAACCCAAGTCTACAGGCGTTCTCTGCCACGGCCAATCAAGGTTGACTATAACCAACTAGCAGCAAATGCAGTATCGATTTCAGATCCGATCCAGGCGATGATAGCTTCAGAGGCTGCTCTGCTGATGGCCAATGATGCATTGAAATTCCCTCTGCCAGAATCTCGTGTGACGGGCAAGCCTCCGCAAATTCAATCGTTATCTGATGAACTTTTGCAAATGGCCAAGGAGGAGCTGGTAGCAGAGACGAACGAAGCCAGACGTCAGGAATACACTGAGGCTCTCGACCAGTTGTATACAGCTGAAAACGAACGCGGCGCTCTACCCCTGAGATTTGTCGAAAACACAACATCAGCGGAATATGGTAAAGCTTTCCAAGCCGTACAAAAAACTCTACTGGCGTCGGGCGAAGCTGGCAACAAGCTTGAGAAGAAACTAGCCCTTCATCTTGGCGGGTACCAGGCGCGGCAGAAGACATTGAAGCAGAAGATTGCCGCCGTTTATGAGAAAATTGGAGAATGCAGGGCTGAGTTGGAGGGTTATCGGTCACTACAAAATGGCGAAGAAGGAGGTCTGCTAAGGCGGCTCGAAGGCCTTAGAGACGAAGTCAATTTCATCAGTCGAAGGGAACGACAAGCACAAGAGGACTACCGACTGGCTAGGGATGAACTCAAATCGCTTGAGGTTGCGGTCAACGGGGTCAACGGCCATTCTTGAACTTGGTGTCGCTACATTTCTGGGGCCCTTGCATTACCACCTAGACTTACAATGAATACTGTATGAGCATCCAAGTTATACTGATCATCCTATCATTTTAAAGGATAGCCATAGCACTTAGCATGGTCTATCCCACTGTCAATCAAGACGTGGTGGTCCTGAATGGTGCCAGCCCATATAATAGTGAAGGCAGCGTTGAGCAACAGACACAACCGGATGATGCTCCTTCTCCACCATGAGATGTCGTCTTCCAGCGGCTCGCTCATGCCTGTTCGACTCCCAGATCATGATAGCAAGGGCGGTTCACTTATTCACCTAGACCTACCTTCCAAGCCATACTCCATCCTTGAGGCATGACCATCGCCCCCCCTCTCCCACCCTTCACTACTCACCTCTAAGCATGTGACCAGCTCCCAAAGTAAAGACATAGATATATCATGATTCCGCAAAATCCTCCACAAAACTCCGTACCAAAACCACAACCCTTCGTATCCAACCGCTCGATCTTGGCTTAGCAGGCTGGCAATGTTGGAGAGTGTTGTGTGCGTTGCGATCAGCCTTTGGTTAAGAAAGCAACTTTCCACCTTCCAGCATCCGACCTCTCCTATCACTGCAGCGGACCGGACCCCCTTCAGGGTCGAAACTTGGTAGAAACGTTGGAGAGAGTGCAGACCGTTCATCTGACCCGAGAGTGTCTATGTGCAAAAACCGTATATTGGAGTATGTTTCTTCCTTGAGTTGTGCTTTTTCGAGTGAAAGGGGGGGGGGGATTTGTTGTGTGCATAAACTAGTAGTTAGCAGTGGCAGCAGGAGTAAATGAATGTATGGTAACTGCGTGTTTAGGAGATGAAGCGTGTCTTAACTTCTCTTTCTATGTTGTTTTTAACTAGAGGCTGTCATCCAGATTGCCGTCCTATCCTTCTGTTTCACATACTACGGCATGTTCAACTTACTTAGACCAGCCTTAGCCTCCTAGGGAGTCCAATACTTCACGATAATATATAGAATATATTCTTCATTCAGCTGTTGATGCCGTGTATATCGAAACCTCATCGTAAACCATCTCTATCGATGTCTATCCTCCTACACCTCATAAACTCTTAAAATATCGAAAAGACGATAGCTCCGGAGAGGCTTTTAGTTCTGTTCTAATATAATTATCGACTTAAGAGTCTTACTTACGCTTAGCTACTATCGCCTAACGTTACTCCTACGAACATATCTAAAACTGTCTTTTGAAAGTTAGTAATATATAGTACTCCCTGCCCCTTCCTGACTCATCCACGGCACCCATCCGAACGCCCCCACCTCTCCTCCTCTTTAGGAAACAAGGCTCGCCTGACAGGCGCTACACGCACACCCCCTTGACCCTAAAGGCCTAGGATAATAAATTCCCCAAAAAATTCCAAAAAGAAGAAATCCGACAGCTACAGGATTTGAACCTGTGCGGGCGAACCCAACAGATAACCTCGAGGGGATTCGAGTCTGTCGCCTTAACCACTCGGCCAAACCTGATTTCACACGTTAGCGGACATTGCTCACTTTGCCAAAGCGCCAGGAGGACGTACTGTCTGTGTGCATTTCAAAGACAATTTTGTGGAGGTTAAATCTATACCTCGTTGAAAGGTTTGGCTGCCTATCCATGCTTTCTCCGCATTGCACTCTGTGTGACTGAGCGTGCTTCGTGGTCGCTGGGGTCGATAGGTAAGCTCGTTAGCAACTGGTTAATCGCTTGCATTCGGGCAACTCACGGCATATAAAAACGTACAGTAGAAAGGAGCACTTTCTACACTCTAGGACTTACTACTTGAATTATAATTCGAGTCCTGGAACCTGTCTAGACTCTGGACTAGAACAAGTGCCAGGATGGAACCATATACCATCCCGCATCATTTCTCTCAAGACCATTGTCTCTGCTAACCACGCTTGACTCCGACTCGCCGTAAGATCCGAGAGACAGCGTACCTACAGGTCACGAGGCAAAAACTCATTTTTGATGGAGCAAGCATGTAAGAAGAATTGAATATTGCATTGGAGCACGGGAAGCCGACATCAGGAGCAGTGCGTCCACCCACCCCTGCCATCGTACGAACAGCCCATGCTGAGGAAATTCCAAAGCCGCCGACCTGGCTTGGGGAGTTTGATGTTGGTCAAACTATCTAGACTGCAAATATAGAAGGAGTGCCTCGCAGCTCCGCTTGGTTCTGTCTAAGCCTTAGAGGAACCGTTTCTCTCCTCACAGATAGCCAGCCTTTCCATGAGGATTTCAGAGAGAGATTTAATGAATGGTATATCGGGGGGAGAGTGTATACACACTTTCCCCACAAGGACTAATTGTCAGGATGGGTTAACCTCTCTTGTTGTGGAGTCAATGAGAGATGAAGATTGAGGGTCACTCCTCACCCCCCTTGAACGGAAGCAATCAATGTTCCCGTCTTTCGACGAATTGAAGGGCAAAATGTGCGAAGGAATGCTCAAGAGAGACCAAAATTAGATTCGTCAACAACAGTCAATGTTAACAAAATCACGTAGGCATGTTGAAGATAATCTCCTCAACCGGGCCTCGTGCCAATATTGCCGTTACTGATGTCTCAGACATCATCGTTGTGGGAGTCAAGGTTGACAGTGTTGCTGTGAATTGGGTCCACTGGAACAACAGGGGTTTGCAGGATGACGCAGAAAAAGCTGGTCTGTGAGCGTAAGATAACGCAAGGAACTTCTGTGGTGTACGCGGAGCCAAAATTCATGTTTTCGTTTACTGGCTTTCGGACTGGAAAAGTATGGACTGGAGTTAGAATGAATGCGAACACGATGAATAGTTGTGAAAGTAGTTGGATATTGATGGGGAGTAGACGAAAGAGCAATGTGTCACTGTGTATGGGTTTTATTCCTCGTCACAATCGAGTTGAGCTCCAAGGGGTTGATATCTGACAGAAAGAGCAAAGGGTGGCCCCGTAGTTGAAATGTTGTGAGACAAAGAAGGGAAAAATGATTTGCAGCGTGCAAAAAGGGTCAGTGCTTAGTATTGTTCTCATGATGATTTAATATTGTTATCTCTCCACAAAGCAGAGGTGTTTTATTCTTGTTACGCGACGGTCCCGGATAGTCCAGTGAGTAAATGGTTCCGGGAGGTCTGAATTCGGTCTTTGGTTCTCTGACTGCACGCTTTTTTCTTCTGCCTCAAACTGGTACCGGACGAGCGGGCATTGGCCGAGATTTGTATGTACAACGGGCCGAGTTAGAAACGAGAAAATGGCAACCACTTGCCGCGGAGCTTGATGTTGACCTATGTCCATGTTTAGCTCTCCTATTCCGAGACTTCCTCTATCAGACCTTACCCATGTGACGCCGTCTTTGTCTACTTCCTTCTCAACATGTGTGGAAAAAGAAATAGCACTCATAATGCCATCGCCGAACTTCTCGTTCAAGACAGCTTTATATGCATAACCATAGTTTTGAACAATCTCATACAACCGATAGATCAGTGGTTCCTTTGGGGGCATCTCGACACTCTTTCCTCGGTCGGGGAAGCCACTTAACTGGCTCTCGAGAGTGGCATGATCGATACCGAAGTAATCAGACAGGGTTTTGATATCTTCGGGAGAGGCCTTAGCTTGACCATAGAACAAGGCAGCAACTGCCACTTCGTCTCGGCCGACTACTTTGGAAAGCTCGTCAAAACTGACGCCTTTCTTTGCCTTTGCTTCGAACAGTGTTACAGAGGACTGAGGTAGTTTAGGATGTTGAGATACCTGATCATTTTAGCGAATCTTTTCTGGCTATTCAAGTGGTGACGAATGGATGAATACGTACATCAAGGGTTGCGAGAGACATGTTGGAAGCTAGTCGCTGTAACGTCAATGGAGTGGTCAACCGATAAGCTCGGAGGAGTGGTTGATTCCTGGACCTGAGGATTGTGGGGGAAGAACGAGAGAGAAAACGAAATGGTGCAGACATTTATCGAGCGACCAGCAAGGCAGAACGCACAACACACAACGGCAGTTTATATGTGCAGCCGATCGACCGTGGAGCCAACAGCAATGGAGATGTGCACTTTGTCAGTATTTGTATCCCAATCTTTATTTTCCCTGCGCCTTCTTGCCGCAGGAAGGAGAAAGAGGAGGGGCGCGGCTTCCCCGCATTGCATCGATGACAGCATTTGCGTGCATCGGGAGCAGGGACGACCAGTGGCTCATTTAGTCACCAAGGGCAGTCACCCCTCACGGCCCTCACGGGCGCTCGCCTCAGAGGTCATCATATGGGAGGCTGTTCCGTCTTGCCTACCTATGTCTGTACTCAGACTCAGAACAAGTCGGTTGGGTTGACTTGATATCGGCTCAGCGTTGAGAAGGGCAAGGGTAGACAGAGTCGAGAGCGTCTGGGAGACTACAATCCAATCATTGATGTCACAACAGTGACATGTGAGAGCAGTACCACTAGGATCGACTACTAGCGGGGTGGATCAACGTTGGCCATCATGCAGTGAAAACATGAACATTGAAAAGGAGAATCGGTGTCAGGACTCTATTTAGCTCACAGGACGAAGGAAGGAAGAAGAGCATTAATGCCATAGTCGAGCATGATTCACTCACTTGAAGCTGCTGCACAGGAGACTCGCAGGTCAAAAGGGTGTTAGTGGACTAATTATGTTAGTCACCCATTAGCCCATTCATTAGTGTGCTAAGTTATTCGAACAATCGAGCTAATGGTTGCTTAGCTGGGTGAAGGCCCTCACTAGTGGCGCGGCTAGTAGACTTAGTACTGTGGTGCTGACGGGGTGACTTGCCCCTCCAACGTCTCACGCATCCCGGGAGGCGCAGATTGGGATCCTGTTTACCTGTTCGCTGTAGGCTACTAACCACAACAGAATGCAATATTTATGCACCGATTGCTTGGCAAGGAGTGAACTGCTGGCTTTTCCCAGTCATTTGCACCAGAAATGTGCCATGCTTGTTCAGCTGAAACTCCTTCAATGGTGAAACAAGACCAAGCTCTTTCGTTCAATTTTGGGCTCATTGTCAGACTTGCCACTGTCTTCAACCCCACGGGTTATCTCTATCAAGCTCACTTCTTTCTCCTTGACATGAGCTAGAATATAATCTCGCGTCTGTCCTCGACCTCCATCTAAATCTCCAACCATGTCTTACTATCAGCCACCGAAGCCGGATGACGACGGACTCGCTTATGGCGAAGATTACACCCAATCTAGGGGGCCTTCAGGTACCGGTCAAGGGCAAGGGCAAGGGCAAGGTGACCGTTCTTTAGTCGGGGACACTTTCCGCAAATTCAAGTCCGAGTATGATAAGTTCAAGACTCCGCCTGCTCAGAATTTCGGCTATACTGGATCTTCTTCTTCCAACCAGGGATATTATGGTCAGCAAGGTCCCAACACCGGCTATCCTCAGACTGGTACATCTCCCTATCCAGGAGGTCCTCCAACTCAACCTCCCCAACAGACGCCCGATCTAGCTGGCAAGCTATTAGGGACTCTCCATTCTACCTTTCACAATATTGGGTCTGACGTGGCTAACTTGCTTGGTCCTGACAATCGTCCTCCAAGCCAATACTCCAACAAGCCACCGGGCCAAAGTGGCTATTCTGGTTATTCGAACGCCCCAGCTTCCCCAAACTACCCAGTAGGCAATAGTCGATTTCAAAGCTTCGCGCCGGAACGTCCTGGCAACGATGTCAAATGGTATGTCGATGGTTGTGGATACTTCTGGGCTGTAAGCCAAGCTCTAGAAGCTGCCAGAGAATCGATCTGGATCCTCGATTGGTGGTTGACTCCTGAATTGTATCTCCGCCGTCCTCCCTCTCAAAACGAACAATGGAGACTCGACAGGACTCTGCAGAGAGCGGCTCAGCGTGGCGTCAAGGTCAATATCATTGTTTACAAAGAAGTCACACAAGCACTGAGTAGGTGGATTTCCCCTCCCATTCTCGATTATCTCCACTCTCAACTTCCCCAGTCAACAAATGCTCTTACTTCTTTCCTAGTGGCTCTGGGTCTTAGGTCAACATCAACTTCATTGGAATCTGCAGAGAGAGAATACCCACTAATCCTTCCTCCTTTAGCCCTGTCCTCCGCGCATACTAAACATGAACTTGAGAAACTTTCACCAAATATCGCGGTATTTCGACACCCAGACCATCTTCCCGATGCACAAACTGCACACTCCTCCTTGATATCTTCCTTCCAAAACCTCAAGCTTGACGCGGCCGGTGCCTCTAAGCTTGGTTCAGATGCGTTGAAAGGCATTTACGGGTTGAACGATGATGTCATCCTCTACTGGGCCCATCATGAAAAGTTATGTTTGATTGATGGCAGAATTGCCTTCATGGGTGGGCTTGACCTCTGTTTTGGCAGATGGGATACCAACCAGCATGCCATTGCCGATGCGCACCCGTCGAACATTAATGAGATAGTCTTTCCTGGCCAGGACTTCAATAATGCAAGGTTGGTTCATCTCAGCGTTCACTCGTGCCTACCTACACTATTCTGCGAACCATGCCCCGGTTTGTTTCTCGACATCATAAATTTGTCTAACGTATGTGCTATGTACAGGGTCATGGACTTCAGCGATGTTGCGAATCCCTTCCAGAACAAACTTGACAGAACAAAAAGTTCTAGAATGGGATGGTAGGTTCGCCTAATCATTTCTAGTTATGTTCTGGCTAACAATACCAAGGTCCGACATTGCGTTGAGCTTACAAGGATCTTGTGTTCAAGATCTCCGCCATCACTTCACCGATCGATGGAATTTCATCTATGATGAGAAATACAACGTTCGGAGGGATGTTAGGTACTCTAGGATCAATGACGACTTTACGCATCCGTCATCAGGAATAGGTCAACGACCCCAGTCTCGCCCGCAATCCTCGCAACCCTCTCAACCCAGCGGATCTTTCCCTCCGCCTCCGGGAAGTCAACCCTACGCCCAACCTGCTTGGCAAAGCACGAACAGACCACACACACCAAGTAACCCTGAGCAGTATCAACACCAATCAGCTACAATTCCGGGCCAAATCGGTGGACAACCAAGCCAGTACTTACAAGGAACTCAGCCACAATATGGACAGCCTCCGAGTCCTTCATTCCAACCCACCCAGACACAAAGTCCTGGAAGTCAGATCAACTACAATCAGTCTCAGAACCAGCCTTATCAGCAGAATTTCCCTCCACCACCGCCTGGACCTCCTCCCCAGTCGCACCTTGACCAGACATACTCGGCCCATCAGCCGTCAACTGGCCCCCAGGATCAATACTCTGCATATGGTCAAACACCAACAGGCGCGCCTGGCCAACAATCGCCCGGGCAAACCTACCAACATCCATCTTATCAAGGCACTGGAGAACAAACTAGAGCAATTGATGATTATGGCCGCGGTGACGAAAATGAGCGAGCCCTTCCTAGCGACAGGGGTCTGCGAGGAAGATTTGATCAGTATCGCGAAGAGGGGAGGCGTCTTGGTCAGGAGCTCTCTGCGATTGGAAACGTTGCTGGACAAAAGTTCCAACAGTACCAAGGTAAATATACTGGCACGACGGATCATTACGGACGTCCTCAAAGCCAACCACGAGGTCCAATGTCCTGCCAAATTCTGCGAAGCAGTACAAAGTGGAGCAACGGTACTCCTCTGGAGCACTCCATTCAAAACGCTTACATAGATGTGATCCGAAATAGCCAGCACTTTGTCTACATTGAGAATCAGTTCTTCATCACCGCTACCGGCGATCAGCAAAAACCTGTCAAGAACTTGATCGGCCAGGCCATTGTCGAAAGAATTTTGAGAGCAGCAAGGAATGGTGAGAGGTACAAGATAATCGTTGTCATTCCAGCCGTTCCTGCGTTTGCCGGTGACCTTCGCGAGGATGGCTCCCTCGGAACCCGTGCTATTATGGAATTTCAGTACTTTTCAATCAACCGAGGTGGGCATTCTATCATGGAAAAAATTGCGCAAGCAGGGTACAACCCGTTGGATTACATTCGATTTTACAATCTACGGAGCTATGACCGGATCAATCGCGACAAGACCATGCAACAAGTTGAACAACAGAGCGGCGTCCCTTATGAGGACGCGCGGAAGCAACATGATGATAGAGTTGGTGCCGGATACGGTCCTTACGGAGAGGGAACTGGTGTTTCACAGCCAGGTCAGGCACCCCAATACCAGCAATATCAAGCTGTTGCACAGACCATTCCTGGAAGTGGACGGTGGGATAGTGTATCAGAGTGTTACATGCTCGGAGGACAGGACATTCAATCAGTGCCGTGGGATGGTCCACCTGAGGCCGAGTTGAATTCATTCGTCAGTGAGGAATTATACATTCACTCGAAGGTAAGTATCAATTTCCCCAAACTGTCAAGTTTCTCTAACACAACCAGACATTAATTGCAGATGATCGCATTGTCATATGTGGATCTGCCAATCTCAACGATCGTAGCCAACTTGGTTCTCATGATAGTGAGATAGCGATCTTGATCAATGACCCCACACCACAACAATCCTCCATGGCTGGTCAACCATGGCAAGCAAGCCGTTTCGCAGCATCACTAAGAAGGCAGCTCTTCCGAAAGCATTTGGGTCTGGTCCGCCCGCAGGACATCCGGCGTCCTGATGCGAATTATGAACCTGTCGGTGTTCCCAATGCGTACGATTGGGGTACCCCAGAGGATCATATTGTGTCAGATCCGCTCTCTGATGCATTCCAGAGTCTTTGGAACACTCGAGCAAGGACAAATACACAGGTTTTTCGGAAGGCATTCCGAGCCGTACCAGATGATGAAATTCATTCATGGGACGAGTACAAGGAGTTTTACGAGTACTTCTTCCGGAATGCCGATGCACAGGCCGGGGATAAAGATAAGGGCAGACTGCCACCAAGGGTTGAGTATGGTCACGTGGTGCCTGCAGACTTTCCAGGCGGAGTTCAAGAGCTCAAAGCCCTGCTCAGTCAAGTGAAAGGCACATTGGTTGAGATGCCGCTGTGCTTCTTGCAAAGTAAGTTGTATCCACACTCTAAGGTCGTGCCCAAAACTGACTTGTGTCACAGATGAAGACATCGCCAAAGAAGGGTTGTCATTGAATGCACTGACAGAGGAGCTCTACACTTGAGGGGTATTAGAGACACGCATTCTGCTGATAGTTTTGCTATTGTGATGACCATGTCTCGATGAACAAAGCGCATGAAGACATGGCGAAACATTTTCCTTGTTTATGGCGATTAGTTTGGTCGAGCCCAAGTCCGCTCAGGGTGTCCGACCAAATGTTAATAAGTTATAGTCACATCACCGGAGATCTCCAAGTGATTGAGGGAACCTCGAAGCCGCCCGAAGGCCATGTCATCCAAGACTACTAGATAGGGCTGTTTCCTCGTAGGTACCGGACGTTGGTGCGGAGTGGGCCAAACTTTAATCCGTACCAAAATCTCCAGCCGTCACAACCACATCGCGCCTTCCTCGAACCCCAAAGCTTCACCTTCGAGCCACTTTCCTTTTCCCGTCAACTCAACATCCTTAATCCATCCTCTGACTTCACATATAGTGCCCAAGGTCCCTGTAGAGAGCGAAAAAGGGCCCGGTTGATAAACCTTTGAAACAACCTGGCTCATGTAAGAGAAAGAGTCAGATACTTCTTTCCCAGACCCTCTTCGCCTAGTGCCCCGCCTTGGGAAGTGGCAGGCTGTGAGATCCACTACTGAACCGTTGACTTTCCTTCTCGGACTATACATTGTGTCCCACTGTTCACGTTCCTGCCTCTTGGAGGATTTTCCCTTTTTACCACTTCTCAGCATTCAAGTTTTCTTCTGGTTCTCCCCACTGACTTCATCTCCTTGCCGTTGCAATACGCTTTTGTTGACTTTTCAATCACTGTCCTCCTATTTCGAGTCGGCTCACTCTTTCAAGATGAAGGTTAAATGCACCTATAAGGACTGCTTCAAGCATTTCTCAAGCAGAGATGCCATGATCTCTCACAAGAAGAAAGACCCCGATCATAGTTACTGTGACCGATGCGACGTCGACTGTGAGGATGACATGCTCTATTTCATCCATCAACTAGGAAGCCCAGCACATAGTATGTGAATCTTGTTCATAATCAACATCGGCCTGACTCATTTCTAGACTGCTGTCCAGTATGTGGCACTGAGTACAATAGCGTGGCAGCACGAGACATACACGTCGAACAAGTGAGTTTTGGAAAAGCCATCTAAGTCGCTCTACTTAGTACTGACCATGGGTAGCAACATCGAACAAGTCAAAAACTTGAATGTGCTGGGTGCAAAACTCGCTTCACCTCCGCCGCAGCGCTCATGTTTCACATCGAGAGTGATGAGTGCACAGTGATCAAAATGACTGATTTCCAACTCCAGAGAGCCGAAAAGCAACTTGAAAAGGAAGCATGGGCTCAAGAGACGAACGCTTTTGGGCTGCCCCAGATCAATCCTGGCCAGCAATCTCGAGATCAAGCTAGCGCACAACTTGGTTTCATTGACGACGTACCTGCATCAAGGGTAGACAGATCTCTACAGACAGCTATTGGTGGGCCGATTTCCACAGCATCACTTCAACAGTTCCCACTCGTCGCTCCACCAACTGCGCCTACGGCATCAGACCCTCAAATCCCTGGCAATCAACCAAACAAGGCGACAGCGTCTACTAAAGATTTCCTCAATCCGGATGAACCACTCCCTCTTGTCAACATGACCAACTTACACATCTCTCAGCGCCCAGCATGGGCAAACCATCAGCCAACTGAAGGCGCAACAAGTGCAACTAACAAGATCGAAGGATGGCTAGACTCCATTGGCACTACTGCAAGACCTCCGCAAGAAAACCGCAACGCAGTTGTGTCGATCTATGACCAAAAGCTTACTACCAAAGCTTTGCAGGAGAGCAGTGCCCCCACCTTCAAAGGTATCGACAGTGTCAGCACCAAACCCAGTGGAAAGCATGATCATGTCACCACGCAACCAAGATCAGTCATTTCAACCTCCACAGGTCTTGACGTTGAGCGTTTTTGGGATGTTATGAGACAAGAATACGTTTGTCCAGGGAGCAGATGCAGCCGCCAGTTCAATGATGCACAACAGTTTCGTGATCACCTGCTGTCCTCTTCACATGTGGGAGGCGTCGTGGTATGCCCATCATGCTTGAAAAGATTCAGAACTACCGCCGCATGGGTTTCACATACGGAGTCAGCAAGCAAGAAATGTGACATTCGAAACAGTGCCGACTTCAACATGGTCATGCGGGAGATCACGGGTGGCGTACTAGGAACATATGGGTATATGGAGGATGGAACTGTCAACTTCGTTGCGCCCAAGATCCAAGACTGGTAGCTTGAAGCGGTTTTGAAATCGGTCATCACGCAAGTGGAGGACTTCTACGATACTCTAGTTGGAAGTTTGTATTGCGATTTGATCGTGGTTAGATGGCGATAGAAAGCGGGCGTTTAGGGCCGATACCAATAAGCTTGGTGTGAGATTATAGAGAGCTCAGGCGCTGCAAGTTTTCACGCAAAGCAAGGGAATGGGGCACAGCATCAGAACATGTTACAATTAGACGGGGCAATACAGGAAGCAAATACCTTACTTCTCTGAGTGGAAGAGGCTACATGGATTTTGCTGGTCGAAGCTCTCAATTCGAACAAATAACCCACTTATAGATTTCTCCGCAACGCTCGTAGATTCTATGACGGAAAAAAGAGCTTCCAAAATAAGTATCCGTCATAAGTAGGGCCCCATATCTTCTTTAGTTCCCTTCACAAACGGCTCGGAAACCCATCACGATCGACCTTGGCCAGATAGTCCTTCGAAATATCCTGCACGCGCGTGACCCCGGCCAGACCCATACACAGTTTGAACTCATCCATCAACAACCGCAAACACAACTCGACGCCTTCCTGCCCTTTATACGCCAAGCCCCACAGCACGGGGCGTCCGACCCAGCAGAAATCGGCGCCCAGCGCAATCGCCTTGAAGACATCGGTTCCATGCCGGATGCCGCCGTCGACGTGCACGGGGATTCGCTTCTGGACAGCAGCCACGACCTCCGGCAAGGCGTCCAGGGTCGCGAGTGCGCCGTCGAGTTGCCTGCCGCCGTGGTTGGACACGATGATGCCGTCGACGTGGTGCTGCAGGGCCAGGTGCGCGTCTTCGGCGGTCGCGATCCCCTTCACCCAGACTTGCATCGGTGACGCGACGGACTTGAGCCATGGGATGGACGACTCCCAGGAGAGGGTCGGGTTGGGTGCGTGGCTGTGGAATGTTATCGGGCCGGCGGGGTGGACACGGCGGGCGCCGTCTTGGTAGCCCGGGGAGGAGCGGCGGCGGGGGGGTTTTCGGTTCTGGTTTGACTGTTTGAATGAGGATGGGGATGATGATGCTTCGTCCTCCACGGCGTCTTCGTCATCTCCGGCCGGGAAGTTCGCGATTTTCAAATGACTCGGCAGGGCGAACTGATTCCTGATCTCGAGATTCCTGCGGCCCAGCATGGGCGTATCGACCGTGAGCATCACCGCCTTGTACCCGGCCTTCTTAGCGCGCTCGATCAGCCGGCGGCTTTTCTCTTTTTCCTCGAATAGATACAGCTGCAGCACGTTCGGGATCTCGCCGCTGGCCTCGCGCACGTCTTCGAGTGTGCTCGTCGAGAAACTGCTCAGGCCCATCGCAATCCCCTTGGCCCGGCACGCTCGCGCTGTCGCTATCTCGCCGTCGGAGTGCGCCAGGCATTGCATCGCCGCGGGCGCGACACCCAAGGGCATCGCGTTGCGGTGGCCGAAGATGGGCACGGTGGTCTCTATGCGTGAGATGTCGCGCAGCACGCGCGGCCGGATCCGGTACCGTCTGTAGGCCGACTCGTTCTCGTGGAGTGTGCTCCCGCCGTCGGCCCCTTCGTTGTAGTAGTCCCGTGTTTGCTTGTCCATGCGGTCCCGTGCGACGCGCTGGAGTTCGGAGATCGTGAGGCAGTTTAGGTCATGCGGCGCCGTCGCCGGTGGCCCTTGCTTGGAGGATGCCATGTTGTTGAGATGTGACTGTGGAGATAGAGCTATCTACACTGAGCTGAGATCCGGCTGTGGTGAGGCTAGCAGTGTTGATTGTTTTTCTTGGGCTTCCAATCGTTGCCAATATACGTCTTTATATGTGTCAAGGACCATGTCGTCGTGATCCTCTATCCATGTATATGATCCGATTCTCGCGGCAAGAACAGCGGCCCCTGGCTATTCTATTCACACAAATCACGCACGAGTATACCTCGACTTCTCGGCCATAGGCTATGGGCCCAGGCCTTCTCACGCCCAAACTTTAAAAGGACTCGCCGGAAAGCTCAGCGGCAAAGCCCAGTCTGGTGGAACTTGTTTAAACAAGTCTGTAGTGTCCAGCGGTATCGGACGGACTTCTAGACCAAAGCCAAGAGGGGAAGAAACGCGAGGAAAGATGAAAGGTCGATTCGACCGTGAGAAGTCGAGCGATGGATGTCTTTCTGCTTTACTAGGCGGTGGATGAGTCCAAATTTACCTTGGTCCGTCTGAATGACAATGTCATGTACTAAGACTGACACTTTTAGGGAGGGAAGCTCGTCCCCGCCTCCGCTCGCAATCATGGTCCATGACGCTGATCCAGGTCGGTGCAGTCTTGTTATGGGTCACTAGGGCAGCTCGAGACGCGGGAATCGGAGGAAGAAAATGTGAGGAGGGAATGACGTCGCTTGGCTATGGTGAGAGCTTTCCCCACTAATGCTGCTTATAGTTAGTGTAGGTTCTTAGTCCGTACTAAATTATGCATTTTGGCGTCGAAAATGGAATGGTTTGGGTTAACGAGGTTGATCAAAGTACTTGATTAGTCCAGACCCGGAGGACTAGGTGCCTATTAGGTACTTAGGTAGCTAGTTAGGTGCTTAATTAGTAGTAAGTGTACTCGTACAAGTATCCAAATAGATTGTGGGGTTTGGATATGGAGTACCGACTTGCGGCTTTCGCGTTTTAGCGAGATGACACGTACCTAGGTATTTTGGTGTTTACCAACCAACGACTCGATTTGTGAATTGTTGTCTGATTAACCATTGTTTTTTATATATCGATAATGCAGTCGTCGTGATGGGAATTCTGCAGCTCCTGCGGTGAACAAGTCAAACTGTCGCGGCCCGGTGGACATCGGTATCCCACGCAAGCCATCATTCTGGCATTGTCTGTACATCCGTCTCACCATCATGAATGGTTTGTTGGCCACCATGCAAGATCTCCTGTCGAACTCCAAGCATACAAGATGGATTGGTCCGCTGATGATCCTGGGAGAGGCTATGCTCTGCAGTCTCATCATTTGGAAAGTCTCGTGTATGCTCCCCCTTGTTCTTCTCTGCTCCAAGGCCAATCTCTCAGATCCTCGTTCTGACGCCTTGGCGGTGAAACTCCCATACAGACACGGAAATCGACTGGAGCACCTACATGGTGCAGATCCAACTCTTCCTCGACGGCGAACGACAGTACACCAAGATTACGGGTCCCACGGGTCCCCTCGTCTACCCAGCCCTGCACGTATACATCTACACTGCGCTCTACCACCTTACCGACGAGGGCACCAATATCCTGCGCGCCCAGACCATCTTTGCCGGCCTGTATCTCGTGACGCTGACGGTGGTGCTTGCCTGTTACAGGCGGGTCGGCGCCCCGCCGTGGTTGTTGGTGCCGCTGGCGTTGAGTAAGAGACTGCATTCTATATACGTGCTGAGGCTGTTCAATGATTGCTGGGCCGTGGTAGGCCTGTGGCTCGCTATCTACCTCCTGCAAAGGCGGAAGTGGGCTGCCGGAGCCTTAGTCTGGGGCCTGGGGTTGGGAGTTAAGATGACGCTTCTCCTCGCTGCGCCGGGCGTTGGGGTTGTCCTCCTCCAGGGCGCCGGACTTGCCGGTGCAGTCTGGTCTGGCTCATCGGTTGTCCTGTCTCAACTTGTTTTGGCAGCGCCTTTCTTGACGAGAGACACTGGTCTGGACTACTTTCTACGAGCGTTTGATTTCGGACGACAGTTTCTCTTCAAATGGACGGTCAATTGGCGATTTGTCGGGGAGGACACATTTCTCTCTAAAGGTTTTGCTATTGGTCTGTTGGTGGTGCACCTCGCCCTGCTGCTCTCTTTCTTCCAGACGAAGTGGGTTCGTCCCACTGCTTCGAGCTTGGGGGACTTTGTGACTAAGCACTTCAGCCCTCTCAATGAGGGCGAGCAGACCAAAATCTCCCAGAAGATCACGCCCACGTTTGTCATGGACACTCTGTTGGGGAGTCTGGTGATTGGTCTTCTGTGTGCCAGGAGTCTGCATTATCAATTCTATGCATATCTCGGCTGGGCCACTCCATATCTTCTCTGGAGGGCGGGAGGCGGCCCCGTCTGGGTGCTGCTCAATTGGGCAATTCAGGAATATTCTTGGCTGGTGTTCCCAAGCACAGACATGAGTTCTGGCTTCGTGGTTATGGAGCTTGCTGTGCAGGTTATGTGTGCTCTTATTGCTCCTCCTGTTGACCATATTCGGCCCCCAGTGAAGAGGAGCGTCAAAGCTGGTTGAGGTCAGCATCGACGATGTCGTTTCATCCTTCATCCTCTTCACTGTCTGATGGAGGCATCTTTCCCACAACAGACTCCTCCTCATCACTATCTACAGGAGCACGCCTCTTGACGAACTCTGCTGGCCAATATGATTCCTTTCTCCACGCTTTTTCATCTCGGACCACGTTCACGATCTCCCCTTGGATCTTGTTGTCGCGCCCTGAGGTTTTAGAGGTGTCGACGAGAACATAGCCACCGCGTTTGATCCAGACAGTGGCACGAAATTTAGCATCGAGTTCGACGAGGAGGGTTTCTTCGCTTGAGGGAAGCTGCACGGTGTAGAGGTCCTTGCCATTGGCTTTCACTACACGAGCAATGGTCTCGGTTTGGAGAAGGGTGCCCGGCGGGGTCAGTGTCTCTTCGACAGTATTACGAAGCTTTCGGCGAGACATGGCGCATGAGTCAACCAAGCGCAGGGTGAGGGTGAGTCAACTGTACTCCTAGGTCAGGGCGACGAAAGTCGTACGGCGGACCTGCATATGGAAATCATGCGTGAATTTGCAACCGAAATTCTTGTGCGGGGAACCCTTTCGCAAAGAGGAAGGCTAACCGCCTAACATGTGATATCGGCAGCAGATCTTCCGAAGTTCTTATCTCGAATTCGCCCATTTCACCGCCCATCCTTACTGCACCAGTGCAGAAAACGTGATGGATCCTCATTTAGGCAGATATTCGACCCCCATATGGTTTCTAAACCGCGGCGAACCATTTCCCTTTTCTCGAGCTCTGGGCATATCAACCCGAAAGGCTAGCCTACATGCTCAACGCCTGACTAAGCATATCGCTTTTTGAAAGGCGCTTTGGCGGAGAATGATGGGGCATTTCAGTGGATGTTGGTCATGGTGAAAACCAAGTCCATAGACCCTTCAACCTCTCCTCTCACTTTCTCTGTTCTCTTTTTGTTTCTCGTGTCCTTCGGTCCATACATTTGGTCATTCATGCAAAGCCTACAGCAATAGATAGAAGTGTTGTCACACACCAAGCCCCATACACCAAGATGTCTGCCCCGATTCTTGGGGCATTCATTACCCACGAAAGCAAGCCTTCTCTGCCGGTTTCAGGCTTGGCCCCTGTCCTGCATCGTGATCAGGTTTCTACCGGTCAACCGACCGAGTATGAATTGAACGAATTGAGGTGGGGTGAACGTCTGAATGGACCAAAGACGACTCCTGAGACGCCCACCACGATTACGCAATCCTTCTCCCAGTCTCAGGAGGAGCTAGAATCAAACTTCGGCACGTCGCAAAACCCAGACCAGGCTATCGATGCTTTCATTCCGTCGGCATCTAACCCTCCTCGAAACCGATGGAGATTGGCCGCCGCAGGAGTCATGTTTTTACTGATGGGCATTAATGATGCGGCCACAGGCGCTCTTATCCCCTATCTTGAGAAGGAATATGACATTAGCTATGGCGTGGTTTCCTTGATTTTTATCACCAATGCCATCGGCTTTATCTCCATCGTGCCTGTATGTCAGATGATTGAGGGCAAAATTGGGCGAGCACTCTCTTGCGTTGTCGCTGCCTGTCTTATGAGCATCGGCTACATCGCCCTTGTCTGTGCGCCCCCATTCCCTGTTGTGGTGTTGAGCTTCTTCTTCTTGGGCTCGGGTATGGGTTTCTTCTTGGCTATGACCAACGCATTCATGGTCAACCTGATGCGAGGCACCGTGATCTTAGGCTCCATGCATGGGTTGTACGGAGTAAGTCCTCTCTGATCTCACTCACCTTTACGATGTGATTGACTATTCTAGGTTGGTGGTACTGTTTCCCCTCTGATGGCGACCGCCATTGTGACCAGGGGCATTCGTTGGTCGTACTTCTACTTCGTTCCCTTGTCTCTTGCGCTAGCCTCCATCATATTCATGGGCTGGTCCTATAAGGGATTCGAAAGTGACGCCGCATTTCCGTTGCTTACGGAGCTTGAACAGACTGCATCACGTCAGGCTGCATCTCCGGGTGAACCTACAAAATCTCAATTACTGCGGCGGGCCCTCGGGCAGAGGACTACCCTCCTTGGCGCTGCTTTCATATTGTATGATCTTTCATGCTAATTCAAAAGCTATGATAGCTAACCGTCCCACAGCTTCTACCAGGGCGCCGAAGTTGCCATCTCAGGCTGGGTCATCTCCTACCTCATCACTTATCGGAATGGCGATCCATCTCAAGCAGGTCATATAGGATCAGGATTTTGGTTAGGGATAACCGTGGGCAGGTTTGTCTTGACACATTTCGCTCATAAGTTGGGCGAGAAACGTGCGGTGGTGGGCCTTACTATTGGGGCAGCAGGCTTTCAACTCTTGGTGTGGTTGGTACCGAACATTATTGGTAACGCCGTCGCAGAATCACTCGTCGGTCTCTTCCTTGGGCCAGTCTATCCATGTGCGACAGCGGTGTTTTCGAAACTATTGCCTAGAAACATCCAGGTCACTGCTCTCTCGGTGGTTGGAGGTATGGGCTCGTCAGGAGGTGCATTGGTACCATTTATCACTGGTATGTTGGCACAGCGTCTAGGCACTGTGGTTCTTCACCCAATCGTCCTGATTTCACTCGCATCGATGTTGGTGACATGGTTCCTCCTGCCACGGATTGGAAAGCGCTCCGAGTAAGCGGCACTAGATTTGGTTCATGGAATGTTTTCTGTCATGGTCTTCCGCAGAAGATCCAAGTACATATCAATCAAGATAAAGGAAGTTGTACGTCTCAATCCTGCAACGTCGACAATTCAGTAACTGACTAAGATTAATGTAGTAACTATCAAAATGCAGCGCGTATGCCTCGGCATCAGGTTGAAATTCCGAGGACATCACAATCAACATGTGCCAATCACGACTATTGCGGACAGTGATAATATTCATCGCTCCATGCCACACTCGGCACTTTATGGAGATATGGAGATTCACATGCAGGACCCCAGACACATCAACCCTCGATGCGCCGTGGCTTCCGAATGTCGTGTCTTTGACAGCCCTTTGTACCTACACGTATTTCACCACCAGACCATCTACCTTCCACCTGTCGCTTTACCTGCTACCTTTTCGATGACACAAACAAGCACTCTGTGATACATATTCGAACGTCTCGTACACCCTACCCCTGTCCTGTCACCCTCCTTTTAAGTTCACCCGACGACTCCAATGCAATGGACAAGGGCAAATTCGCAGCACAGCATATTCGGCCTCTCCGCAAGCGCTTTTCTCAATGGACAGGTGAAATCATCAATCAATGGCGAGAGCCACTGACACCATCTGATACGCCATCTTCCAATGAGCCTCACAATCAAGGTTTCACGAATCCAATTGCCACGAGTTCGGGATACTCTCCTGCGACTGCCGCCTCACATCCTGCCATGGACACGGACCTTCTCCGATTGCGCTTCAAAGTAAGTGACCTTTTCCTGAATCTCCTGCCCTCATCATAGATATCAGAGGAGTTCAGAATATGTGGTCCGCTATTACCTTGTGGACTGCTTCGGCACTGGGCTTCTGTCGATGGCTACTACACAAGTCACTCCTTGACTCGATCGCATCTCCGGAAACTGCTTTCAAACCTCCCACCCTTTCGTTTGATGTGAGCTGCCACCAACTGAAGGGTAGGGGGAAGCCTGGATCAAGATGTGTGCCTATAAGAACCACAACAGACGGCGAAAGCTCCTTCTACCTGCTCAGAGCCTAGAGGGCACCATGACTCTACTTCACGTCCTCCTTCCCATATACTCATGGATTCCATATCTATTCTCATTATACCTATTTTATCTTGCCTAACTGTTCTTGTCCAGGCCCTACCAGCATCAAATTATCCAGCAGAGAGCGATCAAGACACACGGGTACCAAAGGAATACCCACCGAACATAAATGTCTCTTGCGTCGAGTTTCTAGGCAACGTCCGTAGCTCTACCACCTACGTGAAAAGAGATCTGGGTTTTCAGGGTCGGCTAGGTCGCCATATCCTGCTCAGTTACGGTGACACGTTGTATAGTGACGCAGACTACTCGGACACATGGCGCGGAATGACAAGCGACTCTATTGCCCTTGCAACTCACGACCCTCTGATGGTGGTTGATCCCACTCTCAACGACGATGGATATCCGCCGCAGTTCTGCCCATTGATGAATGATCTTAACGAGGATCCCGCTGAATGCGCTTTGGGCATCACCAATGTTGTCGAGACAAGTCCAGGTCAAGGCGTCCTTTACTTCCTCCTGAATCATCGCCCAGATGGGAATAATACTCTAGTGGGAGCTGGTGTTGCCACCGTGCATCTAAAGCATCATACATACCCACCAAGCCCATCAATCAAAAGGCTGGGGCAGTACTGGTGGGATGCTACGACAGAGCCATGGTATGGCGACATATGTGCCCTTCACTGGAAGGGTCATGTGTATGCCTATGGACATGGTGGTGCTGACAACCCTTGGGTGTATCTTGCTCGGGTACGACACGACGAGGCATCTCTTCTCGAATGTTACGAGTATTGGAACGGTCTTGTCTGGCAGAAAGAACGATTGAACGCGACCTCCCTAGGTGAGGTCGAGAGCGTCTTCTGGCAAATCAACCAGGGCCAAGTCGTATGGTCGAATTATTTTGGCTGTTTGATGTTCATCTACTGTGGTAAGTCTCAATGTGCCACTTGCTCAACGAGAAAGGATTGAAGGTGTATGGATCTTCCAATACTAATACCATACCTTCATCAGACAATTGGATGAATTCTAAAGTTCTCATGAAGACTTCGCAAAAGCCAGAGGGCCCGTGGTCTGAGCCAACGACTCTTTATCAGGCTACGCCTTTGCAAGAGGGAAGCTCTATCTATGCCGCAGTTCCTCACCCATATTTTGACGAATCTGGCAAGACATTGGTGGTCACCTTTACGAATCATCCAAACACGGTGCAGGCTATCAGGATAGCCTTCGATTAGCGAGAGAATTGGATTTTTGAGTTCAAGGAACGCCTGAAGTCGGTAAGTAGCACAAGCAAGGAATCATTTCATTTACCGTCTGCTGTTTAGCCAAAGGGTTATGGTTGCTGGGTCACGAGCTCATCACTTGAATCAATATGTGACGTCATGTCATACATTCAACACAGCAATGATTGAGTTTTGGCTGAAGAGAACGTGTTCACACATGGAATGGATCCAATAGACGCAGAGGGTTGAGCCTGCACGTACTCGGTACTAATATCCCCATGCACACTTCGATACAAAGTTGGTGGCAATGATGAACCTTGTCACATCCCCCCTCCAGGCTGCATAGAATGCCCACCCAATGCAACGTTGGCGCATGGCGTCGGAGAAACTCAAATTGGATCTCCATCGAACGATCGCGAGGGAAGTGTATTCAATGCCGACGCCTCGCCCATTCGAATATTGTACAACAGACCTGATCAATTTCATCTCATTGATTGAATGCTGAAACCCGACTGAAGCTCACGCAGCACCCTTCCCCGACTGAGTAGGTTTCGCCGATCAGCCTTGCGTACAAGAAACCCCGCTTGCGTCAATGGCTGGGTACCAAGACTGCCCTTGGCAAGTGGAGGAAAATCTTGGCCGGCTATGCCTAGACATTATGATTCCAATCATTTGATCCGTTAACAGCGATCAAGAGGCCGCTTTGATTCGCAGTATCCACAGAGTCATGTTTCCAACAATCGAAGGCAAGTCTTGCCTTTTTAGGCGCTGCCTCTCATTGCCCAGTTGATGGAGTGCCCAGAGCCTTGCGGTCATCCTCTCAACTCCACAAAGTACTTCCCAAATCACCCTTGATCGTATGACGATATCATTCTGAATCCTCTCCCCACTATTTGGCTGCTTCAGAAAACTGGGTTTTCCCACTCGTGTATCGAAAATGTGTGGGCAAATAAGAACGCTGATGGTCCCCTCTTCGCCATTCTTTTTCCACCTCCCCCCAGAATTGTCATTTGAGACTTTGAGAAGGAAAAGTCTGTAGAAATGGCCGTCCGAGTAAAGAAACCCGATGATGAGCCTGGCGCGGCCTGGGTGGCCATTGTGATTGGTATCTTCGTTGCGTATGTACTTCTCCTTCAACTTTTGCGTATCATATTAACGGTTCCAGCTTTGGTGGATTACTGTTCGGATATGACACAGGCACAATTTCTGGTGCGTTTATCAAGCGTTATGGTTAATATAGCCATGTGTGATTAGTCTGACTCCCCATTCTCAGGCATCCTGGAGATGCCCTACTGGAAGGAGACATTTTCCACAGGATATATCGACGCCAATGGAGAGCCAGGCATCAGCTCCGGCGAGGAATCACTCATCGTCTCGATTCTCTCTCTGGGAACCTTTCTCGGTGCGCTCACGGCTGCTCCGACGGCGGATTTCTTTGGACGAAGAATGGGTTTGATTCTCTCAACTGCATTTGTCTTCAATCTCGGAGTCATTTTGCAAACTGCTGCAACCAGTCAGCCGTTGTTTATTGCCGGTCGATTCTTTGCCGGCTACGGCGTTGGATTGATCTCAGCTATGAGTAAGACCCCAGACAATCCACTTCATCATTCCATCTAGCTCACGCCGCCACTCTCACAGTCCCTCTTTACCAGTCAGAAACGGCGCCGAAATGGATTCGAGGGACAATCGTTGGAAGCTACCAGCTCGCAATCACAGTTGGCCTCTTCTTAGCTGCAATCGTCAATAATAGCACCGGTCAACGACCTGATTCGGGCTCTTATCGAATCCCTGTCGCCCTGCAATTTGCCTGGGCTATCATTCTGGTCGGAGGTCTTCTTGTTCTGCCCGAGACCCCTCGCTTCCACATCAAAAAGGGCAATTACGAAAAAGCCATCAAAGCACTTTCGAAGCTTCGCCGACTTCCCCAGGATCACCCTGGTCTAGTCGAAGAACTCGCAGAAGTGCGTGCCAACCATGAGTACGAGATGTCATTGGGCAAGGGCAGCTATGCAGACCTATTGAAGGGGACAATTGCTAAACGACTCATCACCGGTTGTTTACTTCAGGCACTCCAACAGCTTTCCGGCGTAAGGCTGATTGACATTTATTCAAAGAGCTTTTTTCTGACTTGGAAAAATAGGTAAATTTTATTTTTTATTACGGAACCGCCTATTTCACTCGCGCAGGCTTCCAGAATCCTTTCATCATCCAGGTTATCACCAACACTGTCAACGTGGTATGTTTAACATTTTCCTCATTTTCAATTCGCCGATTCTTCTTTCCCCCTGTTTTTGCATCCAGCTAATGTGCCGTTTAACATCCAGGTCAGTACTTTCCCTGGACTCTATCTAGTTGAGAGACTTGGACGACGTAATTTGCTTCTATGGGGTTCAGCTGGAATGTGTGTCTGCCAATATATCGTGGCCATCACCGGTACCGTGGCGGGTACGGAAGACTTGGCAGCTCAACGAACGGCTATCGCATTCGTCTGCATCTACATCTACCACTTCGCATCCAGCTGGGGTCCAGTCGCCTGGGTGGTGACAGGAGAACTCTTTCCGCTGAAAATCAGAGCTCGAGCTCTAAGCATCACAACAGCTACGAATTGGCTGCTCAACTTTGCGATTGCTTATTCGACACCGTACCTCGTGGACGTGGAGCACGCAAACCTACAGTCCAAAGTATTTTTCATCTGGGGAACGTTTTGCGGCATCGGATTTGCTTTTGTCTGGTTCATGATCTACGAGACCAAGGGCCTTACGCTTGAGCAGGTTGACGAGCTCTATGAGATGGTTGACAAGGCCTGGCAGAGCAAGAAGTTCCGCCCCAAGGTTAGCTTCCGTGATGCCAGCACCGCCGAACAAGGCGGCGATGGAGCAAGGAAAATGAGCATCCGCCAGATGAGTGTCGCCCAGGAGCAGCGCCGAGCCTCTCAGGCAAACAGCGAGACTTTGAATGAGAAGAACACGGCGTGATCAATGACAGATCATGCTAATACTACACCTAGGGACCCGAGTACCTACAATGTACATTGTACCTATTCTATACATAAAGTCCGACTATGTATCCTGGGAGAGAGATTGTGTGTGAGTGGAGTGGAAACTGCTTGAACCTACGTGGGAAATACATTTATTTGCCCTGTTCGTACGTAGTACCTGTCGCGTCCATAACCTGCCTTTTACAGTACTATTGTCATTCTTATTTGTCACCCGTAGCACTGCCTCTGCCTCTCTTCACTCAGGGTCAAGGTTTACACTGCAGATGTCATAATAACTTGAGCCTCTCACATTGTCAACGCGATAAGTGTACCCAACTTGAGTTAGGTAATCAAGAGATCATCGAGCACCGTGGCAATTTTTAATGAGATGCCTCTGCGGGGTCCAGGTTCATATATCCATTCGGCAGGCACCATTTTTAACCACCCAGGTGGATAAACGGCGCCCACTTCCAAACAGCCGTGCAATTATCTTGCCTATTCCGGAAATCCATCACGGCATAGTGAAGTGCGCGTGACACGGGCAATCTTAACGACTTGCTGTCCTTAAGCAATTCTTCGTAGAACTTGCCTGCAATGGCAACAGCGGCGGCATCATCTGCACCCCACAGTGTCCCTATAACGTGTCGGAATCCACTGAGCTGAAAAGCGCTGGCGAGATGGATACTCTCGTCAACGAGATCTTCGACTTTCAGCTCAGCGGTCGAACAGGCCGAGAGGTATGCAATTTCGGTGTCATCACGACTGATTGTGTCCAAATCGCCGAGGGCGAGGCGCTCTTGCTTCTCCCTCCCAAGGAGGAGAGCACTTTTAGCGGGCTCTACAGTGTCTGCAATGCCGTGACAAGCAAAGTGGACTATTGTGCAAGTCTCGAATTCGGAAAGGACTTCTTCTTTGGTAGGCCGCTCCAAAACCTTCGTTGACGCCCACGAGCCGACGTGTTTCTTGATGGCCGCGACCTCCTCCGCCACGTTGAGCGAAACCCCGTGGCTTGGTGTGCTAGGCATTGAAACAACAAGGACTTTTGGCTCTACTTCTCTGCTCAATGTTTGGGGCTTGTTTCTGATGAACTGAAGCATTTTCAAGGTCGTGACATATGATGAGGCGACGTGACTCAGTGTGTTCTCCGTGGATCCTTTCGAATGATCACCAGCTGCATGAATCGGTACCTGTGCCATTATCCCACCCCCAACCCACCAGATGTGTGGTAACTTTTCGCCGGGGCCTACTGGACCCACAAGCCCCAATTTTGAGAGGACTGGCTTCACTATGACTTTCCACAGGTCTGACAGTTCAGTTGCCACATCTGGAATAAGAGGCTTTTGCTTTTTGCCTCCGAGAGAAAGAGATGCATCCCGTCGGGCCAAGTTTCCTCTTGAAGCACAAGTATCTATACATCGCCGAAGATTTTCTTTCTTCAGGTCAGGGAGACATAAGACCCGGATTTCATCTGCAGTTATCAAGAAAGCTTCACTGCTGACATCACTGACATTAAAGGAGACGAGAGGCCCGTCTCGTGCCAAGTCCAAGATCTCTTTCTCTGAGGGAGGTAGAAGGAAATTTTCGTTTCCCGCACATGCCCGTATATCATTTTGAATATCAGACAGGCTCTTGAACAGCCGTTCACGCTGAAGATCGTGTGATGTGTAGTCTTTCGCTGAGATATCCAGCAAAGCAGAGTTTCGAAATGCATTCGCGGCTATGATTTGCTGCCTTGTCCTGAGATATTGGGCCTGCTTGTCATTGCCCTTGTCCTTTAGAGAGGACAGATCGGCTCTAAAGTCCATCATTAGGCTCGAGATTACTCCTCTGCTCTGCTCGAGCGCTTGAAATGCTTGGGCTGGAGTCCTTCCAGCTTTCAGGAAGACGGAGCCTGTGAGAGATGCGAGCCCGAAGAACTGTCGAAGGGTGTGTTGCAGATCGTCTCGAGCACTTGATGGCGGTGTGACCTCAGGGAGAATGTTTAATATCTGGTCCAGTAGTTGAGCTGCCTTGAGCCAGTTCCTCTCCGCGACCAGATGGTATACAGCTGATTGTCCGGCACGTATGCGAGTTAGTGGAAGTCCGCTTGACGTACCAAGACAAGCTTCATACGACGATATCGCATTCTGCAAGTCTCCTTCCTTTTTTCGACCATTCAACTCGTATCTATCTTCGAATAAGCTCCCCAGATTACTTTGATATGTCGAAAGATCCAGAGTATTGTTAGGCGTCTTACTAATGGCTTCTTGGGAATATTCAATGGCTTTATCCAGGTCGCTTGGCCTTCCGATGCATCGGTAGGCATCCCCAAAAAGAAGCCCCAAATTGTTCACGCGTCCTGCATAATCCCAATCATCCTCCTTGGTGGCTTTGACCGCAATCAAGGTGACTTCAATGGCTTCCTCAAGAATAGGTGATTTGGCTGCCTGGGTTGGACATTTCAGAGACTTTTGCCGGAGGAGAACGCCAAGGTTGTTCAAGCGCCTCCAACGGTATGGATGATCATCCTGCGTCATATCTATAGCTTCCCGTGCGTGGGTAATAGCACATTCAATGTCCTTTGTTTGTGAGTCTCTCAGATAGCGCTCGCCCAGTATATGGGCTAAATTGCTCAGATATATCGCACGTTCTGGCTGATTCCCAGCTGTTAAATCAACCGCCTTCTGTGCGAATTTCAGCGCTTGTTCTAGATCGGTCTTTCCATTAATTTTCTGGTATCGGTCTCGGAGCAGACTCGCAAGGTTGTTCAAACGGATCGCATAGCTTGGGTCGTCGTCTGAGGTCAATTCCATCACTTTTTGATAGTTCTCGATCGCCAAATCGAGGTCAAGCGGCTCACCAGAGTGGAGACATCGATCTCCATATAGACTTGCTAAATCGGCCAAGAATTTTGCTTTATCCGGATCGTTGTCGGATACAGTGTTAACCGCATTCTTGGTGTGTTCGATGGCTTCATCAATATCAGCCCCTCCTAATTTCTGGAATCGATCCCCTAGAACGGTTCCGAGACTGTTGGAGACTCTTGCTGGAATCTGTTCCTGTTCCGAATAGGAGTTCACGACTTCTTTGATGAAATTTATGGCTTCATTAATGTCCGTCGACTCATCAGTGACTTGAAACTTTTCGTGGTAGTACAATCCAACATTATTCAGGAACGTCCGATGATTGTGAGAGTCTTGGGTATCATCAGCGGCTTTCTTTGCGTGGCTAATTGCAGCCTCAATGTCAGCCAGGTCATCAGTCATGAGGAATTTGTCTCTAAAGAGACTCCCTAAGAAACTGAAGCGTTTCGGCCTCATCCGATCTCCCTCAGGAGTGATGTTGCTGCCCTTTTCTATGGCTTCGATAGCTTCTCGAAGGTCATTCTGGTTTTCCGTGTGTCTAAACCGGTTTCTATATAGAATTCCCAGTTGATCCAGGAGCTCTAAGCAGTCCAGGTCATCTTCTGAAGCCGCATCAATCTTCTGTCGCGTGGCCCTAATATCCTCTTCCATTCTCTCCATCCTTTCAAGGCAATTTCAGATCTATATGACAGATAGAGTAGCTTCATATGCCAGAAAGACAGGGAACTTTACTTTGAAACTAGGTTGGAACCTAGGGTCAAGAACGCTCGTATTTGGTTCTGAGCTAATCGATCAACGCAAACGACACTGCAAAGGAGAGTACAGGTGAATTTTCAGCCTCATGCTGACGTGGCTCTAATTCCATGGGGCATTCTTGCAGCCCTTTCATGCAGCCGCGCGATTTCAGCACCAGCCAAGCAGGCGTGGCTTACACCCCACCAGCGGCTAAGTTAAGGGTTCTACAGCTCTTGTTGATGGGTGCAGGGATCTTCTCTACTGTATCACTAGTCACCAACCATGGAGCGCATTGGCAGCGAGTGGGAAATGGTCATGAGGCTGGGAGCTGATGGCTGCCTAATAATCCGGTCCCGGGAATAGCTCAATGACAACAAGGATTGTAGCGGCAAGAGTTGATTTAATTCGCATGGTATGCTGAATCAACTTCATTGCGCAAATGTTGGAGACGCGCAGCTAGGCCTGTGGCCATCTGGAGACCTACTTGCTATGAAATAAATCCGCTGGCGATTCTCAAGTGCCGCCCAATGCCACTCGAACAGACCACTCCTTCACCATCGCCAACAGAGTCTGTCATATTGTAACCTACGTCTCCCAAGATGACGGATACTGAGTCCAAGACCTGGGCTATACTGATTGGGATTAATTTCTACCCTGGAAACAAATCCCTGAAGGGATGCGTTCACGACGTCACATCCATCGCGGCGTTTCTGACCGACAGTGCCCCGCCGATGGACATCAAAGTCTTCACGGCGAGCCAGCCTTCCGACCCTTCTGCCAACGGTCCACCCGAAGAATCTGATTTGCTACCCACATACGATAATATCACACGCGAGCTAAGGAGTATAAATTCTCAAGCAAGAGCCGGAGATGCAGTTTACATTCATTACTCTGGCCATGGTGCAGATCGTCAGTCTCTCCAACTGACTGGCCAAGATCCACATATCGGCACCGAGGATTTTGCCTTAGTCCTGTATGATGGACCTCATGGAATGAAGAAACTACCGGGAAGCGAACTAGCAAGACTACTAAAAGCAATGGTGGACAAAAAATTGGCCGTCACTTTAGTCCTTGACTGTTGTTTTTCCGGAAGCGTTACGCGACATGGCGTCAAACGTACTTCAACTGTCCGAAGTATAGACTTCGATTCTACCATCGACGATGCTTGTTCCTCACTTCCTCCCAGGAGTCGAGGGCCTCTTCGTGACGGACGCATCGTCCCTCACTGGTTGGTAAATCCGGACGGCTATACTATTCTCTGTGCCTGTGGACCCTACGAGATTGCTGAAGAATTCGAGTTCGAAGACGGAACATTCCACGGCGCACTCTCATATTTCTTACTCCGGGCACTAAAGTCACTGAGAAGGTCCGGCATGAAGATTAATTCTCAAGCTCTGTATCAACATATTTGCGCTAGATTTCATGCTAAGCTGCCCCGACAAAATCCCAGACACTATGGGAACGGGGTTCCCTCATGTTTTGGAAATTGTTTGAATAAAGCCGAAGATCCATTTACTGCTGTTTTCTTCCCACAGGAAGGCAATCGATTATGCCTAAGAGCTGGGTATGCGCATGGTGTCCAGAAAGGCGACGAGTACGAGGTTTGCCCATTCACAGCGGTAGGAAATGAAGCAGGCCCCGTACAGTATAGTGCGATTCGGGTCAACGTCAGCGCTGTTCGCGGTCTCACTTCGGACATGGTATCATCCGACCCAACTATTTCCCTTGGTAATGTCAAGTCAGGCTGGATTGCTAAACCTCGCACTCAACTGCGTCTTCAGAATACCACTATACAACTTATGACCGAAGATAGCGACATCGGCAAGTGGCAACAAAAGGCGGGTTCCCAAAAGTTTCTCAGATTTTGCGAAGACGAGCTAGAGGGCCAGCCTTGCTTATTCAAAATTCATGTGAACAGTGACCATGAATATGAAGTCATCGACCAATCGAGTCAACCGGTGGCAACTCTCCCAACAGTCTCCTGTGATAGGAAGGATGCAATGGATCTTGTTGTAAATATGCTCGAGCATGTGGCTATTTATAAATCCATCGAGGCAATCGAGAACCGCTTTCCATCGGCGTCATTCTCCGAATCATTTGTTATTCAACTTGCCACCGATCCAGGGGTCTGTTTGTTGAATTCTGGTGTTCTTGACGTGAAAACCCATAATGAAGTGAAATTCACAGTTCGAAATTGTGGCGAAGCGTCGATATACGTCCATCTGCTTGATTTGCGCCCTTCTTGGGAAGTTTTCGATATTGTCAAAGCTAGCGGCAGTAGATATATAGAGGTTCCCGGAAACGAATCCTCAGAGATAAAACTTGAAATGACAGTACCCGACTTTCTTGTGAGTTTGGGACAGAGTCACTGCGAAGATGTCCTCAAATTTCTTGTTACAAGTCGGGCAACCTCGATCGAGGGAATGTGCTTGAAGGAGCTTCCTAGGTCGGCAGATAGTGTGGGCACAAATTTTCGTGGGGATCAGGACAGGGTCTCGAATTTCCTTATGGGGCTGGGCTCTCCGTTGCGAGGGAACGGAGACGATCCTCTGTCAGAAGACTGGGCAGCCCTTAACTTCGTTGTGCGGACTGCGCTGCCACCTCGATGATCTCTCATTATCTGTCTCTTTCTCCAATCTTGATCACTTGAAAACTATGTATCTCTCTCTAACATATCAGGAAGAAGGCCTCATATCCCTGCCCCATAGGCAGACAAAAAGATGGTAAGTATCGCAGCTCGAGCGAATTTTAGGACCTCGAATAGATATACTGTCATAACCGTAGTTCATGACACAACGCTTCTATTAGCGGCTTCCAGTTCCTTCTCGCTGATGTCCTGGCCTTCTTTCACCGGGTTATCATCTTTGTCAAACAGGGTATATTTTCCAGCCTCAGGGCCTGGCCCGACCGTGAATGGGCCTTCGCGGGTATCCGAGCCAGGGACACGGAAGTACACCTTGTCTCCCGGTCGAAATGTGCTTACCTGAGCCGAAGGATTTGTCCATCAGATTCAGTGTGTCAAAAAGAAGATCGTGAACTTGAATGAATACTCACTAGGCTGTAAGATTTGATCAATGGACGGCCACCATGGTCAGCGACGCGAAATTTGGGGCTCTGATCACTGAATGAAATATTAGAAATTGTGGTTCCATTGGTCAGTGCCATGCAACTAGCCCAGCTTGATCACTCATAATTTCCGCTGCGTGCACACCTGTTTAGTCGTGTTCGAGTGGATTGATAACTAAAAATATAAATACCCGTGTGTTCTCATATATGGTCTGTAATGTTTGAGGTCAATGTCAAGGAGTGAGGCTGCAAAAATGGAAAGGCCCATCTATGCCCATCTTGGTCCACTGCTGCCTGAGCTCGACTAATATCATCTCTCCAATCATGGAGTTTGGACTGGCTTCATAGCCTCACTTTTCCTCGCCAATGAAGCAGCTCAGATGTTTGCGCCTACGTATTTAGGCGAAAGATGCACCGCTTCACCAGGAGACTGGGACGTATAAATTGAAAAATTCATCATCAGATGTTTGCCTCACTGAATCAATTCTCAATGTCAGCCTCATGCTAATAGCATCGACGAACTGATCGAATCGAAAATTTCAAGTGTAAGTGTTAGCACAGAGAAGCAAGAGTCTACATTATAACGGACAGGAAAGAGGAGACTTCTTACCCAGGTGTTGTTAGGAAATGACTGTATTGACGACTACTTTTACGATCTGGAAACATAGGCTTTCACAATATTTGTTCAGGGACAATGGCGAAGGCTTGCGAGACCTGCAAAGTAGGGATAAATAGGGTCTTTTGTGTGATCATGCTAATCGACTCCAGTCGAGGACTACCCTCAAGGCTATCCGCGACTCTCTAGACTGGTTGCGTCGCATAATGCATTCTTCGTGTGTCGTCGTTTCTTAATACTGCGTGCTCGTCTTCTACTCCTGAAGCAGGATAAGTTGTCTTCCCTCGAGAAGCAACTCGAGATGGTTGACCAACAAGAAACCAATCCACTCTTTCTCGCCAGCAGTAGGCGCGATAGAAATACTGAACGAGAATCAATCCTGTCAGAAATTGATATCGCTCTGGCAGATTATGGCAAGCCATTTCCTCGAAGACACTCATCTTTTTCGATTGCTGAGTGGTGTTTTAGATTCAATGGTTGAGAGAAATCGGCAAATACTTGCCCTGGAGACCGCAAAGACCCGGGATATCTCCAGCCTGAAACATTGGGTAGAGGGAAACGCTTGTATAGCCAGGGAAGAGACAGCGTACCTACTACAGCCCAAAGATTTGCTGAGCACTGTACCAGTGTCAGACGATGCTGTTGCCCAAGTGGAGGCTTGGCTGGAGGACAAAATCATCCACTGGTGGAAGGACTTCCGGGAGGTGAGAAGACCCAAAACAAAACCTGCACGGTGAGGATTTTGGATCGTTGCTTACAAGAACTGCCCCAGCTTCCGTTCCACAACATCTCAAGAGATCCAAACGTGTACATCTCTTCTGGCTCTGCTCTGAGACGAGCGACTAGGTTCCTCATAGCTCTTCTCTTGGTCATACTCCTCTTTATCCCTATCGTCCTCTGCAGTGCCCAAAACAGCATGACTGCGCGGATGGCCGTTGTCGCTATCGCTGCAAGTTTGTTTATAGGGATTGTATCTATCATCATCAAGGCAAAATCAATTGAGATATTCATGGCCGGGGCGACGTATGTGAAATCTATTATCTCAGAAGAAAACCCCATTGATCGGGTACAACAAGTTCCTCATGCTAACATTTACTGTGTAAAGATACGCCACCATTCTGGTTGTTTTTGTTGCTGGCACAAACACAAATCGCAATTCGTGACTTGAAAGCACCTGGCATGGATACCTCCAGTGCTAATCGGATCGACAGTCCACAACGTACAAGTAATGTTGGCGACACCTTGTCACGAATGCTTTTTAGCCGAGCTGGGTCGCAGGCTGAATTACTATGCAACTACCGGCGACGTATGGCGCTTTGATCACCACCTAAGAAACTGGAGGCTAATTTGATTGAACCCGATTGGGCACCGAGAGGTGAATTAAAACTTGATGTACATAAACCTTGGCCGATTTCCTTGCTCCTTCTTTTATGTGGTATTCGCTTGGATAGCGTGGATGCGCTAAAACAGTGCTTTGAGCGTGTCCCGTGGCTGGACGGAGGAGTTCATGAACCGTCGTCAATGTCGAGTGGATCCGCGATGAGGTTGTCTACGTCAGTCCGATCGGGTGCTGTTCGGCTTGAACCGAAAGCTAGCCGCTAGAAGCTATCTAAGTATGCCCCTTGCTGTGTCATGGTGCTCACGAGAGCGATTGAGGTTCCTAACATAGCGCTCCGAATGACTCATTAAGAGCATAACCTGGGCTGGCATGACTTTCCGAAGCCTGCGCCTGGGGCGCTGGACACATGGGAATTGGCGGTGGCTGTGTTCGTATCGCCTCCAGTGGCTGTATTGAATGAATGACTGACGCGGGTTCTCTTGGCTGCGTAACCTCGATGGTTCGACAATTTAAGCTCGGTCCTCAAGATGTATGTGTTGATGCCTCGAGGGTTGAAAAACATATTGCAGATCTACGCGCCGCTGACTCCGCCGTCTTAGAGTGCACTCCTCTAGGGCACTCTGCCACCATGTCCACATCTCCACAAAGTCTGTGCGAAGTATGTCGTACAGTTGACTTTGACAAACTTTTCAACTTCCCTGCTCACGAGTGCCACGATGAGTGCTTTGGACGAACGCTGCCGATTTCACAGCACAAATTTGGAACTATTGGGGAGCTGCAGCATCGCAGCTTCTCCTGCCCTGTCTGCTCCTTCCTTGTGAATGCATGGATAAGGGGAGCACGCCACCCTTCGCAAGTGGAACCGACCGCCCAGCTTCTGATGAAAAGGTGGAGACGCAAAATGGAGTCACCCATAGCCTGGTTCAACTTATTTGGTGTCGAGATGACGGGGCCGTTAGCCTCATGCGTGCAGTTTGGTCCCGCAGGCAGGGAGTATGATGGCTTAGTGTTAGCCTTTCAGCCTCCAAGAATCACCAAGCAAGGCGAAATGACAACGTTCCGGTCATACACCAATGAGGAAATTGCCACCGGCAGGGTCAACTTTGCCATGATTCAAGAATGGCTGAAGTCTTGCAACAAGCATCAGAAGTGTCGACTTAAGGATGAAGAGAAGCCAGACAGTGTGATAAAACGGCGATTGGAAGAGGGAGAACTCCGGTTGATCGATGTGCTGACATTGGAAATCGTCCGTTCCAATGGACTACTTCCGTACGTCGCTCTGAGTTATGTCATTGCTCAGCAAGGCGCCGCACCTACGGAGCCAGCTCCGTTCGACAGAAATCGGCTGCCAGATCCAGATCTGCTGCCACAAACTATAAAGGACGCTTTGCAAGCCACTAAAGCCATTGGAGAAAGATATCTATGGATAAGTGCTTATTGCATCGATCAAACTGATGCCGATGAGAAGCAAAGGCTAATTGGGAAGATGGACTTGGTATACGAAGGTGCAGCATTAACCATTTGTGTTTTAACACCAACAGGCGTTGGGCCTGGTATGTATGGTGTGAGCTTGCCGATCGTGCGATTCGACCAAGTCATTGAGACAAACTCAGTTGGAACCTTTCTCACTGTCCAAATCCCACGCCTTGTTAGACAAATAAGCAGCTCACTGTGGCAGACTCGTGGTTGGACATTTCAAGAAGCGGTAATATCTCGACGATGCTTACTTTTCACCTCTGTTGGAGTTGCACTGTGGTGCAGGTCTCAAATTTATCACGAAGCATTCAATTACTCCGACGCTTCTGTGCATGACAGTTCTATCTTGGGCCCTCTTCCGTATGGGATCGGGGTGAGCAGGTTACCCTTTTCTTTCAGAATTGAAAACGAGTCTTTTGGGAACCGATGGCTCTTCAATACTTGGAATCAAATTGTTCATAGCTACACTTCACGCCAACTGACATACAATGCTGATGCTGAGAAGGCCATCATGGGTATCTTCAACAGATATTCTGAGATTACGGGAACTCCGATTGTTCGCGGATTACCCCTAGCGGCCGGAGTTTGCAGTCTCGTCTGGAGGTTCCAAAACTGTGGTTCCTGCGAGAGAAGGAGCGAATTTCCATCCTGGACTTGGTTAGGATGGTCTGACAGCCACGGTGTGTCCTATGACTACTGGATAACTAAATACGGAGCCCAATCACTCCCGCAACGGCTGGAACTTGAGCTTCCAGAGGGAGGCTTGTCCATGTGGGGTTCTCGGGAAATCGGAACAGACTACGTCGAACTGAGATACGAAGCACAACTCTTGGGCATCCCTAACTCTTCGGTGGATGCGCTACTGTTAGCTCAGCTGAAGCTACAGACAATGCGGGCATTCTTCAATATTAGACGCTTGCCGGATCAGAAACAAAAATCGCAAGATCAAACGTCCAAACATGTCTGGGAACTACTCAATCGCGAGGGCCAGAGTATTCCAGCAATCAGAGGGCGATATTTATTGGGTGAAAACTTGGACCAAAAGTTGATCCTACCCTCGGAGATTTCGACCAGTGACGAGACAGTAGAATGCGAGTTCCTGTGCATTCAGCACTGGTCGGAGCAAGGAGGCCCACATCTTGTCAAGAACTTCGGAGATGTGGTGACCGCGATTGCAATTAGCAGGTCTTTCACGCCGGGAAAGGTAATCAGAATTGGAGCCGTTGCGATTCCATATGAGTCTTGGTGTGCTGCAAAGCCTGAGGCGATTGTGATTAGCTTAGACTAACACCGTTACCAAGAGCAAGGGTTCCATGTGTGCCCAGGGAAGCCAGGGCTGATGATGGGTGGATGCGGGAATTGGACCTAAATACTAGTACAACTATTTCCATGAGCTGGCAGGATTAGAGGTGAGCACTCAACTAGTGGGTCTCTCCGTAGGTAAACAGCCATGAGTAGTGTTAGAAGTGTGAACGTAATATAGTGCCTGGGAATTCTCTTTTGGCGTAACAAATGGTGGCTTCGGAGTTGGGTGAGGAGATACGTCTTATGCCGCGTGAACGAGCCGTATAAGCAGAGTGCTCGACTACGCGGCAAGCTATCGTCAAATCTCTTTAGGTATTTTCCAGTCCTTGACGAGACCCATTCGTTGCGCCATTCTCTCTCGATGACCTGATGGAAGCAGATCTCGATCTTGCCCTGGCCGCCCATACCAGCAATGACGATGCGACATTGACCTGGGCGCGACCGGTCGCTCCCAAGCCACTACCAATTTAACGAGGCTTGATATCTATAGTATCGACAATGGACTGGAAGGGTACTACTTTAGAATATCACAGGAAATTGTTCATAGCAACACCATTCTCGTCTGTACCAACAGTTCCATCTTAGCGGCCTAAATAAGTCCTCGCTTGATATTTACCCGAAACAGGTAGCGAAGCAGCACGTGTGAAGGATCATAAAGCACATATTCATTGAATCCAAGGGATCCTCCGGAGTGAGTTTCACTGTATGGAACCGTCGTGTCCGGCTGCAAACGTCAGATACGAGTCAATCATTGTTTTGTCCCACAGGAAGTGAAAATACAAGGAAGAAAGGAAGAAACCGAGGAGGGAAAAAGGGGCTTCTATCCACCTACCATCCAAGGCATCTCATCACCCACCCGAGGCTCTAATTCCCACTCCACTTCTTTCCACTTCGCCGGCCCAGTCCGCCCAAGCCCTTCGATACATCTATGCCGGCCCTGCGACTCCTCGATGACCTTGTGCCCGTCGTACGAGCTTGTCTGCGTCCGGATCCGGTCCGCCCCGACGTTGGCCTCGCACAGAAGCAACACTCCTTGTCCTTCCCATGAGGCGTGCTTGCAGAAGCTGGCGGATTTGCTCGACGCATCGGCGAGGTAGATGCCGTTGCCGAACATGGTCCCCGTCCAGCTCGCGCCTCGTCTGCGGATCTGTAGTCCTAGGTCGAGGATACCAAGGAGAGAGTCGAGTGGCGTGCCGTGCCACAGGAGGAGTCTCATTCCGCCACAAGGGTCGTCGTATTGCTTGGCCTCGATCCAGTCACTGTATGGGTTGGGCAAATTGGCTTTCACGAAGATCCGGTAGATCTCTTGCAGCTCTAGGGTTAGAAGATGAATTCGGTGGTTGGAATCTTCGAGGTAGCTCTTGAGCTGTTGGAATTCAAGCGTCGAAGCATCGGTCAGGCGGCGGAAACCATGCCGCAGGGAACTGTACGCTTGGTACAATGGCTGAGCCAAGGCCTTGTACGATCCAAGCTGAAGGGATCCTCGGTGACACATTTCGGTCATTGTGTTGGCAATCTCCTGTCGAGGCCAGAGGCAGTATAGGAACTTTAGCTCGAGAAAGAGAGCATGATAGCTCGATATTACTGGGGGCCGGTCGTCCCCAGCGCAGAAGGGCATCTGACTGCGGTACTGCGACGATATTCTCAGGATTGTTTTCCAATTGATGGTGCTCCCGGATTCAAGGTGTTTGCAGATACTGCCTAGAATTTGGAGTGCTGAGAAGACAGTCCACGGACTGATCTGCTCAAATGGGGCGCTGAATGCTGACCAAGATCTCGCCGTGTTCGGATTCTCGGTGCTGTTGCGATTACGCAGAGGACCGCCGAAGAGTAAGCACTCCATCAGATCCCTGACTTCCCCATTGACCTTTGCATCGACGGCTGCATAGTCCGGGAGCTCCTTAGGGCGCGCCATGGTCTCGTGGTAGTTTAGTTCGACGAACCTGAAACTCTCATGCCGTTGTGAGGGGAGTTCGTATCGTTTGTTCCATGTCAGGGACGTCTTGTCGCGGAAGGTCCTGCAAAACTTAGGTATCACATCGCCTAGATCCTTTGACTCGATTTCAGTCCTTGTGAGACCTTCGAGTCCGACACGGCCTTCTCGAGTGATCAAGGCATACGTTTCAGTCCCTGGGTTGAATACTATCTATTGAAGGCCTTGCTGTTAGCCGCTCGAGCTACTTATGAGAAATCTGCATGGCACGTTGACATACTTGTTGCCTCCGGAAGAAATTCGCGTTCTTCACAATGTCGGCCCGGAGGAGGTAAGCGTCGTATATCGACATCGTCGCTATATCTGCCACCACCGAAGCATCAGGTCCTTGCCCCGGGTCCACAGGAACATGTATCTTCGATCTATTATCCATTTGACTCCGAAAGTAGCCATCATGCGAAGTGCGTCTCGTCCTCCCAGGGCGTGGACGCCTCTTTACGCTGGAGAGATTCTCAAATTCTCTCCGGCATTTTCGATATCTCTGGCTCTCCTTCAGCAAAACATCGCAGTCGGCCTCCCAGTCGGAGGTTATCCGGGGAAGAGGAATAGTTGAACGAGGTGACGGCAGCGTCGGTGCGGCTGGGGGAGCGCTCTGGCTTGAATCTTCCGTGGTGGTTTGCACATTGGAAAGAAGAAGTAGGCACGAAGTTTCAAGGACTTCAAAGGCAGCAAGGCTGGGCTCTGCTCTCGACGTTCCCGCGAGCTTCGCTGGGTTGAAGGTCCCAGGTGGATCCGGACTCCACAAGAGGTTCATGGACTGCAATTCAGATAACGTTTCAAGTCAGGATGAGTGAGTCCAGTACATACGCGATCTAGTATGATCTAAGTCAAGCGAAGGAGGTTATCGCACGCCCAGCAAATTTTCAGCCTCGTTGGCAAACCTGATCCCATCAAACCGACACAAGTGTATATACTGCATGAGCCGAGATGTCACGAAGGTCTGAATTATGGAGTAAAGATGACTCGACGGCTTCATTTAAAGACCTCTGCTTGAGGGTGCAGCGAGGCTAACAACGTCTGAATATGCATCTTGATATTCGTTGGCACAGGGCACGCCTTTCCTTCCGCAGTCAGGGTGAGACTTTTTCTCGGCGCCAATACCACCTTAGAGTAATTAATTAGAGCTAGTCCTAGCTAATATATATGCAGAGGAGCTTTCAACAAGTATCAGATAGTCATCATCAGATAGGCATCGGATACGGAATAGAAGAGCACCTAAACAGTGGTGATGCTGATTCAAGTATTATTAGATTCAGTTATATTCAATTTCCGACTACTGTAGTGAGCATTCTGATCCTCTTGTATTTACGGTGGAAGTTGAAGCCCGGCAGACAATGTGGACAGGTACGAATCGGCAGTTGATTCCTTGCAGCGTTTCCTCACTAATTTCCCTTGGCGGAGCCTCCCAGTCGAAGCTAGAAGTAAGCAGTGTGAAGCATACAGAGTATATATCTCTTACCTTATTTCAGTAAATACTAAGTACTCTCAGAGGTATTAGTAGGACATCTGTATTTTGGCCCGGGTAGCCCAGTAAGTCCTGGGCTACCCTGGGCTCACAGCGCTAGGCTGCAACAGATGCTTATCATGAGCTTGCACGGCAAAATTTAATTACTATGGGCTCCCTGCGCTCGCACCTAAGTGCTATGGGCTCACACAGAACTTTTCTATTATAATTATACTGTCTATTCTTAATAATACTAAAAAGTAGACATAGTATTAGAACTAGTAAAGATACTATGTAATGTATATAGTAAATTTTGCTAAAACTTCTATATTTTAGATTATTAAGTTACTAGCGTAGTTAGTTAATTAATTAGAGTACTGGCGAGTTAGCCGAATTTAGTGTAAACCTTAAACCTTAAAAAAAATTATAAAAAACGAAGACGCTAAATTTACTAATATATATATATGTATATATATATTGCCTAATTAGGAAGTATCATAGTAGCTATAAGTTCTCATAGAATATAGAATAAGCGTTGAGTGGCCCTAGGCTCCCGGGGCTCCCATAGCAAATTGAGTTGCGCTGGGCTACGGGCCAAAATACATATATAGCAAAGTCTTTCAAGTTTACATCTACGATGTAGTTTACCCGAGCTTCTTGCCGAGCTCCCCGTAGACGGAGCAATTTATCATTAGCAAGGCGATCGCTTAATCGAGGCCATCAACTGGAAGTATATACCAAAAACTGTCTATAAGGTTGAAAATTACGATTCGCAATTACTCACGGAAGTCCACTCTTTTCAAGGCTGGATCCTCTCAGATCGAGCAAAGACGAATTTACATTGTACAAGAGGTCTCTAAGAGACTAAGCATACTATGCATATAACCGACGAAATTCAGCTGGCGAATGCTTACAATAACTTGTCTTGCCGGATTTCTCTGTACAATCTGTGACTTCAAAAAAGCGAAAATCAACAACCCGCTCTCAGTCGCCATTAAAGAGCGCCGGAAAGACAAGCGCGACCTTAAACTACATACTTCCTCAGCCTCACCTCAGCTACAATACCTTCCGTAGCTTCTTTGGTCTTCAAGGCGATTGGGAATAATCAGCCGACTGGTATCAGCGGGCCCTGGACATTCCGGAAGAAAAGCACTCACTACATGCCGCGACTACTAGTCTTGGTCTACCATGATGTTGGTAGCATGAGAATCAACCAGCAGATGGCAAGTAGTGTGCGAAAGGCCGCCCGTGATCGCAAGGAATAGCTGCTCTTACACGTACGTATCCAATATATATCTCCGAGCAGCGCCAGAGTTGAAGGAGAAATCGTGAAAACGCCGTGAGCTGCCGAAGTTTCCAAATAGTGATTAAAGAGTACTTATACATAGTATCCACTCCTTCCTATTTTCACTTTTTCTCTCACTCTAAGGTACTATTAGTACTAACTACTAGTACTTAGTAATGTAGTAGTGGAGGGTATTTAATTTACAAGCATTACCTAAACTTAGAGTAATTGGTGTACACCTAAGTAATTCTAAGTATTCACGGCTAGCGTACTAAATACTTGGAGTACTTTAAGCGAGTTAAGCGCGAGGTTATTACGACATCCTGTACGGATGCTCCGTATATCGTAGTACTTCGGACTTTATTTTGTACCAAAGTATACATTAAATCACATGCAATATATACTGTAATAAGAGGTAATTCATGTGAAATAGTCCCTTTTATCCCTCCCAGACAAAAGTGTCTTCCTTTGGAGGAATCAACTGGCGCAAGGCCATTCCATAATCACCAGCATTAGGCGTCCTTAGGAGAGTGTGGATATGAAAGCGCGCTGGTTCCTTGTTGGTGAGAAAGACACCGGAGTGGTGGTCGAACTCGACAATAACGACGGGGCTTTGGATCCGGTAGTAGAAGGCGTCTTGGTCGGTAAACCCGCCAATCCAGCTAAAGTAGGTCTCTGGGTAGAACGACTCCATCTGCTTGAGACGCACGTCACGGGCTGACTGCGGAAGGTACAGCAGATATTCGTTCAAGATGGTCTTTACGAGCGCCTGCTGTGAAGCGTTGAACGTGCTCACGAGAACGCCTTCGTACGGGACCACTCGGTTGTCTCGGTAAGCGCCGCACATATGCCGTTGGTCGTCGTGGTTCCATCGTCCCTTGGGCATGGCTGGGTCTTTCAGCTCTTTGTAGACCTGAGCCTTGGATTGTTGCTCTGGAGCTAGCGACTGCATCAGTTCCAAGCCTGCTTTGTCCTCCACCTGCAGGATCTTGGTGCCAGCGTACGGTCCCTCGTCGATGATGTTCGGCTCGGCGCCGGTGAACCACGGCGATATGACGATCTGGGACTTGTAGAAGAAAATATTCAGGCATAAATGGTGGCCGTAGAAGCTGAAGCCCCAAGCTTCCGTGCTCGACGGTTCGCCAAAAAGCACGAAATTGTAGGAGAACTCGTTCATGACGGCCGGAGATTTCACAAGGTCGCCTAGGAATCCGTTGATGCGCATCGCAGAGATGGCTTTCTCATAACCTTCGGGTGAGAGTGTTGCGCGGAGAATCGCCAGGATCCCATCCCTCGCTTCTGCCGACAATTCGTCCAGCCGGACGCCTTTATGACTGAGTAGAAATTCAGGGTTGGACCACGTTCGCCACTCCGGCGAGTCGATATGGTAGGACAACTTGGACAGTTGTGCTGGTGCTAACTGAGACAGTGCAGCTTGTGTGGTTTCTACGATCTTGTCGATCTCAATTCCCTCATCCTGGAGTGTGAATAAGTCTCTTTTGATATGCCCTATTCCTTTAGTCAGAGATCCAATTTCTGGGAATTCCAAGAAGGGTACTATATGTAGTCATTACCATCATTTGTAACACCTTTGTAAGGTACTTTCAGTAGTTCCTTCCAGTGTTGATAAAGTGCGTAAATCCACGGGGGATTCCCCCCCTCTTTAAACGCGTTTGCATAGACGTGAGCATCCTGAGTCGCCATTGTAGTAAATCGAGGAATACTTAGATCTGGGAGGAACTGGCGATAGGCATTTTCTTTAGAGCCGGCCATCTTAGCGAACTGTGTCTCTCAGTTCTGCCACTCTATGGGCTTCAAGTTGTTTTGAGAAGAAAAGGAATGGATCTGTATCGCCTTTTGCCGAGTTCTGCCACCTCGTGCAATCAAGATTCAATGTCGGATGGAATCTGGCTCTTGAAGCTTCTAGTAGGAGAGTCCCTATGTGATTGAGGCAAGATCCGGAATATTCCAACCTGACGGACGGTATTTCTCTTTCTACAAGAGGGCGTTCAAGATGTTCAGATCAATTTCATTTTTATCTCAAACCCACGACATCCCCACAAAGAAGAGGAGACGAGATTGTGGGGCAGTTTAGCAGTCTCAGCGAAGAAACTTCCGGGGCTCTGGTGTGCAGCGGTATCGGCACATTTCATCGGAAGACGACCTACGGAGTACTGTACATAGATATAATCTGCTCGGTGCAATGATGTTCCGATCCGCCACATACCACGGTCAATGAGATCCCCACAAAGACTTCAGCATCCAACATATAAGATGACTTGATGATAGTCGACGCTGATCTATCAGGCCACCGAGCCTGAAATAACGTGCCCAAATGCTGAGAAGAATGGCATCCTCTACTCAATTTAAGCGTAAGTCTGACAACCATGGTTTAAGTCTCCTGGACCACTTACAACCTTGCAGGTCTTGTCCGGTTCGTGCCACGATCCAACTCATCGAAGGTCTTGATCGGACAGCCGACAGACGACAACATCGATGTTGGACTAGCTCTGCGTAAGGGCCAGGAGGTTTCGGTGGACGTCTTCTCCGGCTCCTCTGTGCTCTCTCCGGGCAAGCAGACAGGAAGCAGTGCCATCATCGACCGAGTATTGTCACCATTAGCAGTGTCCGAGGTCGGGACGATCCGATGCATTGGCTTAAACGTGAGTCTAGTAGGGTGCAGCGAGTCTGAATATCGTAACTGACTGCGCTAGTATAAGCAACATGCTGCTGAGGTCAACTTGGCACTTCCCACAGTGCCTACAGTCTTCATGTGAGCTCGCACGTCCCAGCCAGATAGCGAGGGTGCCATACTGACGTCGTCCGCCCAGGAAACCCGATACTTCACTGGGAGATCCGTGGCCTGCTCCGACAATACTTCCTAAGATAACCCAGGAAGACGACTGCGGAGACTACGAATCTGAACTTGCTGTGGTGATAGGAAAGACCGCTAAGAACGTGTCTGAAGAAGATGCCTTGGACTACGTCTTAGGCTACACGGCAGCCAATGATGTATCAAGTCGGACGAGCCAATTTGCCCAGAGCCAGTGGAGCTATTCAAAGGGCTTTGATGGGGCTTGCCCAATTGGTAAGAACGAGGCGACTCTACCACTACTAAGTGTTGCAGCGACATTCAAGCTAAAATTTTCATTCAAGGGCCTACTCTTGTTTCGCCGAGTTTAATACCCGACGCGTCGAAGCTGCACATGAGGGGTCTCAAGAATGGCGAAGTCCTACAAGATTGCGGACTTGAGTATGTCTCCAGGCCACCGAGCATTTCCTAATCGTCATGACGTGGCATTTTGTTCTTCCCTCGACACATGAGGCTCCACGTCATGTTGAAGACGCCACCCCTTTCATATGCTAGTGTGTGGCACCCTTACTGACTGCCGCCTAGCGATGTAATATTCTCTCTACCGAAACTCATCAGCTTCCTCTCGCAAGGCACGACATTGCGTCCCGGGACGTTGATCATTACTGGGACTCCAGCCGGTGTGGGCATTGTCCGAAACCCCAAAGTCACGATCAAGGAAGGCGATGAATTTGCGGTGGAGATCCTGCCACACATCGGCACTTTAATCAACGTCTTCGAGAACGAAAAGTGAATATCGGAAGGGACCGTTTCAACTGGATATACAGGTCGAACAATGGTATGGAAAAGTTTCATAGATGGCACAAAACGCCGGCCTCGAAAGGCTTTGCCTTACAGATTTACAAAGTCACGAATCTGATACCCTCCCCAACTCGGGTTAATCCGCAATGTCACCCACCACCGTCACGAATTTCGATGCACGGACTCGTGAATCTTTTCGAGACTCAACTCCCCCTTCCTGCCCCATCCGGCCTGTCCACTCTGCACGCTGGGTCGAAAATGCTCATACATTGCAAAGGCCTTCTTGTCCAATTCGTCTTCCTCCCCCTTCCAGCTTTTGAGCGCCTCGGCCATCGCGAGCTTAGCGGCCTCGTATCCCTCATCCCCAAACTTCCCTTTCAGCTGTGCCTCGTTCGCCTTCTTCGGCTTACCCTGCACCACCACCTCGCCGTCCTTGACGTGCATTGCGAACCCCATGACTTCGAGGTCTTCGTCGGCGCCCTCGGCGCCCTCGGCAGTCTTGCGCTTCTTCTCGGCTTTCTTGTCGGCATCCGCTGGCTCGATCGCCCCGATTCTCCTGCCTTTGGAAATTGCGCAGAGTGTGGCGATCTGGGACCCGATGCCCAGGCATGTAGTCCAGGCCACATCTGGGTGCAAGAACCGAGCCACGCTCGCGCCCCAGAGTTGGAGCACGGGCGCACGGTTGATCACAATACTGCCAGGCGTGATATCGCTAGATGCAGAAATCTTTTTCTGTTGTCGTTGTTTCTTTGCCGGAAGTCCTGTTGTTGTGGTTGATGGTTGGTGCTCCTCTTCGCTCGAGACCCCACCTACATTCTTGGTGACCCCTTTTCTTTTTCTGGCGGTCGAAGATTTCTTTGTCTTTGAGGGTTTCTCGGCCCCTGTCTCGAGACTATTTTTGGATCTTCCGGCTTTGGAGGATGCACTGCTTGCGTTGTTGGCTTCCTTGGCGGTCCGGTTTTCTAGTCCCTTGGTTGTCACCTCGTCGTCATTTGCAAAGTCGTCGAGCCTAGTCTGGGTGGTTTTGCTCCTTGTCGTAGCAGGCATGGCTGGGGTAGTAATTGGCTGGTAGGGCTCTTGGACACGACCAATCTCATCAATCAATTGAAGTAGGTATGCAAAGTATTCCTGAATGGTGGAAGGAGCCTTGATGGATATTGTATTTTTACTCTTGTTTGCATGAAGGTTCCAGTAATGTACCACTGCTGTGGGGTATGAATTGTGTGAAAGCTGTCTATCTAGGTATTTTGCAAGATGAGCTCATGAGCCACCGACTGCAGTGAGCGTTCAAAGTGACGTCAGGCTCGTTCCCGGATGCATATTCGCAAGGTACAACCTCCCCAGACCGGTGAAGAGTCGATTGAGGGAGACAGCAACATCAAATCTCTGTTTTTCCGCCTAGGACTAAGTTACCATAAGCGTAATACTGTATACGAATGATAAAATCAGGATCCTGCTGTGGAATGTCCTCCGCACAATGTCTTGGGACTGAGTTCTAGGTGGCAGTACTATGTACCTACTCGAGACGCGATCATCTTCGCACCGAGAGTTGAAATGCAAGTATAACCTTTCATCCCCATGTCAAAATGGGAACATAGTCCATCCGGCCCCGCGGCGTAACCTCCCTTCAGGATTGCTTCGGGCCAGATGGGAGCCTTGTTGTTAGTACTAGGGGTCACCAGTTTCAGCAAGGGTTCAAGTAAGGTGGGAGGCTTAAGGGAGGCGGAAGGGGAGAAAGTCCACGGCTTACCAGGGTTGACCATCCGGGCATTTCCTGCATTTATAACTCTCTGGTTTCTTGCTGTTCGAATATAACTTCGCAAGATTGTTTGTGCCAGGGTAAGTCAAGGTGCCGTCAGTCCTATCGCCTCCGCCGCACTTCCGCCCATAGTATATTTTACATTGGGTCCCTGCGGCCGGCTGCACCAGAGAATGTGGTCAGTAAGGACTTCTTCTCTCCTCGAGATCCACAGTTATGGTTACGCGCACTCCCGAGAGGCGGGAGAATATCAAGTACTTACTCCCATGGAAATCGCCGCGTCCCAAGGGAAATCCAAGCAGACGTTATTCTGTAAAGCCTGCCACCCACATTCGCCTGTCCAGTTACTGTGTGTGCAGAGGTAAATTCCAAGGGGCGGAGTTCTTTTTTCGAGCCTTTGATCAAAGTTCAGATTCGGGTCTTGGTCGACATAGCTGGGATCTGAAGGAGGCAAAGGAGGAGTTGTGTATATGGTGTCAGTGATATCGGTTGCACTGGTGATGGTAGGGTCGGTTTGTGCAATGACGCCAACGGCGATGCTGATGATGAAATAGGTGAGAGAAAGCATTGCTTCGTGTGTAGAGCTTTGGAGTTTCTGCTGAAGAAGACAAGTTCGTGCCGTACCACTGTGCCCTTTTGATAGTCAAGATTGGTCAAGCTCACTTCCTTTGAAGATCAATTGTTTGTTTTCTAGGCAAAAGCTAGAGACAAAGAAAATGCCCACTGTTTGCAACCACGTACGGCGATGGCGCAGCGTAGGCGCCCATGAATTGGTGGATTTCTTTGTTCTCGACGCAAGCGCTGAAGACATCAGCCATCCCATCAGGCCGTTGGCAGATTGGAGGTTATGGCACCCCTTTATAACCCCCCTGTAGGAGGAAGGGGCAGCGATTGAAGGCCAGGGGAACTCGGGGTCGGAATCAATGCATTTTGTCCAGGAAGGAGCATCTAGTTCATGCCACATCGCAACAATTTCAAGTTCTTCGAACAAAATAAGTTGGGAAGTGCCGTACGTTGGTTGATTTATTGATGCTGGCGTCAGCGAGACATGACTCAGGACGTAGGCCTCCGTGGGAAATATCACACCAAAAGCCGCTTCAAACGATTCCTGATCTAATCTCCTGTGTTGCAACGGCATCAGAGGTAGAGGTCGATGGCTTCATCTCGTATGGCAACTCTTCAGGACGGCTACGAGGAGTCAACCAGCCAGGGCAAAGACCTCGATAGAGTAACGACAAATTTCTAACTAGACCCTTACGAGATTCAGATTCACAGAAAGCGCTTGCTTGGAAGTGCGCATGGTATTTGGACAGTAGGGGAGTGAGTCAATTTAGTTGGACATTCCCAGGTGTTGATTGTCGCAACAGTACCATTCTGTCAAACCATGGAGTTCGAAATACAAGCCAGTGACAATACAGGAGAAATTGATCAGCAAAAGGCCATTCCTATCATTCAGCCCCATGTAGGGTCCTGGTTGAACAGCTTCAATGAAATCAAATATCAAATATCACCATCCATCCTTGAGCAAGGCATCGACCTATCAAACTAAGCACACAGGTTCAAGGCATCTTCCTCGGTTCCTGTTTGCCCGGGCCTCCAACACCTTATATCAGCCGGACCAGGATAGAGAAAAATGTAGTTGTGAACGAAGCTTCGTAAAACCAGCGGCAGGAGTATTAGCCACACCTGGCTGTCGGACATTCGTCATCCCTGCCCTCACGCAACCAGAATCATGAAAGATGTCGATTTCACGCATGAAACTCGTGAATGCTATTGATTTCCAATCATGTCCCGCGAGTATTGTGAGGCAGGAATCGCCGCGAATGATCGTGGTGTCGAATTTGGCGAAAGAGCAATTGCCCTCACATTTTCCTACATGGTGTGCCATGCCACACGTTTATTAGGCCGAGGGGTTGCCCAGGGAATATCGGGCATCCTGCACACGTCTCACGAGAAGTTCAGACTCGGTGTGAATCAAGCGACAGAGAACATATGCCCATAGAATTCCAGGGCTGTGGACGACAAGCAGTCCGGCAGTGCCATTGTTGCTGCTCTGCAAATAATCTCAAACATTATGCATGTATCTGTCAGCCTTTGACCCAGAATCGGTTCGTAGATATCAAAGTGGGTTGGTGGCGGGGGGGGGGGGGGGGGGGGGAGGGGGAGGAAGATGCACCAGCTGGAGGTAGATGAGCAATGTGCGCACCTATAACAATCCGCATAGCGGACCGGCAAAGATCAGTTATTTAGTACTTTTTTAATCTGTCTTGGGCTGTCCTCGTAGTGGTAGATATGAAAAAGGTGAGAAGCTAACACACGCGGAAACTGTCCTATCCGCACTGACCTCCGGATGCAGATGCATACACACCACCTTCGGCATTTTTAGCCTTGTATTTGCCGTGTGCTCTTTAGCGAGAACATGTTCGGTTATCAATAAAGTAGTCAACGTGCGTCTACCGACTTACTCGGAGCAATCCATTGTCCTCGTCCCAGAAATTTGGCGTTTTGGATGACAGAATAGGTTGCATAGCCTTGTTTTTTGGTTCTGGAAAGCCAGCATACATCCTGGAGGTCGCGCAGCCATGACAGACTCGACCAGTCGAGTGGCAGGGCTCCCAACGTTTTCTCGGCACATCACCACGCACGATTCCAACGGATTGGCAATTTTCCACACACCAGACCCAGAGCATCCCGAGAGTTCGACTGAGACGCCAGGCCCGCCGATATCGACTGAGCCGACGTGGGTCAACTTCCCAGGCTCGTCGGGATTTGGCCTCGGGTACGCCACCGACACCACGCCGGCGGACTTTAATGCAAACCAAGATCTCGACACCTACTACGACTATCTCCATCAGCATCCAGGGATCGTGATTCAAGGCGGGTCTGTGTTGAGAGTGGTTGATATGTAAGTCGTGGTGAATTCCCTCAGAGGGGCAGTTGCTCTCGTCGCGGCGACACACTGACGCCTCACAACCGATCGATGCCCAGGCAACCAAGTGCAGTGTCACCTATGCACCGGACAGTATCTTTGGACTACGGAGTGGTGCTGGAAGGAGAGGTCATACTACGGTTGGATTCCGGGGAAAAGAGGCAGTTGGTGCGTGGGGATATATTTGTGCAGAGAGGCACTGCCCATCAATGGCAAAACCCAAGCGACACCGACCCTGCAAGGCTGCTGCTCGTGCATCTTGGGAGCAAAGAAGTGGTAGTCGAGAAGAAGGGGGCACTGCCTGAATCCATGACGCTGTGATGGCCGTGGGTCGTGGGTCGTGGGTCGTTGGGTCGTGAGTCGTGAGTCGTAAGTCGTGACCTGTAGGTGCCAATACAGTATATACCCTTACGAGTGTATAGTACTCGTACGTTAGGTGCAGAGGACGTATGTCGGGTAGCGGCGCTTCTGAGTAGCCCTGGGCGGGAAACGGCCGAGGGGCAATGGCCAGACTCCAATCAAAGCTTTACCGGAGCGAAAAGGGTCCCTCAGGTGGAGTTTACCGCCAGGAGCCCGGGATTGGGGGCCGAGGGGGCCCTTGTAGTGGATGAGCGCCCCGCCGCCAGTGCGGTGGACGGAGGACGTCGTAGCCCGTCATTATTACTAATGCTAATGGGCGGATTTCTGCAAAAGGATAATGGTCTCGCCACCCTGTCGCCGGACGGCGTCATAAGAGGAGAGCGCTCGATGGATAGAGACTTGTGGAGCGAGGTGCCTGGATCGCCCGTGCATTGGAGGGGTTGGTTTACCTTGAGATACGTACGAATACACCTAGGGTCGGAGTTAGGCCAGGCTACAGGCTGCCCCGCGGGCGTACCTGAGTAGGTAGGTGATGCACTGTACAAGGTACAGAGTACAGAGTATGTCGTTAAGTTCGTCAGGGTCGGTAGGTACCTCGAGCGCCCCGGGGGTGCCTGGCGTGATCGTACCTAACTAGTGCAGCTAGTGGAAGGCATGAGGGCCCCCCTGGGACCCCTGGGACCCCCGGGACAGTCCTTTCCAATGAGTGGCCTTACCGTAGCTTTCCAGTCTTAACGTCACCAGCTGCCCCGCCCGAGAAATGTCTCCTTCCACTCCGTATTTATTTCCTCCACTCACTCGCATTTTGAAACTTCCAAGCTCCTTTCGTTTGGTTATATGCAATCCCTACTCAGGCCTGCCAGGACCATCTACACTGCCTTTACACGAAACACCACCACATTTCAGCCCAAGCGCCACTCGCTCGCAACCATGTCGGTAGTCAGGTCAGAGTTCGACCCAAAGGACATGGTATGAATGTACCCCAAGTACCTGGTCAAGCTGTAGGGGTGCTGACAAATTTGCATTAGGTGTTCCGTCACCTTGGCCCCACCGGATTGAAGGTCTCGGTGTTCTCACTAGGTAAGAGGCCCCTCGAGGCCAATTCACAGAGGCATTGAGCCGTTGGCTAACCATCATGGCTTGCAGGCGGCTGGCTCACTTACGGCGGTACTCAGAAGGGAAACATCGTCAAGGAGATTCTGCAGACCGCGTGGGATCATGGGGTGAACTTCTTCGATACCGCCGAGACCTACGCCAACGGTAACAGTGAGATCGAAATGGGCAACGCCTTGAAGGAGCTCAACTGGCCGCGCGATGAATACGTCCTCTCCACCAAAATATTCTTTGGGACTGGTCGCAAGGAACCCAACACACGTGGCCTGTCGCGAAAGCACGTTGTTGAAGGTCTGAAAAGCTCTCTTGAGCGCTTACAACAGCCTTACGTCGACATCGTCCTCGCTCACCGACCAGATCACGCAACGCCAATGAAGGAAATCGTCGAGGGCTTCACTCAAGTCATCCGCAACCTCAACCTGGCTTACTACTGGGGGACCTCTGAGTGGTCGGCAACGCAAATCACCGAGGCCACCCTCATTGCCGAGAAGTACAACTTGATCGCCCCAATCGCCGAACAGCCCCAGTACAACGCTTTCCACCGTGAGCGGTTCGAGGTCGAATATGCTCCCCTGTACAAACAGTACCAGTACGGTACGACAATCTGGTCTCCGTTGGCCTCGGGTCTATTGACAGGCAAATACAATGACGGCATTCCCGAGGGCTCGCGTTTCGCCAACCACAAGGACTTCTTTGGTGGCACCGTTGACTCGCTGCAACAACCCGAAGGCAAAGCCAAGATCGAGAAGGTCAGAAAGTTGACCAAGATCGCCGAACGATTGGGCGGAAACACTGGACAATTGGCTCTTGCCTGGGCCGCGAGCAATCCTAACGTCAGCACCGTCATCCTTGGTGCGACCAAGGTGGAACAGCTCGTCGACAATCTTGGCGCTATCAAGTTACTGCCTAAGCTGGATGCGAAAGTGCTCGAGGAGATCGAGGAGATCCTCGGCAACAAACCTGCAGCTCCGGCCACGTTTGGACGGTCGAGGTAGGCAACTTTCTTCACCTGACTTCTTCTTTGAGTCTGCGCCATGAAGCTCGTGGCGATGGTGTTGGAGAGCACTTTCCTGGAGGCTGATATTCCAACTTCAATAGACGCGAGTGGCGCCAGAGGTCGTCAAGGCTATGACGCACATGACAAGATCTCCCGGTGAGGTTTGTGGGCTTGCCCGTGGGCTCTCTCTTGGTTTTAGTAGGACGAAAATGCTACAGAGACCGGATACCTCCCGAGTGTTGATATACTGGCTCATGCGTCGCTGTTCCGGCAACGCCTCTGAGCATCAAGCAACGATGCAAATATAAGTGAGACGTTTGGCTTGCAACCCATTTTTTTCCAACTTCCATCGTCCTGCTTACTATCCCACCCATGCCCCGCGCGCCGCATGTATGAATCCGCCGTGAAAAGCTTGCATAATCCGGGGTTAGCACCCGGATCCCTTATAGTACTATGGTTACGTCAGTTGCTGGACATCATTCAATGCCTTGGCCCACACGGCTGGCTTATCGGCGACACAGAATCCTTGAACTTCGTAGAATCAGGTCGTTGGATTACGCGCATCGTACATACCTCCCGCACGACGCCCGATTCTGAGGAAGATCCTTGGCCTCGACCTTCACAATGGGATGCGAGGCATCCTTGACTCGATCCAGTTTCGTGGCTTGGGAGTCCAGGTCCCACCAAGATTTCTCGAAACATGATCCCTACCACGGACATTGATAAGATAGCGCCGATTACAGGGAAAGTAACTAAGTTAAACGAACGGGCGATCGACCCATCAATGGTCGCCTTGACCCTCAGAGTCTTAACTAGCCCAAGCCTTTTGGACCAGCCTATTGACTCTTCTGGCCGAGTTTGCCTTCCACCATTCCTCTCCATATCCGTGGCAATTCCGTCTTTCAATTCCACCTCCCCACCAAGAGTGTCCAGCCCGCTTTTGAGTAGTATCGCATCCTCCAATATCATGGGTCTCGACCGGTGGCTGGTATCGCGAGAAGCCCGGCCGTGCTAGCCCGTTATATATATTGACGGCCCATGGACATCACTCGTACCAGAACAGGCTGTTGGACGTGTCGGTCGCGACGCATAAAATGTGACGGTAGAAACTTGTGCCCCCCCGCCATGCCTACATTCGTAGCTCGCTGACATTTGGATCAAATTCAGAGGCCCGTCCAGTATGCCTGCGGTGTTCTGCGGGTGGGAAAAACCTGAAGTGCGGATATGACATCCGTTTGACCTGGCAAGAAGACCACGACGCACGTGGTGTTTCTCATGGTCGCGCGGGAGTCTGGTCCAAAGCCGGACGGCCAGGCAAGTCGCCCAAGCAGACTGAAGATTCTAGCGGGAGATGTGACGTCCCTCGCTTCCCGCACATCAAGCATGCTCGGTTCTTGAATACCACCTTCAACGATGTTGAGATGCACCTCGGCCATGGCGAAGCCCCTGAGGAGGTCGATGGAGGCGACATGAACGTGGATCTGGAGCTGGAAGACTGGGATGTCATGGAATACGAGGATCTTCGACTCGATCCAGGATCGCCACAAAAGGCCCTCGCGACGTTTGCACGCGCGAGCAAAGCTTCCCCGTACGACCCCATGCTACTTTCCCACTACGAAGCCGTCATCTGCAGTAGCTCAACATTACTGGACGATGAGAGGAACAATCCCTACAGACATGTTCTGCTGCCCATGGCCTTGGACTCTCCCGGTGTCTATCACGCGACTCTAGCCATCTCGGCAAATGTCCTCCGCTTGGGGCAGCCGGAGTATGCTGTGGTCGCCCTCGACCATCGACAGAAGGCTTTGCGAAGATTGATAACGCTTCTAGAGAATGGAGGCGCCGATACTAGCCGCGAGATGGACGAGATGCTTGGTTTGGTTCTGATGCTATGTTGGTTCGAGGTTTGTTGATCCTGCAATCCCGCCCAATCCCCATCCTGAAACATATGAGTTAGGTGAACCTAGTGAATACTAACGGCGGTGATGCTTTCCCCCCAGATATCGGACGGCTGTAGCCCTTCATGGGTGAAACATCTCAAGGGCTTTCGCAGTCTCATCAACCGACACCGAACAATCTGTTCACAAGGGTCACAGCACAGTCTGAATCTGGAACAGTTCTTCATGCGATACTTTGCTTTCCACCTGGTCCTGGCCAAGACCACATTCCGCCCCGAGGAACCCGACTCCGAGGGCGCGACACTGCAGACCGGGACGCCGAGCTCCTCGATATCGGACGATCAGACGTCCGTCCGCCACCCAAGCGAAGATCCGGCCTCGGGCAGGCAAGCAAAGTCTTTCTCCTCATCATCTCTATCCTCGCACATGCACGAGGACACGATGGACGAGATCGACCCGTACATGGGCTTCAGCAACCGACTTCTCCTCTTGATCAACGAGATAACCGGCCTCGTGCGCGTGGGCAACACGGCCGACAACAACACGCTCTTCACCAACCAAGCGCGGCACCTCAAATCCAGCCTCGACAACCTACACCAACACCTCCCGGCCTTCCCCGCAGTGGCCGCATCAGCCTCACTCTCAGCCTCACCCTGCAGCCCGACCACCCAGAGAGACTTCGCATCCCGCACGCGTGCCATGGCCGCCACGGCCGAAACCTACCGCCACGGCGCACTCGTGCTGCTGCACCACATCCTCTCGCAGCCCCACCCGGCGGCATCCATCTCGAGCCACGTGGTCATCCACGTGAAGGAGCTACAGGCCGCCATCCGGTCCATCCTGCACACAATCTCGACGCACCTGGACGACATGGTCCACACGGCCGCCCTGCCCCTCTGGCCGCTCTTCCTCGCCGGATGCTGCGTCGACGACGAAGACCAGCGCATGACCGCCCTGCGCGTCTTCGAGACGACCGAGCAGCGCAAGCGCTTTGGGAACGTCACGCCCGCGCGGCAGGTCATGGAGATGGTGTGGCGGCAGAGGGATCTCGGGAGGGATCAACGGCGGTCCGCCGCGAGTGCCGCCGCGAGGAGGAACTCCGATCCGAAAGTCCTGGGCATGTATGAGTGGGAGAGGGCGTCGCTGCTGTTGGGTGGCTGGAAGATTAGCTTGACGTGACGTGTCTACGCGGAATAACAGGTCAGGGCAGGCGCGCAGGGACTGGGGTGTCTCGAATGAATAAATAAATGAGTGATGGAACTTTTTACGAGGCGGTGGTCTTCCTTGTGTTTGAATCTGTCTTGATCAAGGGACGACGTTTGGTGGAAGCAGCGTGGGTTCTCCCTTCAAGTGCAGCCTTGATTCGGGGGGTACAATCAGATATCTCTTAGCGATCAGTGGCTGGTGGTCGCGTGCTGCGAAGTGTTCTTTTTCTTGATTCCTTTTGAAATGATGGAAGTGCTTCGAGCCCCGCGTGAAACGCGCATGATTTACATACCAAGGCTTGACTTTTCATTTACTACGACTGCAAGCGTCGGTCGATGCAAGCTCAGGTGTAGCCACTCCAACTCCGCGGCAAGACACACACTCCAGGTACCCATCTATCTATCCTCCCTCCGCCCACACCAGCCTTCTGGTTCATATCCGCGCTATCCCCCTGTCCTTCTTCCTCCCGCGCCAACCAGTCAAATCATCAAGCTCGAGCTCCGCATCCAGGTGGGCGAGATTCTTACCCTGCTGCTGCCCAGGTCGCCAGGCCCACGCGTGCGCGATATCACGCTCGAGCGTCCCCTCCATCATATCCGCGATGTACTTTCCCAAGATAGGCATGAACTTGAACCCATGCGCGGATCCACCCGTCGCGAGGAACAAGCCTTGATGGCGCGGATGCGGCGTGACGAGGAAATGGCGGTCGGGCGTGTCTGCATCCCAGCACATCCGGGTGTAGCTGAATGGCCGGTCTGCGAGGCCCGGGAATACGCGGCGGAGGTTGGTCCGCATTGTCTGTTCGATTTCCAGGGGGAGGTCGTCCGACGGGTTGTCTTGGAAGGTGTGCGGGATCGAGGTGTGGATGTTGCTGTGTGTGTCCCTCTTGGTGTTCGTGATAAATTGGCTGTGTGCCATCTTGAAGACCCCGTCCGGACCCGGTGGGAAGAAATAGCCCAGCTCGAGGTTGTCTAGGATGGGCATGGTTGCATAGTGTTTCTGTTCCAGGGGTGTGAGTTGGATGTGTGCTACGCTGTGGCCTTTCGCTGTCAGCTGGCCCTGTAGGTCGAGGAATGATGGTGTCCATGCTCCCGTGGCCACGAGCACAACGTCTGCAGAGTGTTTGGTGCCGTCTTTGGTTATCGCGCCGGTGCACTGCCCGTCTTTCAGCAATACTAGATCCCGCACGTAACCGCCAGCTCCCGAGATGAAGGCGACTCCTTTCTCTTGTGCCGCCAGCGCGAGCTGGCACAAAGCCTCCCCTGAGTTAGCCCATCCTGCACTCGGGTTCCACACATTGATATTCCAATCGTCCAGGGCGCCGTTCACCATGGGAAACCGCGAGCGAACTTGATCTGTGGTTAATTCTTCAATGCCTTGTACTCCCAGGCGCTTACTGGTCTCAATCGAGCCTTGGACAAACGGCACGGAAAGCTCCTTGGCACTCAGCACCCAACCGGGAACATGATACAAGCCCTTGTAGAGCTCGGACGTTTTCCAAGCGTTGATGGCTTCGACCCCGAGGCGGACGTACAGTGGTTCATTGTAGTCGCTCCGAATCACCTTGCTGATGTCGGTGGATGCTGCTTCGCACGAGGGTGGTGCATAGCGGTCTAGCACCCGGATGCATTTATACCCTCGCTGGGCGAGGTGGTAGGCTGTGGATGTCCCAAAGGCACCGGCTCCGATGATGAGGATCTTGGTGTCCGTATTCATCGTAGAACGACAGTCGAAGCACAGCAAAGCGAGTATGAGATAACTGTTGAGTTTCGAAGGGGTTGCTGGCTTGATATGCTCGTTCGTTCGTTTGCAACCAGTCCTTTATTCAGAGCCCACAGGAAGTTCAGTATTGCAAGACAGTCTGATAATCCGCTGTTCCTGCAGATGCAACGGCTAGATGCTGTTGATACATAAAGGTTGAGGATATGGTTATGGTGGGACAAATAGGGAGACGATCATGAGATCCCTTTGGTACAAGCAAGGCCCAGCGAGTAATGAAACTGCGCTGCTGTCCCGCTCTTGATGCATCCAGAGTACCTCGCAATGACCTGCCTATTCTTTTGTAGAAGGTAATCCTAGGTTCAAGCAAGTCAAATCGCCGTTTCAGACGAGGTCGCTAAAACCATGTGAGAATGACGAATAATCTGATCCAAGCAGAGGCCTCTAGACTGATGCACACCCTGAACGGGATAGCCGGTAAATTCAGCGGAAGCCATCACCCTTCTCTCCGACCTTCCAGAGTTTAGTGGTGGTGGAGTACGGCTCTCAGATAATAGGTTGGCTTTGATTGCAATTTGATGGGTCTGGAGGCTCTGGAGGATCCCATGATACCTACCCCCGCTTGGTTCGGAAACTGTGGATTGGAGATAGAAGTCATAGAGATATTCGTGGACTTGACGACTCGATTTGTGCTGGGGTCTGGAGTTATTGACTGGCCGATAGCAGACTTCTGCACCTACGGACAGGAGGCCCAGGCCCACCACTTAGGCGATCCTATTCCTCTGGGGAATCCCCCAGGACGTAAACAAAGATGGAGTGACATTTATTGGCAGGTCTGGGATGGAAGGACATCCACGGCAACAAGATCTGGGCCCCCGGCACTTGGCGCTTGCGGGCTTGGGTTCTCCGTACACGTGGGCATGGTATCTCAGCGTCTCACCTGCATGCATGTAGAACGAGAAAAGGCCAATGATGAGTCTCAAAGTCTGTGAACCGGATAGTCTTTCCCCAGTGCTCGATATGACAAAGCCCTACAGGTCCAAGGCAGTTTGATGAGGACAGCGAGGTTGTCACATGAACTTGAGTTCAGATCGCCGAGGGTGTGATATTCAGCGCGTTCCGTACCTAACACGGGTTTGGCTGTTCTTGGTGCTGAGTACTTGAATCTGGTCCTTGACACAGAGGGCGAGCGAACATTTCGGTTCATCGACATGGGTTGGCACGTGGGGACGCATTACACAACATGGCAAACAACAGTCCTGGTTTTAGTGGCTAGGATAACTTGTTGACCGTTCTGATGCCGGCCAGCGTTTCCCTATTGTGATATATTTATGCATACAGACTCCATTCCGGAAAGATATGAGTTCTGGCGAGTGAGTGCCTAGTGGTATGGCAAGAGAGGAGGAAGCGATCTGATGCCCGGACCCTACCACGCCATAATTCCTTAACGACAAAGGTCTTACCTTTCCTACTTCCTGTTTGCAAACGTTGACTGTGTTACTGGCTGGTAGTGGTAGAGGGTACGTAATTTGTTGTCACGCAACTTGACTGATTGCACCATGGCAATTTGGAAGCCCTCTCGCTCTTTTCAAAGAGATTCGTGAACGGACGAAATGACACAATTGCCTTATCATCTCTGTAGCACACCTATAACGATGATCCCTGATTCAGAGGGTGGTAGTGGCACTCTCCCTATCCGGCACGAGAGGATGCACTTTCCGCCAATCCCAGACATCACACGAATTCAGCGCAGACCCTTTCGCACTCGAAAAGTCGGTGAACTGGCCAGTAGAGCTGCATGGAAGGAGGTATGCGACCGTTATAGGCAGTTGTACTGACGTTGCCCGATAGACTTCGCTCATTCTACTTTTCGTAGTACGTTGGAGAGAATGCTGTCACAGAAGTTTGGTTGTGGCCGCAGAACGGTTGTATCTTCTTACTTCAACCATCTGGGGCGCGGGTCGTGAAGGCTCGTGATAGGACGGATTTGTGTAGGTGAGTCTCCTCAAGCTGTGGTCCAAATCCACAAACGCAATCATCATGGTGATGAAATTTGGTCTCGATTCTCTTTCAGAGACTGTAACGCCAGGCAGCTGAAGAACACCTGTTCATGCGGAACGTTGTTCATGAGTAACAAGTAGCGACGCCCCGGTGGACAAAATGATCCTTCTTGCATGGACTGGGATGATGGTCGTCTGTCATCTTTAGATAATTCTGCGCATAGATGTGCTTCAGCGAGATAGGAGCTGGAAGGGCTCCTCCTAAGCGACAAACCACCATAACATGCCGCAGAGTCTATGGCAGGTCTCTCTCTCAGCCTCCTCAGTCTACTACCTCCAGCGAAGAATACTGTCTTCTAGACAATATATGCAGAAAAAATGGCTACGCAGAGGTCCAGATTATGCTGGAGATACTGCTGCAGAGTGTGAAACTTGGCTAGAGAGCACGCTGTGCTTCTGTTCGCGAAAATAGCTCTCTCCCCGTCCCACCAATGCACGAGTCCAATTTGGGAACCATGTTATCCACCGATAGAAGTGGGGAGAGATGCCATGGATAATAGATGCCGTTGACCCAGCAGGAAGACTGCGAAGCTAGCAGAGCGAATCCACAGCAGTGCGGCGTGATTCGACTCCAACTCATATCTCAAAGCATGGCGCATGAAGGGGTTCGATGGGTTCGATGGGTTCGATGAGTTTGAGGCGCGTACTGGAACGATCTGTAGGGTCGCACAAAGCAGTTGAACCAAAGTGCTGGAAGTGAAATCCTCCAAGTTGGCCTTGGTCTGCTCCGCCACTTCCGCCAGGTGAGCGTGTCACAGAAACAAGGTCACATGGATCTACACAAACAAGACCTTTGCGTTGCAGCCTTGTTACAGAACATGCCGACCAGCCGGTCGCAATCACCAGCAACAGTTGTGCACCGTCGCACGAGGATGGTGGACTTGATAGGCTTCTGTCGGATTGGTGTAATGTGAGGTGGTGGTTGGTGTGTACAAGTGCGGAGTACCTAGCAACTCGAGGGATACAAAAGATCTCTAGTGCTTGCTCCAGGAGACTGACAGACGGTCTTACACATACATACTCGTCTTGAGGTGGCTTTCGTGGCACATTGGACGAAGTCAGCCTTCACGCTGGTTGTTTAACGTCACTTCCGCTTTGACGCCCATGCCAAACTCGTGACCAGCTCGCGGTGCCTTGCAGTCTCAGTCTCTCCAAGTCGAGATAGACAACAGGAAATGTTTCCCCGAAGGAGTAAGGATCGAGGGGAAGCCGAGTTTAAAAGACATGGGAGAGCGTGTAGACGAATGAGAGACAATATTGTCGGCCGGAGGGCTTGTTATCGCCTCTGCAATGTGGGCTAACCCTCTTCTGGTAAGCCTGTCCGCAGCCAACCGATAGCGCCTTCCCCCTCGTCCCAATGCCAGGGCGCCTTCCACTGTTTCCACCGCTTCCACCCCCTCCATTGACTCCATCGACTCCAAGGACTCCATTGACGTTCCTTTCAACGGTGATGGTACGTAGCACGCTGTACAGATCTCCTCCATCACCGAAGATTCAAGGGTGACTGCAGCGTGGCGCATTGCGCATTGGTCGCTCCTTCTCGGCTCGTCATGGTAAGTAGACACGGACGACACCGCTGCCAGTCCTGCGATCTGTTTATTGCAAACCACCGCGATCTTTGTTCGAGAAGCCTTTGCGATTGGCACATTTGGACAGATGCAAAGGTGGAACCTCCCTTGGTGAACGCCGTGCCTCCCACCAGGATGACGGGTTTATGATAGCGGTCGCGTGGAGAAACCCTGTTTCTACCACCCACCTATATCTTCGGCTCATAGCCTCTCTCGTCCGTTGCTTAAGGATACCTCGCTTGCCCAGTTGGCACGCTCCCTTCGAAAGCTCCTTAATCTGGTCTTGTGAGACATCTCCTGATAACTGATTGATATCTGGAACCGTCTACCTTGAACGCCCTCCATTGAGCTGGATCTTTTTGGTACAGCCTCTTTCTTGGTCTGTCCTTTCTGAGATAACCTTCACGGCTTGATACGTGAATATATACCTGTCCCTTCACCTGCTCTCTTCACAAGCCGCTGTACTGGCTGCCTCATAAGTCTAGTGTTGCTTCACGTTTTGATCAACTTGGATTGGCCACTGTCCATTCTCGTCTCCTGTATGCCTCACGCGACTTGGCTCTGACTTGCGAGATCATTGGTGTCAACTTCTCAGAATCCACACTCTGTTTCTCTTGTTGATCTGGCAAATCTTCTACTATATCCAATCAACCTACGCGGCAAAGCCCACGCAACAACATGGCGGTTCTGACTCAGGGACCTTTCTTACTCTATGCCGGCCTGGCACTGGGCATGGTTGCGATTTCCTTCCTGACCTTGAATCAACGCCAGAAGGATGTAATCTTCAGAAGATTGAAATTACGAGGTCGTCGAGCGTCAACTGCCAATACGCCTCCACGATCTGTCTCGCCTGACAAGAAAGAACCCAAAAACTCCCCACCGTCTTCCAGTGAATATGTGAACACCTTCCCACCTTTGACCAGGGATCTCTTGGAGGTGGTTGCTGCCGATCTACCTGCCAATCAGCGTGAGGCTCTTGGTGGCCTCTCCTTCGATAAAGAGAACTGGCACAGATCCATCATGGGCTTTGAAGAAGATTTCAGGACTTGTGAACCCGGCAAATATAACTTCACAGGTTATTCAGTGAAAGAAATTCGTGCATTGGGCGACTTCCCAAATTACTCGGCCCTCAGTGGAGTGCCTCTTCCGGAACCTTACCCTGAACATGATATTCAGACTGCTCTTCCAAGACCATATCGCCCGTTTCGCTGGGCGTACCATCAGACCATGTGTAAGTGTGCCGAACTGTCTCAAAGACATTTCCGACTAACCTTCTTCCAAGCTCTGACCAAGATGGAAACGGATTGGTGGCTCGAGCTGGAAAACACATACGTCAAACGAATTGCTGAACGCAAACGCTTGTATGCCGAGCACGGCGAGTCGGTGCTACAAAGCCTACCAGGATCAGAACTAGCATGCAAAGAGCTTATGGAGATGGTCATCCAATTTCTTTGTGCGCGATATCCCCAGTACTTCCATCTGCACGACGACAAGAAAACATTTGAAAACAAGATTCTTGGAACCAAGCAGGACGTGTCTGCCAAACACCCTCTATTGGTTATCTTGGACAATGTTCCCGAAGACTTTGCTATTACACTACGCAATCCTGAAACTGGCTACTACCATTTCCGTGCGGGTGTGATCTGCTCGGCTCTCGGGTGGAATGTGGGCACCAAGATCGGAATGTCTTTGCCTCAGATCCATGCACCAATCCCAGACTACAAGGAGAAAATGCAATTTAGCATGGACAGGTGCGTCGCACAGAATACTAAGCCTTGCCCTCTTTGGGCTCCCTATCAGCCATCCATTTACTCGTCGACGATATTAACACCTCACAGATTCTTCACCAAGATGCCTCCACAAAAGCCAATCCAGCGTGGCTCATGGGGTCTCGAAGTCGATCAGCCTTTATACATGCCCCCAGGCGATCCACATGAGAAGTATCGCGACTTCCAATCTCCAGACCTTGACCTGTCACGCGTCCATCTCCGAGTTGACTGGCAAACCCTTCGCCGCCTGCCTCTCTCTGGTGGCATCGTGTTCAATTTCAAGGCTTTGTTCACCCCAATCACAGAGTTCCGAGACGAGCCATATGTCCCATCCCTGATCCTCAAGGTGGTCAAGGAAGGTAAGGAGAACTTGATGAAGTACAAGAACACATGGCACGTCGAACACGTGACTGTTCCAGCACTCGAGCAATACGAGCGAGAGCAGAAGGAGAATGGTGTGATAGAGAAGAACTGGACCGTGCATACTCTCGAGGAGAGCCCCTACTTCCCTGGCTGGCAGGAAAAATGGATCAAGAAGCAAGGCTTCGCTGCCAAGGAGTACTCTGGTTGACATTGCTGGTCGGCCTTGATTGACCGCGCAGTCTGCTTCGCTGCTTCACAATGGCTTCAGTTGCATGCCGGGGCAGCATGCATGATAGAACGACGACAATGAGACTACAATGAAGACGATGAACATTAGAATCCCCCATCACATGCAGGTCTAAGAAGAGATCGCTCCTTCGACCATACAACACATTCAAACTTCCCTTCCCATTGGCACTGTCGACTACGACCCCCGCTTTTTCGACCTGGCAAGCATTCTCGCTCACATCTCTTTTCATCGAATCCTTCGCTCATACTAGATTCTACTTCGCTATTCATCAAGCGCGACCTCACACGTCACCAGGCTTTAATTTCGTTTCAAGCATTCTTCCGCATGCGACCGGGGCAAGAGTTGTTCTCTTCTGCAGAGACTGGCTTCCAAATACGGTAGAGAGCCAGATGCTGGGACCTTGTGCGATGGCACGACCAAAAATTCATGACCTATACAGGTGGGAGGGCGACATCACATCGCTCGTCAGAAGTTGACACCAAAAATGATATCATTTCGAACCTCTCCTCGTTTCGTAGTCTTCCTCATGCTTCTTCCTCTTGTCTCACTGTGACCATGCGCGTCGGTTGTCTACGACAGTCTCACTGAGAGCATGCCATCCATACACGATCCGGTCTCTTCATTTCTATTCCAGCCGATTTCCAAAGGCGTGGCTTCCGCAGTGCGTGTGCTATAAAGAGACACTGCGCATCATGTAGTCCCGAAAAAGAGGGATCACTGATCAGTGATCACCCAACCACGAAGGAGAAGGAAAGGGACGGCGGAAGGCAAAAGGATCGGCAGCCGGTTCCCAACCCAACGTCATCCATTGCTTCGTCCCTCCCCGCTCACCTCGCAACCACGGCGCCCATCGATGACCCTGCTTGCGCTAGACGTGTGTTGAGCCCAGTGCGCGCAGATGATCTTGATTAACATGTGAAAGTCGCTCTACTGCGGCAAGTTGATAAACCAGCGCCGCGCCCATCAACGTTGGGGTAGTTGTCGGATAGGCGTGGGCCCGAACCAAACATATGCGGACCAAGCATCATTCACCACTTCCTGTACATAGTAGTAACTGGTTGGGACTGTCCTACCGAAGCAGCAATCTTGCGAGGATCTCGTGCATACGTATTTTCTGGCCCTCCACGGCGTCCGTCCATTACAACGCGACGCCATTGGATTTGCCTTATCAATTCATTCAAATGCATTGATAATAGGAGCTGGAACCAAAGAACCGCCATCCCAAACACGTATGATCTCGCTTGGAATTGGTCGAGGGATCGTCTCCCAGTTGTCGGACACATGTCATATATAATTCCTAGATCCTATGTACATTCGACCCACACTAGGATTAGATGCTGACTGGCAAGCGCATTCCAATCTCAAGGTGGTTGGTTATTCAATCAGTCTTTTCTCCTCCCGGCACCTTTCACTGTCTTGCTTCTAACTTATCTTTCATCGACCCTTTTTGTTCCCTCTTTCTTTCAGCCAGTTTTGGACTTTGTCAGCTTCAATCCAGATAGATACGAGCAACTCCGGCAGTTGGTACCGAGGATCCAAGGCTGACCAGTGGCGAGGAGTGAGCTCGCAGGTGTCTGCCTGACCAAGCCTGAACTTTCTGCCTGACCGTCTCGTCTCGTTCCCGTGGGTCTTTGCAGGTGACCCGACGTGAGTCACTCACTGGCAGCAGGTCTCTGGGAGACGAAAAGTGAAAAGATAGTGAACCTATCCGACCATCAACCAAAGGTAGGAAACAAACGAACAAACCCGACAATCTGCTCAGCGACCTACACGTGCTTTTCACGGGACTCTCCGAAGACAGGAAGAAGAACCTGCTTTTGAGGATTCCAATTTATCGTGGAAGAAGTGTGTCTCTCACATTGAGAAGAGATCCAGGATCTCTTGGCTGCTTTGCAGAATCTACTTCAGGAGGGGGTCTGATCATTCAGACACGCCCGCCGGCCGTTTATCTTTTATCTCCCCACACCGAGATTCACAAGATGGCTTCAACGAATCTAAGACCCGAGAGCGCCTTCTTCCAGCTCCCGGCTCACTACGGCTTCAAGGTTGAAGACACGGTCCGCTTCCAACGGGATCAGCGGGTTGATGACGACGACAAGCTCATCGGCAGCTGCAACAGCAGCACGCCTCGCGCAGGCGCGGGGAGCGTCCTCGCGGCGAAAATCTGCGATGCCCTTGCCCGACACGGCTACGAAGACTCCATCATCCGAAAAGTCGGCGGTCTCGTCACCAGCAACATGATGACCTGTGCATCGACGCAAGTAGGCGAGGAGGCTGGGCTGGAGACCATGCCTCCCCGGGCCGAGGACGATCAGATGGATATGCAGCGGACGATTGAGCTGATGTTGCGAGGCTTGCTTGATAAGAGCACACCTAGTTCACACACCGTCAATGTGAATTCGAATGAGCCCGTGCTACTTGTCAATGGCTTTGATAGGATTGAGAAACATCGCTTCGCGGTGTTGGTACATAAGACTGTACAGCAACTGCAGAAGGATTGGAATGTTTGGCCTGTGAGGGTGTATGCGGGTCGCTATTTTCCGACCAGTGGAGATGGGTTTTCAGTTACCTTGCTCAATGTGGTGAATACAGATATCGGGGGCCCGAGTATGGTGCAATTGCTTGATGAGCATACTGATTCTTCCGAATGGAAGCAGTTCTTGAGGCGGGAGGTGTGGAGAGATAGAGACCTTGTCTCCGTCGAAGAGGGTCATTGGGTTTCTGGCGAGGACGACGACAATGTTTCTGATGGCGGATCGGTGCACTCTTTCCAAAGCAACAGTTCATACGCCCCCGAGTCGGTATTGCGTCTGGTGATAGAGAAATCGCCAAGGGCACCTCACTCACCAAGTTTAGCCGCAGAAGACTCTGACGTTGGCGAAGCGGTACTGGAGAGTCCATTGGGTCTGGATGAGAAGGCTGTCGAGGATGAAATGAAAGGTGACAGCGATGTTGATTCGGCGTTTGCCGCCGTCGAGGATGAAAAGAGTGGCTCGATACTGGAGAAACGAGAAATGTCTGAGCGAAACATTGTGCATCCAACCTGGGACCGGCGCCATGACAGTACCTCATTGATCGATCTGATCCGATTGCAAGCATTGGACATCCCCCCCTTGGGAGTTGATGAGGAAACCAGAGTCGAGAGTTTGGACACCGCAGCGACCGAGCCAACCCCATCTGAGCCATCGAAGAAGGACGATGACTCATTCGTTTTGTTGTAGCTCCAGGATTTCAGAGAGCGGGTTGAGTAACCATAGACAAACGACGAGCTGAATTGATTCAATCAATCACTTTCGGAGCGACTTCTGCTTCTATTCTGGCTCCTGCTCCTCGACCTCGGACTCCCTCCATTTTCACTGGCAGTACCGTTGTGATTCCCACCCTCCAGCACCGCGTCGTCATTGTCATTGTCCTCCTCATCTTCTTCCATCGCATCAAGCTCAGCCTGTAACGGACTCACCCGCTCCTCTAACTGGTCCAGATCCTCCAACAACTGTCTCGCGGATAACTTCCACAAGGTTGTGCCACACACACGATCCTTAGTCAACAGATTATCTACGAATTCATCCATGTGTATAAGAACATAAGACTCCTTTCTCCTCTGCCTCAGTTTCCTCGAGTCCTCGAGAAACGGTTCCAACGTCTTGTAGATATCGACGGGGTCGAAAGTCAATCGCGCGTAGAATGCCGCCAGTGCACGTAGATATTTCCACTCCTCCCCGCCGGTGTTCAGGTATTCTAGGATGATTTCTTTGTCCGGGACGAGGGTGAGGAGTTTGAAGGCTAGGCAGATGAAGGGTGAGGGTTTCATTGCTACGCCGTACGTGCCGCCTATGTAGGTCAGTTCTACCGCTCTGTCGCATAGAGTCGCTGCGTTCAGGCCGAAACATTGTTCTTTCCAGTAGAGGGAGTCTGTGATTCGGTCGCGCATCGCAGTCTCGAGTAGGAGGGCAGGGTTCTGGCCTCGAATCAGTGGCCCCGAGTAGCCCCGGTTGTCCAGAGTGTTGGACGCATCGGCGCGGTGAGTCATCTTGATATCTTCAGGGCCCTGAGCACAATAGTCGCAGCGAGTCCAAACTGATTAGGAGTGGATGAACTGAATGAATTGTATGTACTTTTGCTCGACGCGCACCCACAGAATTTCATCGGTAGCTCGAGGGACATCGACGTCATGAGTGCCAAGGCTCGGCGGTTGTCCGTCACAACGGAATTGTCAACATTGGATTCTTGACCGACTTCAAGGCGCTGACTGGACACTTATCCTGCAAATACAAAGCACATACATATATTATTCTCAAGTGAGAGAGAGTGACGAAGAAAGAAATCTAGACCTGCATCATCCAGGATCTACTTTATCAACTCCGAAAAAAGAAATAGTTGACCACAATTACAGCCCGTGCTACATCCCGCTTTGAACACGGGTTAGGGACCACCAATTGAGCCCTGCACTGCACACGACCATGGTGCTCTTAACATCGTCAGCCGTGTCAGTTGTAATATCCAGCGGGGTGGTTTGCACCTTTACCTTCTTGCTGTTTCTGTCCGGCTATGTTCTCCAGCAACAGACAGTCAGATCGTTACAGGAAGCCATACGCCAACCGGCTGAACGAAAGCCAGTGCCTACATTGCCAGCCAAGTTTAGACACCAGGAGAATGAAACGGTTGAAGCTGTGATCGGAGAGTCACAGGATGGATCCGGGCGGCCTTTGGCAATCGATGAGCCATTATCCCAGCGACCTCGTCATGAGTCTGGTTTCATCCAAGTTCCAGTAGATATGACCAGAGGGGAGCAGGCGCTCGGGAACGAACCACCTGGAGGGCAGGGTCAAGCAGACGCCCAGCAGCGATTTCAATCATCGGATGAGCGACTGTATGAGCATCTTGCATACATGTTTGCACTGCTCCAGCCGTCGGACCTTTGCTCGGCTCTCCTATTTGCGGAAGAGCATAGAAAATTATCCTCTCTCGCAGTAAAGCCATCGGTTGTACTGTTATATCCCTCTACATGGGAATCAAGTTCGAGACATCAGCATACCTCGGTGCTGAAGTTCATGAGGGACATCCAAGAGCAATACAGCCTCATATACCACCCAGTGCAGATCAGCGACAGTTGGGAAGTGAATGCTCAGCTTCTGGGAGAACTGCAATGGACTCGATGGGGCTACGATCGAGCATTATTCCTTCGATCGCCTGGCATGGCAACGGACGTAAGAGCACTGGATGAGGCGTTGGCGTCATCAATTCTGAGAAAATCTTGGGCGCCACTAAGTGCGACTTCTGGGAATAACCCTGATGTACTACTGTATACGCCTAAAGGACTGCAAATTCCGAGGAAGGAGATGAGGAAGCTGGTTGCTTCGGCTGTTGCTTCGGATGCCTATGAAGATCAGGTGTATGCGGAGTCGCGAGTTGAAAAGTCGGCATACGTTCTTTTGGATGAGGAGTTACTGCTGCATAATCAGGATGAAGATGACTGGACTAGGTTGATTTTGAACAAGTTTTCCCGTGGGAGGCGGGCAGTCTGTGCTGGAAGCGGCATTCTTGAGGATATGAAGGAGAGTGACACACATACCAATCTGTGAATAATAGGCATGGGAGGACCGGCGTTTGATGATAGATATGACAACCACATGTAGAAATATGAATGAACGGCATGTCCTGTTGTTTTGTGGAATTAGGATGCGTGATCAGTGTGGCATTAGGCTCCGCTGTCTTACTCCTGGCAAGCCTCTATCCTTTGATTTAATCCATTTTTTCGCGGCTGGGAGAGAAGATGCGGGTACAAAGCGTATCCTGAAATAGCCAGGTCAAATACTGCCATGCGCAGGACAAACACATGATCGTAAACACCTCGCGCCAATTCAGACCAACAGTGCCGCCTCGTGGATTGAAGTTTGCGCCCGCTATCGTTTCGCATTGAGTGAGATTATTCTCGTACTCGACCAAGGCATTGGCTTTGCAGGTTTCGCACTGGACGGACATTTTCATTCGTGAGCGGTGCATGTAAGGGATGAGCAAGGCGCAGGAGCTGGCAACGGAGACAAGTTGGATGATTTGTCGGAGGAGACCAGGAGACATCCAAGCACGTCTAGATTTGCGTTCGGCGATGAATCGTTCAACTGTCCCTCGGGCTGGGGTTGGACGTTCGAATGACTGCTGGGCCATGGTCATTTCGTCGATCACCATACTGAGAGGGGTGTATTTACCGTGCCCTCTTCAGTATGACCTGCCGCTGCCGCTCCCACGGCAGGGTCTTCTTCTTGATCATCCACAACAATGCCCCCTGAGGCTGAGGAGCGGTGCTGTAGACCATGGAGCACCTGGCAATCTTCATGTTCGAGTGCGGATTTCATGGTGGAGGAACAAGGTCGTACAGGGTCGGGCTGCACTGTGATGGTGATAGATAGGCGCATTGGATATCGATATGGTGGTTTGTGAACATGATGATTGAGGGCGGTCGCAAGGGGGATGGCATTGTGTGGCATCACATAGCGCTTTCCAAGTTGTTCCTTCGTTCCTTCCTTACCTTCGAAAGTCATGGGTTGCAAGCGCCCATCTCAGCTATCGTTCCTTCCCTCAGCAACTTTCGAGCAACCAGCCTTATCTCGGCTCCCATTATTGCTATTGCCCCGCATTGTCTGTCCGCGCGTACTAAATTCCAAATTTCATAGGGAGGGCGGCTATGAGCAGACACTCCTCCCGCCAACTCTGTCCTTTGGCAAGCATTTGATTCAGCACTAGTAATCTAGCAGTAGGCAGCACGGAGTCCGGAGTGCCTTGTAAAGGTGCCACTAGAAATGTTCAGATGTGTGGTTGCCTCCGACGGCTTCCGGGCACGGGGCAAGGAGGAAAAGGCCCTTGCCCAAACGGAAGTGTTCCGGTCAGTGATAGTAATCGATTACTACCAGAGCACGAGGAGTGCGAGTGGCGGCCCTGGTGGGAGCTTGGTGTTTGCATCGGCACAGACCTCGTTTAATTAGAGAGCGCTCTTCCAAATAGCTTGAATTACGGCCGGAGGAGCGAGGCCTGGGCCCGGCCAGCATTATCTCAGCAGTTGAACTTGTAATTGCTGGATGGGAGACCAAGTACCCCAAGCGACCAAGCGCCTTGGAAGAGGCTCCAATGGTCCGTGTTAGCTGCTCTTGGTCGTCTGCTCAAGAGGCGCTGACTAACTGACACAGCGTTGGTGTTTGGTGGGAGGTTCTTGTGGCTTAAAACACCAAGAACTCGAAGAGCAGCTGAGTCCGTGTTCACCGAAACAGGGCACCAGGAGAATAATTAATGACAGTTTCCTGCCGCGCCGAGGCATTTATGGATATCCACAATTTGATGGTTTCTCAATGCTATACGGAGTACGGACTCGGAGTGCTCCATACGCACTTGAACCCACGAAGGCCAGAGGGGCCATGAGTCCATGACGTTACGAGTACTCCGTACATACCTTGTCCCTGCGCCCTGGATGCATCACATCAGCAATGGCCACATGTCACCGGCATACTAGCAACTTCTACCTTGCTAGCATTCTCTTTGTCATGCCAGCCACAAGTTGACTCGGGCAGAGGGGCAATTTGAGATACGAAACGAAGCAACTAGCCTCCCATCTCGATCTATTCTATATCTTGTGTCTTTCCTGCGCTGTTCATGAGACGCTCCATTTTTCTCAACGCCAGCCTACTTCCCTCCTTGATCATCTCCAGTCCACAGGCCTCTGTACATCTGTACCGTCGAACCGTGCCTCCTCTTCTCCATCATCCTCGCCCTCGCCGTCGTCTCTATCATAACCTACTATCCACAATGACTACCCCCAAGTCATCCAAGTCTCTGATTCCCTCTGACCCGGAAAAGGTGATGGTCATTCGAGACATCACCCCGACCATCACCACTCTAAGCGTTCCATTTTTACGATTCGGCCATATCAAGATTGGCGGGCGCGGGACACTGGTCAAGCTTCAGACCGGAAACGTCGCAGTCTTCTCTCCTGTGGCATTGACGCCTGCCGTCAAGGACAAAGTGCGGGCTCTCGGACCGATCAAGTATATTGTGGCCCCAGATATCGAGCACCACATCTTCCTGTCCACTTGGGCGGCTGAATATCCCGATGCTGAAGTCATTGGAATGGAAGGCCTGCCCGAAAAGAGAGAAGGAAACCCTGACACCAAAGGACTCAAATTCTCCCACGTCTTCTCGGCCAGCAATAAACTCGATCTGAAGATCTCCCCCGAATTCGATGCCGAGTTCTCCTCTGAATACTTCCACTCCCACACCAACAAGGAACTTGTCTTCCTACACAAACCCACTCGAACCTTGATCGAAGCCGACCTGCTCTTCAACCTACCCGCCACCGAGCAGTTCTCCAAAACTGGCACCAGTGCCAGTTCTGGGTTGTTGACCAAGCTCTTCGGCGGGATTATGAATACTCGCGGCGAAATAACCTGGCAGAAGCGATTCTTGTGGTATGCTGCGGCTGGTAAAGACAGGCAAGGTTTCACCGAGTCCGCCAACAGAATCAAGGCATGGGACTACGACAGAGTGATCCCTTGCCACGGAGATGTGATTGAAACTGGCGGCAAGGCCATCCTGGATAGAGCCACTGCCTGGTTTACTGCTGGCAAATAGTCGTCGTCTTTTCATACCCGCGGATTGTCTTATTCGATACCCCACAAAAAGGAGCAGGAGCAGGAGCAGGAGCAGGGATGGCGCTGTGTTGTTGGCTGGAGTGCATTGCATTGGTTGTCCCTCCGGCATCCGACATTAGACACTAGTACGTGCGTCACTGGCAGGAAGCGAAGTGAGTTCCTGCTACCCTCATAATATCATGTAATTTTCTACCAAATGTCCTAGAAAAAGCCCTTCTTTGTCGCGAGCTCTGCTGCAATTAGGTTGGCAGGGAGTTGAGTACTCTCACACAACCTCAGCTCGCGTTGTACTCTTACCTTTGTTCCTGCATCCATCGTGCGGGGAGGCGCCGTCATTAAATTGTGGCTTCCTCCCAGCAGCGCGAACCTTCTCGTCGACCAAACCAAGGATGGGTTGAATCTACGGCGGAGTGTTGAGTTGCTTGTCACGCACCCAACGCGGTGCACCAGGGGGCGGACGCGTCGTACCACGCGTTTCAGTCTCGCATGCTCACAGTTACGAGTAAGCGAAAACCCACTCCACTCTGCCTGAGGGGTCAGGGCCCTAACACCCCTCAATTTCTCCCCAAACTAAGAATTCCATTTGACGAGAACACCACTCAACTGTCCTATCTATCTTCCTCGTCTACGAACCCAAGTGCCTACAGACAATATGCCAGGCCAGACAGTAACACCCAAAGAACGGTTCGAAGCAGCATCTAAGCATGCCGCACTTCTTCGAGCCCTCTACAACCACCCCAAGACCGTAGTCGCCAAATCCAAACGAGCTCTGGCTGACCGCTCCAAGATGCCCGCGACGCTGTGGAACGTCCTGGATTTCGAGGTCTCGACGTTCGAGCAGTACCTCGTTCCGCTACTCCCCCCCAGCGCCACCAAGAACTCCAAAGCTCTGGCAGATGCATGGGACTACACGGACCCTAACTTCAAAGAGGACGAGGCTGCACTGGCTGACGATCTCTACCCCAAGATGCAGTCTGCGGCCCTGAAGGAGAAATGGTCGGATGCGGCAGGACGGACAGTCATGATCACCAGCATCATCCTGGACAAGCCCCGGCAGATTTTGTTCGGTGGTCCTTTGGACTTTGGACCTGAGGTCGAGGAGGCTGCGCGAGCGCTTCAGGCGAATTGAGTTGACGTGACGGTAAGGAGTATGCTCTGGTTTTACGAATAAAGGAAGGCCTTTATGCTTGTGGCATGACACACGAAAGTTATAGCGCAAAAAAGAAAGCGAGATGTGGCTTGAACATGCGACATGCCTCCGCAGCCACTCGCTAGAAACGACAAGGTGTTTCCCGCCGCCATCGCCTCCGCCTCTCGAGTATCTATCTCAGAAGCCTGGCTGGGACTCACTACCGCATGTACGTGGATTCGAGCCTCTCTCAGACTCTGTGGTCCAGCTACACGCAAGCTTTACACTCTTCACATCTATCCAAGACACACATTTCAAATTCAGGTTCTATCAGTTCTCGCTGAGACCCGCCGTCTCGATTCTCCATGTCTACCCTCCCCCTTCACCCCTCCCCCCTCCAGATACCACGCCAGTCATGCATCCTAAGCACGACAAAGGTCGCCCGCATCAGCCGTTTCCCACGCCGCCGTGATGCCCGTATCGCCCGTGACCACCGAGTTCCCGCCCTCACACCTATCTTCGCGTTTACAACATGTCTGATCCATCCATTCAAATTCGTCGCAATGTCGGTCTGCTTCACATGCGTGCCCGTAAACGGGAACCCATTCCTCAGACAGATTCAAGTGTGATCGAGTGCGCGGAATTCGGCGTGGGCTTCAGTCCGAGGTCGTCGAAGATATCCCCCGTAACAATGTTTTGGGAGAGTTCATCGGCCATCTGTTGCATTTCCGAGACGGCGAAATTTGGCGGGCTGGGAGGGATGAGTGTGTTGCATTTGAGGGAGGAGGCCGCGGCGACGGTTGCTGTGCTCGCGGTGAGACCGAGCAGAGCTAGAGTAGGGACGAAGCCCAAGAGGCCTAGAGGCTGCAATTTAGGTGTGGAAAAAGAGCATCCTTGGACTTGGAAAGTGTCTGGGTTTTGTGTTTCGGTCGTTGTGAGGTGAGGGCGTTGCTAGATCACAGGAACTTGTTGGTAGATGCATAGTGGATGGTCCAGCTGAAGAGTCTGCTATTTATATCTCATATATACCAAACATTTCAATGTTTCATACCTACGGTCCAATATCGATACAATAGATATCTGCCTTCCTTCTCGCCTCTCAGGCTGCTGTCAAATGGAACCCACGATGCTGACCGCAGGTTTCAGTTCACAACTCAATTCTGACAGAGACTATACGAACACCACTGGGACTCGAGTCCTTCTGAAACATCGGTGTTAGTTGAACTACCTAAGGCCGCAGGCGGTGGTACATATTATGGGAGCCCTGGGTTTATAAAGCGCTTGTCCGCGTGCTGGAGCGTGCGAGCGAAAAAGTCACACTCGGTATTGGATCCTGTCAGATAAGCCAGACGAATAAATACGGGCCCCCGTCCCAAGTAGATGCGTGGAGTGCTGAATTACGCAAGCTGAGCGTTCGAGGAGCCTCACCGTATACGCGGTCAGCAGAGAATGCGGCTAGCATGCCAAGGCCTGGCCCAGAGCCAACGTGACCACCGACCACTTACCACTCAGCCTTGCACGTACGTCATAATTAATGTTCCCGATCAACCACTCAACCTCGCTGGCGGCCAAGCTTCGCCAATTTGTTGTTCCTAGGCTCGTACTCGTAGGCGTGGCCTCGCCACGAATTATGGACTCACGCCCACCCGTTGGCGTGGCTCTGGCCCTGACCAAGAACCGCATTCTGGTAGGTCGAGGCTGATGTGGTCACCCTAGATGGACGCAATCTTCGTGATGATCCGGTTTTGCCAATGACGTTGTGCCATGTTTTCTCCTTGCTGGGCGCACCACGCGTTTGGGGTCACGCGGCCTTGCCATGGACATGCTACGAATCAAACGGCGCAGATCGGCTCTGGCAGAATGCTGTTTGTGCAAGAATTGGGTTGATTGTTGTCAAACCGGGCCATGCGGTGAGTGATGGGCTGAATGGTGGAGGCTGGATGTTGGCGCCGTTGTGCGTGTTCGTGCCCGGAAAAAACAACCAACCTTTTGCGCCGTTCCTTGATTACTCCCTGACCGATGGTCATGACTTCAGAGTATATCTCGTGAGCCCTTCTCTGGACAGTTCTGTCAAGCTACATATCTATCACTTGGACCGCAGGTGTGACATTGGCGCTTTGCCCATCTTCCTCCAACCTATCTTCAGCCTACCTGCTGCAGAAAGTACCCCAACATAGTCCGTCGAAGATTAAAACACAGTCAAGATGCCAGTCATCTCACGGGTTGTCTCGATGATCCTTCGCGCTGGCGAATTGGCCTTCGCAGGAGTGAGTGGCCGCCAAGCTCCTTTCTTCCCGGACTAAACTGACTGTCAAATAGATTGTTGCAGGTATTGTTGGCAAGTACCTGCATGACTACCGGTCTGGTAGTGACCAGCCTCTGGCACGCTTTATCTACATCGAGATTGTCGCCGGCATATCGCTCCTTCTTGGCCTTCTTTGGCTGCTCCCCTTCGCATCGGGCTTCGTCCATTGGCCTGTGGACGTCTTCGTATCAGCTGCATGGTTTGCAGGGTTTGGTGTCTTGGTTCAGTGGCGCAATAGCGCACAAGGCGCTTGCGCAGGGGATACCTTTGCGTGGGACCAGATCTCCCTCCGAGGCACCTGTGGTCGTTGGAGAGCAACGGAGGCATTCTCTTTCTTATCGGCCATCTTTTGGCTTGTGAGCGCATTGGTCGGCGTCTGGTTCATCCACCGTGAGAGACGCAAGGCTGGGCCCGCCGCAGGAACGTAAGCATCAACTACAACTCTCCCGTTTTGAAAGCGTTCTTGCGTGCTGACTCATCGCAGCTACACTCGCCGCAGATGGTTCGGCCAACGCCGCTCCCATGTCTAGACTGACATAAGGGACACCATGCGCAAAGCAAAGGTCAATAACAATCAAAGGGATGGTGCAAGGTCCAGGATCTCCTTACGAGACATACAGGCATGGCGGAGGAGGGAACAGCGATGGAGGATGGCATTTCTTTTTTGTTCCAGAAGATACCCCACGTCACGCGCGATTTTGTTGCCAGCTCAGGCAAGGACAGGAGCCTTCGGGAGTGGTCAGATTGCTGGATTGTAACAGTGGCCTATTGAGGAGTTAAACTGGCACTGTACTAATAATTTGAGCAGTATGAGACAAGGCTGTATTTAATGACATACTTGGTGAGTTTTGATATAGTCCGGTTGCGTGCATGTCGTTTCCCTTGGTTGGAACTTGATCAACTGCCCTTGTTTGAACATCATCTCACTTACATAGATGACATAGAAGCAACACTAGGCCGTTTGATAATTATGCTGTTCATGAATGTCGGGATAAAACGGCAGGTAGAGCCGAGTGCCAAGATGGGCAAGTGCAGCCTCGCGGCTCCAAAAAGCTGGGAAATTTCGTGAAGAAAGCTACTGCATCACCATCTCCGTATCTCAGAATCATATTCGGCATTCGTCCTGCACTTCTTATTAGTGCACTGCTTTACTTCTATTTCTTCTCGGCTATTGCTTAATACCTCTCACCCCTTGCGTTCCCTTGGAAATCGCACCCTTTCAGCCCTTGATTGCTTACTGATTCGCAAACTCTCCGCCATGGTTCAGACGTCGACAATTGTCACGATATCCGTTGGTACGGTGATAACGGGCGCTCTTGGTATGTTTCCCTCCGGCCCTTTCGTGCAGGACGACCTCTGCTAACCGGCGGATAGCATATGCTGTGTATTTTGACTACAAACGAAGAAATGACCCCGACTTTCGAAAGGCTCTAAAACGAGAATCGCGCCGCCAGGCTAGGATAGCCAAAGAAGAAGCTGAGATCCAAGGGAAGCAACAAAGAGAAGAAATCAAGTCGGCTGTTCAAGAAGCCATCGACGAGGGATTCCCCACCGATATTGAAGAGAAGGAGGCATTCTTTATGCAACAAATAGCTCAGGGTGAAGCCCTAGCAGGTGACGGTATTTATGCAATGGTTCCTTTCATACAATTGGCACTGACACATTTCAGGATCGGACCCTATCGCCGCCGCTCTGTGCTTCTACAAGGGTCTCAAGGTTTATCCCGAGCCCTCTTCGCTGATCGGTATCTACGATAACACTGTACCCAAAGAAATCCTCGAGATCCTCGCGGTAATGGTTGCGCAAGACAAGAACTTAAAGGTTGGCTCATTTGGTGCTGGACGAGAAGGGTCTCCCTCAGACGGACCTGGTGTCGAGTAGGACCCTACGTGGCGGTTGATCAGAATTGTACCAACAAGACGTTCTAAAGAACGATAATTCTGCCTGGCCTGCAGCTCGGGTGGGGGTGGGCACGGTTTGCCAAAAGAGCCTGGATGAATCTCGCCTCTTGTACGACTGTTGTATATCACCGCTGCGTAGGAGGCGCTGTACGTTTCGAGCAATAGGCATGAAACCCCATGTGTGTCTGAACATTCTTCGGCAATCTCTTCTTTGATCGGCGTCTGATAAATGAAAAGCTCTCAAATCTTGTCTTGGACTGCCACTAGATAGCTGACGATAGTCCGCCCGTACGACGATTTCAATGCGATTCTGCATATGGTGTGATCATGCGGGCTCGACGCTTGAAAGAGCCTATTCTGATGTTTGGGGTTCGTTTGTTTCATCGTTCTGCTTTATATCTGTAGGCCGCTTTGGCTATCCCTGGAACTGAGGACAGAATTAGAGGACCGTGGACCGAATCTCGTCGTCTTGCATGTTGCAACAAGCTGTCGATTCTCTTACGCCGGTGCAAACATCTCTCTTCGGGCACTGGAGCAATAATCAAGAAAAGTCCCGCTATGCTTTCCATATCAGATCTGGCGCCCTGCCGTTCGTTAGTATTACTCGTAATTCGACGGTGCAGGGATGTGTTCTTGCTCCACCTCCCTTCTTTTCAAAATTCCCATCTTGAATCTTTGCCTCTCAAGGTACGTCTACGTCCCAAAGAGACAGAACGGTATTTTTGCAGCAACATCAATTTCGTTCTAGAGTTAGCCATGGCATCCGAGTTGGCATGCGCAATACGTAATAAGTCGACGCGAATATCCGGTGATGTTTGGGTGCGGATAGCTCCGACTGAACCATCTAGTCCTCTCGTCTGCACCTGACCTTTGGAGCGAGCAATTTCGGGTTGATATCCTCGACCTGCCCTTCACGATGTCCCCCCTATATATGTCAAAGGGCGCGACTTGATTCTGTAAGTTGTGGTGCTGATGTGATAGACCACGGCGCACTCTCTTGTTTACTGATCTCGCAGCCTTACCAAAGAAGGGCTCTCATTCCGTGGCTCAGATGCTTCGGGCTTCTTGATCCTACTAATCTACTGTTGCACCATTCTCCCTCATTGGAGGAATCAAGGGAGGAAATTCATCAGTCGCTATCATGGCATCCTCAAGGCCTCACCCCCTTGACCCATTGACGCCATCGGAGATTGGAACAGTATGTACATCAAAAGACCCTTGATCGGATCTCTAATAACGACCAATAGACTGCGAATCATGTCCGCTCGGCATTTCTCGGCCAAAGTGTATACTTCCGAGTCATCACATTGTCCGAGCCCGTCAAGACAGAGATGATCGCTTTTTTGGATGCGGAACACAGTTCTGGCAGCGAGCCCTCGTTGCCGTATCCAGCCCGACTTGCCATGGTCCAGGCATTCTTGGGCGCACGCAACAGTGATAACTTCTACCAGCTCAAGGTCAATGTCGCATCGGGCGAAATTGTTCAGAAGAAGCAATTGACTGGCTGTCACCCGCATGTCGATGTCAATGACATGCAAAAGACCGAAAGTGCATGTCTGGCCGATCCGCAGGTTCAAGCTGCCATCAAAGACATGAAATTGCCCGAAGGAGCCATCGTCAAAGTCGAACCGTGGACTTATGGGACAGATGGTATGAATGATATGAAGCAAAAGATTACCATGGTATGTGTGGACCACGGACGGATCGTCTAGTCTGGCCGAATGCCGAAATATCAGCTAACCAGGCAATCAATATGGTTAGTGCTACTTCTACATGCAGCTCATCACACACTCGGATGCAAACTACTATGCGTACCCGCTTCAATTGTGTGTCGAGATGTCTGGAGACGCTCAGGTGCTCAAGATCTATTATCTTCCTCAGGGCACTTCGAATGATGTCAGCACCACAGCCACACCATACGACTCGAGGAAGATCCACGACTCAAGCATCGAATACCATCCGGATCTGGTGCCGAACCATCGCACCACCACCAAACCATATCACGTCTCTCAACCTGAGGGCCCCTCTTTCCAGGCCAATGGCAATCTCATCACGTGGGAGAAATGGAGGCTTCGGGTCGGCTTCAACTATCGCGAGGGCCTTACCCTCCATGATGTCCGCTATGGCGGTCGCAGTCTGTTCTACCGACTATCTCTTTCCGAAATGTTCGTCCCTTACGGTGACGGCCGCATGCCATATAACCGCAAAGCAGCATTCGATCTAGGCAATGACGGAGCGGGAGTCAATTCCAACAATTTGCGGCTTGGTTGCGATTGCCTTGGCCACATCACATACTTTGATGGGTGGCATACCACCAGCGACGGGACGCCGATCAAACTCCCAAACGCAGTGTGCTGCCACGAGGTTGATGACGGGATTCTGTGGAAACACACTAATTTCCGAACGGGCAATGCCGTGGTGACGCGCGCGAGAGTTTTGGTTCTCCAGACCATCATAACGGTCTCCAACTATGAATACATCTTCGCCTTCCATTTCGGACAGGACGCGTCGCTGCACTACGAAGTCCGAGCCACCGGAATTGTCTCGACCGTGCCGATCAACATAGGCGACAGGGTCCCGTACGGCACGACAGTTGCCCCGGGCATTATGGCACCTTACCATCAACACATCTTCTCGCTCCGAATCGACCCGGCCATCGCAGGGAACAAGAACTCTCTCGTCGTCGAAGAATCACATCCAATGCCAATCCAAGATCCGAAAGTTTACAACCCGTTCGGGATCGGCTACACCACAACCTCCCAGATCGTAGAGAGTGAAGGGGCCCTCGACCTCGACCACACCGTCAACCGGACCTTCAAAATCATCAACGAGGACGTCATCAACCCCGTGACGAACGGCCCCGTAGGCTACAAGCTAACCCCCTTCTACAGCCAAATGCTGCTGGCACACCCGTCATCGTACCATGCAAGACGCTCTGAATTCGCCGCCCATGCCGTCTGGGTCACACGGTACCACGATGACGAACTCTTCGCCGCCGGCCAGCATACCATGCAGTCGCTGGGCGGGCAGGGGATCGCGTCGTGGATCAAGAAGCGCCAAGACGACCAGAAACTGGAGACCAGTGTGAGGAACGAGGATATCGTCGTCTGGCACTCGTTTGGGTCTACCCATAACCCCCGTGTCGAGGACTGGCCCGTCATGCCGTGTGAGAAGATGACGGTGGGGCTCAAGCCGGTGAATTTCTTCAACGCGAATCCGGCCATCGACGTTGCTGTCTCGACGCAGGAGAGGAACAGGAGTGTTTTGGTTAACGATGCCCGTGCTGGAGATGGTGTCTTGGTTAATGGCCACTGTGCGAGGTGAGGGAGATTTTTGCCCCCCCCTCTATACGTGGGGAACTTTCGGCTGCTACCATTGTTGCGCATGGCTCCGCCTGAGGGCTAGGAAATAGAGTATACATAGAACATAGAATTGGATCATAGCTAGCATCAATAGACATCGTCAACCACGCCCCTGATACGACGTGAGAAGAAAGAGCAGATTTTAAATATTTACGACACATTCAACCCACGGAGGCGACCAAACCATTCAACATCCGCCTCCCGTAACCGCAACACCCCCCAAAGCCACAGAGCAACAACAGTTGCCAACGACGAGAAGACCGCCACGAGCGCCATGTGCACACCGTTCCGCTTCCTGACCTGCGACGTCACATCGCCGAGCCACAGGCTTTCGCCGAAATCCTTCCTCGCGACCCTCAGCCCAGGCAGGCCGTCGAGCGAGCGCCGGTTCCAGTTCGCGCGGTAGTCGTTCATCACGCCGTTCTCGATCTGCTTGCCGGCCCAGTGGCCCAGCGTGTTGCGGTCTTCGAGGTAGGCGATTTGGTTGGTGGTGGGGGATTGTGGATCGGGCTTGACTGCGAGGTAGGGGACTGCGAAACCGCATGATGTTTGGGCCTGCTACGTGTTAAGGGGGTGAGAAATCGCAGACGGGTGAGGCTGTTTGTTGGCAGGAAAATGTCAAGTGGGGTGAGGAGGCCCCGTTGGTGGGTTTTGGGGGGGAAGAAACCGTCTGCAGATAGAAGGGTTGGCGCAACGACTGTGCTCTGCCTGCTTACCTTGTAGACATCCAGCACGACCACGGCCCTCGCGCCCGTGACCGTCTTGCCGCCCATGCGCTTCAACCAACCATCGAACCCGGGCTCGTTCCACGCGACAACCCGGCCGGTGCAGAAAAACCGCATGATGCGCGGGCTGGTCTCGAACGAGCAGAACATGACGGTACACCGCCCGTTCTCCTGGATGTGCGAGATCGTCTCGATCCCGGAGCCCGTCGCGTCGACGTACGCGCACTGGTTCGGCGTCAGGATGCTGAATGATGACGACGGCAGCCCCTTTGGGGAGAGATTGATGTGTTTCCCCTTGAGCGGCGCGGACGCCACAAAGAACACTGGCTGCTTCATCGCCCATTCCGCGAGGTCCGGCTCGATCTGGGTGAAGAATTTCACCATGGTGGCATTGGCTTTCTTGTTTCCCCGGGCTTTGAGAGAAGAGTCCAGATGGAAGTGTTGCGTCGAGAGATGGGGAAGCAGCAGGGTGGGGAGTGAGGAAGGATAGATAGTAGGACACGGTCTGAAAGGAGAAAGGGAGGGGGGGAAGGGGGAAAGGGGAGGGGAATACTTATCCTGTTGAAATAGAAAGGGAAGGGAAGAGGAGAAAGAGTGTTTTATATACAACCATCGGCGCTCTAATTATACCCGCTCGAGTTGTCTAGAGAAGTCGAAGTGCTTGCTGGAACGGTGGATCTGTGGAGAAGGGAACCCCCGAATATCAAATGGTTAGATAACGAGGGCTTACAGGGCACGCAGTCACGTGCGATACGATTGAACGAGTAGCTCAATGCTACGTCGAGACAGATATAAAGATCTAGAGACAATTCTATCTATCGTAACTAAACGAAATAGTACATATTTAGTAGGGATCTTCCCCTAAGCATTTATATATATAGCCTTATAATGAAAACGGATGTAACCTTATTACTGAGTAGTAGGATCGTGTGGTGTATACCTCCTAGTAAAATCGACTGTCCCTACTACTAAAAACTATGAAGTAAACAGGGCTCGAACACTAGACTTTCACCGAGATTATCCGAGATAGACCAAAAAAAAAAGTCGACCACTAGACAAGCCCGAGACTTCGCATATCTTGCCACGGTGTAGTCTCACGCCGCCAACTCCGGGTGGAAATGTCTCTGCAGAATTGCTTCCCTCAAGGGTCATTTCCATTGCTTAGCGTTCCGTAGCGATCGTGGTTTACACACACGAGTACGAAGAACGACCCGAAATTCCGAGTGAGGCACGCGATGAACAAGTGTGGAGTGTGAAGCGACGCCCCAAAATGCTCGATAGAAAGCAGCCTTCTTTAATTATGACCATGACAGCCAAATGCCAAGACTGGCGTTGTAAGTTATATTGCACATTTTGCAAGAGGCACGTGGTGCGGGGGAGGCTCTATGAGTTTGAGTCTTGCCCAGGGTTACTCATGAATATTATTAGTTGCTTTCGTGGCTTTCATGACCCAATTTTCATTGGAGGCATAAAGCTATCAAGGGCAGTACCTTCATTACGACTATGTCATGTGGCAAAACAAAGCACTTGTAAAGTCTAATGCACAGGAAGGGTAGTAAATAGGGTCAAGAGGTTCCAATCTGCATGCAGTTGTACACTGCATTTCTGCGTGTAAGTGTGGTCAGCCCGAATATGTTGATGGTGCACATTGTCTTGAAAGAAATCAAATGAGAGCCCTCGATACTGGGCACTCGAATGGTCACAGCCTTTTGCTGGACGTTGCGAAACAACCCTCTGACGGCCTTCACTATTCTTAGAAGTACAGCCGAGGTTGTATGCATGCGTCCTACATCAGTAACGACACAGGCAATGCCTAGAAATACTAAAAAGTAGGGCCTTATCCAGGTAGCCGTACTCGGATCTTTTAATGGACGGATGGGAACTGCCTCGTGGTAGCATTGCACGGAACTCAACATAGATGTTTCAGTCGGGACTGATCAGGCTGGCCGCAACATCTGGACGAGGCCGTAGGTATCAGGTCCTATTGTGACATCGGTGCACCTACGGCGCAACTTGATGTTTTTCCTAATGACCAACCCCTCGTTGCCCTGAATCCGCTCCTTCGAGGTAAGGAGGTGAGACTGCTAGATAGCCTCTCCACACTGATATGTATCTGTGCAGGAGCGTCGATTACTAAATCGTTAATGGCAAAGGAACCTTCCCGGGAATTGCGCTCAAGTTCTTGGCCAACCCAGCTGCCGAGGCTGCACGCGACGGGGTGGCTCGTATCCGCCCCTGAACTCATCGTTTTCCCTGCGGCATTGGCTGCAGCTGCCTACAGTAATTGATTCTGCCATCTGCCTGACCCACAATCTGGGGACCGCACGGCCGATGCCAGCTAACTTGTAGCTCTTCAAGGTCCTCTCACGATGAGACTGGGAGATAGCGGGGAGCCCATGGGTGCATAACAGTGGTGTCGAATGCATGGGATATCTGGCTGACTTCTGCGGTTTGCTCGAGACGGTCAAGGCGCCGAGTTCCGCACTGATTGGCTCGGTGGAGCAAGGCATCAGAAATTCCCTGAAGAGGAAGTTGAGTTGTTGGATCGTGACCAATTAATGCAGCGAACAGCCTGCAGTCGGACATTTGGTTCCGCAGAGTCTGCCGATGCGCAACCGATATAAACGATACAGCCGAAGACAATTTGTGAAAACACCCAATGGGTTCCAGCCCGTATGTACGATCCTTGCAATTGATGGGAGGTGGAAGTGTGAATTGCCCCTCACTAGTACGTAGTAAGTTAGCCCCGAGCTACGACTGACCTCACACTGCCGCAATAACAACAATGGCCCCTCCATTTGTTTATCGAGATGTTCTCTGCCCCCGAATCCTGCGTGGCTCATTCAAACCCTTACCTGCAGAGGCCACATACCACTCTTTGGATCCGTGTGTCAGAATATCTATCGGCCCCTGCAGCAAAGGAGGCGACCGACGGTTTTCGCACGTACACTGCGGATGAATACGTCTCCGCAGGCGCCTGGTACTAGATAGCGGACTCGTGATGGCGTTACTGTATGTACCTGCTAATCTCCATATCGCCGACGCGCCGGCATAGCACCACGAAGCACTGCCAGTATCGTAGAGCTTGGATGTAACAGATATCGGTACGTCTCGGTAGAAACCGTAGGGCCGTAATTGGCTATTTGAAATACATAAGCTGATGGATGGATGAATGGTGAAGCAACGCAGAGATAGCGACGAAGGCGTGAACCGTTCATCCGTGGAGAACCGGTATCGAGAACCGGTAATTAATACCGGACTGGCTGTCAGGCGGTATCTTCCCCGCCATTCTGGCCTGTCTCAACAATACAGAAGCTCACTTCTATCCGTTTCGTAGAGAACGGCAGCAGGCTCCGATCACGGTTGAGCGGCTATTGCTGGTTTATGTGCTATCGACTCGGACAGTCGAAACTCAGTCCGCTGGGCTAGAACATGGATCAAATGCCAGATCTGACATAGCAATCCAATTGCTGCCACCAGGGTCAGGGCCAACCCCTCTTTCGGGTTCGTTGCCGGCTCCCGATTCCTTGAGCTTTTCCATTTTTCCCTTCTTCCCCAGCTCCATCGTCCAATCCGTTTCCTCCTGGGCCCGCCGATTCGACCTTTCTGACGTTCGGATTCCTCCCTTGGTCCACGGAAACATGTCCATGGACGTTGTCTGACCCTTTCAGGCTCGGGTGCCAACCCCGCAGTCGTCTTCTTCTCCCTGCCTCGACCAGGAGGACCTCCAATCATCCGAACATCGTTCAAGCATGGCGTCTCCACCACCACCTGCATCTCCCGCTCAACCTGACCAGCAGAGTCTAGCACTGATCATGACCTCAGACCCTGCTCAGTGGCTCGGTCCATAGGAAAGCGAACTGTCTAGTTCGGTATGTGGTGGGCATCATCTACCACCCAATGTTCCTTCCCCGCGCATAGAGATTTCAAATAAAGAGCTTATTGTCCTCGGGCCATCTTCTGCTCCTCCTTCTGTTCTGTCTATCAAACCCCTTGACGACTTTCTTTTTCCATTTGATACCCAATTCACCAAAAGTTCGCAATCATGTCTTTGACAGCAAAGATCGAAACTCCCAGCATCACCTACGAGCAGCCCATCGGTCTCTACATCGATGGCAAGTGGGTGAAGGGTGTCGAGGGCAAGACCTTCGAGACCATCAACCCCACCAACGAGAAACCCATTGTCGCCGTCCACGAGGCTGGCCCCGAAGGTGAATTTGCAATTCTGCCGCACGACCCTCACGATCGCCAGTGCTAACGCTTGTGTCAGATGTCGACCTTGCCGTCAAGGCTGCCCGCAAGGCCTTCAATGGCGTTTGGTCCCAGACTGCCCCGTCTAGCCGAGGCCAAATGCTGACCAAGCTTGCCGATCTCTTTGATGAATACTCCGATACTCTCGCTGCTATCGAGTCTCTCGACAACGGCAAGGCCCTCTCTATGGCCAAGGTCGATGTCCAGCTCTCGTCGGGCTGCTTAAGATACTACGGTGGATGGGCAGACAAAATTCACGGAAAAACCATCGACACAGACCCAGAGACATTCAACTACACAAGACACGAGGCTGTCGGAGTTTGCGGTCAGATCATCCCATGGAACTTCCCTCTGCTCATGTGGGCATGGAAGATCGGACCCGTCCTGGCCACCGGTAACACTGTCGTTTTGAAGACCGCAGAACAGACCCCCCTCTCTGGTCTGTTCGCCGCCTCTCTTTGCGAGAAGGCTGGTATCCCAGCCGGTGTGGTCAACATCATCTCCGGATTTGGCAAGACCGCAGGTGCCGCCATTGCCTCCCACATGGACATTGACAAGGTTGCCTTCACTGGATCGACCGTCGTTGGCCGAACCATCCTCCAAGCGGCTGCCAAGTCCAACTTGAAGAAGGTCACCCTCGAGCTGGGTGGCAAGTCACCCAACATTGTCTTCAACGATGCCAACATTGATGACGCTATCTCGTGGGTCAACTTTGGTATCTTCTTCAACCACGGCCAGTGCTGCTGTGCCGGTTCCAGAATCTACGTCCAGTCTGGTATCTACGACAAGTTCATCGAGAAGTTCAAGGAACGAACTGCCAAGAATGTTGTCGGTGACCCATTCAAGCAGGACACCTTCCAAGGACCTCAGGTCAGCAAGCTCCAGTTTGACCGTATCATGAACTACATCCAGTCTGGTAAGGAGGCTGGTGCCAAGGTTGAGACCGGTGGTGAACGCCACGGAGATGAGGGTTACTTCATCCAGCCCACCATTTTTTCCAACGTTAGTGCCGACATGAAGATTATGCAAGAAGAGATCTTCGGTCCCGTCTGCTCTATTAGCAAATTCGAGACTGAGGAGGAGGTCATCAAGGCTGGTAACGAGACCACCTACGGTCTTGCCGCCGCTCTTCACACCACCAACCTCAACACTGCCCTCCGTGTCTCCAACTCGCTGAAGGCCGGTACCGTCTGGGTCAACTGCTACAACTTGCTCAGCTACCAAGTGCCCTTCGGTGGCTTCAAGGAGTCTGGTATTGGCCGTGAGCTCGGCAAGTACGCCCTCAGCAACTACACCCAGGTCAAGTCCGTCCGAATGAGACTTGGCGGTGCTCTGTTTGGTTAAATGATGTTGCCACGATACCAAAGTTGAAAACCAAATACTAATAAAATAAGTTTCCACAAGTGAAAGGGCAAAGAGAATGGAATCAGCAACAGTTTGCGCTTTCGCGGATGGTCTGCTGACGATGCTTCGGTGTCTTGCGCATGCAGTACTGGACTGCAAAAGCTTATCATGTACATGTTAATGAGAGAAATGAGATGCCCCCAAGGAAAATATTGAACATCCTTTAGAATCATCTGTGCTGCATATTCTGTGATTTCGGGTGATACATTGTCCCATCGGACCTCCCGCAAGCCTCCCGCTCACACGTTTTCGTCTCAGCCTTGCGTCGATCAGACAGCCTCGGCAAAGGGCCCTCTTCTCGGCCGAGAGACATCACGTGGAATTCACGAAAAGGCACTGACACCCACCCCCAGCAACACCAGTAGGAGGCAGTACCAAATCCATTAAGGCATGTCATTTATCCGCCGGCTGTAACGAGCTTTGTTTTTGAGGCCCTGAAATTGGTTCAGCAGTTGATTGATTCCTAATGCTTACATTATCGGCTTCTCGCCCGGCCGGGATCAGATTGCACCGAACACAGCACGTTTGCAGTAGTACCTGGTATCCACCTATGATTTCTGCTCCTATTTCAGGGACCAGTGATGTGCGGAATCAGCCGTTAACTATTGTGAACTCATCTTCAATATCTATCTCCTCCCTCCTTCCCCACGATTTTATGTATTTCTGTCATTTCTTAGATCCTTGTTAAATACCAGGATTGATTGGTTCTATGAGACGTTGGGCGTGGCGCTGGCATTGGCATTGGCATAATATTCTGCTTGTTATGATCGCGAGCCTCTTGGCGCTACCAGCATTTAGATCGAGAGTCGGTAATATCGCCGTCACCACCGCTAGGGTGTTCTTGACAGGAAAGGCTGGTCTAGAAGGTCGAGTCGCGAGTTATTCTGGTTCTCCGACGGCAGTGTGGACAGCGACAGCGCGAAGTCAATCAACATTTCCGGCGGCTGCCTTGAGCAGTCCATCTGACTCGCTCCAACAACTTCAGGACCGGCAAGGCCAGGACCGACTCTCAAACATGGCGTCGTCGGCAGCTTCTGCAGAACCAGGATGCGCAGCAGGGCCCGAAACCAAAGTCTCGAACGATAGCCCTGCAGAGACTGATCTCCCAAAGCTATCGGCCGCAGACTTCAGCGAATACAACCAATTGGCAGACATGATGAACGCATATGTATGTGTTCTCCTCTCCACCACTGGCGCTCGACCTTCCTTTCCTCATTCCTTGTCAAGTCGTTTTTAGAAAACTAAGATATCAGTTGAGGCTGACACTACTCGACCCACAGCACAACCATTTCCGCCACACGTGGAACATCCTCTACAAAACATGCACCTCGGGCTCCCGACCGGGAGGCATGTCCATCCGCTCCTTCTTAAACCAAGGCCTCCAGCTCTGCCGACAGCTAACGATGCACCACACGATCGAAGAGCAGTACTTCTTTCCCCCGCTCGCGACGCGCATGCCGGTTTTTGCGGAGAACGACCACCTGATCTCGCAACACGAGCAGATCCACGAAGGCCTGGTCAAACTCGAGGAGTACCTCGATGCGTGCCGCAAGGGCGAGCGGGAACTGAGGCTGCCGGAGTTGAAGGAGGTCATGGATTCGTTTGGGGAGGTGCTGTGGGCACACCTCGACGATGAGGTGAGGACGTTGGGGGCCGAGAATATGCGGAGATATTGGACGAAGGAGGAGATTGCTGCGATGAATCTTCATTGATCTATGGACGCCGAACCGAAAATAGAGAGAGTCTTGAAGGGGCCGAGGATTTCAGGCGTTTGATCCATTGTGTTGGGTGCCCTGAGTCGATATTTAGATCTGTTATGGCCTTCTTGTGTGCTCGAATGAACGTTGGCTAGGCTGTTGGTCATCACTATCAAGCCCTTTGTCTGTGTGACTGTGACCGGCTTAGTAGACTCTTTCGCGCCGTCTCTGTTTTCATCATTCGCATTGGTGCCCCTCTCAGAATTCGCATCCGCACGCCGTCTCAACAGTCATGACGGAGAGCATCTGAGGTTCCAGCTATGGTTTGACACTGATTGATCCCGCCGGCGGACCGAGTCAGAGGTTCAAAGAGTCCCTCAGCCCTTGCCTCACTAGAATTTGGATCCACCTTCTCCATACGATCTAGATGTCACTAGCGAGGTGAGTTCCAAGCAGCATAAAACGGAACTTCACGCGCTCTCCACCTCTCGAGTCAAGCACGAGAAAATGTAGCTAGCTCGATACGAGCCCCGTCGTCGCTCGGTCTGAGCTGTCCCGAAGCTAAACCAGGTCGTCCTGCAAGCATCCAGAAGCACTCGGAGCAAGATTGTCCGGGCGCTGATGTCTTTATCGCACTGCAAATCCGCCTGTGTGTCCACTCACCAATCAGGTAGTGTTACAGCATCAATTGATCCCTCCATCGACCGATCAATCCTCGTCCCTCTCCAAGAAAGCCGGGTCATTCTGCACACGTCGCTCGAACTTGGTCCACCAGTCCTGGAAGCTCTTCAAGGGCACGACTTCAATGCCGTTAGCCGTGTTCCCTGCAAATCCAGCCAAGAAGTTGAATGCATTCTTGATGATCCGCTGCGCCAGTAGTCTGGTATCCGGCGCTGCGGTTCCAGATTTCCCGCCGCTGTTAGACCCTTGCTGCTGCTGCTGGAGCTGAGCCATCTGGACCTGGATGTTCTGCACCGGCTCCACCGAGATGCCTAGGTTGATTTCTCCGCCGCTGTTGATGGCCTGTGGTGTCAGGTTGACCTTGAACAAGGCTGATGGTTTCTCATTCGCAATCGCCCCGAGGAACTGGAACCCCTGAGCGCCAGGCAGCTGCATGTAGACTCCGGCGGCCATGTCGGCGGGGAGGAGCTGATTCGGATGCAGGAACACTCCGATATTGTGGAAAATTGGTGCCGTTGGGATCGAGATCGCGAATTGGGTCGCTGACACCGTGCTCATTTCCGGAATCACCGGGCGCGAGGGGATGAAGACGCCGAACATTGCCGCTTTGCTTTTTGCTGTTTTACAAAGAGCGAGAATGTGGCTTGTCTGAGGGATTTGAATTCCTGACCCAGGCGCAGAAATATCCGTCTATGATAGTCAAGCCTGGCACGAGTGGATGCTAAAGCTCGAACAAAATGAGGAGTAGTTCTGGTTGAAGCCAGGTCTTTTAGAATATCAAGCAGCCAGCGAAGTCAACAGCGGAGCCAAACCCCTGTCCTTCAATGGTAGGGAGCGGCAAGGCTAAGTAGATCTGGGTATGTGATAATGGTGTCTGCTGCACGGAACTACCTGGAAAGCTCGAGACAGCCCTGCCGAGGATGAAGCTGAGGATGGTGGATGAAATGACGCAATTTGGTTCTCCATACCACAGTGGTAACTGTACCGCGCAGTCTGCCCTGCATGCAGCCTACGAGTGCACATACTGTCAGGCAGAACCCGGGGGAACATATGTCCGATCCGCGATAGATCATGTTGGAGGGGCAAGGCAGAGATAGTTTGATATCAGATCTAACCGTACCAGACAGGTACAGCACTCAATAGGTATTCAGCTCGAATATCCACTCATTCTGTTGATATTCGCTCTTGGATTTTCTGCACTGAATTCCCTCGCGCCGCGACCATGGCGCCGAAGACCAATCTAGACCTAGTGAGTGAGTGTGATAGGTACGTACACTTTGATTCCCAGACAAAATGTGTGCAAAGTGATTTTAAGACAAAAAGGCTGACGAACAGCCCTCTTCTCCTCAACAAAGCTTTCCATACTATTCAGACAACCCGGAAGTGTACAAGGCCAAGATAGCAAACTACTACTCTTTTCTATTGGAGGGATGTGGCGCCACGTTGGGGTACATGCCCTCCAGAATTGCAAAGCAAATGCCCATTAACCAGCATTGGAAACTCGACACACAGCGAGGGACTCTGACTTTCCAGCCGAGAGATGCAGAGGGAGCGCCGGTCGTGGATTTTGAGTCACGGAACTGGATATTGGCTGATTATCTCTATGAAGTGAAAGAGAAGAAGGTTTTTCAAATCCTTGACGGTTGGCGGAATGAACGCTTTCCTATTTATGGGCCCAAGAAGGAAGTCCTTCTGAGTATGGAACGTGCAGCCACCGCGCTCTTCGGCGTGGTCACCTACGGTGTGCACATGACAGGCTATGTTGTGACTGATGAAGGCATGAAAATTTGGACACCTCGCCGTGCGTTGAACAAGCAGACATACCCGGGAATGATGGACAACACGGTGGCCGGTGGTTTGAGTATTGGGGAGCAGCCTTTCGAGTGTTTGGTCAGGGAAGCTGAAGAAGAGGCGTCACTTCCCGCTGATCTCGTGCGTACAGCGCAGGCCTGTGGAGCCACGACTTACTTGCATATCCGGGACGCCAGGGCCGGAGGAGAACTTGATCTCTGTCAACCGGAATGCGAATATCTCTATGATCTCAAGATGCCTCCAGAGGTCATACCGAAGCCCGGCGACAATGAGGCCATCGACTTTCAGCTTCTGTCAATACAGGAGGTTCAGAGTGCCATGGCCGCCGGAAGGTTCAAACCCAACTGTGCCCAAGTGCTGTTGGAGTTCTTTGTGAGACATGGTATCCTGACACCTGAGAACGAGCCTGATTACAATCAGATCATTTGGAAACTCCACCGGAGGCTGGAATTCCCAACTATCTAGATCTCCAACCATCGCATATGCCGGACCTGTATACCCCAGACGCCATCGCTGAATCCATTTTTTGGGGTTGTGGTATCAATGTCTTTGTACCATGATGCAAGAAAAGAGTCCAGTCCTTCATCTATTTTTTCATCAGGAGATAGACATAGTCGATTCGGAGAGCGTTGAGCAGGGAGTATGGGCCATCCATATAGAGCAGTAGACCACCGAAGGACACATAAACCTTGCTGCATATCTCGTTAACACCCTGACAGTCGTATCAGTCACTCCGACTTACATGTTCTCTCCATTCCCTTCCTCAAACCTGTAAATCTTGCCGTGGCACACATAGTCGAACTCATCCGCTAGTGTCTGCTCCCCTCTACCAACCTCCCTCCAACCTTTGCCATCATCTTTGCTCCCGTCCAGGTTTAGGGATAGTGCAAGTGCAACAGTCATGCGATCTTCCACATTGAGAGGGTAGAGTTCGGTGTTGACATCAAGGGTGAGAAGAACCTCCGAGTCGCCTTCACTGAAGGCTTTAATGCGCGAGACACGATCGTATTTGCTGCTGTTGACGTCGGTGATTTTGAAGCTGCTTTCGAACAGGATGTTTTCCGACATCTTGAAATGCTGACGGCTGTCTGTATGGCGACTGGAACGGTGACAAGTCTCAACCCAGAACAGAACACAAGGGTGGAATCTGAGAATGCGCGTGCAACAACCCGCAGTCGAAAATTAAAAAAAATTGGGGAATCAGTTCGTATACGGCGGATCAAGTTACCTCCACGTGATGTGCCTTCTTCAATCAAAAACTTTCCAGGCGCTGGCTGATTAACGTCTGCAACATCTCACAATCCCCCAATGTCATTCCGCAAGCGCAATGTAGGCCTTTCAGGCACTGCTAAATCGGACACTGACCCTTCGACTTCTCTACGAGAAAAGCACACCTTTCCTGGCGTCCGACCGTCCCCGATCGACGGGCGACCTGCGACCTCGACGGGAACCGCCAGCCTGGACACCCTGCTTGCAGGTCATTCCGGCTTAGTGCTAGGCTCTTCCTTGCTGATCGAAGAAAGTGGTACAACAGATTATTCCGGTGCTCTTCTACGATTCTACGCCGCAGAAGGTCTCCTGCAAGGGCACCATGTCCATGTGATCGCCCTACCAGAACAATGGGGCAGAGCCCTGCCTGGGGTCGTGAGAGACTCTGAAAAGAGGGACAAGGCAGGCTCAAGCGAGTCTGTAGAAAAGATGAAAATTGCATGGAGGTACGAGAGCTTAGGCCAATTTGGTGCCGGCTCATACACAAGAGGTGGGCACACTCATCCTCAGAGCATAGCTAGACTCAATGTCATGAATTCCAACATGTTGCAAACCTCTTCCTTTCGAGGCTACTAACCTTTCATTCTTATCAGAGATACCACAGCCAAGATCAACGCAACCAAATCAGCCTGGAAATGACGATACGGATCCGGGATTGTTCTGTCACGCATTTGACTTGACAAAGAGACTGATACACCCTGCTGCAGCCAAATTGGACTTCCTGCAATTGAGTGCCAATCCAAGAGAGTCACCTTTTGGCCCAGTCCTATCACGACTTGCTGGAACAATAGCCAATTCTTCTCCGGACACTGTCCACCGGGTGATAATTCCATCACTTCTTTCTCCAGCCTTGTACCCACCACACTCGAGCAGTCCACAATTTGTTCTTCAATTTTTCCACGGTATTCGTGCGATCCTCGCTACATCTCCCCAACGAGTGACGGCTATTAGTTCGCTGCCTTTGTCATTGTATCCTCGATCGTCGGGACTGGTAAGATGGATCGAACTCCTACACGATGGTGTCCTCGAGTTGTCGCCTTTTCCACATTCAGCAGAGGCTGACATTCAACCCGCCCGCGGTTCAGGTGGCCCGATCGAGGAGCAGCCTCAGGGACTCCTGCAAGTTCACAGGGTTCCAGTGCTTCAGGAACGTGGCAGCGGTAACGCGACTTCTGAAAATGATTGGACTTTCACTTTAAGCAGGAGAAAATTCACCATTAAACCATTCAACCTTCCACCGATTGAGGGGGATACAGAGGCTCAGCAAGTGTCAGGTTTGGACTCCAAAGCGAAAAAGTCGGACGTCGAGTTCTAGATAAAGTCCTTGCTCCGAAAGTTGGTAAAGTCCTCCTTGAGCCGGGATTGGTCTCAGCAGGGGCTATGAGCACAGAGTGGAGCCAACATCAGTTCTATTGCGTTCTTCATCTCATCATTCGCTGGCTCCAGGTCCGTCCCCGGACGCTCGTCATCTGATACTTCTGGGCTGCTTCAATTCCTAGAACCCCAAATTTCAGGGCCAACGGGTGATAGGGCCAAATCCGACCTCAGCAATCATAGACGGGTCCCCTGTAAGGATGCGGGATGCAGCGCTATCTCTGAAAGAGCAACTTCTTGAGAAGGTTTAGCATTCGAGAGGAGGCGTAGTCTGGTAGCTTCCTTTGATGCAGACGTGGTTGCTTGTGAAGGAGTGCAATTGGGGACCTTGTCAATTCGCTGCCATGCCAGGCCGGTCATACTCCGCGAACAGGGAAAGTTTAAACTACGCCGAAGCTTTCCCGCCTCCAGATTCCTTCGCAAAGGCATAAGCCACCAGAATACAGCAGCTAATTCTGTTATGCATATGGTCGAGTCTAAATCGCCGCGCATTATTCAAGAATTGGCAATGAGAGATACCAACTCGAGGTGGTGCGCAATTATAAATCCAACATTTTGCAGATTACGAGCCCACTGCTCGCACAACGTCAATTATTAGAAGGTCTGCGAGACTGCTCGAGGATCTACGATAGGGATGTTCCACGTTCTCAAATAACCGAAGTGGCCTTTCAATATGGCAGCAAAAATTCTCCTCACAGGAGCGACAGGCTATGTTGGGGGTGTTGTCTTGCACTTCCTGGCGTCTCATTTGACGGACTGCAGCATCACCTGCCTTGTCCGTACAGAAGAACAATCAAGCCTCCTGAAATCTACATATCTTGGTGTCAGAACTGTTCTTGGAACTCTCGAGTCGCAAGACCTGCTCATCGCAGAAGCTGCGAAGGTCGACATTGTTGTCCACGCTGCCAACGTTGATCACAAGGCGGGTACTTTGAACTTGTTATATGGATTAAAGTCCCGTCGTGCAGAGGGGAAGGAACCTCTGTATTTGCTCGTTTCCGGGACGGCTTCGCTTCTCGACAAAGAAAACGTCAGAGCTGGCTTGCCCATGACTAAAGCCTACAACGATGTCCTCGATGCCTCAGACATTTGGAATCTTCCTCTCGACCGTCCGCATGTGGCAATCGAACGTCGATTTGTGCAAGAAGGAGAAGCGTCTGGCATCAAAACAATAATCGTGTCGCCGAGTCAAATCTTCCACACTGGTATTGGTATAGGAAAGACAGAGAGCTATCTCAACGAGCATCCTCGGGCAATCATCAAGCGCGGCGCCCCGTTTGTGGTTAACGGAGGCCGGAACCTTTGGTGCTGGATTAGTATTGAGGACTTAGCGGATGCTATTTGCTTTCTGCTTCGCAGATACCTCGATGAAGAAACAGGATCTAAGGACTTTAGTACAGGGTACGGAAGAGATGGATACTACTACGTGCAGACAGGAGAACTCTCTGCCTATGAGCAGACAAATGAGATAGCGGAAGAATTGTTGAAGCTCGGCGCAATCAGGTCTACAAAAATTGACCATATTACCGAGCATGATGCCACCCAATTGAACGACTATGGTGTGTTGCTTTGGGGTTCAAGTATGAGATCCATAGGGCAGAAATTGAGAGACCTAGGCTGGACACCTAAAACTACGGACTGGAAAGGGCTGGTCAGGCGCGCGGCAAGGGTAGAGTGGGAAGCTGTTCAAGCAGGTGAAAGTAGAGGATCAAATTACCAAAGAGTCTAATGTAAGTTGGCAAGAGTCCAGCACCCGACACACGAGTGCGACTAGGATATTACTCGTCAGCTCTACTCCAAACCACAAGGACACCCCCAGAAGCAAGGCTGAATCCCGTGACCCCTGTTGCCAAGCTTTGTAACTGTGTTGAATTTTCATTTTTCCAGCTTCACTTCCCAGCGAGGCCTGTTTCTGGATTACAGACAAAACCATGTAGCCTTCCTCTCAGCGCTTGAAGAACTGCCTTCAAGCTCCTCACAGCTCACCAGCTCCCTGTAATCTCGAATGAAGTCAGGAAGTACCCTATAGCGTTTCAAGACCGCTTGAAAGAAAGTTTGTCAACTCTCGCATCCATGTGAAGGGTAAGCATCCAAATCCTCCCTTTACTTTCTATCTTCGCATGATTACACAAATTTTAATATCTGTCAATCCACTGAAAAACTCCTTTGGAGTATGTGATTGAAGCGAAAAATCGTTGTTGAAATATGATAGCATCACACACATTGAGCAACTCCATTGTCAAACCACCCTCGGTCTGTCCCTTTGCTGATTCATTAGAAGCCTTCAAGTATAGCGATTCCACCATGGATGCATCGGATGATCTCGGCTTCGACTACACACCAGAGTTGCCCATTGCGATCTCCTGTGTAGCAGACCGATACCTGATATTCGACGTCAGGGTCGCGACATGGCTCCGCCGTCAGCATAACATCTGCGGGCTCACAATCGGCAGTCTCCCCCTTGCCCCCTCTCAGAATCTTTTCCTAGGTATTCCGGTTGAGATCATGCCGGAGGAAGCCCAGTTACTTGCCGAGAGAGGGATTGGGTATGTGCTGGACGACGCCCGAGCCCACGACCAAGCGATCCGCTCTCCGGACTCCGCGAGACGTGCGGATTACCTGGACAGGCTGCGCAATCAGGCGAGGCATGTCGAAGCCGTCAAAGTCCAGGAGAAGGCGGCTTCCAAAAAGCGCGGCCTGGAAAAGCAATCCAGGAAAGCAGCGGCCTCTTCGGCCTCAAAACCTATGCTGCCAAATACTGCGCTTGTCGATTTTGATGAGTCGGAGGATCCCCCGGCCATGCAGACACCTCCTATTGGGAATAGTAGCGCCGACGTAGGCGGCGGTGCTGCCGCCAAACCACCCACGGCAAACGTCAACACGTCAAACAGCTACGGCATCACACCGGCGACATCCGACGACTTCCTCCCGCCTTCCCCTCCCACTACCATCACCACAATCAAAGAGCTGCCCACATCCTACCCCCTCTACCGACACCTCCACGACAAAGGCTACTTCATGACGCCCGGCCTGCGCTTCGGATGCCAATACGCTGTGTACCCCGGCGACACGCTGCGCTTCCACTCGCACTTCCTCGCCGTTGGCCGGCAGTGGGACGAGGAAATCGATCTCTTGGATATCGTTGGCGGCGGGAGGCTCGGCACCGGCGTCAAGAAGGGCTTTCTTTTTGGCGGTGCGAGTCCTACGGGTGATGTGAGGACGTTCAGTGTCGAGTGGGCTGCCATGTAAGATGGGGACGGGGCCGGGTGGCTACCCCCGGCCACCGTTTCGCCTCGGAGTCTCTGTCGGTCTTCGCTCTACCACTTCTTCTTACCTGTGGCGAAGAAGCCGAGTCCCCGTCGTCAGGATCGTGGGGTTAGATAGATGATGTTGCGATGTATAGAGCGCAGAGAAAGACTCTCTCGGGAAGGCTGGGGAAAAGAAGACGGGGTAGTTCGCCTGAGCTGAACACCTTCCCCTCCTAGGTCGCCACCAGGCAAACCAGATAGGACAAACAATTCACGAGCATACGAGCTTTTCTACCAGGGGTTTTCCCCATCTTGTATGCCTAGCTTAGCAATAATCGGTGCTTATGATGGTATTTTCATGACTCTAAACTATGATAATCGTTGCCTTGGTGTCATCTCGAATTAACTGTTATCCCTTTGCAACACCTGATTCAGCAGGCCATGGACATGGCTTTCCTTCTCGTGGCAAGGCTTGAGCTTTTCAAGCAATAGCAGTGGTTCAGTATGCTTGCCGCGACGCACTGCACTGCTCCGAGTGATGGCAAATATATGTTCGATGACGCTCCAGCTGGGTCAAGGCCAAGGCCAAGGTTCCAGACAATAAGCAGTCTGTCTTTGAGGTCACGACTCGTCTCATGTGTTGTGGAAGCATGTCGAAAGGCACATTGGCCTTCGTACTTTGGGCAGGACGCGATGGTTCACCATCAAGGGCGCGAGACGAACGTGTTTTGTGTATTCGTGCCGAAGGCGAGGCCAATCATAGATAGTCCATAGATCTCCACTTGAACTTCCGATTCGCCCTGTCGGTAGGTCTGAGCTCAAACTGGTTGCCGTGTAACTCCAGCACCAGCTCCCTGCTATTCTGGTCGTCCTTGCGGTGTGGTAAGGGAATCTTATAGCGAAAGACTGTATCCTTCTTCGGTAGGGTCTTGACCTCATCCTTGGGCGTGACAACCACAAACGTGAACTTCGTATCTCTAACCACAATGCCCTTGATGCCGACCTTGCCGACATCCGTGGCCCTCACCACTTCGACCTCGGCTCCGTGGAAATCTGCACTCGCGAGGAGACCACCATGGGATTGTGCCGTCACCTCCTGCGGCCCTCCGCTTTCCACCACCTCCCCGTCTCGCATGTAGCCCAGCACCTCGAGCATGTATCCCCTCCACATCTCATGCAAGCCCTTGTAGACGTCATACTTGATCTCCTCTTTCTTGAGCTTGAAGACGCCCAGTTGTCGCTTCTCCTTTGCGCTGAGTGGTCGCGGCTTGCGTTTTCTCAGGTAGTACTCTTTCTTTCGAAGCCGGATGTGCCGTCGCAATGCCCTTTGGTCCGATGCTGCTGCGGGTTGTAACAGGAGTGGTTTGTTCTTGACTTTGTCCGTGAAGATGCGGGCTGCGGTGTCGGGTGAGTGGGCGCGGCTTAAGAGGTCGAGTGCTGGGTGCGAGATGGTTGCGGTTGCAGGAGGGCGAGGTGAGGAAGTCATGGCCCTAGTCGTTTGGAGGGAGCACTCATACTCAGTGGCGCCTTGACACACCCACCAGGCCAGAGTATATAGTATGTCTTGAATTGACAGTGGGGAATACAGGATCTTTGGCATGTGGCTCAAAGAATATTATCTGGTGCAGATGAGTCCAGCCGGCGTTGGAGTAAAATGAGGGGAAGGAGCCATCAGCAGTGCTAGCCCACTCCAGGCGCTTAATCACGCCGCCCTGCACTTGTCTCACGCTGGATTTGGCGACGGAGTTTCGGACGAATAACTCCCAAGGTCCCAGTATTATACTCGGTACAAGCCAGTGGCTTACTGCGAGAACGGCGTGCCTTGAGAATTCTGCTCGGGCTGAAGCTATATCCGCCAGCAACACTTGCGTACTCGTAAAAAATTACACAAATCCAATCAGCTAATGATGTCAGATGATGTCCAGTGGACTCCGTCAGGCCTCCCTCCCACTGAAGTGCTGATACCACCACCCGGAGACATATCGACTCTCCTCGAAGTTTCCGCGTCCTTTAAATACTATCCGAGCCCCTGCTCCAGTGCGAAGCAAATGAATACAAGCATCTTCCCTTGTTAGAAACTAGAACCCATCCCGGTCGCAATTGAGACTTTTGCTTTACGAGGAAGATGTCGGAGTTTCCTAAGAAGACCTTCACTGCCGCCCGGTCGGGAAACACATACCAGTACATCCGCATCGAGGCGACTTCACCAGGCAAAACCACCGTTGCATTCTTCCATGGCTTCCCCGCCATTGCTTTTGGATGGCGGCACCAGATCAAGTGCCTTGCGGACAAGGGCTATGGTATCATAGCGCCTGACTTGCTCGGATACGGTGGCACTTCCAAACCAGAACCTGCTTCTGCCTACCGGACGCGAATCATGGTCGAAGATATTAGGGAGGTCTTGGACCACGAGAAGATTGACAACTTCCACGGTGTTGGCCATGATGCCGGGAGTTTTTTCTTGTCGAGACTGTACAACTACCACCCGGCAAGGTTGTTGAGCTTAACGTTCGTCTCGGTGCCCTACAACCCTCCTGGAATCCCGTTTGATCTAGAGGCCGTGAATCAGTTGACCAAAAATATGATTGGATTTGAGAAGTTCGGATATATTCGATTTCTCGCCTCGGATCGCTCCCCTGAGGTCATCGGCAAACATGTGAGCTTTTTCGTGTTTCGTGTTTCGTGTTTCGTGAGTGATGGCATTGCCCACTCGACTGACAGGCCGTAACAGCTCGCATCGTTCCAATCTATCATATTCCACAAGGATGCCGACCTTAGGGCGGACGAGTTCTACCCGCCTGGGCGGTGTGAGGCCTGGCTCGAAGCAGACCGAGACGACGACCAGATTATCCTGGACGCAGAAGAGAGCGCAGCATGGATGGATGCTTTCCGCAGAGGGGGATTCTTGGGGCCAACCAATTGGTACCGCGGGATGACTGAAAAATCGGCTATTGAAGAGGAGCAGGCTGACTTGGCGGGAGGTAAATTGACCACCAAGCTCCATGTTCCTGTTCTAGCGATCGACTCTCAGCCGGACAGGGCCAGTTTGCCTGGATTTTTGGTGGGTTCTATCAAGCCACATGCAGAGCGATTGACGGTCAAGGTCGTGGAGAGCCAAGGCCATTATCCGCATATTGTTTCCAAGGAGGAAGTCAACCAGTCTTTATACGAGTTTATATCAGGGATCGATGCGTGATGCCGGCAGTACTGGATGCGGCGGGTGGTCATAGATATAAATAGTTAACCCGGCTTGGTCCTGCACCAGGTTTACAATAATAAATGGCGCCGCAGAATGAGCTACTCCTGTGCTGTTGTCGTCAGCTTTGATTTTGATTCCGGCCTCGCTACAATGAAGGCGCTGCGATTCCTCCACTCTGCACAGCAGTCGCGACAGGATCACCACCATCCAACACTCATCGGTGGCATCGTCCTGCCATAGTGCCAATTCCTTAGTGTCGTTCGTTACTAGCTCTTCCCAGTCTTGCCGAAGGAAGAGCCTATTGCTAGGCCTATTGAGGGCGGCTAGCAATGCTAGAGAGCTTCTGAATCTCCAGCGCGCATGTAACCAAGCTCCGGCGTAGCAATGTTGGAATTCAGCATTGTCACTTTCTCCAAGCCCTTTTCTTTGCAATAATTGCAGAGAGGCCTCCCTCCATCGCATCGTGTCTTTTCGGCGCGACACAAGATGCAAGCTTGTTCAGCTCATTTCCGTTCATGAGGATGCGGGGGGCTTCCCAGCTCTGTATTTCTCACAAGAAGAGATCCGGAGTCTCCAGTTGCGCGGCTGTCCCTGGCTAGTGTTGTCTAAGATGAAGCCATGTCCGAGTCACAGCAAGGAAATCTTCACAAACAACTTCGGGGATTTCGGCCCTGTGATGCCATGCTAGTCGTCGAGCAGGGTATAAGAGCACCACTTTTCTTGAATAAGCTTGACCTTAAGGTTGTTCAGTTCCCTTGGCGTCTATCAATCCGCGTCGGTACTCTTAGGCTCTCCGGTAGGTTTATATAACCCTTCCCCTGTACGGAGTACGGAGTATATCATCTAACTGACATATGAAAAGAGTGTGTAGCGAGTATTTCTCCGCATTGACGCGCATGAGAAGACAGTGAATGCAGAAGCACCGTCTGAACTTGAGATGAAGAGACTCTTCGGGCATAGATTTGAAGGGCAAAGCGATGCAAATTCCAAGAAGCAAGCGCAAGCGGAACCTAACCCTCCTGCAACTCGGCATCTGGCATCTAACTAGAACATTTCAACTACCATCTCTATCCCCATTGACCGCATATCTGATGTGCTCTGGTCCCAAAAGTCGCATCTTTTCTTTCCATGAGGCAAGACCGTGGTTGTGATCGTCTTGCCGTGGATTGGATGCCCTGAAAATTCCGTCTCCCAAGCAAGACTGCCGCTGCTGTGATCTCTAGGCACATCCTGCTATGTCCGTTCTGCCAGGAACCACACCCCGATCTCCTCAGGCCCACCCGCGACGAAGATTCTTCTTGAAGCTCTCATCGAACTCGGTCTCCTTGGAGTTGATTTTCGATGCACCTAGACTCATAGTTAGACTTCCTACCAGGTTTGAAAGGGTCAAATATTGTGTGCTTACCTCCGTTGCCGTCAGCCGGTTTCTTGCTATGTTTCCCTTTCGCACCATCTTCCCCCAACACGTGCTTCATCTTTTCAAGTAGATCTTCGCGCTCTTTTGTACTCAGATCCGTAGGATCCACCTCAAGGGGGAAACCAGGGTGACTAAATGGTTCAAGATCTCCTTCCTTTTGCTGACTGGCTTCTGTAGCGCTTGGAACAACTCCAAACTCTCCCCCCTTTGTTGTCTTGACGGCGCCATCATCACCGATCTCGAAGGTCTGTCTCCTCAATTCTGCCATCGTCCCCAATTGGCTGCATCATCATAGGGTGATTTTCAACTTCTGCACGTTGTTCATCACCATGTTGCTACACGTCCACTGTTGAGGAACAAATCATGGAAATCGAGCACAACCTAAGGGTGGTTAATAGTTATGTAAATCTCACATTCGAAGACCTGGGTTTGATCAGATTCAGTACCCATGTAGCTGTCGATCATCCAGAATAATTAGATTGCAATATGCATTTCTCATGGTCTCGCGCTACCGCGACCAATGTCAACACGTACACTATATACGATGCAGCTGGTTTCACGCTCAACCATGGCATCAAATAAGTCCTTTTCCGGAGGTCCTCTGTTTACAACGAGAAATAGTGTCTTTCCGTCCACGCCTCCGAGGGTGCATGCTGTCGCGTCGCCATCCACTTTGATCTGGTGTGTAATATTTCCTTGGGCATCTCTTCGAACAAAGGCGTTGAAGTTAAGCATGCTGAGCCATATTCCGTCCTCAGAATCAATGCAAAGCCCGTCAATTGTGCAGAACCGAGTTCTTTCACGCCCAGGAGGCAAAGCCAGCTTGTTCACATCCCACTGGACGGTGCGGTTGAGAAGGGCTCCGTCATCAGTAATATCGAAGTGGTTCAACTGATATCCGAACGTTTCGGCGACGAAAAGATCTTTGCCTGAACTATTGATCCCTATGCCATTTGGGAAAATAATATTCTCAGCAACGGTCTTGACGCTCCTATCTGTACCGATGAGTAAGAGACGGCCAGGACCTGGTTTCTCGCCGTGCAAGACACGAGCACCAGTATCGTCGATGTAGATACGGCCTTTGGAATCGATGACCATATCTCCACAGTAACCCGTCATCACCGAAGACAAGTCGGCGTATGGTTGGCTCTTACCATCCTTATACTGATGTAGCTGCCTATCGAACATGGAGGAATAGATCAGAGTGCCGTCATCCTTGAAGCACATCCCATTTGGCTGATCCTTGACCTCAATCAACACCTCTTTGTGTCCAGACTCGTCGATCGTGTATATTCTGCAACCTGTCATATCCGATATGTATAGTTTTCCATCCCTCCAACGAGGACTTTCTCCAAAGTAAAGTCCGTCCACAAGAATCTGTGGATCAGCGGCGGGTGTGCTCATCTTTGACAGGTCGGAAGTTTCAAAAGACAAGAAATGATGGCCCCATAGAACCCCCGAGGTTTTCGAATGCGGTATTGTATTACTTTTAGAATGTTGATCTTACCTTAGGCAGGAATGCGGCACTGAGACGGGTTTGAGTAGCAAAGGTAATCATTTCCGCATGAGCCAAGGATTGCGGAAGCCACCCGCAGTGACTGTCGTCAAAAGTAGAAATGATTATGTATTGGGGAAGGCTGAGAACTTTAGTTTTTCGTCGCGCCTTTTTCACATAGGCGACGTGTATGTGCCTGAAATGAAAAAACTACCGGGTATATTTGGGCCCTGAGGTCGGCTGCCTAGACAACGGACAAGGCCAAAGCAACAGACCACAATTTGCAGTCTCGACAGAAACAAAGAGTCGTTCGCTGATCTCGAACAGCATGGAATCTACCTGTACTATGCATGAGATGAACCCATTCCTCACATAGGTGACACCGCCATATCATCTCAAGCGTCTGACCATCCTGTGGGGGAGAGCGTTCTTCACGGGAGGCAGCTCCAAGCCGGGTCTTGCCAACACAACTGCTCGCAAAATAAGGTACGAAGGATCCGTTGCTACCAATACATCACACTGCTTCCCAGTACGAGGATCTTGAGTCGCTCTCTTGTATTTTTGGGGTTCTGCAAGCTCACATATCAACATGAGAACCGTGTAGAAAGTGATGCAGGCACCCTGAAGAGCTGGTACAGGCTTGGAGAAGTTTTCATAGCCCATTGCGACTGAGCTGTCCCTGGCCGTATGAATCCCGGACCCAAGCACCTTTCCCCACTGCATCATTCCAGGTTGAACTTGTGTCCTCAAACCATTATGGAGGATCGGATAGAGCCTATCCGATTTGGTGCCATGAAAAACGATCAGAGAGTCACCACCACCACTGAACACCAGTTTATCTGCAAATGTTTTCTCTTGGTCTCTGTTCGCGTTCGCCATAAAGAACATTGTCGAACTTCTGATCGATGCGTCGACCAGTTCACTTGGAATGGAAATGAGAGCGCCCCTGTAACTGGTAAATGCCCAGGACAAGCACGGCTCTGCTCTGGGATCCATCGCGCCAGTCGTTGCCAATCTCTGTTTCAACACGGCTGCGAGATTTCCGGCCATCGAGAAACGGGAAGGCCCGGAAATAGCTCCGAACCAAAACAAGGAGTTGGAAAATCAGCCGATTTGGGCGAAGACCGCACAATAATTTCCTGTTGGACCTGGGGTGGGTGCCAGGGTTGACTAAGGCTGGCGTGTGCGGCCAGAGTTCTGGTGGGTCCCCTTCGAGGTGCAGGCAAACCTTTTCTACCATCAACGATTGTGAAAGCCATAGATTCGCATGGATTGCCTGTTCGTTTTGAAGCCCGAACCCCGTCCGTCGCGTGACGCTATATCCAATCAAAGAAATGTGGTCCTGATTGAACCATCAGGCTGAGCACTGTATTGATCCGGGAGCACCGGCCTCGCAGTGCGCGGGGACATTGTCAGCTCACAGGAGGCAGAGAATTTAGTTTGTGTAGTCAAACCTAGCATCCGGCATGAATCAGCAACTAGTACTGACTGTGCTAAGGTCTGATGTTCAATATGGACACCACGGTCTGGCAGGCTGTCAGGTTCAAGGATAAATTCAAGGCTTTGGGCCTCGTTACCTTTTTTGGTCTACGAACTGTGCGAAAATGACGCCCTTGATTCCTTTCTAGCGAACTTAGGGATTTAGGCATCAACGCATTGCCCCGCCCGATGTCTGGGTGCCAGCATGGATTAATACCTCGATCCTCCACAGCCTGTTTCTTCAAGGACAGAGTGAGAGTTAGCGAACAGTCTGTGGCAAAGCCCCCTCCCCAGTTCCTTTGGCAGCACTGGCGCCCTGGTCATAAGCTAGTTGCGCCGTAATTCTCTCGCAAACCGGGTCGATTCGATATATGCGGGAGGTGGTATACGCTGCACGACGGAGTTCATAGTCAAAGAGGTCGCTCTTTTCCGAGAACTGGATGCTCGCTTAGAATTCATCGAAAGGTGCAAGTCTACTAGCATTTAAGGCTTGGGATGTCAATGCATTGGCGGGTTGGGTTGCATCCCTGCCGCCCAATCCCAGTTTCTTGTCCGGTTAGCCAGTGCCAACGAGATGCACATGCAGGCTGCCATATTAGACGCAGAACGTACACCTCTAATCGGGAATGCCTGAATGCACCACTGCATCGTCATGCATAGCACATCTGATAAAATGCAACAAAGGCAGACCGCGCTCGTTCAAAAAGTGCGGATATTGTAGTTGGGAATCCCAGCCTCACTTGTTCAAACGCACACAGGTGCAGATCTCTCCTCTTTCTCAGGAAGGGAAATGAAGGAGATAACCAGCTGATTCAACTCCTCCGATATTCAACAGAAAGATTCTTGGGCTTGAAAGACCGCTTCCGATGAAAGGGGTGGACGTCACCACTAGTACTGTTGTACACCAGAGTGCCAAGTATCTTATACAATGCGGAAACAAAGGTGTTAAAACGACATCTCTGACTACCAGTAGCCATCAGCAGCACTAAGTCCGCTGATAGTAAGAAGAGGCGAAAACTCTTGTTCCCAGTGCCGCGAAGTCTACGAGTTATAGTGGTATGTAGAGATCTACTTGCCGCCGAGTCCTGGATAAACCCGAGAAAGGGCCGGTATTTACCCCAGTCCCCGCAGCGCTTACCCCACAGTCCCGAGCTCTTTGTTCTGCTTCCCTCCTTTAAAGCTTTGCCTCATCCCGCTTCCGCAAGCTGCGACATCGGGAAGCTGTTCCGTTTAATCATTCTCGGAATGAGATCCGCGTCCAGATTCAATGAAGCCATTCACTTCCATCCAGCAATTCAGGATTGCCCGGTAGCCACTCATGTTACCACGAAAGCGAAAGGTTGCACTAGCTTGTGACAAATGCAGACAGACGAAGAGAAGATGCGATGGTGTACGACCCGTCTGTAGCTCCTGTGCGGCTAAAAAACCACCAGCTCAATGTAGGTGGTCAGCAGAACGAACCAAAAGTGCAAGGTACATCTGGCCCTCGCAGAATATTCTATGCACCGCTTCCTTGCATTTCGCCTGTTTAGCAATGGCCCCACTTACTGATACACTGGTAGTTATGTCGAAGCCCTCGAAACAAGAATTAGGAACCTTGAAAGCCAAAAGGATTATCCCATCATTCAGGGTGGCATTCAATCATTGGCTGGCCAGTTCCCTCGCACAAGGCAGGCTCAGCATGCGACAAGCGAGGTGGAAACGGCGTCCCCGCAATCCCAAGTCCTTTCACATTCGCAAAACCAATCACTTATCTCAGGGCCAAGTCTTAACAAGACCAAAGTCCCTAGTGTTGAACTCAGCGACTTTAATGATGACCTGACAGATGATGCCGTTGGAGTTGATGCCATGGGCACCAGCTCAACCTATCTTATCGATACCAGAAGATCAGAGCAACCGAGCTCGAACTACTTCGGTCCTTCAAGCACGTTCAGCTTTCTGTCCCTTGTTCGGAATATCATATCCAGAACCGGAAGTCCGTTGCTGTCGAAAGAATTCTCACATGAACTATCAAATCGAAGTAAGGTCGATAGCCTACGGCCAAAAGAAGCAACGGGGCACCTGCAGAACATTATCAGCAATTACAGCACTATAGCATTCCACGTTCCTCCTAGGCGAGAGGCAGATATCTTGATTGCCAATTACTGGACGTGGGTCCATACAATCTATCCTGTCCTCCACAGGCCGACCTTCGATTCAAGGTATCAAGCACTCTGGCAAGGGTCTACTTCATCCCAGGTCACTCTGGACGACGTCCTCTTCCACTGCAGGCTCAATGTTGTTTTTGCTCTCGGTGCAAACTTCCGCTCTGAAATTGATCCTTCTGATAGGAGAAGCATGAGCGAGCTGTTCTTTTCGCGCTCGGAGCACTTGCTGAAGATGGAGTTGCTCGACTTTGCCAACCTCGAAATGGTGCAAGGCCTCGTTCTCATCGCTCAATACTTGCAGAGCACAGACAAGCCGAATTATTGCTGGAGCATCGCGGGGCTAGCTATTCGAATGGCACAAGCTATAGGTCTTCATCTTGAACCCCCAGATGGAGTCATTGCTGGGCGCAAGATTGATCAGATCGATTCTGAAGTCAGGAAGCGTGTTTGGACAAGCTGCATACTATTGGATCGGTAAACCCCAGTTCAGACCTAAGATTTTGTTCGGGTGTCTAACAAGGATAGGGTGCTCGCAATGACCTATGGAAGACCATTGATGATGCCTCCACATGTGACAAAACAGACTTTACATCTCCCTTCGCCAATCGATGATGAATATCTGACGAGGTACCCCAAAGCTCCTGGCAAACAGCCAGAAAACTCACCAAGTTTGATGGCATGCTATTCCAACACTCTTGTTCTCCAGGAAATCCTTGGAGAAATATTAGCATCGTTTTATCAAGGAGACCAGATGGTCTCGTCTTCACAATCTGGACCTAAAAGCCACCCCGAAGTGAGCAATTCAACCCTTGTGTCCAGACTTAAAGCTGGTGATTTCCAGGATCTGTTCCGTCTTGAGGGAAAGCTGAGCAGCTGGTATGATGGCCTGCCGGCATTTCTAAAAGTTTCTCAAGAAGACTCGAGTGTGAACGATGTTGTTCAGAGTTCGGCCATTCTTGTCCCGCCCAAAGTTATCTTCGCGAGGCAAGCAAATGCATTACGGACGCGGTGAGCACTGATTAAACTAAACTCTCCATTGCACCCCTAATTCTTGTTATCAATACAGGTGGCTTCACGTTCGCCTTTTTCTCTTCCGGCCAGCCCTTCTTGCAGTACTGGATCAGGACCAGCGATCATTCGCATCAACTCCAAATCTACATGGTGGACCTGGAGCATCCCTTCTACGGCAGAAGATGTTGAATACGCTGGCTGATCTTTGTATCCAAGCGGCAGAAGACTCAGTCAACCTCATCCATGAAAATTCAAGCTCGGAGATGTCAGCCCTAGCGGCATGGTGGTACAATGTCTTCTGTGGGTACACCCTATATCGTGGCTCATCGCCATGAATGACTAACTCCTACAAGACCTTCATAATTGTGCGATAGTGATTCTCATTGCTCTTCAATGTCCATCCCTCCAAGGGCTGAGGCTAGAATCAGATTTGAAAAATAGCTGGAGGAAGTGTTTACAGGGCTTGGAGGGATACAAGAAGTATAGCGATGTGGCAAGAAGATCACATCGGGTGCTGCAAATGATTGATGACCAAATATTCGGTCATGAATATGGCAAGTCGCATAACAAACTCTCTACATGATTGTGCTAACTGGCCTCGTAGACCGACATCATCCCTCCGTGGGTATTGTACGATCACTTGCAACATCTCCTCGAGGCGAACATGTGGCAGAATCATTCCCTGGCACTGCGCCGACCGGCCAACTCATGGATCCATTTACAGCTTACGGTTGGTCTGCTGAAATGCACGCCGATGCACCTGCCTTTATTCCAGAAGGCGACTTCTGGATGGGGGACTCGGGAGATGTCTCTTGGCTTTCAACTATGCCTTTTGTCACAGGAATGACTTCCTGACGGATTATTCTGACTTGAAGATCTCACCTTCAAGACCGAATGGCACCGCAGCCTGCTCCTCGCCGTACCTTTAATCTTGTGTAAAGCTCAGCTCGGGTTTGCTCGATGAATTGAATATCAAGACTCGCTTCCAGCTTGGTTGAGCTAAGAAAAAGGTAGCCAAGGATATGTCGGTCGACCGATAAGAAGCTGATAGCTATCTATCAAACAGGCTGAATGGTGAAGTTGTGGGACTACTCATGTACAGAAATCCTACACTATCACGCCAATAGTATTGAATTTCATCGTTCTGAAAATGTGTTCTTTTGCCTCAATGGACCAATTCTTAGTGCTTTGGCAGCTGATGCGGCACTTCTGCTCGCCTGTTTGTAATTGAGACCTAATGAAGTTAGCCGCAGGGTAGCAACATTGCCATCGTTTGCTCTCCGTGATACCGCCTCATCATGAAATCGGCCTTCATTCTTTGTACTGTCCCGGCAAGGAGCCTCATCGTCTCCAGGCCACACTGTTCGAATCATAATCTGGCATGCCGCTTGATGTCGCACGAGGTGCAGGAGATGACAGACAATGGCCAATCTGCTGTCCTCATGCACTGCCACGTCATCAGTTGCATCTTCCCCTCCTTCCTTCGTCTGTGGATCTTCGGAGATCGTGTGACTCAAGTGTCTTCAGCCTCACCGTTGCTAATGGACCGATATTCTGATTGTTTCCTTGCTTGGGCCTCTGCGGCTCGACATTTTTCTGCTCTACGCCGAAATCCTTTTTCTTAGTTCCAAAACCAATCGATCTGTTCGGCCCTCTGCTATGGCGTCCACTTCTGCTTATGAGCCCATTCGATTGACACACCCTCTTCTACTTAATTGTGTCGAGGCGAGTGAGAGCTTAAAGCGTCTCGATAGTCATCACGAGAATACATTTCCGACCACCCGGGTTGGGCAGTCATTAAACAGAATCGAGCAAAGCTTGATTGGCGCTCTCATTCTGCTCCTCAATCGAAGCGACCATTGTCGCCACCCATTTAGAGATACGAGCCTGGAGGAGAAGTGCTTCAAGGCTACTCTTCGTGGATGTGATGACCTCTTGTCAGTTCTTATCTACAATCTGAGTCTCCTTGAGGCTAGAGAGGTTCCAGCTGGGACTACATGGCCAATCACTCAGAACCTATTGGAGGCTTATGAAACATCTCTGGCAAATCTTCTTGGGATATTAAGCCCGTAAGCTTTAGTCGTCTTCGGAAGTCGACTGATACTGAGCACTCAGGGAATCAGTGCAAGAACGGGTCAATCGTTACCAGATTTTCTTGAAGCCACAAACTCAAACAATCAAGAAGCGGCAAGATTGAAGCTTTTAGTCGATACAGCGCGGTCAAGCGCTGGCGTTGCAGTGGCTGCGGTCCCCCTTCAGCCGGAGGCCCTCCCCAACGGGACACATGCAGCGCCCGAAGTTTCACAGATCCAACCCCCTTCTCGGCAATCTACAATTATTGATGGCGTAGCTACGCCTAATCGTCGGCATGCGAACTGTTCAGGCTATAGACGAGGAGTCAAAGAAGGTCGCGACGCTGCTTGTGACGCGTTGAAAGAAATCGACATCTTCGAGCATGAGCCTCCGAGAGGTAAGCGAAGTACAATGTTGTACAAAGCCATTGACAAGCGCAAGGCCAACGCGGTAGAGCTTCTTATTGACTTGGGCGTGAATGTCAATCAACTATCATCTAAAACTGACAGTAAAGATCCCGTCTATCTGCCGTTAGCTTTTGCAGCAAGAAGGGGAAACGAAGCCATCGTCAAGCTACTGATCGGAAGAGGAGCAGACATTCATGCTCGAGACCACTTCGGCAACAATGCGCTCTTATCAGCCGCTTCAGCGGGACGGGACAAGATCATCGAATTGCTGTTGAATGCTCCACATAATGCTGATATCGAAGTTCAAAGGATGGGTGAAGGCGATCGCAAAGGTTACACGCCCTTGATGATGGCTGTGTACAGCGGCCAGCTATCTTCGATACGACTCCTTCTTGATAGAGGATCTAATCGTGAGGCCGTCAATGAAGCCGGGGAGCCTCTCCTTCATATCGCTGCTACCATGGGAAAGCTGCCTACCATAGAATTTCTGTTGCAGAATGGCTCACAAGTGATCACAATTAATGACAAAACTGGTGATACAGCGCTCCATTGTGCAGTCCGAAATGAGTCTTTGAGAGCGGCAACTTTTCTGATCCAGAAAGGTCCTCTGTTGCTTGATGTGGAGAACAAAAAGAAACAGACTCCCCTGGCTCTTGCCGTGAAATTGAAAAAGCGAGAGATGGTTAATTTGCTCATAGAAAAGGGAGCCAAGACAGACTTGGGCGATGATGATTGGCGTACCCCATTACACAATGCGGTAATTGCTAAAGACTCTGAAATGATCAGGCTCTTGGTTGAGCGAGGCACGAAAGTTGAGTCACTTGACAAGGCCGGAAGGACACCACTCTATCACGCAGTCAGAACCGAAGACCCGGCCATAGTTGCAATGCTACTCTTAAGTGGATACAAGATGGATGTCAAGAACAGGTCCGGTCGGTACCCATTGCAATATGTCATGGAAATGCCTCCAGCGAAGGAGTCTCGAGCAGTTTCCTTGCTCGGCGAATTCCTCAAGGTACATGAGAAGGGAACTACTTTCCACAATGACTATCATGCATTACCCGTGGCAGCGCGAAAAGGAAAACTGCAATTCGTCAAGGACATGCTCAACAATGATCCCGAGCTCGTTCGCTGGAGACCCGCAGCAATAAGTGGGTTCCTACCACCCATACATGAAGCCGTCAAAGCAGGAAAAGAAGAAGTCGTCAAAGAGCTGTGCGCTTCTAGAAGCTACACGTTAAATCCAAACGCGAGAGATCGTCAAGGAAATACCGCTTTACATCAGGCTATCCTCAACAATCAGATATCACTAATCTCCTTACTAATCGAGAAAGGGGCAGATAAGGAGCTCCTCACTGGCCAAGCAGAAGGGGCTTTACCTCCCCTCCACCTTGCAGCCCGAGAGCAGAACAAGAAAGCGGTAGAGGCTCTTCTTCAGATAGGAGCAGATTGCAAAAGACGGGTAACGAACGTTGCTCCGTGTGAGAAATGCCGAGCCTTAAGGTGGACTCCGACCGGAGGAAATGCGAGGTGTATTTTGATCAATCTCGAACCCCGCCTTAGGAAACCTGACTTTCAAGAGCTCGACAGGCTGCTGTTCAATGCTGTCAATGCAAGGAATTAGAACAACGCGGGACATAATGAGGTTAAACATCTACTATGAGCGTGACTGAAGAGCTTTCGACAGTCCATGATTTACGAGAATAAGCCTAGATAGGAGATCCGGATAGTGGTTGCTATCAACTACCGTTAGGTGTCCCTTGCCACCACTTCATACTCAATGTAAGGAAGCTGACCGAAAGAAGAAGACGCAGGTGTCTATCAGATGTCGGAGGAAAGCCCGACAGTCCTTGTTCTCCTAGAGAAACTGAGCCATGCCTCAAGAGAACAAGCTTAAGAACGAGTGTATTCAGCTATGCGATACTCATCATACCAAATTTGTTGCTGAAGGACCATTGACTGGATCGTAGCATGGATACTCCGTACCGAGTATCCGCACCGACTGCATAATGAGTAAGGCCGGTCGTAGCTAGCGGGACCCTTGTTCTGCTGTTCTACCGTAATAGTCATCCCTTTTGGGGGCAGACAGCTTTGACAGCTGACAGATGCAAAGCTGAGCCCTCCAATGCTGATCCTCCTCCATGTACTCCGTACGGGGTAGGTTCAACTAAGTCAATGATAAGAGGATTCATGAGCGACGTCGAATCACAACATGGGAGTAATCTGATCGACACTGTCGGGTTTAGAGACCAACCCCCTCAAGTTTCAACCTACTTGAGCTGATAAATAGGTTTGCAGCCCGAAATTTTCAACATGCACTGGGCCAGAACCGTGTATGAGTATGGCACTCCATGCCTAGTGTTCCGTACTCCGTACTGTAGCCGCATCCAGGATGGGAAATGCAAGGGGAAAGCGTAACATTTGACAGCTCGGAAATAGAAACCCGCCCAGCTTGTCCGTACAATAGAGGAAGGATAGGCTTAAGCGGGATGCAGATGGAGTACTCCGTGCTCCGTACCGCGTGGCCAAGCTGGGCACGAGCCTCCAGAATTTGGATCTTTGGAGCCGACTCGCCAATCTCACCAACCCAATAACTAATCTCCCAACCAGTCAAGTATCTAAGTTTCCAAGAGGAACCGAAACTGGACGCAAACTGCTCCCGCACGTGGCTGTTTTCCAACGCGTTTCTTCTCGAGAATAAGTCCATGGTTCTCCCGCTCAACAGATGAATCGATTCCTTACGAACTCTCTGCTGCTCACTTTGTCCAAGGCTTAAATGAGGTCCAGCTGAAGCCATGCCCCGTTGTGACGCCTGACTCGGATGTCAAGCGAAAGATGGCGCTGGTGGCGGCCAATGGATCGAGACTTTACGTGAAACATGATGGACAACAACTGGATCAGTTCACCACGGACAATTTGACGCGACGGCCGTTGACGCAAAGTCCACACACTGAGTGCCTGCCGCTAGAGACAGTAGAGCCCAAGTCTACCACAGACAGTTCGGATCGTGATCGAATACCGAATGAGGTGGGCCAAAAGTGGAGAGCAAAACGCACATTGGCCGTTCCAGAATGCAGGAACCCTTTTACACGAAATACACCTTCTCTCCATGTTTCTCTGAGCTTGCGGATTCGTACGACCTTCCACATCGACCACAAACTTTTACATGGGTCCCCCATGGCATTTTGACAAAGTTCCTCCATGCAGAAGCTGCCAGATAGCATCGTGTACTTATGGCGAGACCCCTCCTCCTCCCCTGAGGGTTTTTATCGTCAACTCCTGGACATATCTCAGCGCGTCATCTGCTGCCAACCCGAGGCTTGTCTAGAAACACGATAGAATCAACATGCCTCTTAACTTACCCTCGTGGCTTCGGTGGTATCGAAAGCCTTCCTATCGAGACTTCAAGACTTTCACTCAGACCATTAACGCCGACATTGAGCAAGGCGTCACGTCCAGAGCTCCATCCATTATCTCGCAATCGGATGACACCATTCCAGCATCATTGACTCTTGATCGCGTCCTTGCCAACAAGACATGTGAGCAATTCTTTGCCTCTGACGGTGAAATGCCAGCTCCGCAACCGTCCTGCTCACGCTCCTGTCTCATTCTAGGTAGTCCGCTGAGTTTGTACGACTTCTATATGTACCTCAAGCACATAGAACTATCTCCGGAAAATTTAGAGTTCTACATCTGGTAAGAAACTCAACATAAGACTGCTGAAACGACCTACTGATGGTGTTCAAGGTTTAGAGACTATGAAAGGCGACATCGTGAAGATGCTAAGTCCAGTTTTCAGGAGGCGCCGGTGCATGATACGACAAAACTCTTGTCGGAGGATAAAAACGCCATCATGAACGTCTACTCGACCATCATCCCCGACGCACAACTTCTGCGAGAAGAAGCCTTAGGACCTGGTACTTGATCTTTCGTGGACCCCTCTCAGGTTTGGACTAACAAAAATATAGAATTCGCGCGCTACTTGACATCCATCATGCCATCACAGCACGGCGACCACTCTACATCATGCCAATCGTGCAAGCGTGGCTGGCAACTGTGGTCGACGTCTTCGCCATCTTCCTCGCACACAACCCTCCTCGGGTACAGCAACAAACAAGAACTTCAGGCAATGGCCGCTTATTTCCTGACTCCGCAGTCGCCCATGGAACTCAACCTCCCCGACCGAATGCGTCGAGATGTCTGCGAGAGCCTCCTCAACTCCGACTCTCCCGAGGCCCTGGCACCCGTGGTGAACCACGTGTACTACCTGCTGAAGAATTGCTCACACCGCAACTTCATCCGGCTCGGCGTCAAGAACGGCACGTTCGAGACCCTCTGCATGGTCACCGTCGTGGGCATCACCTTCATCGCACTCGGCTTGCTGACCATGCTCCTCGTCGCTTTCGCATCACCATCCATTCACCACTCGGTCCGCTGGCGTGGTCTCGCGGCCGCCCCGTTCTGGATTATTGGCTTTTCATTCATGTTCGCCGGCCTGCGTGGCTCGTGTTTTCTCCTCCTGCTGTTCACTCGCCGCCAGGAGCTGCCGTGGGAACGCATCCAGAACGAAAAAAAGGCCGCGCACAGCCCTCGTGTCTCCGCCCTGATGCGCTTCTTCGGTAAGCTGATGATCTCCGAGCGCAAAATCCGCGTCAATGACCGTGGCCTGAGGAATCTGCAGCATAAAATTGTCATTCAGAGTGTCATCGGATCGATCATCGCAATGGCGATCATCGAGGTCGTGTTTCTTTGCTTGCCGATTTGGAAGTGAATTTGCTCCTTCCTGTCCGTTCGAGGCCAGTGCCCAGGAGGGGCTCACTAAATATTTATGACATTAAAAATATTTATAACATTGATTTCAATGCACATGCAGAAGTTCGGCGATGGGGGCTGTTTGGGACTTTGTACAACGCCTGGCTGGGAAGCGAAACGTATTTATGTAATGCAAACCGCGGCAATCCGTCTGTCCGCGGAGGGTGCGCAGAGAGACTGAAGTCTAGCTCGCAGGGTAATTTAGTAATGACAATCACATTTACGATCAAAACGCTTAGCTATCTCTAACAAGCAAGTCACGTTCTAGAAACACGATATGTTTTCCTCTCCTGGATCCACTGAAATTTTGATAGGGCAAAGAAGGTGATAAACTCCGGACTACGAGCGCAATGATCCAGGTGCGTGTGGCGACCTTCTGTGTTTGTGGTAGCACTTGAAGACCACTGGATCCATTGTCAAACTTCGGATCCCACAGGGATGTTTGTCGAAGATGGCCTTGGAACGTTTCATTTCCAGGATATCGTGGGAGTCTTGGATCGCTGAGGTGACCTGTAGCAGTTACAAGGAAGTCTGTGTGGTCGGTGAATGTACACTATGGTTTGATTATGCAATATTTTGAACAATCCATTTCGCATTGGTCTGAGGCCAATCTGCATCTACCACACGATGATTTAGTTTGAGGAGCCCTTGGAGTCCGTATCGATTAGCGTTAGTTTTCCAGTATTCCTGGATCTCCGCTCCTCAAGCATAGTTTGATGTGCCCCTAGTTTTTAAGAGCAAATGTCGCTTGACAAACATCGGATGAGACACCACATCTAACCCCCGGATATATGTTGGCATTCCACCACCCCAGCCTAGTCGAAGTCATTGTCAGATGCTGTGAGTAAAAGCTATAAGGAAACGCTTGCAGCATCGGAATCTCTCTTGTAGATTACGATTTCGAGTCCGGGCACCTTGTGTGTGAGCAATGGCCCACGTTGATACCTGCTGGCCAGTCCCAACAACGACGGCTTTGATATTGAGATACTCATCGATGTGGAGATCCTCAAGTTCGAAGTTGGGAAATACCGTCATTACCGGTGCTTTATCCGTATCGCTGCTGGGACGACCACTGGAAGTTTCAAAGATTCAATTAACAAATTTTTGCATTGTTCCCAGAGTGGTCCGTTGAGCCAGATCCTCAAGAGCGCGCGGAGACATTCCGTTTGCAGAGTTGCCAAAGGATGCACATACCAGGAGAGCCCGCCTCTCATACAGTACAGGGAATTTGTAGACTCTTGTGAATGTATTCGAGCCTTTGCAAAAAAAATGGCGGAGACCTACGCGAAGGCCTGCTCAGGCTACGTTTTTGCCTTAGGTCGACCACTATCAAAGGCTAATTAGGGAAACCCCCCCTGCACGACTTCAGCAGGACAAGCTATCCTACCATCGCCGTCGGTGGTCGCCACATGCATCTGTGACCTATTGCGCAACTTTGACTACGCATGATAAGGCCAGCAGGAGGATACAACAGAACGTGAGATGTCAACTTGGCCGATGCCGACATACGAGCAGCTAAGGATTCCCACCCTCCGAATGGACCTCGGTAGGCCCCTGCAGACTTGGCAGCCCAGCACTCCCTTGCGTTATGGCCTTTGAGTGCTCAACATGAACCGACAGTTTTCGGTGACAGAACATCAGTCGACAGAGATGTCGCTCTACGGTATAATGCGTGGTTTTCTTGCATCTGGTCGTGCACCAGTTCAGGATTCAGAACCATTTTGTCCCGACCCTTCGCCCGCGCGACCCAAGTACTCGGGCCTCACAATGAGTACGATGGCACTACCTCGGATACCACGAAGAAGCTGTATCGCAGCTTCTATTGAGAGGTTTTCTTGTTGGAAGACTCCCCGTGGATGTTATATGCCAGTTGAGGCTGTCAAACCCAGATGTCTGCCTCGAGGCATTCACGGGGCACACCACCTGTTGAAGATGCAGGAACCTGAAGACGGTCAGCTCATTTGAGTGAACATCACGAAATACTCTTGCTATCAAATAATTGGTGCGATTGAACAAAAGCTCGTGGCTCAAAATATATTATAGTGTTATGATATCTTCGATGTGGTTGCTGTTGACGATCTGTCATTGCGCTGATAGGAAGGTAAGAGATAAGTTCACCAACACGAGATAAGAGTTGACGAGTCAATTCAGCCTTGGAGTCGTACTTGAACGAACAGAAATCAAGGCCTTCTTTATGCGAAGAAATCGAGACTCAATCTCATTTCTACAACGAACCACCTTATCTGAGCAACCAATAATCTCATGGCATGACTTGTATCCGTCCGAATCTGGTCGGCAAGACGACCGAGCAGATCTCGTGGTAGTTGTTTCTTTTGGTTGCATAAGCGCGGTGTGAAAATGGTGAGAAACCCGATGTCATGATTCTCTAGCGGCTCCAACTTTTTCATCCAGGGCTTTACTAAGCCGTTCTGGGATCTGCAGCCCAAAAAAAAACGACGGCCTACATCGGACTTCGAACTGAGTTTCAAGATTCGAATAAAGCACAGTGACGGACGCCTGACTCATGTCCTACGAGAACAGGAATGCTTTTCCTGTTGAATTTTTGGAATCTCTTGCTTGAAGCATTCTGAGCTCTGCCTCATCACCAAGCAACATTTTCCATATTCCCAAGATGATAAGCAAGACTTCGAACACCAGTATTGAAGTTGGTGAACGCCTTGTATTCCCCCCGATAGCAAAATCCAAATGGGTTCGGTTTCAAGAGATAATCTGGGATGGAGAACGAGAGCCAGAGGAGCGGCGACTGGTGCAAAAGCTCGATCTCTACTTGATGTGAGAAGCGCTTACACCTCGGCCATATCTCCTCACATGGCCTACACTGACCATTTTCCTTGATCAGGAGCTGGGCAACATATGGCTATTTTATCAGGTTGTTGGACTCGGGAAACATAAGTACAATCGCCTCGCCTTAAATCCTTCAGTGTGACTGGACTGACGCTGCGCGCTGAAGTAAACGCATACGTCTCAGGCATGAAGGAAGACCTGAATTTCCAGGGGAATCAGTATAACTTACTAGCAACATTCTTTACATGTGGATACTTGGTGGGCCAGATTCCTTCGCAGCTTCTTCTTACGAGATGTATGTGCACAAATTGATTTCGAGTGTGGGAAGGCTTAGTTCTGACAGGTTCTGTCTAGTCCGTGCTTCATGGTATCTCCCGACAGCAGAATTATGTTGGTCAATCATCACGTTCGGGTTTGCAGGGGTACAGAATGTCAAGACGGTTTTTGCTCTCCGATTCGTCATTGGGATGCTTGAAAGTCCATACGCGGTCGGCGTTATCACGGTAATGGGAGGATATTACACAAAACGAGGTACAATCCTTTGCAGTCACAGGTCAGGCGGGAGCAGCTACAGCTAATGACTTGAACCCATCAGAGCTTGGGAAACGTATTGCAATCTTTTACTCTGCGAGCTACGCTGCCAGCATGTTCAGTGGCTACCTGCAGGCCGGTATTTACCGAGGACTCGACGGCCGCCTAGGCCTTGCAGGTCAGTGCTAAATGATTGTGCTCTTTATATATGCTGACCAATCTACTAGGCTGGCGATGGCTCTTTATATTTTGCGGCATCATATCTCTTCCCGGCGCCTTCTGGGGCTACTATGCAGTACCAGACAATCCTTATAACACCAAAGCACGTTGGATGAGACCAGAGGAGAAAAAGGCATATATTGCTCGGATGGAGCTTGTTGATCGCCGAAAACCGGTGCCGCTCTCATGGGCAAAGATTTGCAAGATAATATCAGGGTGGAAGCTCTATATGATGATTTTAGCTCTGATGTCAGGATCCTATTGTCTTCGTTAGTATCTGACCTGTGAGCGGAAAGCTGACTTGGCCAATCTAGCTGCCACTGCATTGTCACACAGCCTCTAAACTACTTCGCTGTATGGCTGAAATCTCTGGATCGCTTTTCGGTCTATCAAATCAATCTGTTTCCAACGGCAGCCCAGGCGCTAGGTTTGGTGACAACACTAGCTTATTCTTGGGTATCGGATGGGTTGGGCGGCAAAAGGTGGCAACTCTTGACAGTCCCAGCGGTATGTGAGCTCTATGGGGGGGCATAAAAATGACATACTGACGGTATCAAGGTTGTAAATTTTGTGGGCATGATCATCGTTGCCGCGTATCCTAATTATGGCGCAGTGTTCTTCGGGTATCTGATCAATGCTGCTTCATGGGGGTTCTGGCCTGTTCTCTACGTAAGTATTTCGGAAAGAATTATCCTTTTACTCTCTGGAAAGTGAAAGGAGAAAGTATGATAAGCTGACGCCTGAAATACCAGGCCTGGGCTAACGAGTTCTGTCACGATGACGCCGAAGAACGAGCTATAGTGATCGGTGTGGCTCAAACGTTCGGCCAGGCTTTCGTTGCCTGGGTGCCTCTCCTGGTTCTAAACGTGGGAAAATACGCTCCTCGGTTCCACTTGGGCTTCAGTGTCCTGAGTGGGATCAGTGTCCTGCAATTTACTATGATATTTGTCCTCAGGTTCTTCGTGAAGCGACAGAACAGGCTAGAAGAGATGCAACAGACACATCCTGAAGGAATTGATTTCACCAGAGGTCCAGATAGAGAGGACCAGAACGAATCAGACACGCAGAGGGGGACAGGTGACACTGTCGAATCGCTGGAAAAAATTTCCCAGGGTCACCAAAGACTGTGGCGGTAAGCATCGGCAGTCGTGAGACTGTCATCCTCGTCTCGTTCTGCTGGGTTGTCCCCTCATCTTTGTGTCGAGACGAGCACGTTTGGGTGAAGCAGGTATCTCAAATACAGTCTCTACACACTCGATATTGTGATGGTCAAGGAGAAGAGGACCCACCTGCGCTGTGAAATGCATTCATCTGTTGACCCAGTTCGACTGCCTGCGTGCCAGAGCACAGGAACTTCCAATTCCTGGCCTGCCATGCAGAACTTCTCCCCCTGCTCTCGCGATCACTCACGCATACTAGATGTTACTGTACATATCGCAATCATGGCAGCAATGCATGAGCAGCAGCAGTCGGTCCTTTTTCAAATGACTCCTTCGGAGACCCTCTCTAAAATCTTCAAACTTACCCTTCCCGGACATCCCACCAGTGCAATATACACGCACCACTCGGTACAAGGTTGGAGATTCATGGAGACAGGTTGAACGATGCGAATTCAGAGAAGGATTCGACTTGCTTCAAACCTGCAAGAGGGTTAACCTTGAAGCATCCCCACACGCCTAAGTCTGCCCAACTGTGCTTGACAGAGAGTGTTACTTGCATGCGCGCTTTTCCCCAATAGAGCTTGACGCAAGACACCGTCATCGCGTGACGAGGGTCATACTCTCAGAAAAAAATGGTGGGGATGTCTCAAAGATGAATTTGATCAAGAATAGTGACCGAATCTGAAGGAGATCGAGCTGAAGGGTATCAACGAACTCCGGGACCACGAATTTGTTGTACCAGACTAATTCCTACACACCATTGGTTCCTTGAAAGCTCTGTGTGGACACCCTTCACACGTCGATGTAGAGTTTAGTGGAAATATGAAGCGAAGTTGTGGCTGCCCGGAGCTTACTTCGTTCACCAAGAATACCGATGTTGTTGTCCAAACCAGAGTCAATCTTGATATCGACGTGTACGAGAGGCTAGGGGGCTGGCCATATGCGCCCTCGTACTTTCGCAAGGTCTCCCATTTGGAGCATCCTCGACTGGTAAGAGGACCATCCGACTCCATCACCGAATTGCAAGCCCAGTAACTGTTGAAATAGACGTTGAGGTGGATGGAGAAGTGACAACGTTGGCATTGTGGATTGTCCAGAACTGCGAAGCCAGGCCTGGTATGCAGAGTGGGTCTGCTCTGCCGCATAGTGTATGTGGCACCGCGAAGAAACACCCGACATTGACGAGAATGCACGATACGTTATGAGCTTCTCTTCCGAAGCTTACTGGCCAGAAATCTTGGAGAAATATGATGAATACTGGGAACATTCCATGTTTCATGGCCATTGCCGCGAAATTCTCGAATCGTGCGATGACAGCCTTGCTAGATTCCTCACCAGAGGGGAATTGGGATATGCAGAGGAGTCTCATCTACAGAATAGCACCGACAGACGATGAACCAGAATGGTTCGACGAATCAAACGACCGCTCTTTGGACAGATTCCTCATCATAGAGGACCTCGGAGCCGAGGAGGAAAGTGAGAAATGAGACCAAGGATGGATGGTGTCAAACACAATTAACCCAGCACGAATGAGTCTTTCAAGTTGTAAAGGAGAATGTTTCTTTTGGGGGCGGCGGGCGGCTGCTTTGCAAATACTACTATCATCCCATCGTGCCGCCTCTGGAGAGGATTGGATGTCTCCTGCGTGTGAGACTGGGTTTCCTTTCCTATCCTTTCTGTTTTGTAGAAGTTGACATCACTACCAGAGCCGAGCACTTCTGATGTACTTAAGCCGCTGATATGGTGAACTACTCATGGACCTGCCGGAGCCGCCCACTTACTTAGACATCGAATGAAATTTCTGCACGGGAAAAGAAATTGGAAAGAAAGAAAGAGATCCAAGAAACTAAAAGCAAAAGCCAGCACTAAAGAATATGATTTGAGATAGCGTGAGCATTCTATAAAGTCGACCATTTTTTTTAAAGATGGACCAGGAACAGGAGTCTTGTCTGATTGAGGGAGAGAAAACAAAACGAAGAGATCACATCACATCTTTCGCACAAGACGAAGCAGAGCTCCATCACCAGATCATGCTTCAGCCCCCTCAGCATAGACACTCGCCTCGCCCTTGGCCATATAGTCGAAACTCTCATCACTGGTGGCAGTCGCTGGAGGGCTTGGAGTGGCATCCTCGCCATCATCGAAGGCGGCGACTTTGCCAGCGGCTGAATCCTCATTATAATCATCTTTGTCCGCTGCACCGGCAAGCGTTCCACCCTCCCAGAGAATCCCGTCGCCGTATCCCCAGCCGAGACCTTTCTTGGAGCGCTTGACCTCGACCTCCATGAGGCCGAACCCGCCCTTGCCGCCCTTGACGCTGATATCATCCAACGGGAGAGTCCTGCGGTGCCACTCGCCAAGGAACATGCCCTCCGGATCGGACTCGTCTCTGACCTTGAGGAACTGCTGCATGTCGGAGCCGTACATGGCGTCGATCTCGCGGTTCGTCGTGTACGCGAAGTTTTTGGCCCAGTGCGGCTTGCCGCCCATGTCGCGCATCAGGTACTCGAAGGCGCGGTAGTATGTCTCGTGGCAGGGCGGGTCCCGGCCGTAGGGCCGGTACAGGGTTGCGTTGAGGTACAATGTTGGCTCGTCTGCGCAGGTTGGGTCGAGGTATGGTCGCACGCGGGAGTCGTTGGCTTGTGCATAGTTGGTGTCGCTGATGCGGACCTCGACTGGGCAGTGAACCCAGATCCCTTTGCTGGAGATCGGGATGCCGGACTTGGCATCGTCGTGGTTGATCCATGCGCCGAGCCTTTCGATGGCCTCGGGGCCTTTTGACAACGGGAGCGCCCATTCATTTACGAACTGGCTATACAAGCAGTCCATAAGGAGGCCTTGCCGCGCAGGTTGGACGGCGGACATGACGAATGAACCGGGTTTGAACCCGTATTGCATGCCGAAGATGAACCATTCCACCCAGGGTAGGATGCGTGGGAAGGTGTTGGACAGGTAGAGGAGGTTGTGATACATGTAGTACCCGAATTTCCCACCGTAGAAGGTGGTGTTTGGAGGTTTCGGGTGTTCGGAGCTCTTTGCTCCTCGCCAGATGACAGCGCGTTTGAGATACGGTAGCCACCAGACCCGGGTAAATTCTGCATTTGTCCACAAGTTTTTAGACCAGTTGTCGGTGACAGACGCAAGAGTATGGAGGGATTGAGACCAAGACACATTGAAGTCTGGTACAGCTTGGATGGTGATCTCTACGATGATCCCCAGCGAACCCAAGGAGAGCAAGGCGGCACGGAAGAGTTCTTCGTTTTTGCTGGCGGAACACGTGACGAGTTGGGAGTTGGACATGAGGATCGTCAATGATGTGATGGATTGCGATATCAGCCCATGCTTTAGGCTGGAGCCATGAGTACCAGTTGAGATGACTCCTGCAACAGACTGCACGTCAATTGAGCCGAGGTTGGGCAGTGTAAAGCCATCCTTGGCCAAATCTAAGTTAAGGTTGTGCAACGAAATGCCCGCCTGGAAACGGACAAGACCAGGAGTATTGTCGACGTTTCTCTCCAAGATCTGCGACAGGTTGTCCAGATTGATCAACCATGACGATGTACATGTTAAATCAGAAGGCGAGTGACCAAAGCCCGTGACACATAGCCGCTTCCTGGTACGGCGTGCAGCGGTGACAATTTTCTGCAGTTCGGGAATCGACCAAGGCTGAAAGTAGAGTTCCGGCCTGGAGAAGAAAGTTTGCGCCCATGTATGATGTAGATAGCGCGCTTTGGGACTGAATGGGATTGCATCGTCTAGACGAGAAAGCTCGCGCCTGAGTTTTGGCTCGAGATAGACATCCTCGGTTAGGCCCGATGAAAAGCGGGAGGTGTTGGGATTTGGTTGGGGCAGATTAGGAGCGGCCCAGTCCATGTTTGGCTTGTTGACCCAACTGAGGGATCTATGCGAGGAGTATATAGTACCCAGCTAAGTCAGTTCATATTTGGACAGACCGTGACAGCCAGAGGTCGGCGGGTTTCCAGTTGCCAACTTAAAAGCGGACGGGTGGAAATGGAGGTGAGGGAGAAATTTAGGGTTCGAAGTCACATCATGATCGTGCACCGGCACCCAACCAGGTAACCGAGGACTTATTATGTAATCAATTGCTTGATTGGCCACAATTCAACGACACCTTCTGCATCCCATTGGACCGGGTCTTGTGAAGACAGGCCAACTATCTATCATGTTGAGAACACGGCCGAGAGCCATCTGGTGGAAGGCGAATACTAGAGAACCATGAAATGGGGTGTGGCATAGCTCAATGTCCAGCATCATCACAGCTTTTATCATCTATCAATTCTCATTTCACACGGTGGCCTGAGCTATGCTTGCCATTGCATATGCAGTCCATCCATCTCGTCCGGGACACCCATCTGGAAACCCACGCCGGGGACATATACAACAACAATCTGAAGTCGAAGGTGACAAAAGTGTCAATACAGTTATATCCACTGCGAGATTGGAGGGCTGTCGTGATTGAGAAAATTAATCATTTCGGTCATAATGAAAGTCCCAGCTCTTGTGCAACTTCCTCAAGTCGAACGCAAACCTGGCTCCCCCCCGACGAGTCTCTTGGAGGAGACCATTTCCGGAAGACAGCTTTGACTTCCTGTGGCGGTTCCCCAAGCAGAACATAACAGCTAGGAATCAGAGGTCGGTCTTGTACAGATGGACAAAGGACCGCAATTTCCTGTGCGATTTGTAGAGCTGTGATGAATTCGGCAGGCTTTTTGGCAGACGAGCCAATAATACTAAATGCAATCAAGTCAGGCAAGGTAGAAAGCTGAAACGAAGTATAACAAACTCACACATAAACGGTGCTGTAGGTGTCTAGGATGTGAATGTGATTCACATCTAGATCCTTCTGGGTGAAGGGTGAGACCTCTTCGACCAATGCTTTTAGAGATTGCTTTGGCGGCGAGGCTGCTCGTAATCCCCAGAACCCACCAGATGATTTAGGCCGGTCATGTTCAACACGGTACAGTCGGCTAGAATAACCTTTGGAGTGCTCTGCACTGGTAATAACATCCGAGGTGAAGGGGTTTTGTGCTCTTGAGGTGAAGGACTCCCAGAAGCTGGCAGGCTCCGTCCCTTGTGAAATTTCCTCAATTTCTCCAGTGAGGCCGAGGTCCATACCGATTAGTCTGGCACAGCCCACGTCTTCCTGATCACTACCAACCCCTTTCCAAAGATAAAGCTTGCCAAATTTGGCGGAAATCAGGAAAGGGAAACCCGAGCAGAGGCTGGAGGCTGTAAACTCAACTTCATCAAATGCCACATGTCCAAGATGTCGTCTCCCACATAGCATGTACAGAGCAGATGATTTATTCTTTCGGGTGATGACAATTCCTCCAAGGGCCTGGAAGAACTCGGAACTTTCTTTTCCTTGCTTGACAACCTCAAGTTTGGCACCGTTGTCGCGAGCAATCTTCCTGCAGAACAATTGGGCATCTTCAATGGCAGCTTCGGGGACTTCATCACCGCACCAAAGATATGTCTCGGATACTCTGGCTCCACTCGAAGGCTGCATAGCATGAACGCACAAGTACATGCATTCTTCAAACAAAATATGCTCCTGTTGAGGTGGCATTGGTGTTCGTTTTCCATCCCCTGTAACCTCCCATATTTGCATACTAACCGTCTTGGCTTTTTGCGTTGGCTTATTCTGTGAAGCGAGAAACGTTTGAGTATCAAAATCGGCCTTTTCGCCAATTTGCGGGACGATGCCAAAGAATGTCTGTAGCTGCGTCTTGACCTTCGAAGGCGACTTTTGAAGCGCTTTTGGTTTACTAGGTAACGGCCGAGGACGAGAAGAAATTGTTTCAGAGTCTGGAGGAGGAGTTAATTCTGGTGTCGCAGCGACTTTCCGAGACGAAGAATCAATCTGAAGACCGAGCCCTCTAACCTTGCTGGGAGTTACGGATGTAGATTTGTTCGCATCATCAGGTGAAGGATACGATCTTGGCGTGTTGAGTTTCGATTTGCTTGGTGTCAGCGGAAGACTGCTAAGTGCTGGCGGTGAGATTGACGGAAGATGCTTTTCGCCATCAGACTCGGGTGGTGATGCGACATTCAATGGCCGATCTGGAAGAACAGCAAACTTCTTTGGTGTCGCTGGCTTGCCGACTGATTCATTCTCGAGAGCTTTCAATGTCGATGGTTTAGATTCAGTACGCCGTTCTGCAGACTTTGCGGTCAAAAGAGGTTTGGGTTTGATGCTTGGTTGCTTGGGTTCAACCTCTGTAGGGGTTTCTTCAAGGGTGTTCCTCTCGACGGGTGCAGCCTTTGATTTTTCTGTAAGAGCAATAGGAGGCTTCTCGTCTTGACCTTCTGCCGGCTTCGGGAGCTCAATATTCGCGCTAGGCTTTCTGGGAGTGGGTTTAGGCCCTCTGAATTGCTCAGGAGTCTCTCTATTCTTAGCCGCAGTGATTGTTGCGGGTGTGGCTGAAGAGACGACTGGCTTTGGTGATGGTAAAGGTGTAGCTTTGACTGGGACAGGTTCAGATTTAGTTGCTGAGTTGACTTCCTTCGAGATGGCTCCCTCTTTTGGGACGGAAATACCCTTCGGAGTCCGCCGCTTTGGTCCCTTGGCTCTGCTCTTTGTTGCATGGGTCAATTCTGTTCCCTTAGAACTTGGTCCGTCGGTACCGTGGGTGTTGGTCAAAATACTAGTTTTGTGTGCTGTTTCTTCAGTCGGCCGAGGACTGCCACTCCGTGACAAGATTCCGGCAAGAGCAGGATTTAGACGAGCAGCAAGCCTACTATTGTCAGGCAATTTCACTTTGAAACTTGCTTCCGCTGAAGATGCAGCAGTCTTGTCCGCTTTGATAGACTCGGGGTTTGTATTGGTCTTGCGGAGTGTAGTTGTGGACTTATTTTCAGAACCCATGGTTGATACCACTTTAGAACTGATCGACTCTTCTGATAGCGATTTGGGAGGCAAGGCGATTCTTGACGGTTGCAAAACCGGGTCCTCTTCCTTCAACAGGTTTGGCTTTGGGGGTAGATTGCGAGACAGTGCTGGTGTGGCAGGCTGGTCGTCGACGACTTTACCGACCTCGATCTTGTCAGTGGAGGGACCAGTCTTGTGCAATGCAATTCTTTTAGCTAGTGCCTCTGGCACGGGTTCAGACGGCTTCGTTGAATTAAGAGACTCCGGTCGCTTGCCTATAGATCCACCACTCGCTTTCATCGCTTCCTTCTTCTGTAGAATGCTTTCTTTGAATTCATCGACCCGCTTGCTTGGTTGTGGGCCTCCTGTGGCATTCAATGCTGCTTTGCCTTGGGTAATATTGTTCTTGAGAACGTCAGGGGCAACATAATTTTGGGTCTGAGTACGCTTGAGCTTTCCAAAAACAGCTTTGAATTCTGGCTCAGCATTCGCGTTTGCTGTTGATGGCATTTGACGAGACTTGAGACTAGCACGAAAATCTGTCTTTGGTGGCGTCTGAGGCTTTGGTTTCAGCATAGGTGGTTTGACTTCTGACTTGGCTTCTGGACTCGACACTGCTTTAGAGCTTGAAATTGTTGGTTCGTCAGCGGGTTCGGTAGCAGGATTTGCTGGTCCACCAGGCTTCCCGTCAGAATTTACTTTTGATGTGACAGGTGTTATATTCCTCTTGGACGGAATGGCTGGCTTTCCGGTAGAACCATCTGTCAGGTTGGAGGTCAAAGGGAGCGATTTTAGTGGAGTCTTCAGGGAAGGGTCTTTTTCTGAGGTAGGTCCAGCTGAGGTATTGCTAGGCTTAGATGGCATGCCATCTGTTGAGCTGTTCCGCACCGGAGAAGTCTGCCTTAATGGAGGAGAGGCCAGAGGCTTGGTCGCATCTGCAGCCTTCGGCAAGTCACGTATGCCCTCTGGCAACTGAGACTGGGCCTCTTTTGAACGCTGCATGTTGAGCTTCCAAGCTGGTGTTTCAGACTTAGCCGGGGAAAGTCGCGGTGTTTCAGGCTTATTAAGAGCACTTTCAAGCCAGCTTGCCTTGGTTGGACTCCATCGGCGTGAGTCCAGCGTCTTCGAAGGGCTTCGAGACAACAGTTGTTCTGATGGTGGAGGTGTTGTTGGACGATTTAATTGTCGGACCGGAGATTCTGGGAGGTTGGCATCTTGCTCGCTTACAGGACTATCTTTGGTTGGGCTTGCTGACTCATCCTGTGGGCGCGGCAAAGGCCTCCCCCGTGTTACAGGGACGGGGTCAGAACCGTGACTTGAAACCGGTCTAGAGCTGGACAAGGGGGATGAATTTCCCTCTCTTACAATTCTGGTGTCCTTGGAGGAATTTCTGCTATGGCTTGGAGTGTACCCAGGTACCCCAGACAATTGTGCAGGCCTAGCGGTGGCCACCGAGTCCCCTCGCTTGAGTCCTGCATTGGCTTGAACACTCCATCTCTTGTTCACACTGTCGGATCTTTTCATCATCGCACTCTGTACGAAGCCGCCCAGTCCTTTGGTAGGGGATGGCGGACGGCCGGCAGAGGATGGGATACTGGAAGTCCTTCCAAGGCCGGTGGAGTCTCCCTCTGCAGCGTTACTCAATTCCAGTGGTTTGAATGACGGCAGATCTAATACCGGGGATTTCGATGACAGCGACATCATAGAAGCAGGTCTCGCTGAAGTGGGTTGGTCGGCATCCGGCCGCTGCTGCGGAGGCAGGGTTGAAACAGTCTTGAGGGGTGAAGGAGGGGGTGTTGGCTTCTGAGGTTCACTGCTTGCAACCATAGTTGAGTCTTTGGACATGCCTGGTAGCCTGACGCCACGGTTTAAAAGGGAAGTTGTTGTGTCCTGATCAAACTCGTCCTTTCGGTATGCCGCCGAGCCAACACCACGGTCGGCAGTCTGGCGAAACCATGTTGGGTCTTTGCTAGCTAGAGAGGCAGCAATGTCCTTTCTTGACATCTCCTCGGGAGCTTTTTGTGGAGTTGCGGCCAAATTTGTGAATGCGTCCGGAATCGATGCTACCGATTGTGGCCGTGCCCTGAAAGAGCCTGCACCCCTGGATGCAGGCCGCTGATTCCAAGACAGGGTTCCACTTCTTGACAATGAAGTAGCATTTGCAGGAGCACTCGGCGTGGAGGATCTGTCATGAAATGGTTGGGGAGGGAGTGGCCGCGTAAACTCAATCGACGAGGGCTGACGGTGCTCGGATTTGGGAGATGTAGAAGAGGAGCGATCTAAGCTCAGAGACTGTGATGGGGGTGTTAGAGTAACCGGAGGCTCGATTCCTCGACTCCGAGAAGGTGTGGCGTCGCCAATCGTCCGCAGCGATGGAGAAGGGCCTGTCTTGGAGGGTGAGAGAGATCGTGCACGCTCTGTCAAGATGTTAGTCACTCCAGCTCCTAGACCTGTTCAAGACGAGAGGAAAAGCGATCCTACCAGCTCTCCTGGCTTGTCTCTCCTTCCGTGCCTGTAGCAGTTCTTCCTCGACTCTTTTGGAGCGTTCGGCCTCCTCCTGGCCCTGCTTAGAACTGAGGCTCGCAATTCGAGCCAGGAATTGGTCGACAGACTCAGAGCCATCATTGGACGCGTCCATGGCTGATAACTATCGAGGAAGGATCGAGATGAATTGGATTGGCAAATGTTGAGTGGTAACAAAAAGCCCGGGGCTATTGTGCAGGCATCGTTCGGAAAATGACCAGCATTCAAGAGTGAGAAGCAAAACAATCACAGAATCAATACAATTGCTTGCGGGAGGACGCCCTGCTAAAGAGGCGAAAGAGTGGCACAAGGTTGAGAGACTGCAGGAGCAGCTGCAGGTGGGAGTGTGTAGTGGGTTCGTTGAACTGCGTGGTCCTGTGTTGATGCAATGTTGATGAAATGCAGGAAAGGGAAGCGGGCGCGTCTCGATTCTCCGCAGGGCGCTGCACGGCACGAGAGGTTTTTCCGAGACTTTAACTCCCGCTAGCCCTCGGAAGCTAACGAGGAAGTTGGTACTGGAACTTGCTAGTGATGATACCAACCAGAAAAACAACGTAGATCTGGCCGCTGTGTGATGTTTGTCAAGTTGATCATTTGGATTCTCAAAGTCCCTTTATCAAAGTTCTAGCCTGGAACTTGGTAGATGGTGGTGCCTGCTGTTGACTTGTGGGCTTTGGGCCGTCAAGAGCGACCAAGCTGCGACCTGTGCCTTTTGACAGGGATAGCCATGTCTATTGTGTGGCCGAGGCAATCAAACACAGCCCAGGCCACTTTTGGAACTTGTCCAGGGTACGGGGTGTTCTATCTTTAATACAAGAATAACCGGTCCCTTGCATCTTGGACAACCCAATCCAGGCCCTTGTCAAGATTGTTACCAGTCATTGCACTACATGGAACAACAACCCATCGATGGGTTAAGATTCTTTCCAACTCAAGACCTTTCTTGACCTCGTGTTCGCTCAAGCACCCAGGTACATCTGTCTTGTTGAGAAAGACCAGTAAGCTTGCGCCAGCTAGCCTCTGCAAGGAGAAGTCATTAGGACTGGTATTGTGTGATTGATAAAGTTCCCTCTTACCTCTTCCAGAAGCAGTCCTTTGAGTTCTAGTTTGCAGTCCTCGATTCTCAGCCGGTCCGTGGCATCGACCACCCAAATGAGAGCATCGGTCTTCTCAAAGTAGTTCCTCCAGTATGTTCGAATGGTCTTCTGACCCCCAACATCCCATATATTCAGTTTGTAGCTGTGTTTGTCAGCACCTATGCTTTTCTGCTCTCTTTCGGCGGACTCCAGATTACCCTTGAAAATCAATAGTCTTGATGATGAAGCCCAGTGTTGGACTGACAGTATTGACATCTTCATTCATGACCCGTTTCACAATGGTTGTCTTTCCTGCATTGTCAAGCCCGCTTTACAAAGCCGTTAGTGGAGATGATCACCTCTGTCAGTGACTCACGTCTCACAGCATCAGAATTCGCATCTCTTTATCCTTCAGTCGTGCTTTTCGCAGAATGGACAACATTGTGACTAGGAGGGTGTTCCAGCCTCATTCTCTGATAGATACAGTAGTAGAAGAGCTCGCAATTATCACGTGCCTCAGATTCATTATATAAGTTCTCAGTAGTGAAGACCTCAGTAAACGGTATGATGGTCCCATGAGTTTTCTAAATTGTAAGGTTTCACTGCTGACACAGCCGCCGAGACTTTGATTGGACCGGCACACGCACAGTCCGTTAAGGTCGGCGCTAACTGTGTACTAAACACGGGACAGGCCGACTATCAAACAACTTTATCTGATGGTGAACTAGCAGTAGTCATCTTGTCCGCATCATACTCCCGACTGGTACCTGGTAAACAATAAGGTGCCCAACAATTGCGATCCTCCGGGTTCTGAACCAAAAAGGAAGATACTTACTTCACTTAAAGATCGCTTCAGTCCAACTTTCACTTTGAAATTCCTCTCCCTCCCTTCATTATCCGTTTCTTAGCGCCCTTCCTCTCCTTCCTACAATCCGAACAGCTCCATACACCATCTATCTTTACTTCGGGCCATCATCATTCTTATCTTTGAACTGCAATGGTGATATCCTCGCAGATCTGCCCGCATGGCTCGAGCTTTTTGTCCTGCCGTGTGACAAGAAATTAGCCCGCGATTTGAGGATCTTGCCTTAGACGGTGTACATACTCCTTCTCCCATCAAGCATATCATTGCTTCCTCTTTTCAGCATTACCACAATGGATTCAGATCATCCTCCTGGCCATGATTCCTCACTTACCCCCGGTCAAGCTCTATCGCTCTCTGCTTGGAGGGAACTATCCCAGGCTCCTGCAGCCGCCAACCCATCCTCAAAGGTAGGCTGCTTGAACTCCATCACTATTCAAATGGCTCACTGGGGTATTCATCCACAGACACTTGACGGGCTCCAACTTCCTCCTTTTGATGCTAACAAATATGGGAACCCTATGGCTCGCAAAACAAATTCATCGAAACGGCAATCGCCTTCACCAGGAAATTTTGGCAAGTTTTCACAGCCAAGGAGCAGTACCCGCAAGGATCATCTAGCACAAAGCTGGGGTTTCGAGCAAACTCCCGACCAAGCCAGCCGCAAATTAGCAAGCAATTCGAATGCTGGCGATGTGACAGCTAAGGCCACTGATGCCCAAAACAACAAGCCGGATTCCTCAACTGTTCAAAGCACTCCGAAGTCGAACTCGAAGATGCAGATTCCTGGATTTGACGCAGAAGCATATGGCCATCTTGGTAGCCGCGGAACACGTACACCAAATGCAACCTCAGTTATCTCTCATAATTCTCTACGAGATCAAACTTCCTCTTCTCAGCTTCGGAAAAGCAAGGTGTCACAAGCCGACGAGGGCGGTTCTGAAGTCGCGTCCACAGTTCCTTGGGGCTTGGGTCTGGCACAATCTGATATGGAAGGACAATTAGAGCTGCAGACCCTTGCTAAAGTTCCGATCACTCCCAACGTCTTCCACTCTCAGCTACAGTCCACAAACAACACTAGAATCCCAGATGCTGGGAGCAAGCCTCAGCGTGCTCAGGACCCGCAGAAACCAGTCGTCTACGAGACATTGAAAAAGCCTGGGGAGTCCCCGATGGAAACTATGCGTCGTCTTCAGGTAGCGAAGCAACGAGAAATCATGAACAACATTCACAAATCTTCCGACAAACGTGGGCAGCACACTGCAAACTTAGCTGAGTTGAGAAACCTTCGACGACCCATCTCACCTGAGGCTTCCGATTCACCATCTACAAGATCTCAGCCTGCCTCAAATGCACTTCAAGTCCCCCCAACAATTTCAACGCCCAGCTTCAAACAACTCAGCATTGATTCTCCAACCCCAATCGCTGGGAAGGCCCCAGGGGCCGTTCCGTCAGTCCTCTCAAACATGAATCCTAATGTGAGCAGACGCCCATCTCCTCTCAACCAGTATCAAGACTCATCCAGCGACATCAACATGAAATCTACGATCAATGTGCAGAGTCATCAACCACGACAGTCTCGCTTTCAGCCTGATCAGGTTGCTCCTCGGAATAACTGGGCTACATCGGCGGAGCTCAAAGCTCCTGGCTGGATTGTCGACAGCAATGCGGCCGGATCAACGGCGAGCGAAGGCTCCATGTGCCACATGGGAATTGATTCCGACCTGGGACGACTAATTCGGCCAAAGAACCCAGATGCCCACGAAGCCTCTCTCATAGGATGGGACGGCAAATTCGTTCCGCCACCGGTTGACTGGGAGCAGCGTCCTCGCTTTGGTAATGACCAGGAGCATTTCAAAGCTGACTTCCGCAACTGGCTTGGGCAAACTGTACAGCACACCCTGGGTGTCGAAGCTGTACCTAAGCTGAGCTTCGAACGTGCGCCATCGGAAGTTGTCTCGGACATCAACTTGCATCCAGATGGACTAGGATTTGTGCAGAGACATGCCACGATCAATGCGGGCAACGCAGAGCACTACGGCTACGATTTCTCAGCCGACAATTTCCCAAAGACTGGAGGTGAGCCCGCTGATTTCGACGCGGACTGGCGAGTCGATAGTTCGCTCATAGAAAACGTGAAGTACAGAGACGAGACCACGAACGACCTAATTGCGAAGAAGATGCAGCTTGTCGAGCGTGATACAAGACGCTACGAAGCACAGGTCGAGGAGCGCAAGGCATCTCAAGAGGGAGCAGCAGCCATCATCGCTTCAGAGAAACCAGCTGACATCCCCCGTCCAAAGGTCAACCTATATCTTCGTCCTGCCTTGGACGTCGATATCCCCGGCATGACCGAAATCCTCAACTGGTACATCAGAAATGGCGTCCGCACCTCAGAACTGTTGCCTATTTCCGACCAAGACATGCGTTCGCGACTGAACATGGTGAAGCAATCCAAGCTCCCGTTCATTGTGGCGATCGAGCGCACCCGCAAGAAAGCGCGCCAAAAGACAGCTCGACAATCAGACAACCCAGATGCAGGCTACCATGGCATCGTCAAAGACGAGCATGTCATCGGTTGGGTTTCCGCAACCGACTGGTCGGCCGTTGACTACGTGGAGTGTATCTCCGCCGACTTGGAGCTCTACGTCGCACACGACTACCGTCAGAAGGGCATCGGGCGCTGCCTCATGGAGGCATTGCTCGACGCCACTGACCGCGGCTACATGAAGAAGGGCAAGTGTGAGTTCACCGTCGCGCCGGAAATGCGGCACATGTTCTCTAGCGGAGGCATGCGGGACTTGCACAAGATCATCTTTCAAGTTCGCTCTTACAATTCTCCTCTTCCCCGCGAGATGCAAATCAAGCATGCCGCATATGTTGGCAGGTACGACAACATGGTCAACGGCGGTGGCGGTTGGGACGGCCGCGGCAACACCACCAAACCCAAACTCATGCGAGCCGACGGCAAGAACCACGAGACACCGGACGATCTCGAAGACGACTACGCCGTCTGGTTGAAGAAGTGGCTGGAGAGCTTCGGCTTCGAGGAGGAAGGCCGTCTCAGGAAGATCGGCACCAAGAACCGCCGATTCCTCGACTTGGTGTACCTTACGCGCGAGACCCACTGGCAGCCAGACGAGAAGAAGCTGCCTGACTATTCCCAGCATCCAATCTGAATCTGAACCCTACCTTCACGGGGCATCTTCGCGCTGGGAAAGCGGACGCGATTGACTGAGATCCAATGATTGCGTTTTCGCACCTTCCAGCAAGCGGTGTCTTCCTTCCCAACTCACTCACTCGTCCTGAGTGCAAACTCCATGCCCAGAAATGCTTCGGATATGCAGCACAACATAACATGTATGAGTACAATTTTCACAGCGGTGGAGGGTTTCTTTCTTTTCGTCTTTTTACCAGCTCACGCTCCCCGAGGATTTTCCCTGAGATGTCGGGAGCAGGCCCCAAAGTAAACAACGTGCAGGAGATCTATGCAACGCTGACGGCAGTTCGCTCTTAACGGCGGCCTGGATTGGACATTGTATGAAAGGGGAGGGAATCATGATTTACCGATCCTCGACGGTAGCCATGGACAGGCAGACAGATCCCTCTTTGAGGGCGGTGACATGGCATAGCATAGCATAGCACAAACCAGCATAGAACGGATGAGAAAATACAAATAATTCGGAGAAGAAAAAACTGATAGATAGTATTGGGGAGATATTCCTTCCAATTACTTACATTGTGATTGATAAGAGCGAAATGTCGATGCTCCTCCCTTCATGTGCCTGTTGCGTTATGTACAATGCACACCTCAATGTCGTGGTTCGTAGCGCACGCTCATGCTCGGGGCTCTTTTCCGAAGAAAATATCACCGTTCCTAAATCCGGTGAAGGTAGCGAAGATGATGCCTGAACCGTAGATATAAAAGTTCGTGATTCGCCAATAGTATTCAATCGTCCTGTGACGAGGTTGAGTAGGGCGAACAGCGAGGATGACTTTCGCCATTTCTCAGAGCGTGCACTCACCGCATGGGCTCTGATTGTTCGAGGAAATGGCTCTCATCAGCGATCCTTCAGGTTTTACGAAAGGAAATTTGTAAAGCCGCGGGCACCTGCAGATTTATCAAGTAGCTTGGATCGCAAACTTACAGCTTAGGTACATGGGCAGGCTTTTCGATGCTCCAAATTGTAGCATGGTCAACCTGAACTTGGGAACACGTTTGAACTGTTTGGAATGTGGCCTGCGATTTTCATTTTCAGGGGTTGACGAGCGGAAGAGTCTCAGTGGCAGTCGTCCTTCTGTGGGGATGGGTCTTTCATTGTGGATGTGAGGCACAAAAGGTGCGTCTGAGATCAATAATAATGGACGCACGTAGTTGCGTGATTTGTAGGTAGTATACATCGTCTGGTTTCGGCTCCGGCATATCCTTACTACCTAAGATAGCGCCATTCTGAGAGATGGAAGAAAACACGGCCTGAAGGTGATCGTTTCATTGCATCCGAACTTGAGTGGAACACATGTATATCTGGCGCTCTGTGAGAACGGGAATCGAGATCTGCCGAGCGGGGCATTTCCAGACTTGCAGACCTGCAGGTCGCAGGTAGGTCACTGCCCGACATCTTGGATCACCCAGGCGGACGATGCAATCGCTGAGTGGCTGGTTAGGCCGTCTAGGGAAAGGAGCGCTCTAGATTTGCCAAGGTGATGAAGGCGAAATGCCGTAATCAGCTGCAAGCCTGGTTAAATTGTAGCCAGTCAGGCCCGCTTCTCGTAAAAGAAGTCGGAGGACTGCCGTGGCCAATAGTCGTTCACCTGTGAGTAGCTCGCGGAGGGAGTAGGAGGAGTAATTAGTTCGTCTGGACCTCGTAGGCGCTCCCGTTTGTTCGTTTGGAGTGAGAATGTTTTGGTCGGGGACGAGAAGTGGCCCCCGTGACTGGCGACTTGAGTCTGTGTCACGTGGGCATTGTATGCCCTACCCGCTAAAATGGACTAGTCCCACGGTTCAGCCGAGTCGGAGGGAAGTTGGAGAGTTGATACCCACATGTGCTCCAGGCACCTGAGGTCCTGGCGCAAAAGCATGAAGCATGGCTCGGTTAAGATTTCCGAGTCCCTCGTTAGGCCGCAATTTGTGAGACCCTACCCATGAGACCACCCATGGGGCAGCCCATGAGACATGAGACCAACACTACAAGCGACGAGCCGTGCTCGTGTGTACGCCGTCTGTGTGAGGTGAGGCAGCTGGTTGTACCGACCCGTGATTGTGAGGCTTCTGGCATGCCATGATTGTTCCTTTGCCCCTCCATCCGTGACCAGTAGGATTGCATCATATATCCCTGGAAAGGCACCCCCGTGGCCATCAACTCTTGTTTTGAATCGAATTCTGCCTGGTGCAGGCGATGGGCGATGGCGACACCGGTCGCTAAGTTAGATAGGCGAGCCCGGCGGGTAGAAGATCAGCCACAGCTCAGGGCCCCTCAACCAACTGGGAGATACGAGTCCCTGCTAGGGATGATAATCGGGTATGCAGGTCATCGGCACAGATTGGGAACCAAAGTGGGATGATTGGCGCTGCAACCATGCCTATTCCCATTTCTTTTCCCCTTCCTTTGAGTCGATGCGCCAGTAGTCAAGGTGAGCAAATATATCTGGATAGCTGTGCCTGCTTTGGGATCCCTTGTGGACTCTTTGGGAGAGTTGTGCAAGATTATCCAAGTACTGGGCGGTGTCAGACGACGCCTGTCAAGCAAGCGAGTTCTGCAGCTGGTCAGGGGGAAGGGCTTTCGCTGTCTACCACTACTAGTCGAAGCCCCGAAGCCTCGAAGCCCCTGGTACAATGCGCCCTGCATTCTGGGTTTGGTGGTTTTCATGACTCGTGAGGTTACTGTGTAAATACCATCCTTGCAGCCAGGTGCGCTGCGTGGTGGAAGTGTCAATATTGAGTTTGGATAGCTTGGACGTCGCTTGAACTGGTTGATTCCCCTCGTTAGTCCAGGAGGATCCCAGAGTGCCCGCTTTACTGGTTTTACCTGGCTTGTTATGACGATCATTCGGCAGGCTACAGTCTGTGCTCTTTCTGGTAGCAAGACAACAACAACAACAACAGAGAAAGCTTCGAATTACCAGTCCAACTGGAAGTCAGTAGTAGTACTGGTGTCGGGCACGATAAGTCATTGCAAAGCTGGCTAAGTCCGTGGGCTGCAGTTCCGGGCGAGTTCCGTTTCTTCTTTTTTTCCTCATTTATTTTACCACCCGGGCTGAAAAGGGAAGAGAGCGAAACCGACGACGACGACGCCGGCGCAAGTCAAAACGCCTGTCCTCATCTTTGTCATCTGTCTATTCCAGCAACTAACTCACGTATACCTGTTGTTGGGGATTAGTTAGGACTACCCGGTGTGCCTACTGCAGAAAACCGGATGCCTCGTCCATGTAGCACCATGTCTTAGGCGTGCGTTGACGTACGAGTGCCTTGGTTAAGCGTGGTACTGCATGCACCTATGCTTAGCTGGGGATTAGTGAGGTGGACCCCTAAGATAGTGGGCACGATAGCCTAGAAGATCTGCTCCTCAGCCGCTCGAATGGTCCGTCGGCTCCCCTCTCGGCCCTCTGGCACCCGTCTGGTACCTGTGCCAATGCCTGTGCGTGTGTCTGCCAGAATTCGGTAGCTGGGTTGTGTGTGGGTGTGTCCGTGTCTGTGCCTGTGCCTGTGCCTGTGTGTCCCGTGCTGACCTTAGGCTGCAGGAGGATGCCGCAGGCAGACAGTAGTGCTCCGTAGACTGTAGTGGGCGAGTGAGTGAGTGAATGAGGGTAGCTTGCATCCCACCACCACCACCTCCTCCGACTCCCACCTTTTTTTTCTCTCCCAGGTCAATTCCCTTGCATCATCCACCCTCCATCTCATCCACCTCATCCACCTGCGAACAAGGGCTCAACCTTCCCGCCTTTGCCTTTGCCTTTCCCAATTCTTCATCCGAAAAGGACCCTCTTTTGGCTTGGGAACTTACCTGAGAAACCTTGCAGGGACGCAGCCAACACCCAAGGGCTCTTCCTCTCCACCTCTTGCTCTCACACCAGTCACAGCCAACCTCACCTCACACTCTCTCACTCACTCGAACCCTCCACCAAACCCTCGATAACCTTTCTTCCGCTTCCTCCCCTTCGCTTCTCTTCTTCTTTCTTCTCCCTCCTCCCTCCTCCCCTCCACCTTCTCGCCTGTCCGTCCCTTTCGCTTCCTCCTCTCCATCTGTTGTCTGCGCGTCCTCTTAGTCTTGCAGTGCTACTTGCTATTCTGCTTCTCTTTGGCCCTGCTCTTCTCTCGGAGTTTCCTCGAGTTCGCGGTCTGATCTGTGGCTTTGGCTGTCCAGCATTTGGCCCCCATCTGAATCACTGCGCATTTGATCCGGTACGTGCGAACCTTTTCTCTGCACCTCCCTTCAGTATTCGCCTTTGATCGCACATACAAGAGGCGTTTTTTGGTGGTCGTTGCGCGCACACAACGTGGGACTGCCCGGCCGCATCCCGACAGTTCGCTAGGACACGGCGCATGCATGCGACTCGGCTTTGGCAGAATAAACCCACCCACCTATACAACTCTGAGCAAACGACTGTCAATGAACATGAATGCAAGGTCATAATCACCGATACCGACTGCTCATCCATGACGACTGGATTCATGTGTCACGGCATCAGATCAATGACTGACTACCCAATGTCCAATATTCATTTAGCTCCGTGACAACTAGCGCTAATCCTTTGACTCTTAGACTACCCATACCTTCAATTCTCCAGACAACCTTTGCTCTCGCTTTGCATCTTGCAACTTTTGAGATTAGCCGTTCGGGTTATTGTTCTGCAGACAAAAAGTTGGCCAAAACGAGTCAGATTCCAAGTGTAACAACTCCATTAATTTCTCCACCCTCTTACGGCGAGTCCTTGTAAGAGAACCATCAATTCAAGTCAGCTTTGGTGAGTACCGATCCACACCGTTTGGAGTCTCTTCTTTGAGCTTTATCTGGAGCAAGAGCTGGCATCTGACTGATAGGCACAGGAATATCCTTCAGCCTTTACGCGATAATTACGTTTCAACATGTCTTTCGAGTACGGTCAATTCCCCAACACTCCGCAAGAGGGTGCACCAGGCCAAGTGCCTACTCCTCAGGATGGTGCTCCTCCAGGTCAGCAGGTTGACCAATCTGGCCAACAGGCCATGCAATATTCTCCTGCAGATGGCAACTCTGCCCCTCAAGCTGGCCCGGGAGGAGAACAGAAGACCACTCTCTGGTAAGTGAAGCTGGATTCTCTCGTTGACGCTCTACCTGACCTCGCTCCCAGGATGGGTGAGCTTGAGCCTTGGATCGATGAGAACTTCGTTCGCAACCTTTGGTTTCAAATGGGTGAGCAGGTTAGTGTCAAGATGATTAGGGATAAATTCTCCGGGTATGTTCTGGCCTGGGCCGCAAAACCTCCTTCACGTCTCTGAACTCATGTTAGCAGTAATGCGGGCTATTGCTTCGTCGATTTCTCTTCCCCAGCCGCCGCCGCAAAGGCTCTTCAGCTGAGCGGACAGCCCATGCCCAACTCCAGTCGCCCTTTTAAACTCAACTGGGCTTCTGGTGGCGGCCTTGCCGACCGACGCGATGACCGCGGTCCTGAGTTCTCCATTTTCGTAGGTGATCTTGGCCCAGAAGTCAACGAATACGTTCTCGTTTCCCTGTTCCAGAGTCGATTCCCCTCTTGCAAGTCTGCCAAGATCATGACCGATCCCCTCTCCGGTATGTCTCGCGGCTATGGGTTTGTGCGATTTTCCGACGAGGGTGATCAACAACGCGCGCTTAGTGAGATGCAAGGCGTTTATTGTGGCAATCGTCCCATGCGTATTTCTACTGCTACCCCGAAGAACAAGGGTGGACCAATGGGTGGTGGACCTGGAGGGCTCAATATGCCTGGTGCGGGTCCCATGGGATATCCTCAAATGGGTGGCCCACCTATCGGCTATTATGGTCAGCAGCAGCAACAGCAGCAGGCACCTCAGCCCATGAACCAGTTCACCGATCCTAACAACACCACAGTCTTTGTGGGAGGCCTCTCCGGCTATGTGACCGAGGATGAGCTTCGTTCTTTCTTCCAGGGATTTGGTGAGATCACCTACGTCAAGATCCCACCAGGGAAGGGTTGCGGCTTCGTCCAGTTCGTCCAACGCCATGCTGCTGAGATGGCCATCAACCAGATGCAAGGCTACCCAATCGGCAATTCTCGTGTTCGCCTCAGCTGGGGTCGCAGCCAAAACAATTCTGGCCCAGCAGGCACTCCTTACCGCCCTGCTCCACCACCCCCGATCTATCCCTCAATGGGCATGCCTCCCTCGCACTCATACGGCAACTATGCGCCGATGAAGGTGAGTTATTAGGAGTTCCCATAACGTTTATTTCCAATACTCACCAACCATCAGTAATTTTATGGCTTGTGGGCGCAGCCGGCGTTCGTCCATTGACTTCCATTTCCTGTTGAACGGACACTGCGTTTTCTTTTGTCATTGAAAGCAGCGCAATCGAACTTTAGCGTCATCGTTGGGGTGGGAGGGTGTTTGTCAACAAAAGTTCTTTCATTACATCGCGATGAACCCCTTACCATCAATTTTTCTCGATGGTCAGTTGGCTGTGTACAACATCAACGTGGCATTCGCTTTTGGGTTGAAATGACGATTCCAATGAACGAGGAGCATGTGCTTGGAAGCGGTAAACGGCAAGGATGAGGAGCATGGACCCTCGAGCGTTGAAATGGCGGATGATGATTAAGTTGGCGAAGAAGTTTCCTTTTCCTTTTTTCTCTCTCTCATAACTTTACTATGGCCTCGTGCCCTGAAACGAGGGGATCGGGATCCTATTCCCTGATCTGTGATCCTCAGAAAAGGAGTCTGGCATTGAGCACACGAAAGACCACGGCATCCACGAAAGCTGATAACTACGAGCATTAATGTGTTCTTCCATAGTGGCGGAACCCAATGCAGAAAACAGTCATTGACATTCTGAATCTCGTTTACTGTGGTCATCTTGACGTCTACATATATCTTTACTCGTCTGGCGATACACCCTCATCAGGCTGACATTTATATCCAGTCTTACCACCACTCTTCTCAGTCATCCTCATCGAATCCTGCTCTCCCTCCCGGCACGTTTTTCCGCGACAGACCACGGCAGGCACGGCATCCCCCAGTCAACTTCTCCGCGTGCCAAGACCAAAAGAGCCTCGGGAATATCTGATCGTCTTCTCCAAACTCGCTTCAGTTTGTTGCCGAGTTGACTGACCCTGGAGGAAGAGGATAGGTAAGTTGATATGTAGGTTCAGTGTTTCTTTTCCTGGGGCTGCGACACTTCCAATCCTTGATGACTTGTTTCCATTTGCTGCGAAACACCAGTTACGCTGAGACAGCTTGATCTGAAGAAACCAAAGATGGATTCGAGACCGATTCGAATTGCTGGCGCGTCTGGATCTGCCTCTGACCGCCGACATGCCATGGCAGCATTTGCAAAGGCTCACCCATCAGATCCTATCGACGTGATAATAGCAGATTTTATGAGCGAGGTCAATATGACCATCGCGGCCGCTCGTCGTGTAGATGCCGATTCGTTGACTGCCCCGAATGGCAATGCTTTTATCGGCGGAGGCCCCGCGTTTGAGGCCTCGTTCCTCGAGGCCTTGGAACCGGCTCTCGATGATCTCGCAAAATACGGGATCCGGGTCGCTGTGAATGCCGGGAATGCAGATACAGAAGGTCTCTACAAGACCGTTGTAGACATGATTGCAAAGAGGTGCCTACAGATCAAGGTTGCTTGGGTTTCTGGCGATGAAGTCCTTCCCGCGATCAATGCAGGCTTGAAAGATGGATCCTCTCGCTTCAAGAATATCTACACGGGTCACCTTCTTTCCTCATGGGAATTCGAGCCGATTTATGCTCACGCTTATCTTGGAGGTCTGGGGATCGCCGAGGCATTTTCACAAGGTGCACAAATTGTTATATGCGGTCGAGTCGCCGATGCTTCCCCCATCATTGGCGCCGCCTACTGGTATCACAACTGGCAGAGATCTCAGCTCAACGCGTTAGCCAATGCTTTCGTGGCTGGCCATCTCATTGAATGCAGCAATTATGTAACAGGTGGCAATTTTTCCGGCTTTAAGAGCCTGAAAAACTCCCCGACCGGGTGGACTGATATTGGTTATCCGATTGCTGAGATCGCTAAGGACGGGTCTGTGGTCATCACGAAGCAGAAGGACTCTGGTGGTACTGTAACGACACACACGTGCTCGTCCCAGTTACTTTACGAAATACAGGGTCCGTGGTACTACAATAGCGACGTGACTGCGGTTCTGGATCAGATATGGTTTGAGCAATTGGGACGAGACAGGGTCGCGCTACATGGGGTAAAAGCCTTGCCTCCACCTCCAACTACAAAAGTTGGCCTCACTGCTCGAGGAGGCTTCCAGGCTGAAATTTGGTATTTCATGACAGGACTTGACGTCTCAGAAAAGGCTCGCATGATAGAGGCACAGCTCCGGATCGGCTTGAAGCCATATTCGGATCAATTCTCAGCACTGTCTTTCAGCGTGTTAGGCTCACCAGCACCAAATGCAGACAATCAGAACGCCGCCACCGTAATATTTCGCATCTTTGTGCAAGCCAGGACTTCGGATGATATCGCGCCCGCTAGGTTTCTACGTCCAGTCATTGACAATATAATGCAGAGCTATCCCGGTGCAACTTTCCATTTGGATTTTCGACAAGGAATCCCAAAACCTTTCTATGAGTACTATGTCACTCTCCTCGATCAATCCAAAGTCCAACATGTGGTACATTTCAACGGTAGGGACACGATAATCCCACCTCCGTCTCTGACCAAAGTCTTCCCCGAACGCCAGCACAGCCAACCCACTGCCGGTATCCAAGTTGATCTGTCCAAATTTGGACCTACGGAATATGCTCCCCTGGGCACAGTTGTGAATGCAAGATCTGGTGACAAAGGAGCCGACTGTAACTGTGGTTTCTGGGTCCGTCGTGAAGACGAATATGTCTGGCTCAAGAATTTGCTATCCATCGAGACGATCAAGCTTCTTCTGGGCAAAGAGTATGATACGTCACGGGTGCCCGCGATTGAGATTGAGAGATTCGAGCTCCCAAACCTGAGGGCAGTACACTTTTTATTCAGGAATCTACTTGACCGTGGCGCAACAAGCACGTCCACCATTGATTTCTTGGGAAAGAACTGTGCTGAATTTTTGAGGTCCAGATATGTCGACGTCCCGACCAGGTTCATTGAGAGAGGGAAACTTTAGCGGATGATGGGCATTTCGTACAGCTGCAGTCCTACTGCTGCGGATTGCTGCATGTCTGTCTAAATAATGCACAGCAAACAACTTTATTGTTCTCGATGATTTTTTTGGGGGCTCCATTTAAGCCTTTCACAGTTTTGTCAAAGCTGAAGGGTTCCGGCTCTTCCCAGCAATATCAGATTCAACGTGGGCAGGGTTCAATACGTTTGCAATTGTCACCAACAGCAAACATGGTACAACACATAATGGAAACGTGAAATGGATTGCCTCGACTAGGGCAGTGAGTCAGGCTTCCTGTTACTTTTGACTGCCTGCACACGTTTTACTCAACGAAGCCATAGTGATACCTATGAATGACTGTTTATCTTTCATTCAGATGCTCTTGAACTCGAACGAGACTTGAACCTGCGTGTGACGGCAACAAGCACTAGAAGACTTACACTTCGTATCGAACTTCGACATCGGACAAAATCAAATTACCTGCTTTGCAACACCCCTCTTGGCTGTCTCCTAGCCGAGAGCCCTTCAACAATGTGCTACCAATATTGCATCAAATACGAGTGCCCCAACTGCGTTGAAGGATACACACCAGACCGACGCACCGACGTCCTCTGTCGACCAAGTTCACGATGTCCACTACTTGAGTCACGACTGTTACCTCTCCGCATCGCATTTCGATCGGGCCCACTTTGTCAGACGTGCAGAGCAGCCCAGGAGCGGCAGCAAGCCAACGCACAAAATGCTAACCAGCATCGTCGTGCGCAACACCCTGGCGATCGACCACGACGAAGCGCTCCTGGCCCAGCACGCGAACAATGCCTAGACAGATATCGATCTCTCCATCGCCATCGCCAGAATCTAGGTCGAGAACGGCAGCGATATGCTCAAGAAGCTTACACATTCATCCCGGAAAATCACCTTGACGACCATGATCACCAATACCGCTACCACGCTGCCCAGGCTCATGGCTACGCTCGGGCACCACCAACACCATCTCCACCACAACCACCATTCTCTTTCTTCGAGAGAATCTACCAAGGAAGCCTTCCTCGACGACGCCCTGTCACCCCCGAGCCAGCATATGCATATCTCGACCGCAACATGAGAGACAGAACCCTTGATGAAAGCATTTTCCGTGATGTGGATGACGTCTTCGGTGATGCAGGCTACGATGATCGTAGCGATGAACTCCTGCTCGGCATGTTCGGATGCATGAGATTTCGCTAAGTGAAAGGACAACAAAAGATTGCCGAGTCCACTCTAGACTTTCTGGTAGAACATTGCGTGGTTGGGCTTTCGTCTTTCTGCGACAATGCTTTGGTCCTTACTTTCCTCATCTGAAGCATTGCTGTTAGACGGGAACGGGGCTACAAAAGAAGATGGCGCATCGTCAAAGGGCTGTTCTTTGTCCGAGCATTCACCAACCTGAGTGCCCATTCTCCATAATTCTCTGTCTTTGTGGGTTCTTGCTCATGGTCTAGGCCTGGTGTTTTTGCTTTTTTGAGTTCATAAACTCACGTACGAGATTACAGGTAGCTAGCCAGCGCACATTGTGCAATGAACACTGCCTGATTTGGAAAACAATTAGACACACAAACAATTCACCTCCCATACATACCCTGGGTCCTGTGCACACCACACCTCACTCACATCACCATAACAGGTGCCCGACTCACTCGCAATGTCCGCCGTGTTCGGTCCGATGCATCTACACCTCTATGACTCAATTCGAGGTAATGCTATTAGAATAACGCGGAGGACTCTGACCTTTGTCCAGTTTCATGGACTAGAAGAACCAAATGCGGCCAAGTGGATTTGCTCTTGATGGCTATGCATGCGTATGGACGAATGCGAGTGGACTGTGTATGATGGAAGAGAGATTGTGAATAGTTGAAGGAACAGTCAATCAATGGGTGAAGCTAAGAGTGTGTTCGAAGCAATCAGAGGGAGATTTCGCTGACGCCACAAACGTTGGTTTCGTACGAGAACGATCAGGGCTCAATGCTTTATACCTCTCCTTCGAGATGTTCAATGATGCTCGACATATCCTCGTGTCTGCTTTTCCATGGTATTCGTCTACAGGCTATAATTTCTACATCCTAACAATCCACATTGTTCCCGAGCATGCCCGCTACTATGATAACTTCGATCTCTGCTCAGTTTCCACAGCCTGCCTCCTCGATTGTTCCGGGCAAACCTCCTTCAGACAATCCAGGGCGCGACACTTGCACTGTCTGCTGGTTGCCTCAGTAAACAACAAAGGAAGAGTCATACACGCGTCAATGCTAGCAGTGCTGTTGACAAAGATACACACTGCCTGTATTAGCCTTGCTGCCTCATTCACTCGGCACTACATAAATGATCACTGTACAGCGCTTTCAGCTGTTTACTTTCTGCTTTTTCTCCTGGGCAGATTTACTTCTTTAAACAAGCACTTATTCCAATACCTGCAAACTCACAACCCAATACCACTACAAAATCAAGCCGCAAGTAGCATAACCTCCAAAAACAAACGACTCTCAAAATACACAACTCTCCAACCGAACAACTCCCCAATATGTCTCCCAACCGATTTTCCATAATGATTCAGACTCCCTTGTCTCATCAGCAAGACAACGCGAACATAGTGCCAGCAGAACCGCAGCCAGCACCACGAACCAATCGCGTTCGGCACTGCCTGCGAAAACCATGCTCAATGATTCGCAACGCATTTCGGCGCCTGCAGAACGTCCTATTGTATCATCCAGAGCGTTCATGTCCAACATGCCGCTATCAAGTGGGTCGAGCTCATCATGATGACTTGGGTCAGGCCATCCCTGATGTCCCTCCACCTGCTTATATGGTCGTCGATCCAACTCCTCCTGAGGCTCCTAGATGGAGACAGAGACAGAGAGCTACGAGGGATTATGATCGGGGGATTACTACTACTGCCGCTGGCGCTGGCGCTGGATCACCTATGCCTCGAACAAGATCTACAACTGCTTTAGCACGCACCACTACCACTGCCACAGCTACAACACATCCCAACCAAAATCCAAATCGGAACCCAAGCACAAACACTTCCGCGACTCCTACCCCTACTCTCCCTATCACCATGATCGAAGCAGAAACAGCCCCCCTGCACACCATCCGCGCCGCGGTCGCTGCTGAGGAGCGGCAACTCCAGAGCCTGCGCCGTCGCCGAGTCGCACTTGAACATTCACTTACCAACTCCAGGATGCGATGGAACGAGGAGCTCGAGCGCTCGTTGGCTTCCTACCAACTCCGCTTGCGCACGCTTGACAGTGTGTACAGAACCCGGCTTCCGCTGCAGCCCTCGGCAACGTTGGCGCGGTCCGAGGAGATGTTTTTCAGGGAGAGACCTCCGGGCAAGGTTTCGAACGCAGTGCAATGATCTTTTGTGCTTTAGCTTGAAGTTTTACACACTTGACCCGGAGTTTCTTGATTAATCGATTGATGTATGGTTATTCTTTGCGCTGGCTGCTCGTTTTTGTGAGTCAGCAACATCAGATCATCAAAACCTGATCGGCACCTACCTGTACCTTATGATGTGTCGTCTGCAGACCTGGATGCGTGTCAGGGGCTTATGGGGGCTTGTTATTCTCCGATATGGGTCGCGTCGGAGCGCGCTGGCTTGGGGCTCTTTGGATTTTATAGTTAGATGGTGGACAATCTTGAATTGGCTTGGGATTTCAGTCTTGTTGGCTTGTTTCGTGTACATAGCTGTGCCTTTCTCCTAAAGTCTTCTTTTGAGGAAAAGGGGCGACAAATGCATCCGAGGTTCCAGATTTTGACTAGTGGGGCTGACTACTTATTCCCTGTTGTACGAAAGCCACCATATTCCAAGTAAGCTGGTTGCAGATTCAGATGCACCGTGTAAATTTTTATCAGGAATCAAGACATGATTTCTTGCCCTCAATTGAACGTCTTATCCTGTGGTGGCACCGGCAAGGTTACCGGGGGGAAAGTGGAACACCAGAATGGGCCTTTCTCTTCAAAATGCAGTTTGAGCCACGCAGGAACGGAGTTGGCTTCTGAAAGCCCCTCGACCTCGAAGAGGAGGTTGCATTTCTCTGCACCTCCACCAGAAGCAATGGTTAGCTCGTAATGAATCTCGGGACGAGTTTGTTCAATGCTTCCGGGTTTCACGTCTGGGTGGTCGGCCTACCCTGCCGTAAGCTCCCATAGAACTTGGAAGGGCAGGGACCGGGGAAGGACAAAAATACGTCCGCCAAAAATACAATACATCGCGTAGTGCCACTGTGAGTAAACGAAGCCTACTGAGCTATATAGCTAGCTCTGCCCATTTCAATCCGAGTTGGGTCCAATGTATCTCTCTCTATACTTCTCCCACTAACTGCAGTTTCTCCTTGCCTGTCACCCTTCCGAAATGCCGACAAATCGTGCTGCATGGCTTGATGCAAAGTCAACAACCCTCGTGGTGCATAACGCTCCCTTTCCAATACCTGGCGAGGATGAAATCGTCGTCAAGAATGCCTGTGTGGCAATCAATCCTGTCGATTACAAACTTCAAGATTGGGATTTCTTGAACTTGCGTTATCCGGCAATTCTGGGATGCGAGGTTGCTGGCGAGATTGTTGCAATCGGTGATCAAGTCCGGAATTTTCAGACTGGTCAGAGAGTCATCGGGTCTGTCTCCAACCCATTCTTGACGAAGGAGTCGCTCCGACCCACACAATGATCATAAAAATATGCTCACATCTTATCCTAGAAATTGCCATTCCAGCGTTACAAAGGACTACAAAAATGCTGGGTTCCAGGAGTACACCGTTTTATCGTCTTCTCTGGCCGTACCGATCCCCGATGAGATGGCGTTTAGTGCAGCAGTTGTCCTTCCCGTCGCTGTTTCCACCGCTTCTGCAGCACTTTTTGACCCAGGAAACTTCGGAATTGCAGTACCGCAGATGGCGATGTCGGATTCTCCTACTCCAGCCGCTAGCGACTTGCTACCTCCAAAAGACACCTCTGCAGTGCTAATATGGGGAGGCAGCACGAGTGTAGGCTGTGTAGCAATTCAACTTGCTCGTGCTGCCGGCCTGAAAGTCATAACAACGACAAGCAAACACAATTTTGGCCTGTGCAAAGCTTTGGGAGCTCATGAAGTGTTTGATCGAGAGGCTGATTCCGCGGTTGATGAAATTGTCGCAGCTCTGAATGGAAAAGTCCTGGTCGGTGCTCTCAATGCCGTTGGAGCCCAGAATACACTGCAAACTTGTATCGATATCCTCGTCAGAACGGAAAGCAGGAAGCTGGTCGCTACTACTTTACCCGTTGAGGAGGGTGTGGAACGAAGAGGTGTCCAAGTCAATTTTTGTAAGTTCGGTCGCTTTCCCAACGAAGAGTCTCATTTCACTCTACATCTACCAGAACTATGCCATGTACCTGGCTTTCTGCTTCTAGATCTTCGCAGAAACAATCTTGAAATGGCACTAATTATGGTGCCCATCTACTTAGTTCATGGCCTATCTATCTTGCAGAATGGGCTTGCTTCAACTATCTGGAATGAATTTTTGCCTCAAGCGCTTCAGGATGGCACGCTGGTTCCGAAGCCTGACGCCGTTATTGTTGGACATGGTTTGGATGACATTCAAAAAGGATTGAATAAAGCACGGGAGGGATATAGTGCATCGAAGCTGGTCGTAACGCTCTAGAAGGTAGTAAGACACCAGTCTTCATGTCTTAGAGAGCATTTCTTGAAGTGGAGTAAAGCTACCATAGTCAGATCTTTCTGTCTTGATGAAACCAAGTGCGACAAATATTGCTCTGCCAGGACCTGCGTCATGTTGGCACCCTTGTCTACGAAATGGTGAGCTCGGTACTTGACGCCTTGAACCTAGTCTGGCTGACAAACCACTATACTTTACCTCATCGTCGACAGTAGTTCAGGGGATTTTCCTCACTGTTGTGATCAACCCTGGTAACCGAGTTGTGAAAGTGCGTTCGTGTATGGAAACCCTAGCAGGTTGCACCGTTGTATCTCCACATCAACTGGACCTCATGGCAATTTCCTCGGAGGTTACGGTCTCGGAAACGGGCTAAATCGAACCGACTTTGTCAACGAAAGCGGCATCGAGGAAGAAGACATGGAATCAAGACTCAGCGGCAAGAGAATAAGCGAAGAAGCCGTAACCGAACAAAGGTCCGAGGCTGTCACCTGCAGGGGCCCTTATTTATGTTTTCCCCGGTCACGTGGCCGTCTTATAAAAGCTTAATTTGATGGCCTGCAGCCTTGTCGAGAGCCATGGAAGTGGAGCTAGAAGACCTAAGTGGCAATGGCTTCCCCTCCAAGTTTCCTTGAGGTACCTTGCGTCCCTTTTTCTTGGCCTGTGTCCGGAGCTAGGATACGATCGCTCCCCCTATAGTGGCTTTATTGTGGTCTAGAGTTCCTATTCACACCCGTCAAAAATGAATTCTCGGTCGATCGCTCCTTTCAGGAACCCCCCTACTTACACCCGCAACGTACATCAGGACCAAAATTGCCTGACCATACCCGTTGATGGGCTGAATCCAGGAAAACATTACTTCTTCGTGGATGACTCGGGATAGTAGGGTGATTGGACCCAAACAGAGCTGAAGCGCAAGGGTACTCTAGGCAAAGGGTGTTAGGTTACCATGTTCGAGAGATTTAGGCAACGACAATGGTACGAGACATGACCAATTGCGCAACATGCTGAGTGTCAATCCTGCAGTGCTGTATGATCTTGGAGAATTTTCCGAGGATCCAAGATGTTATCGGATTCCGATGATATACAAAGACTTTCGCTACAGGTTCCTGTCACCACTTCTGGGTCCGGCAGATTGAACTATGAGATAAGAACTAGTGATAACTTCTTAGCATTCTCTCCATCTTGATCTGTACTTCAGACTCTCATCTCCGCGTTACTTACTGTTCGCACTCCTTCCCAACCCACAGCGGCACCAACCCCGGCAAAATGACGGTATATCACATTTGTCAGTTCTCTCATTCCGTGTTAAAGTTAAAGTTAAAGTGCTTGGCATGGACAAGAATCTCACAATATCATTACTTCCACGAATCAAATGCTGACCGGAGGTACTCTTGTAGCACTTTTCCAAACCAAAGAGGGAGCAACACAGGCTCAAGTCGATGTGTTTATGAAGACGGCCAAGGCCATGGCGGGCCAGATCCCGGGACTCTTGGCCGTTGAAACGGGCAAGGCCATTGATATCACCAAGCAATTCAACCAGGGATACGAATGGGGGCTCGTATTGACATTTGAAAACGTTCAAGTTATAGGCCCTTATCTTGACCATCCAGCACATAAGCCGTATGCCATTCCGTTCCCAAAACGGATGAAAGTCTTCAGTTGGGCTAAACACTCCTAGACTCTATCCGCTCTGTGAAGTCGCATTCGACGTGCAGTCGATGCTTCTCTTCGATTTCGAATTCTGAAATGAGGACGAGAAGGCCGTCGTTGAGGTGCTTGGCAGAGGTGACAGAAGAATTTAAGAAATATCAAAAGCTAGCCGTGTATTCTAAGAAATTCATTCTTCGGGTGACAGTATCATTGGCGTATCACTCGATTGAGTAACCAACAACGCAGCGAAATCTAGGGATAGTGCATTGCCTGGGTAATATCTGGTCATCTCTGGGGCTAGTCCAAGATCCACTGTTGCCATTATGAATGCGTATCTGGATAGATAGTGCTTGATCAACTATTCGATCTTGAGGCACAATTCTTGTCAGACTAACACTTTCTTGTTTGCTTTTCTCTAGTTCTACTGATGGCAGAAGGCTACAGTGTGAGCTGGAGCGTTCCCACCTAAAACAGAGCGTCCAGCAGCTCACGTCTGCTAACTTGGTAAGGTCTGTCCGGATAATGTCCAACGACTTCATGCGACCGCAATTTGTCAAGCCTTTGTACCATCTTAACGAAGCTTGGCGTGCAAGTCCTCGACCGGAGCATCAACCCTGTAAGTCATCGTCTTATTCAAATCGCCGAGGAACAAGCAAAGTATACATGCAACGATGCCGAACGGAGCCGCAATGATATAGATCAGGCGAAGTGAGTCTGCATATGCTTGTTCAAGTGCCAGGAAGCCTTGCTGGATAATTGATGGGCTCACTCCCGGGATGTCAATGAAAGCCAGTTCATTTCCACTGGCCACCGCACCAACAAATGCCGCGATTGAGCTGCTCGGAAGACCAGCTTTGGCAGCTGCTTCAGTTATGTAGGTCGGGATCTTCGTGGAGAGGGAGTTCGATAGAGCTGAAGTATACGCAGCAGTGAAAATTGTACCCCCTACTGCACGAGCAGAGTTCGTGACTGCTGTGGCGGTAGCGATCAGTTGATGGGGTGTGGATAATTGGACGCCCGCGATAATCAAAATCAACGGAGATCCGAATCCTATACCTGCCAACCCGGCAAAAGCAAGTTGACTAGCGTTGTCTCCTGGTTCTAATGTCGCCATGCCAATATTCCCGGCAGTAAATAAGAGAAATCCAAGGAACAGAGGCTCTCGAATCGTTCGAAATTTTGTACTCAACAAACCCCATACTGGGCAGCTGAGGAGGAAGAAACCCCAGAACGGCAAGAGGCGTACAGCCGCCATGAAAGGGTCCCTCGTGAAGAGAGCAGTCGTACTATATGACACGCAATTAGCTGCTGGTAAGGATTAACATAGAATAGAAATGGAGCAAACATACACCACCGAATAGAAGATAATAAAAGGGAATCCGAGGATTGCTTCGATGACCATCAATCCATTGCAGATTGCAAAGACTCTCCCCTTATTCTTTCCTCCACGAAATAGCTCATGGCTAAGTATACCGTTCTTTGTGCCTTTCCATTCGTAGACACCAAAGCCCACTAGAATGCAGAAGCCGACGATCAAGGTGGCCAATGTGTGAGCATTAGCCCATGGGTAGAGACCGCCACCCAGACTAAGACCAACCGAGAAGAGTGTCAATCCTGCAGTTAAAAGCCCAAAGCCAGGAAGGTCGAGGTGACCAAGCTTTTGCCAGAACGATAAATGATCCAAGCGTGTGTGCCTCTTTGGTGGCCGATAACCGAAGAAGATGCCTACTGCAGCCGCTCCCCAAATCGCGAACATGATCCACTGTCGCAGCTTAGCAGTCTTTACGAGAAGTGAAAAGAAAAATATAACATACGTAGAACAATCGCCACCCAGTATGGCTGTTGCGTCTTGTAAGTGCGCCAGCTGCTAACGGTCCAGCCATTGCGGTGATGGCGGCAACGACGCCCGTGGATGCTTGAGCCACTATCCAGGAAAATCAGATACAAAGTTCGCCTGGGGGAGAGAATGGTATACATACTAGGTCTCCACTTTCTGGGCAGTATCTCGCTGGGCACCACATAGCTCAAAGGCACAGCAGCGAGCCCAACTCCAATCAAAGCTTGTGCGCCGATCAACCTGTAGATATCTGTAGCACCAGGAGCAATTGCAGAGCCTATAAGAGCAATTGCGCAGGACGCCACGAGAATAGGTTTTCGGACCTGGAAGATGTCTGAAGCAGATGATATGACTGGCCCGATCACCGCTTGCACCAAGGCAAGCGCATTGGGGACCCAGGTCTGAGCATTTGTGTTTCCGAGATCTGCTCCAATGAACGAGAGCTTCAAATTCATGGTTAGCAATACTGGTTTCAGGGGTTATCATTTGAGAGGAAGCCACCTACCACAGCAGGCGGACCTTGGAACGCGAGACCTTGACCAGCGAGAAGGAGGTAAATGGAACCAAGCGCAATCCAAGTTGGTAAATGAAGCTCCGGCTCTTCTTCTTCGTTGGTATAGACTACGTTGCCAAGATTCTCGAGCTGCTGGTTTGAGCTTTCAAGATGTTCGATAGTTGCAGCATTGGTATTGGTATGCGGCATGTGTTTCTCATCAGCTGGTGCAAGGGAGGTAGCGATTTCATTCGTTTCTGCCATCTTGAATCTTGATTCATGGGAGGGTAGCATTGGTGTGCCCATCGAGTCTCGATACAGGTGGGAATTGAAGAAGTAAAACCAGAAACGAGACAGCAACGTCGTACCCTCAGCCCGATCTTACCGCGGCGGCAACGAATCCATGCTGTCAATAATGGACACTCAAGCCGCACGGGATGGGATATACGAGGATCGTCGACACGTCGGGAAGCGGCTCGAACTGGCGTTGTCGGCTGACTGAAAGGAAAGCGTCCAGACCAACACAGTCTTTAGCACTCTTCGCGATGTAGGTAAGCGCCATTTAATTTGTCGAGTTTGCACTAATGAACTCTTGGGAGGAATTTGGTTGGTGTAGTGTTTCTTAGGTTTGGGACGCCTCGTGCTTTCACGAAGCCATTGACCTCGGATCTAACTAAAATCCTAGTTACGTAGCTTTGATTTCCGGTTTTAGTGCATAGTCGCTTGGAGATTGCTCTGTACCGAATAGCAGAGACTGAAATTGCTCGCTAGGCTTGTTTGTCGTCCTGACAATTGCGGGGACTCCGCATTCTTTGTCTCGCTACCTATGCAGTCCTTGAAACGCGGTCACGGGGTCGGGACTCGATGTGGCGAGTTCGAAGGCTACGACAGTTTCGATGTTGAAGCATACACTATAGCGTTTGAAGATGATTGAGTCCCCTTCATAACATGCCCTGATGGACAATATCAAGGATAGCATCACCGCCTTGCCTTTGATTTTGGCACGGCCTATCTTTTAGAATCAGTATGGCTTCCGCTTCACACAACCTTGCTGACCCATGGACAGCCTCAGGTCTTCCTCAAAGGCAGCAAGCCTTCCTAAAACAATATTTTGAAGCACTAGATGCTGAGCCGGAGAAAGGTGCCCGAAACTGGGCCAACAGCTTCGCTGAAGGCGGCAAATTTGTCAACGGGACTATGGTTATCGAAAGCTCAAAAGGTGCGTGAGGCAATCGGACAGTATCGAGAGCTTTGATCGCTTATCTTCGACAAATAAGATCTCGAACAAGAGCGTTATGGATACTGGAAGGCATGGCCACATCTGTACCATGTCGTAAAGCGCATTTACCTGCTCCCGGGAGCCGAGCATTCCGATTTTGTAGTGATTGGGAATTGGGCGGTCAAACGCCCAGATGGTTCGACTCTAGAACGTGACACGGCCGCCAACTTCCACTTAGTCGATCAGAGGGGGGAGCTAAAGATTCAGAAAATGGAGGTGTATGCGGTAGGTGTCGCAGTTCCCACTCCCGGTGAATCTCGGTGAGCTCACTGGACTTACTTCGTCTTCAGGATCCAACTCCGCTGCTAGAAATCATGAACTCCTGATCGAGGGATGCGGTTTTGAATGTGGGCTGAAGCAAACGGTGTGATTCTCAAACCTATAGACATATCCAGTCCCTTGAGTCTATAGAACATATGACAAATTTGACTGGGGACAAACTACCACCGGCTGCGACCGAACGCATTGAAATCCAATCATCTAGATAGCCAGCATAGTGCCTCATACCAATAGAAGGCCGTTCGACTCCCCTAAGTGTCTATACCAATGGTATGCAGGTCAACCCCTTTAGGAAATCGTTTATAGCCTTAATAGAACTCGATGAGTTCTATGTTCTCTAGTCCAACTATCTAGAATTAAATTATCACAATTGTGTAACATCGAGCAGGAGTCTCCCACCACGGCTTAAAGCAGCGAAGCGGTCTTCCATTTCCATGTCTGCTTCTGTCATCTCCGAGTTTAGTCGAAAGTCTAAATGGCGAAACAAATGACTAACAGCGAGGCGGATCTCCAAGTTGGCCAGATTTTGCCCTATGCAATTCCTCGGGCCTAAGCTATACGGTGTGAATGCCTTCTCCATGGCGCTTGAGTGCGATAGGCCTAGCCAACGATCAGGATTGAAAGTGTGAGGCTCCGCATAGACACTGGCGTCCCGATGATGAACGTAGTTCTGCATCGAGATCAAGGTTCCCGGCGGAAAGACGAGTTTGCTCTTTCCCTCACCAGTCTCTACGGCCGTGGTCAAAATTCGTGGTAAAGAGCCGATCAAAGAAGGGTTCAATCGCATTGCTTCTTTGATCACAGCATTGAGATACTTCAGATCTGTAAGTTCAGAGTTCTTCGTACCTGTCGAGAGTAACTCTTTTCGTAGTCTTAGTTGCATGCCTCTGTTTTCCGGACGAGCAAGGTGGTAAAGAATGTAGAATATAGTTGTAGCCGTGGTTCCACTTCCAGCAAACGCGAGGCCCATCGCTTCTTCAACGGCTTCGTCCTCGGTCAACTTTCGACCAAGGTATTCATCTTTCTTGTGAATGAACGGTTCGGCGAGGAATTTGTCTGTCGAGTCCCCTTTAAAGTCCCTTGCAAAATTTTGATAGAGTTCCCTCGTGGTTTCTTCCCAGATCCTACGTTGTGCATATGCCCGCCCGATGACACCGGGTAGAGACTCACTGAGCCTTATTTTTGCTAAGATTGGAATCGTGTTTGACAACGGCTGTATTAGCGAAGCCTGGCCCATCGCGTTCAAAAATGCTAACCCGGCGTCGGGCGACTCAACATCGATATCCTGGTTGAATGCAACCTGGCATATTACCTCGAGGCTAAAAAGCCCGCACAAGGATTGTACATCCACGGTGTGTGTTTTAGATGCTTCAGATTGGCTGACAATGCGTTGGAGAAATCTGTCTGCCTTGGCAATAACCCCGGGCTCATGCTCGTTGATTGACTGAAGTGAGTAGGGACGATTCTCCATTTTCCGCCTAGCAGCATGCTGAGCCTTATTTCTAACTCTATATGAGCTATTGGAAGCAACAATGATTGGGAAGGGTTAAAAACCTCATGCTGAAGATATTTTCATGCGGCGGCGTAAGTCTAGTTGAAGCGTAGAATGAGCTTTCCTTCAAGCTGCTCATATGGTTATAGATTTTTCTGTATAGTTGATAATCTGAAGCCGAAATTTCGTTGGGGCCAACCCGTACGTAAGGTCCGTATATCTTGTGAAGTTGCAGGAGTGTCTAGAATACAGATCAAACATTAATCACATTCCATGAAAGCTGCAGTTCTCGACTTACATGGCAGCGGACTCCTTTCAGGACAGATAGTTGCATGTAATGAGGAAAGACTTTGGCAACTAGAGGGCCTGGCACAGATCTCAACGGGTGGAAGAAAAGGTTGTAGAATACCTAAGCAAGTCTATAAGCAAGGTGCAGTTAGAGATGGGAAAAGGTCTATTCTCTCACATTCCAAAGGACTTTGAGAATCACTGCAGCCACAAAAATCTGCACGAGCAACGATACAACGCTGAATCTACCACCCATTAATAGGGATTGCATTGTAAGGACCATCTTCACAGGAGTGCCTCTTAAATTGAAGTCAGGCGAAGACAAAGGCTCCTCGAAATAGTAGCCGCCGTGATACTTAATGTTTTGCTACGCTTTGCAAAGCCATGCCTTTGTTTGTGCTGCCACTCGTGCAGCCTGGTAGATCTCCGGTATTCACCTCGTCGTCTCATCCAATTACTGAGCATAGATGTCGCCAAGGATTCATTCCCGATCACGTACCATACGTTGGCTCGCCCCGCTCGAAGGAAGCATTTGCCCAGGTGGATCATCTGCACTAGCTTCGAGCTCTGACTAGTAGTGCATAGCCTTGGCGTTGGCTGGTTCAACTAAAATCTTACCTGTCCGCTCTAGAGCAAAACGAGCTCCATTTGTACTGAGAGGTACATGAACACATATCTCAAGCATCATCAATAGCTCGAGAATCTAGGAGTTAGTAATGTTTGATGGATGGAGCAGGCCGCCATAACCTCTTTAGCACTGATACAAACTAGAGTTTGTTGTCCAAGGTCCGTCCATGAGAGTTTTGACACATGTAGCTCTCATAACTAGACGGTGTAAATTGTTCAGAGGTATCACACTGATGTCCAACCGGGTATCCCTAGAGACATCAATTGGGACTGCTAGTAGTCTTATCGAGGTATGTATCATTTGTCTCCGCAAGCAATAATTTAGGTGTCCAATATGGAAAATAGGATAAATATAGCAATGACTCACGCCAACATTGGTTCTACAGACTCTGTCATCATCTACTATATCCGCAGCGATTCAGATTGGTAGAAATACACAGGAGTACTTGGAGTGGTCCTCAAAAAGACCTGATAAAGTGACATTGATTTATCTTCTGAGGATTTCTATTGTGACCTTTGGCCATCAGGGGGTTTTGTGCACGAAATCACGACAGGCTGTAAATTGGCGTGTTGTCTGATCCTGACGGAAGATCTCGAAGCATTTCAGATCACCAGTTTCAGCTTGAGTAAATCTTTCTCCACGATCTCATTTTTCTTGGCAGCAAGCTCTTCCATATCTGCAGGTCCAAACACAAAACGACCAGCGAGCCTGCAGATGTATTGTCAGCTTACTATACTCGGTATCTACTGCCCCTCGGAATGAGTCGGGGATTAACGCCCTTGCTCACCATTCTTTTCGCTCTCGGGCCAGCCACACTATAGTATCGGCACACATTTGAGGGGTTTGTGTCAAATATGAGTGCATATGCTCGGGCATGTTGAGCGCTGTCTCGGTCTTAACGCCCCCAGGATGGACAGCGTAAGCAATTAATCCCTTTACCATGCATGTGTCAGCCGTGAATAATGAGTGAGTAAGTAATTGTCAAATAATCCAGAATTTGATATACCTTTTCACCGTATTCCGCCATCAAAAAGTCGGTCAGCCGGATCTGCGCGGTCTTAGTCATTTGGTAGGCGCTTGCGCCAGGACTGTTCAAGCCTTAGCCCTCAGAAGCCTTCTGTATCGTTCTTTTCATTTGAAGAAGGGTAATTGAGGATTTGGGATAGGATGGGCAAGGAGAGTACGTACGCTGAAATAAATGCCCCGGCGCTAGTTAGTGTGACGATGGTTTTTAACTGCCCTTTAAGTACCAAGGGAAGCGCAGCCCTAGTCACGATATATGTCCCCCTGAGGTTGACCTCCCATGTTAACCACCAATCATCGATATCAGTCTCGGCCAGCGGAACCCATTTCTCCAACCTCGAGGCGTTGTTAATAACCACGTCCAGTGACTGGAATTCTTCCGCTACTGTATCCATTGCCCTTTCGACCGCGGCAGGATCCGACATGTCGGCTTGAAGTTTCAAGATCTTCGGTTCTTTATGACCGGCCGCTTTTGCCGCCTCTAAGGCATCATTCGCGGCGTCCTCAAGTTGTGAACGAGCAAGCAGCGCGATGGCTGAAGCGCCCGCACGCGCAAAAGATTTGACAGTCTCGCGGCCAATGCCTTTGGAGGCGCCTGTAACCAGCACTTTGATATCGGAAATTGCACCTCTCTCCGGGTTGATGAATGGATATGTGTCGTTGTGGCATGTTGATACGATTTTCGAACCATAAGGATCATCTGAAGGCGCTGGTTGACCCATGTCGTGATAGGTTTTGGTAAATTGCTAAGTCCCTTAATCGGTATTGTCCAAAAGAGAGAGAAGTGGAAACTATGATTTTTACTGTAACACCGACCAAAAGCTTTCTTTAATCCAATTCAACCCAACACCTACGATCGCCGCCAACGGCGGAGATTACAAGGCGACTTAACACCGTCGGCGTGGGTATGTACGATGCTAGGCAAGCCACTGCTTTCAGTGGTTTCATCAGCCTAGACGCGTACTGAAGTTGACGTCATGATATCTACTGATATCTATTCTGGTTCGGCAGCGAATGTTCCGCCGAAACCTAGCTGGTTGGATCTCAAGCACGTGATCGGGAAACACGAGGTTGCCGGACGAATGCCGAAGTCAATCAAACAAAGTGTTGCATTATTGCAAGTGATCTCTCTGAAAAGTCTCTTTCTAGGATACCAAGTCAAAGCTTTGTCCACGGTGAAGACTCGGAGCTCGTACTCAGCCTCACCAATAATCTACCCAACATCGGGCATGATCCGGCGCAAGACGATGAAATATTGAAAATCTAACGAAAAGCATTTGCATCTACTCAAATGCTTTCCCTGGAAAGAGGCTATGCAACAGTTTCGTTCCTGTCTATTCTGCGGCTTGGTCAATAATCGGCATGACTAAGTAGGAGTCGAATACAGTTCCGGTATGGATCAAGTGCCTGCCGCTATTGACAGTGTTCTCGTGAAGCATCGTCTGTGGAACTCTCTCGTCGCGGAAAATGTCGGTCCCTTGAATTGTAAGCTTCAATGCCTCGCCATCCAAGAAGCGCGTTGATGTTGCAATGATTTCGATGTCTATCGGAACGATCTCTCCAGGCCGTAAAGGCAGCTTCCTCTTATGCGTCATCCATGGGCGGTTGTGGTCAGTCAAGCCCAGATCCAGCTCTCGGTGGCTAGCGCGCAGCCAACCCAAGCCAAGTGGCCCTGTATCAAACATAGAGAAGGCGACAAATGGAACTCTTTCACCGTTGACGTCGAGCTTATCAAGCTGTACAAACAAATCGAGGTCGTCACCCTCAGTGGTGGAAACCCAGAGCCTTAGTCGCATGCTGCCCGTCAGCTCCGTTTCCTTCCCAAAGACGTATGTAAATTGTGCGTTTTCAGAAGTTGATAAAGCATCATACGAAGTAGACGAAATCTTAGACTTCGACTGATCGGCCAATTGCCCTGACTGTGCATCGAGATACTTGAGTGAAAATCTTGTTCTCTTAATTGGCCAATCCTCTTCTTCTCGTACGTAGCCTACGTAGGCTCGATCTCGTACCTCAATTCGTACCGGAGGCCACTTGTCCACCTGACTGGACTCATCTTTAAGAAATTTCTGATAGAAGGCTTCTTGGCGAGCGAGGCTTTCAGGCTGATAGTAGTACTGCCATTTCTTGCGCCCATGAACTTCAAGCCACTTTTGCTTGGAAGAAATACCGGTGTACCCATTCAATGTACCTCTCGTATGAAGCCCAAAATCTCCCCAGTCAGCAACGATATAAGCAGGGACTGTGATAGCAGATAGATTTCCGGCTCTTTTAGACTCATTATAAGCGTCCATCGTCTCGTGGATTTGATTGTTTTCGTACCAATTCTCCGTCTGGTTGTGTGAGAATTGGCAAGACCAATCTGAGAACTTAGTAAATTTCGTCTCAGGGATACCTCCACAATGTGTGTGATCGCGAAAGGCATCTGTGTAGCCTTCCCAAGGATTGATGCATGAAAGATGTGGGGGGTTAAGCTGAGCGATTCGCCACTGCACAATTGCCAGGTAAGATACCCCACAAAGACCTATTCGACTGTTTGACCAAGGCTGTACGGCCACCCACTCAATCACGTCGTATCCGTCTTCTGCTTCTTGAGGTCCGAGTACCTGGAGATTGCCTTCTGAAGCCCAAGAACCACGGCTATCAGCATTGACAACTGCGTAGCCACGCTTAGTCCAGTGTAGGGGATCAGGCCCCTCCCAAACTGCATGTTTCGAGACCGAACCCTTAGGCACGCCGGAGTTTGGGAACATGTCAAATGTTTTCAGCACATGCTTTCCATATGGTGACATTGTCATCAGCGTAGGAAGTTTGCTCGGTGAATCCTCAGGAAGGAAAATATCGATGTAAATTTGCACTCCGTCTCGCATGCAAACTGCAACATCGCGAGTTACTTGCATCCCATCAATGTGCTCGACCAAGCCGGGGCGAAACCCGGGGTATTTGCCCTTACTTGGTTCCACGGAGTCTTTCCATATGAATGAATGAGACCCTGCAGCTGATTGCTCAAGTGGCTTCTGAAGATCCATTCTGTCAAGTCCAGATGAGACGCAGGTAGTTGCCGGTCTTGAAGCTTACTGATAAGGTTCTGCCAGGGGCGGAGAGGGGGGGGGGGTTGGGCTGTGCTGTATGAGTACATAAATTGACCTTGGCCTTGACGGTGGCATATAAAATGGCTCGAAATGAAGCCCGTTTCTGGTAGCAACCTTTTATCCAGACTATATCAAAAAGAAAAACCGGGATGCGGAAGCTCGGACGTGGGGTCTTTGTGCATGCATCTCCTGCAATATTCGGTGAGGTCGCGTGATCGGAATACGTTCGACACGGACTCCGCTTCTCCAAAGGGGTTCTTCTTTGCTTATTAACTCCTAGAAAGCTTGCAGTGGTACTCTTCATACATCGATCAAAGTGCGGTTGAGCAGCCCTGTTCATCGTTAACTTGGGTTCATTGCAAGTCTTTCGTTTTGTAAGCCATTACCTTGAAGATCAACATCCAGGGATAGAGATTCGAGCTCGTCTGGTGCAAGTTCATCTGGGAATGAAGGTGAGTCCTGACCATCATCAAATTGTTCGTGACTAGAGTCTCTGAAAAACGGACTTGTAGCCGGTTGCTCAAGATCATTAATCAGCTCAGTGTCGAAAACGTCAGGGTCGATTGCGGCTAGTGAGAAATCTTCCAGGCGTGGAGTGGCAGTTGTGCTACCCATGGTCTGCTCAATGAAAGTCGTCGTAGACTTCTGTTTCAACAACGGTATTGCTTCTGCTGCAGTGTGGGAAATCTTCGCCAGTGTCTCAAGAGCCGCAATTACCACAGAAAACATGGTTGCTGCATTCTCTTGACATAATTTTTGCATTTCGTAGAGGAGAAGTAAAGACGAGGCAGTCCGGATTATTGCGTTTGTGAGAAGGTCTGGATATGGATCAAGCAAGAGGATGTTGAAACCGGGAGGGTGGTTGCTATTTGGAGAATTCGTCTGAAATGCTAGATTGAGAGCGTTGATGATGTTTCGACATGCACAGAGTCGCAAATCGTACGGGTTGAGTGTTTGGTCAATAAAAACGAAGGTTGAGGGCAATGTATCCACGAGGATGAGGTTTCCAACTTCAAAGTGGATATTCAAGTGCGCTGGAACTTGTGTTAGTATGGTGGGGTGTTTCTTAAAGTCAGCTCAAACTCACTGAAATACATCTGCGTTATACTATTGAGAAGCACAAAATCTCGCAGACCTAGACACAATAGATTACCAAAGATCTCTTGGTACGCATTTCTCTCCTTTCTAGCGGCATCGACAGCTTCAGCGAGTGATATGCCTGACATTTGGTGAACAATTGCATCTTGGACGCGGGTGATGGCAGCCCAGACCAAGGTCTTATAGGTAAGAGCATGCTGCAAGATCTCCGTCAATTGGTCCTCACGAATAGGTGCCTGAAGTTGGCGCAATGGATCAAACTGCATCTTGAAAGTTTGCGTACGAGTTCGGACAGGAGTCCACACTTTCGTCTCGCTATCGCATCCGGGCGGCAGTAGTATTGATGGCCTACATCGAATGAGAGCCCTAGTAGTGTCTGAAACGATTCCAAACCAGTGTGCTAAGCAGGACATAGATAAACGCTGCGCTTCATCAGCGTCCGGTAAATTTGTTTGTTGAGGGTAAGGGTCAACTTCTGAAAGAGGAGCGCTTTCCAGTAGACTGGTGATAGAGTCTCTACCACTGAATGGCTTTTGCGCTCTTCTGGAATTTAGATAGCTATGATGACTCAGGGATGCCTCTATACAGTGATCCTCAAGGTTATCGCCAGTTTTCCTAGGCGAGCTAGGGATCATAGCGAAGAGATACAGTGCCAGAATTGAGCGGTACGAGGGTCTTGACAAGACCAGATATATCTGTTTCCGTGCTTGGAGCCAGAAGCTGTCCGAGAGCTCCTGCTTCAGATGAGTTAATCTCCTTTGAGCTTGCTGGTTTTGGCGATGTTGATTGTCGGTGAGGTCGAGCCACCGAACAGAATACGCATAGACAGCATATATCAGTGCTCGATTGATGATACAATTTGTACTGCGCTCGGTCTCATCGCTGACCAAAGAGGGGCAGTTGCGATTTGCTGCTCGACCCAGAGTGGAAGAGCGCTTATCTAGTTCAATCATCAACCTGGAAATTCGTGTAGGAATCTAGAAATTAGTCGATTCTATATCACGTAGATGACTGCTAAGACGCACAGAATTTGTAGCAGTAACTGCACAACCGCCGCTTCCGACCCACAGACCGATGCGGGGCTCTAGGATGGTAGTAAATACGTTCCAAAGTAGGTGATGAAGCCTCCAAACTTGTTGATATTTTGCCAATGAATCCGAATTCCTTGATAACGATACTGGTGTCGCGTAACTCGGAGAAAATGACTCAAAAGCCGGCGAAGCGTCATCTCGTATCTCATAAGTATCTTGCACCTGGCCCGAGACTGTCGCCGGCTCCGTCGGTTCGAATAGAGCTTCACCTTCCGAAAAATGCTCATTTCTAGCAACACGGGCTCTTGCGCGGCCACTGGTTGCACCCTTCTTCGATGTCATTGAACATGTGGCACCTCGGCGGACGCAGTTGTAGCAGGCTCGTCCGGGCTGTTGCATGGCGTTGCATCCAAGGCGCTGGCGCTGGCATTCATCGCAGCTGGTGCTTGATCTGCCCATTGTAACTGCACCCTTAATCTCAAATCTTCGCTATTTGGCGATCTGAGCTGAGATCTGTGAAATGATGTTAATACCTCATGAAATGACGTCCGCCTAATCAGGACTGTCGATATGACTGGATTAAATCGTGGGATCCCTGTGGGTAATTGGACTTAGCAACCAAAGAACAAAAACCATAACAAATAATGTGCAAGGTCTTGTTGTTCGTAGCTTAAGTACTCCAGGTTGAACAACAGAAACCATGAAGGGGGTGAAATATGAGGCCCTTTGCGGGGTATTTAAGGGCTGAGGGGCGGCGGGGGCTGCTAATAACAAGGGCGTGCAGAGTACCCTCGAAACCCCGCCACGCCGAGGTTCACCATGAGTTGCCTGGGAGCGAACCTCATGGTTAAAAAGCCCCTTGAGATATTAGGACTGAACGCCCGGTGTCATCAACACTGCATCGATTCACCTTTAACGCACTTGGTAACTCCTTGTTGGATCAAGGCTACTCGCTACATGAACAATTTCCTAAGCAGCTATTCAGGATACTTAAATGTTCAACACCTACACACCGGTTGGCAAGGAGTTGGCACTACCGGTCAGCAAACTTCTCCCAATTCTTTGCACCACCTGCTCCTCTAACCCAGCGGTCAGGAGTCCGTAATTCGGTGGTCGTGTCTATTGCCATGTTTGCGATCTGGAGCCAACCCTGACCTTTCAACGGGAACCTCGCAGCGGTTTCCGGGCGTGCTTCGAAAGCACTGCAAATTGCTTGCCCGTGAGCCAACGTGCGAATCAACTTGGCAATGTGCCCATCATCATGTGTGAGTTGGTTTGTTTTCTTGATCAGCAGAGGCCACGTCAAGTCCTTCTGGAGCGGTGTGTAGTTGACTATTTCTTCGGGATACAGCTCTGGTGCCAGTCGCGACGCGTAGTTGAGCAGATCGATCCTCCCTTTCCATTCCAGGAGTCGAGCCTTATTCTCAGTGCTGAGCCAAGACTGTCTATTAAATGCCGTGAAAAAGATGGAAGCGTTGACGCTATGAATGAAGAAGAAGTCGAGCTTGATTGTCTTGCCAGGTCGCTGAGCCGCGCCAGTCATCCAGGCGGTGGCATTGATTATCTCAGCTGTCTTTTCGTCGATTTCGTCAACACTCACTCTCCATTTAGCGGCGATCTCACAAAGCTTTTCCGGTGCGTCAGCTACAATCTTCTCGTTAAGGGAATCGCCACCGTCCCAATATTTTTCATCGTAGAGAGCAGGATCTTGTCGAATCTCACTCAATAAACCTACCAAGGAGCTAGGATGTTCGTTCTTTTTAGTTTTCGCTAATTGTTCCGAGTGCAGAAGGAAAGGTTTAAAGAAGTCGTTATGACACACAGCTTGCGCCAGTCCTTCGGCAATTATGGCACACTGTTCGAACTCGATGCCAAATCCGAAATGAATCAGAGGGTGGACGACCCCTGTTGGGCATTTCTGTTAGCCAGTATTTATCAAAGAATCTGACATATCACATCTTCCTACCCGAAAAGAGCCTCACCAGCAATTCCTCGGCAATCTCACTCCTTGAAAAGAGGTATTCATTGACAACATTTTGCCATCCTTCTTGCTGAAACTTTCGTTTGAAGAAAATGGTATAGTCATTGAACCAAGCATCATAACCTAACAAAGACTTGAAATATCGGTTGTCTGATAGTTTCCGAATAACTTCTTCGTCGAGGGGAAGCCTTCGTCGTTGATAGCTGGTATTGATATTAAACGCCGTTTGCAGCTCGCTAGGATCTGCGCCGAGTGCAAAGGCCGTCAAAAGGTAATGCACTTGATGATTATGATAGCCTTTGAAGTTCCAATAAACATGAAAGTCTTCATGGTTCTGCTGAAGCAACGACGCGACCTTGTCCACTGCAGGACTGGGTATCCTGGGTACGTGATAGACTCCGGTAGTCTCCAAAGTTATCGGAAACTCAGCCATTGCGCTGAGTGGAATTATTCCAATAAGGAATGCAGTATTTACAGAGAACGTATAAGGGTTTAATTGTCCTTAAGGCATGAAAGATGCAAGTTCACTTCGAATATTTGATCTCACGCGCTTGAACCATCGAAAGACTTGATGTCACGTGATCGGGAAAAGATCTGGAGAACGGTTCCACCCCTAAATTTCATGTTGCTGTAGTCGGGTGAGGGTGGCTATTCAGTCGATCCTTTCGCCACAGAAACAAACCGTTTACTACACGCTGACAAAGGGTCTCGGCCCAGCGCCTTCTACCCCGAATTTGTTATTGCCCGGCTTCAGTAGGCACCGTAGGGAGTCTTCCTCGAGAATGATTTGGTCTATAAGACATCGACTCGGTTGGGACTGTCACTACGTTGCATGTATGACCAACCTAAGAGGAATCGTCTCTCCATTTTGCAGTTTCAGCACGCCTCTATAGATTTCCAAGCCATGCCGTCAATAACTGTTGGAATAGCAGGAATCACAGGAAAATTCGGCCGACTCCTGGCTCTTTCCCTCCGCGAAGCGTCGCCCCAAGTGAAGTTGAGAGGCTTAGCGCGCGACCCCTCCAAGGTCGACAATTCATCCCTGCCCAATGTCGAGTTGTTTCAAGGCGATGCCTTCGATGTTGACAAGATCCATAGTTTCGTCCGTGGTACCGATGTGGTGGTTTGTTGTTATCTCGGCGACACCCGCCTGATGATTGAAGGGCAGAAGGTTCTTATTGATATTGCTGAGGAGGAAGGCGTTCCTCGATATGTTGCCTCGGACTGGTCCTTGGACTGGACAAAGCTCGAGATGGGAGAGTTGTTCGCTAAAGAGCCCTGTCAGCGCATTCATGAATATCTGACCACGAAGAAGAGCATACGGGGCGTCCATGTACTTATCGGAGGATTCACTGACGTTATATTCGCGCCCTTCTTCAAAATTTGGGATCAAGAGAAGCTGACTTTCAACTACTGGGGCACGGGTGACGAAGTATGGGAGTGTACCTCATATCTGAACTCTGCGCAGTATACCGCAGCGGTATGTCTGGACCCCGAAGCAATGGGTGTTCTGCGCTGTAAGATCTGTCCCCATTAGCATTTATCCATATGCAGAGAACTGATTGTCCTAGTCGTTGGGGACGTCATCAGTATCAAGGATATGGCAAGAACTTTCGAGAGGGTCTACGGCAAAAACCCTCCTCTGCATCTAAATGGATCACTAGAGGAGTTGCGCACTACGACGGTCCGTGATCGACAGAAATATGGCGAAGAATTCTACAAATATGTCTTTTAGTAAGTCGTCGCTCGTTGCAGCGTGCAGTCTCACTAACGGAGCACTTCAAGTTGGTATCACTATTTCACTTTGAGCGGTCGAGCTTTGATGGGTCCGAATTACGAAAATAGGAGGTATCCAGGGGTAAAAGCTATCTCTGTAGAAGAGTACATGAGAGGGACGAAGATGGAGGATCTCGGTAAGGCGTCTTTCCCGTGGGAAAGAAAGACTTGCCGCGAAGAAAACTAGATGGTGATTCATTTAATCCGCACCCACTTCGAGTTCATTCAGTATTTTCCACCCTTAGCTTGTCAACACTAATCAGCACGTTCACATTCATTCTTGCCTCTTTGAAATGTTCTTGTAAGAGACTGCTTGACGCCACTCTCCAGTAGGCAGATGCATGAAGCTGATACTCATTCACTCCTTGCCCTGGTAGGCACTAGGATCCATCCAAGTCAACTCCCAGATATGCCCGTCTAGATCAGCAAAGGAGCGTCCATACATCCAGCCATGATCCTGCACCTTACACACATCAACCTTCCCACCCAAGGTTCCTGCCTTCTCGACAAAACCATCCAATTGCGTCTTCGATGCAATACTGATACACAGCAATGCGTGGCTGACTTTCGTTGGATCTGCCACCTCCCTATCTGCTGGGAGGAAGCCCTTGTAAAATGGTTTGCTCAGCAGCATAACTTTGAGTGGGGAGGTATGTGCTGCCTTTGAATCGGGATTGTCGATATGGAGATCTAGGGGGATCGAAACCATGGCAGCGTTTTCGTCAGAGAAAGTCTTGTTCTGCACGAAACCCAGGGATGTGTAGAATGTGAGTGCCGCCTTGAGATCAGAGACGGGGATGTTCAGAAAGAGTGTTGTCTTGTAATCTGAGGGAATCGACATCGTGGCTGTCATAAAATCTCGAGTGTCCTGGTGGTCTGGGTTGCTCTTTGGATTTCTGGGTCTGCCGTGGCTAGTAAAGGATGGATCGTTGAGGGGAAAAGAGCACTGTCAATGTGTCTTTCCTGGGTTTTATACCTTGGACAGCGGAACAACATTTCTGCGACGTATTCGAAAGCTTTGTGATTGAAGTCACACCTTCGTATTGCTCCCAATGCTGATAGGCTCTGGGTTCCGTGTTGCCTGGCTTCCCAAGGCTTTTCTCCGCATCGCTGAGACTCTTGGCTAACAGTTACCAATGAAACCGCACGGAGGCCTGGCGCCCAGAGTTGTGGCTGAGCGGGCTATGTTGACAAGGCTACAAGGACTTTGTGCGGAAGTCTGTCATTCTAGAATTGATTCTCGAATTCTGTTGGAGTTGAGGAGGTTCGACCTCGTGCAATGGTTAATTGGGAGGTGTGTATAGTATGTAAGATAAAGCAGTCTTAGCGCTCCAGCCATCATACGTGGGCTGGTCACCTCAATGCCGGCTTCTGAAGGTTCACATGATGTAAACTGGAGTCTGATCGTAGTACAATTTCGATGGCACAAGGATATCTCCCCAACTGATGTCCACAGACATCCGCCAGACAATGCCTCTTAGCACAAGCGTCCACCAAGCCTCTTCTATGAAGGAGTTGTCATCTTCTGCCGAGGCAGACTGTAACTTGGGCCGCAGCTCGTCACAGAGACTGGGCAGGTGATCGATATATATATAACCAGTATCGGCCCAGTACGCTTGAGGGCTTTGATTTAGGCTATTGATGTGTTTCTCGAAGGACTCGAAAGCAGCATCTGTTGCAAGAGTAATATGGGCAGCAACTAGATCGACGAACTTGAGGCGTTGTTCGATAGACTTAAAGTACGTTGTTGTCCATGCGTGGATTACACGCAGATTGTCGATAAATCCGAGTTTAGCTTCCATGGGAGCTGAAGCATCATTCACAATTGCTTCGTCCCACCTGCAATAATAGTCACTCTCATATCGGTCCACGAGTCCTTGTAAACTCGTAAAAACTTGGCGCAGATGAGTTTCTGCCGGATCTTGGAGGCGACAATGATCTCTCAACCGACAGAACAGAGCCTCGCGGGGCTCCGGAAAGTAGAAGGCAGACAGAGTGACAGAGGCTTGGATGGGATATGCTATTCGCGTATTCGAAGAGCCCTTGAGTGGTAGGAAAGGTGCCAATAGAGCGATCATGTCATGAATAGGGAATCCTACCGGAGACACAAAATCATTGATCTGCTGCATCTTCTCAAGTTTCTCGTGTGCCGTTATCCTAGATATGGTTGACCGCTGAACGTTCAAGTGACTCAATGCTGCTGAGAGTAATATCGCCCCTTCGGCGATATTCTTTCCACATAGAGGAATATCAGGAATATCGAATCCGGTACTAGGAATAATCCCGCATGACATCTTGTCTGTGGATCTTCTAGGAATCAAAATTTTCGATTTAAAACCACTTTTGTGAAAGAGAGAGGGGCCATTCCTGTTGCAGTCAGCCTCGGAATTGAAGCTGTACTGAAAAGCTATCCCCAAGCCTCGGATAATGGTGGAAAGTAAGGTGTGGCCATTTCCCTCGGCTCGCATGGCTCCATTGCTAATATCAATGTTTTCCCACTGCATACCCAACCTCAACGATAAGACAATAATCGTGCCCAGCCTTGAAGACGCCATAGGTCGAATGATATCTGGAGGTAGAAGATCCCACGTTCGCTCTTGATAGACAATACTAATCCTTGTTCCATAGGCAACGATATGATTAGGATCGGTGCTAGGGAGTAAGTTTGGCTGATAGGCCTGGTACCAGCGTCCCTGCAGCCGATGTAGTTGACGAAGTAGCAGCGTCCAAGTTACCATGTCCCCAAGGGGTTGATCTCCTGAGTCTTCCCGAATAGGGGTGACAGTCTCACGAAGCTCAGTGGGTAGATTGGGACAGTTCAGATCAATCACTTTCTTATTTTTGTGCTTAAAGTTTTCCAGACCCTTTGCACCTAAATGGTGGCTTCGCCGTTCAAAGAGTACAATATCAGGAGTTGTAAACTTCGTTTCGAATCGGAACTGGCTCCAGTGCCAAACGAGACGGGTTTGCCTTGACCATGGTCCTATAACTGATGCCTGGCATCGACGATATCCGTCGGCCGTACTGAATAACTGCTGGATCAGTTGTCCCGTAGCAATGAGTAAGGCTGAAAGACCAATGATCAATGCAGCAAGAGCAATGTCGGCTTCATTGGCCATTTTGTTGCAGATCAAGCTGCAAGTTATCACAGATGACCTTCCAATATGATGAACAAAAATGACAACTAGGAATGGTGCTGCGGTGAGGATCAGGACCAGGAAAAATTCAAGTATGCCCTCCGTATTGACATCTTGGAAAGCCTAGGAGGGATACGCTCGATGATGATTGGTGGTTATATTGTCTACAGATTAGTGTAAATTCAGGCAAGCGTGGCTGCCCAGGTTTTGGCGAAGCAAGACAACTACCTAGAAACAAGATAGGTGATGCATTCAAAAGCTTCGCAGACGTGCCCGGAAGGGGACTCGGAGCGAGCAAGGATGAAATCGCTTGAGATTCCTCTGACCCTGACCACCGTTGAAGACACCACTGTTTCTTCGAGTCAACATTCTTGACATCGAACACCTTCCATCACTGTCTGCAGAACGACGCATTGTTCCACAGTTAATGGCACGTTGTTGTCATTGTTATCGCCTGTTATCGCCTGTTAGGCCCCGCCAGGTCCCTGGTTGCTCCTCATCAGTCATTGGAGTGGTGATGGTAATGCTGTTCCACATCGAAAAGAACGTCCTACGATGCGAACCATTAGCCGTTTTATTGTGTGCGTCTTGGTTACTCTGTCAAAGGAGCTACTTTACTATGTGCATAGCAGATACCAAAACACGTAGGTGAGAATCTTGGACTCCCCAAAAGTCCAGTTTCGTTTTCAGACCTGAACAGACCCCCTGCTGCTTATATCCAAGTGTCAAAACCCTACCTACCTGCCTAACTAGGTAAGTTGCTAGAGGTGAGGAACTCTGAGCTGTGACCGTTCAACCCTTGCGCTCGGCTTTGGCGAAGCTTCGGGTGTCTTCGCCTAATAGACTTGGTAGGATGCACTGCTAAGAAGACGATTGGCCCCGGCGTTTGGGCTTACACCCCCTGCTAATAACGGACCATGGTCCCATCGATCATGCCGAGTTAGTCCAAGTATCCTCAACTCCACTATCGCTCTGGATCGCAGCATGGCAGAATGCTATCTACCCTGGAATGCAAATGAGTCACAGAGAGAGATAACTTTACGAACGACTGGACGTCGTTTCATTTGGACACGAATACAGTGGTATTCTGGAACTTGATTCCCGATACGGCCGAGCCGAAATATCGGCTGTAGTAGGGACTGGGGAATCGACAACATACAAAAACGAGCAGGATTCTCGAGATGAGAAACCCCCAAAGCCACCATCCAAGTTCATCTCCAACGCGCCAGCCAGAAACTTAACCACACGCGCCCAGCATGCCCATCCAAGAGGTCATCCACGCCGAAGCCGTGGCAACCTACACGGAAGCACACCTCGTGCCAGCCCAGCCCGAGCTCGACCACGCGTATTCCAACAGCACCGCCCACGGCATCCCACACATCGCGATTTCTCCAGCACAAGGGAAATTCCTTTCCTTGCTAACCACCATTTCGGGGGCGAAGAACGTGCTCGAGCTCGGCACGCTCGGCGGGTATTCGGGCATCTGGTTCTCGAAGGCCCTCAAAAGCCGCACAGCCGGAGATGGACCCGGCAAGCTCACAAGCATCGAGATCGACCCTGCTCGACGCGGCGTCGCAATCCAAAACCTCGAGTACGCGAACGTCAAAGTACCTGAGGATGTTGGGATTCTCCTGGGCGCTGCGCTGGATGTGCTGCCCCGGCTTGCCAGGGAGATCGAAGGGGGAAAGCGCGAGCGATTTGATTTTGTCTTCATCGATGCCGACTGGGAGAATCAGTGGAACTACTTTGACTGGGGAGTGAAGCTGTCAAATGGCAAGGGAAGTGTGATCTATGTGGACAATACTGTGCGCGAAATGTTGGAGAATGGGTCGGTAGGGCCGAGGGAGAAAGGTCCTAATGTTGACAGCTTGGTCGAGAAGGTGGGAAAGGATGAAAGGGTTGATGCAACCGTGATACAGACAGTTGGGAGCAAAAGCTATGACGGATTTTTGCTGGCGGTGGTACGATAAAAGGGTCGTCAAGGTCCTTCGAGCGAAATACAAGGGAAGGTTATGGCTATGATCGAGTAGGCTTGTTGGGGACAGGATCGATCTGCAAAGCGTGTGGAACGGACATCAATAGGGACCGCTCACTTAATGGCTATGGATTCATCTATCAATCTAACCATCGATTGGACGTTTCATCCGTTCCTAACGTTCGTGTCGTCCTCTACCGGCAATCTGTCAAGCATCTCAAACAGCAATTTCACCAACCCGCTTGTCGGAATCACGCTGCTTGAAAAGCGATGTCCTATCCTCCCAACGCTCAATCTCCCGTCGGTCACTCTTTTCCGTGACCTCAAGCAGCAAAGCGTCCACGATCGCCGTGATTTCCACATCGACCTGGCCGAAGCTGGAAGGCCCATGCCCACTGTGGTCGCGGATCTCTCTTGCGATGCGTAACCACTCGCGCACACCTGTCCTCGTGATCAGCATGTCACTGCCGCCCGGGATCTGGTTCGTCAGGTGCACGACATGTAAGATTTGCTTGCGGATCGCCTTGTGGCACACTGGTGCGAGATAGTACGAGAACAGCCGCGTGTAAATCTGTGCGCGGCGGAAAAGATCCAGATCCACTGAAGTGCGAAGTGATGGGATGAGCACCGTGGCGAGGAGGTGCGAGATCTCAACGTGTTGGGCATTCTTGCTGTCTACTATGACCAGGGTATTGTTGCTTATATCTGTGGAGGTGTTGGAGGAAAGAGGCCCGAAGACATCGTCGCTCTCGGGTTCTGTGAGGAATATCTCATTCGTCCAGTATGGGATGAGTTGGTTGACGTTCCATGATGGGCTGCGGAGGAGGAATTTGTTTGTCTTTTGGTAGAATGGTGATGAGGGATCCGAGATGACGTTGAGCATCGAGATGGCGAGTTCGAAGGTAATAGAAGGTGGTGCTGTCGCTCCTGGAGGTCCGGTACACAACTTGAGGCTGTGATTCTTCACGGTCTCAATGATTTCGCCGAAGAGAATATAGAGTTGCGTTTTCTCACTGTAGCTCGACTGCTCGACGGCATGCATCACCGTCTGTAGGATGTGAAATGCCTGCAGACGGACCTCCTGATCGCTGGAAATTAGGCAGCGGATCAAATTTGCCAACCGTCCAGATTGGACTGCCGATTCAAAATCCGGTTTGGACCAGCGGGTGAGTCCAGTCAACGTCTTTGGTATTATCGGTAACTTCGGGAAGACCTTGTCCAGTTGAATGGCTTCTTGAGATTGGGACAGATAATTCGCATCTTCTAAAACGTCGGAGGTGCTGGCGTTTTCAACATCATCAGATAAGGTGGATTCAACCAACGTAATAGGTTTCTTTCGCTGCTTCTCGAATGCGCTCGTGAGTGCATTCCACGCTTTCTTATCATCTTCAGTCGCGCTCAGCATATCAGTCTGGAAATGCATCAAAACTCGATAATTCTCCATTGCAGAATCTAGTGCTGTGAAGAATCGCGCAATCCATCCCGCGATCTCCTTTGTCGAAGCCTTATCTCCCTTTTTGAGCACGAATGGCCACTGCTCAGTCACGCAACATGCGATGAGACTTAGGGCCTTTTCGTCCGACACCACCATTTGTAGATGTTCGACCTGGTCGAGGTACTTCACCGGCCGCTGCATTGTGCGTGTCATGCAGTTGTCGACGAATTGGTACGTCGCTTCTTCGGCCTGCCATTTCGTGGTAGGCGATAGACTTGTTAGGAGAGCGTCAAGGGAGCGGGTTGTAGAGCTCAACACGCCCTTGCCGGTGATTAGATCTCTGAGGACGTTTGTTGCTTGTTTTGTGAGGGTGGTCTCAGGAGACTTGACGCAGAATCTCAACAGGAGAGTCACAGGAGAAAGTGTTTCCGCAGTTGCCTTGTGCCACCATTTGGTCACAGAAGACCCCTTCGCGATGGTGAGCTGATGTGAGAGTTGCTCGTGTAAGGTTTTTCGGATTGATTCATCCAGATCCTCCGACTCCAGCGTCAATAGGGCTTTACTGAGCAGAGGAGTGAGGTCAAACTTCAGCCCCGCCGCGGCGGAAGGTAGGACTTTGTGATATTTTGCAATGCATTCGAGCACAGTGGCACGGAGTTGCTCCTTTCCTGGCTCGAGCTTATGTAAAGTCGCAACCACTTCTTGCAGAGGTGGTACCCGTTCAACAAATAGATTGGTGAGTTTGATCCATGCCTGACTCCACAGTTGAGATGTGGCCGCCGCTTTGTCTATGATCCTCAACGTAGAATCCAGTTTATCGAGCGCGATGGTCAGGAAACGTAGTGTGGATAATACAACAATTTCATCTTCCGAATGTAGGCATTTGGTGGTGATCGACCGCTCTAGCGGCCGCGGAACAATGCTTTCAATTGCGACCGATAGGGGTGGTGGTGTTGCGGGAAGACGTTCGGGCCAGCCCAGATGCCTGGGAACCTCAAGTTGCACCACGGAGAATAAGAAAGCGAACTGTCCTCTCCAGAGTGGATCATCACTGGACGCTGCTAAGAACTTCTGCTTCTTAGAGAAATACTCAGCCACCAGTTCTGGAGCAGCAGCGAAGATGGTGGTGATTAGTCTGGCGTGTAAGACATCTTCCCCTGGTTTTAGGCCCTGGACAAAGGTTGACAGCCCACCGTTCTTAACAGGTATCTTTTCCGTATACTTGTCAAAGTAATATGGTGAGTCTAGACCTAGGTCGATAGTGTTTTCATCGAGCTCCACTCTCTCGGGATTTGTCCCTACGGGGTACCAGCCTGTCTGTGGGAGCAGTATTGCTTTGTTTGAAGAGCAGATTTTCAGTAACAAGTTGTGCAACGAGTCTCGTACTGGTGATTGAGCGTGATACGTGTCGAGAGCATTCTGCTGATCCTGTTCATAATCGTACAACTTCGCCAGCGCTGCCAGAACTCCAGAATTGAAACATCGACCTTTGAGTTGCTTAGGCAAGGTCTTATCTTCCAGTATCCACTCTTCAAATGCATCCAATGTCTCGAGAACAAGTTTTGGCTCCTCTTGTGGAAGGCTGCTGATAGCCGAGTACAGTGTTTTCCCATGGGTGATGATTTCCGTCTTCGCTGTCGTATCAAGGTACTTTAGATTTGCCAGCAAGAACTTGAAAGCTTCTCTATGTGCTGACAGCAGATTTCCTTGAGCTGAACGTCCGTTGCTGAGGATCCCATCAAGTCTCTTGTAGAGAGAATCTCTGCGACCAAAGACATTGCTCGCAAGTGCACCTTCATCAAATGAGATGATCTCTGTCAAAAGCTGTAAATTGATAGCTATTAGAGAGTCTTTGCTTCTGGGCGCTGAGAGAGCCTTCTCAAATAACCGTAGCTGGTCACGTTTCAGCAAGCTGTGGCACAGAGAGAGGCCGAAGTCGCGAAAACCCAGATGACCAGAGATGGTCTGGAAGAATTGCACCAATAACGAAGGGGCGGCCACTAGTACAGCTTCATCATTGGATTCACTGGCGTGAGCCCAGGTGGCGAAAATATCGGGGAAGTCGATTTGATCGTGAGAGGCAGATGCTTGCTCCTCACAATACTTTCGCAGGATTTGCAATTGCTCAGTGCGGTTCTTGCTGGCACCACCGTCATTGCGAATACCCGATAGGAAGTCATTGAACTTTTGGATCGCTATTTATTTCGTTAGGGCGTTGAGTCTTGAATGTCTATCTCGCAAAGTTTAGTCGACATACCTGTCTGGACTTCCGCCGAGCTTGAATGCTTTGAGAATTGAAATAGACGATGTAGCTGTTCTGAATCTGTGAAAGAGTCGTCCAGCTTCCTTCTCTTGGGAAGCCTACTCCCTGTCTCTGCCATCCCTCCCCTCATTCTTTGCTGTCTGTCGGTCGCCAAATCGCCTGAGCAAAAGGTGTAAGAAGCCTTTTGAAAAAAGAATTATGTAGTTGTCCACAATGGGTTTAGCGTGGTGTGAATCTTTGGCTCCGAAAATTGGCTGGGTTGCTGACTTCCTTGCACCAAAAATGACCTTCCCACACGCTCCAAATTACTGTTCAATATCAAACTTAGTTAAGGCGTTTTCACCCTCCGGCAAAAAAGGAAAAGGTCGTGCCCGGATTCGAACCGGGGTCACGGGAAAATTCAATAATCAGAATCCCGTGTGCTAACCGCTACACTGTGATCGCTATTAGAATGGAATGCTGGGAATGGGTGTCAGATCACTACACACCTACACAACCCGTCGTGGTGGATTTTGTGCAGAATTGTGGTGTTATAAACTCATAACAAAATTGTCAGAATGCACGTGATCTGGAGCTAAGTGAAGGAGGCCCTCATAAACATTGAGGTGTCAGGAATGAGATTTATAAGACAGGCTCTTTTGGCGGTGGGGGGACGCAGCCGGTTCCGGTTAGACATCACGTGGCTCATCAAACAGGTATTAAAGCGGCGTGCGGCAAAGCAGCCCTGGAATAGTTAATTGTACTACCTAATTAGTGTATTTGAATACACCGCTTTCATAGTTAATTAACTTGAACGAGCCAGTTCCTACCAGCGCTGAAAGGGCCTCCCTTTTGAAAAGTGTCCCTAACGCCAACACCATGGCTTGGCAGGGCAATATACAGGCTGAGGTCCGGAGTGTCACTTTGACGACCTTAACCTCGGCGACCTCCTGTGAGGAACATACGGGTTTGGTCATAGTGGCTATCATAGTAGATGACAACTTTAGTAGCGCTATTTTGAAGAGTCGTTTGCTGCACAAGGAAAACAAAATCAGTTCCAAACTCCAGTCTCAGGGTATCAGCGTGTATAGATACAAGTAGCCGCTCATGAAAACACTTGAAACGCCAATCGCTCGCTGCGGAATATACTCAGTTCCAATCCATAATGCTCAGTTGTGGGGAGGCCACATAGACGGGAAGTTGTCCCGGTAAAATTACATCAATGTGCGTTTCACTCCTCGTGGACTGTCGCATCCACATTGGTCTTCTCAGCTGGCGGGTCCGGCTGACCCTTGCCAGTTTCGATACCCACCGATCCTGAAGGCAATTCTGCTGATGGGCCTTGTTGCGTCGCCTTCTCGATGCGTTGAACATCAACGGTATCTTTACTTCCACCCGATGTCGTGGGTCGTTCACGATCCTTTTCTTTGGTTCGTTTCTCTTTTGGAATGGCGGGTCTTGCAGGTCGTCCGCGACTGCGACTCCTATTGTCGTCGTTTCTCAGACTTTCCCTCATTTCATGGATGACTTCTCTAAAACCTTCCTCGAGACTGTTCATCCTGGCCATCATAATTTTGGCAAACATTTCCTGTTCTTCTTTCATCTCTTTCTCCTTGGCGTGTCTCGCTCCACCTGCTCCTTGAGCAAGTGCTGCCGCAAAGGACGCGGGTACGGCGCCAACATAGCCTTCGCCAATTGCACGGTTGTCTCCGATATCTGATACAAGGTCCATCTCCAGGGAGGGCCGTCGTTTTGTTTGATTGGCCTTGTTCCTCGATTCCACAACACCGGCGAGGTTGGGGGTAGAACGGAATGCTGGATTTTCTCTGGAGGGTAAAAGCGGTCGCATTCTACTGGGACCGAGTCCTGCACGCCTTGGTGTTCGATGCCCAGCATTGTGTGAAACGGACTTCGAGATGGGTGTCCGAGCTCCTGAGCCTGGGGCTGACACATGGACGACAGTTGCACCTCTTGATGATGATTTGTCAGTGCCCGAGTCCGCTACTGGCTTGAATATCGTTGTTGCAGTTGATACATGTCGGGAATGTTTAGGTCGACGTTGTGGAGATAAATTTGATGGTGAGTCGGCATCCGATGCTAAATGAATTGGTTTGGCGGTGGCAATTGCTATTGCCGGGAAAGCAGCCACACTCTCGGAAGTGGACACACTTTGTGATTTTCGCGTGCCGAAGTAATCGTGAGACTCACGCGCACCGCTCGACTTGTTGTCAGCTTGTGCATCACCTGGTAACTCATGGGCAGAAGATGCTGCATCGTCTTCATCGGCTCCATCGTGCGTGTGAAGTTCGTCGTCTCCATCTGCATCTGTATGATGCATGACCTCCTCAAGTACAGATGGTGTTGCGTTATCCACTGCTGGCGTTGGTCGTGGTGAAAGAAAATCTATATTGGTTGCAAAATCTTCTGGATCGGACGCCACCGACATTGTGCGGCGTGAAAAGTCCCGAAGCCTGCTAAAGCGTCGCATTCTCGAATTTATCCTTGGAGTCGCTTCCTTCCCTTCTAGGTGATCGACACTTTGACGATCTTGTTCGGGTGGAGGACTTGCGATGTCGTCGCCCATGTCCTTCATCCAAGTATTGACGACATTACTGGATTTGCGAAGATTTCGGCCCCGCTGGTTGCCGCGTATTGTGCTATCAAAAGGCCGCCTGAAGACCTCCTCAAGGGCCAAGTCTTGTCGGAAGGTGGCGATTGACGGAGCTCGATTCAGCCGAGCTATTTTTGCAGTGGTCGATTTTCTAGGTCTACCACGGCGCTCCACTAAGTCCATGCTATCAAAGACTGTTGATTGTAAGACGGTCTTCTCATAGAGATATATCACAAACAATAGCGGGAAATGGGTAACCTTGATCGTTGTTCGGTTCAGTTTGACATATTGACGAAAAGGAATAAACGATCTCGTCGGAACTAGTAACCACTGCAGAATGTTGGTGGGTGCAACATATGAGAACAGCGCATCTGATTTGACGTGTGAAATGGTGTTCACGGCAAAGAGGAACTGATGCTCATCGTGGGCATTTCGTACAATAGCCATGAAGGAGTTCGTCAGAACCGTAATCAGGATTGTCACCACCAGAAAGTGACATATGAACAAAAACAGTGTCAGGATAAACTTTCCAAGTGCATTGTAACTGTCCCATCTGTCCCAAGCAGCTGGTGTGAAACCCATGACCATTTGAAGCAAGGCATAAGCCACCGAGCTGGGAGTGTCAACGCCATCATTACCGAAAGACAATGTCAGCGCGACGAAGAAGCCGCTACAGCTGATGAGTATTAGTAAGGAGACAGCAACGAGATCCGCGGCCATGTATCGGAAGGCGATGAGCAAAGGTGAAAAATAGCGGTAGTGATCCAATACAGAGAAGAGTCGAGGGAATAAAAGAATGGCATCGGCTGCGAGAACGTCGTAGGCCAAATTGGCAACCGTATGCTTCCGTACATCAGGCATGACGATACCATAGATCCGTAGGGCCCAGTGGACCATGAGGATAAGTAGAATACCGAGATCAAACGTGTTCCAAAAACTTGCGAGATACAAGCTGAACCCTTGTTCGTTGAAGCCTACAATCTCGTCAAGCATGTAACCAGCAGCCCAGAACCAGAAAACAACCTCAAGGGTGGAAATTTCCAGCGATCTCTGGACTAAAACCGCAACAAAAAGACTAAGCAAGACTGCGAACGACATGGTGGACAGTATGTTCCTGTATCGTGGAACTCGCAAACGAGAGAGTTTGAACAGGGATGCATCACGAGGGTTGTATAAAGTCACCGCTCGCCGAAGAGGGAGGCCGCTACCTTGACTCATCCTACCAGAAGGTCCAAGCTCGTTGGTTCCATACGACCTCTGCTGTTGCTGCCGCATGAATGGAACAACTCGGTGCATGTTATCAGCAGCAGAATGGAAGACAATGGTGCCTGCCCAGATAGCCTCAAGTTGCGTGACAACTAGGGGATGTGCCAGAAATCGCTTGGCTTGAGCGCGGATTGCAATCTCAAAACAGGATATCCTTGCTGGTCTGTGTATGGGTTTCCGTGGGTTGTCCCCATGTCTTTGCTCGCCAGCGTTGGTTGCATCCTGGGCATTTGCGTAGCCTTGCAAGGGGTCGAAATCATAGGAGAGGGCGTCGATCAACTCGCGACTGGAGTGGTCCCTCAACAATTTGATGCAAAGAAGCTCACAGATCATTGCGCGAGTTTTGTTGGCACCGCTGTTGCCTGACGAAATGGCCCCTTCTTTGGTATACTGCAGACAATTGGCCATGAGGGCGTACTCCGTGGCGGGATTAAAGTGCTGATTGCGAATATCCTGCTCGATGGGTTTGAGCAGGAATTGCGAGATCTGAGGGGATCGTAATTGTTCCCATGTGAGGACAGTGTCACATTTGGAGGTCACCAGGGTTCGCAGAGCATGGGTGAGGGTAAAAACAGGTATGGAGTCCAGACGAGCAGGAGAGAACATAGGGAGCAATGGAGTATTGTCATCGGGACCGTCTTCGTCGGATTCGCTGCGCTCTTCATCTTCGTCTTCAATCTCATCTTCTGCGTCCTCATCCTCGTCATCTTCATTGTCAAGAACTTCAGACTCGGCGTCTTCGTCCTCTTCTTCTGTTATAACATTGTCATGATCTCGCCCAGAGGAGCGTCTGCGGACGCGTTGTGTGTTGTTGCGGGAAACATCTGGAGATCGAACTGTGGGAGCGTACGAAGAAGAAAACGGTGAACGGTCTCGACGCTGTCTGCTTCGAGCAGGCCGTAGGAAGGATGGGAGCATCGGACTAGCTGAGTGAGTAGGCCGATTTGTGACGAGGGTGAGAAAAAGTCCACCAAACACGTTGGCTATGTAGCGCACGACGGTCAGCACCACAGGTAAGGCATTGCAGCCACATCCACGATCAAAAAGTGCAGGATGTACCGAGGGAAAGGCTAGAGACGAGAAATGGAGGGGTGCAACACAGTGAAGGAAAGTATATATGTGATTGAAGTCGGTGTGGCAGCTTCGTGTTGACGAAAGGATGCTTGCTTGTTCCCTCGGGGCAAACCACACCACACGGCACCGCCAATTTGGGGTTAGAATTTAGTGAGCAAGAATGAACAGGGGACTTGGACCACCCCACCACATCGATACTGGGGGATTCATCATCTCATCTCTGGCAAAGCTTGCATTGCGCATCTTGGGTCAATCCCATGGCAGCATCGTCAGTGCACATGTGGGATAATGCGGAGGACGGTGACAGGTCTGGTTGATGGACAAGATCCAGGATGGTGTGCATTGGGGGTGTTGCTGGTCGCAGTGATTGGAGGCACCGGGGTGGCACTCTGCAGGCAAGGATGCCGCTTATGCACAACCGACTTGCCTTGCCTTGCAGCGTGGGGAAGTTTTGCATGCCTAAAGCGCAGCAGATGACAATCATCAGCGGCCCTAACTACACCTAGTTGTCTAGCAGGATCTGTGATCCGGGATTTTATATCTGTCACTCTAATTACAACAGACCGGTCGACCCTCCCCGTCTGTTCTGTATATGGAGGCACCGGCCACTTGGTTGTCGCTGGACTCGTATCCTTCCACGTGATGTCTCGTCACAAGCAGGCAGAGAAGATGTATGTAATTACGGCCAGTCACAATGGTATTATATTCATCCCTGCGCGGGCAGAAGTGGGATGGCAGGGTAATGTGTGAGTATGACGTCTTGATTGGCCGAAATCACTGGATCTTCCCGAGAAAAAAACATTGCAGCTTAGTGGCTTGGCATCAAAAAGTTCTCTGCTGGCTTTGCTCACCGTCGAGTCTTCTGTGCCGACATCTCTTCTCCCTCTATCTTTGGCCTTGTCAATGAATCAGTCGACCTTAGAGCACGATGCCTGTCTAGACCGGCAAATGAGCCTTTGACCTCTTCGCTGCTCTTAGAGCAGATCCCTACCTTCTTTATTGCTATTTCTAAGATTGTGTCTTTAACCACCAACCCAGAACCAGTTACCAGCAAGAGCCCCCTATCACATAGCCCATCTCTTGTAGTGCCTGGGAGCGCAGGCACCAACGACGGACCTCTTCCACGTCACTAACTTGTACACGGTCAAACAATGGGTTCCCTCAACCCTATTGCTACCGCCCATTCATTCAATGATGAAAAAAAGTCGATCTACCTGGAACTTCAAGATGGCCAGGTTTTCGAGGGTCTCAGCTTCGGTGCTGAGAAAAGCATCTCCGGAGAGCTAGTCTTTCAGACTGGAATGGTCGGATACCCGGAGTCAATTACGGACCCGTCGTATCGAGGTCAGATCTTAGTCATCACATTCCCCCTTGTCGGCAACTACGGCGTTCCATCGAGAGAGACACTCGATGAGCTACTTGGCAACCTTCCTAAACATTTTGAATCGGATCAAATCCATGTGGCTGGGCTCGTGGTTGCTTCTTATGCAGGAGAAAGCTATTCGCACTTTCTGGCGACATCCTCCTTGGGAACATGGCTGAAGGAGCAAGGGGTGCCAGCTATGTATGGTGTCGATACACGAGCCTTGACCAAAATTATCAGAGAGGAAGGTAGTATGCTGGGCAGGATGTTGCATGCAAGTCGAGCTCCTCAGACAAAACTCACCAATGGAGTCAAATCGAGCTCTGTATCAAGTGGAGATGTTGTGGTAGGGCCCATCAATTGGCGTGCTCAGGTTGATCAAGTGGAGTGGCATGATCAAAACGAGCGCAATTTGGTGGCAGAGGTCTCGGTAAAGGAACCTCGACTCATCTCCCCCCCAAAGAACAAAGCTTTACTTCACCCTTCCGGTCGACCAGTACGAGTCGTTGTAGTTGATGTGGGCCTCAAGTACAATCAATTGCGATGCCTCCTGTCGCGAGGTGTGGAAGTTATGGTTGTCCCTTGGGACTACAATTTCCCCGAACTGGCCGGAAAGGACTGTGATGGATTGTTCGTCTCCAACGGCCCCGGTGATCCTGCAATGCTGGCACCAACTATCAAACACATTGCTGAGGCAATGAAGGAGGGTCGGACGCCAATCTTCGGAATTTGTCTTGGTCATCAGCTACTCGCTCGTGCGGCAGGAGCCAGCACCCTAAAGATGAAATTTGGCAACCGTGGGCACAACATTCCGTGCACAAATCTCCTCTCAGGCCGGTGCTATATTACCTCTCAGAACCATGGCTTTGCTGTCGACTCGATGACATTGCCTGACGGATGGCAAGAGCTTTTTGTCAATGCAAACGACGGCAGCAATGAGGGTATTCGCCACATTGGCCGACCGTATTTCAGTGTGCAGTTTCATCCAGAATCTACGCCAGGTCCACGAGATACCGAGATCCTGTTCGATGTCTTTATTGAGGCAATCACCAAGAGCATCGCATCAGTCGAGGCCCTCCTTGAGCCTGTCTCCTTTCCGGGTGGCACAATTGAGGAGAATGATCAAGCCCATCCGCGTGTCAAGGTCAAGAAAGTCCTCGTTCTTGGAAGTGGTGGCCTCAGTATTGGTCAAGCTGGCGAATTCGATTATTCTGGAAGTCAAGCGATCAAAGCCTTGAAACAAGAAGGCATCTATACTGTCTTGATTAACCCGAACATCGCTACAATCCAGACCTCCAAAGGCCTGGCCGACAAAGTGTATTTTCTCCCCGTCAGTGCCGACTTCGTACGGAAAGTCATCCAGCACGAACGCCCAGATGGAATTTACTGCACCTTTGGTGGACAGACTGCCCTACAAGTTGGTATCCAGCTTAAAGATGAATTCGAAGCTCTCGGTGTCCAGGTACTGGGTACGCCAATCGATACGATCATTACCACCGAGGATCGTGAATTATTCGCCAGAAGTATGGAGTCTATTGGAGAGAAATGTGCTAAATCTGCCTCAGCTTCAAATATCGAGGAGGCGATGCGTGCAGTGGAAGACATTGGCTTTCCAGTCATCGTTCGAGCAGCCTATGCTTTGGGTGGTCTTGGAAGCGGGTTTGCAGAGAACCCAAATCAACTGCGCGAGCTATGCACGAAGGCTTTCGCAGCCAGTCCACAAGTGCTTATTGAACGAAGCATGAAGGGATGGAAAGAGATCGAGTATGAAGTCGTCAGAGATTCTCGCGATAATTGCATCACAGTTTGTAACATGGAAAACTTTGACCCTCTTGGGATCCATACTGGTGACTCTATCGTCGTTGCCCCTTCGCAAACACTATCAGACGAGGACTACAACATGTTGCGAACAACAGCTGTCAATGTAATCCGCCACCTCGGTGTTGTGGGAGAATGCAACATCCAATACGCTCTGAATCCGTTTTCCAGGGAATACTGCATCATTGAAGTCAATGCCAGACTTTCACGTTCATCTGCCCTGGCTTCAAAAGCAACCGGATATCCTTTGGCTTTCATTGCCGCAAAGCTTGGCTTAGGTATCCCCTTGAACGAGATTTCGAACTCAGTGACCAAAAAGACTTGTGCTTGCTTTGAACCGTCTCTCGATTATGTGGTTGTCAAGATCCCTCGATGGGATCTCAAGAAGTTCACAAGAGTCTCCACTCAGCTGGGTTCTTCGATGAAAAGTGTGGGCGAAGTTATGTCTATTGGCAGGACCTTCGAGGAAGCCATCCAAAAAGCCATTCGCTCGGTGGATTTCCACAACCTCGGGTTCTCTGATATCTCTAACCCATTGATGTCAGTTGATGATGAACTCCAGACCCCTTCGGACCAGAGGATGTTTGCGATCGCAAATGCTATGAATTCCGGCTACTCTGTTGATAAGATTTGGGAAATGACCAAAATCGACAAGTGGTTTTTGTCCCGCCTCAAAGGCTTAAGTGATTTTGCCAAACTGATATCCAACTTCAATGCGACAAGTGCACCTCCATCCCTGATCCGCGAAGCCAAACAACTCGGGTTTTCTGACCGCCAGCTAGCACGGTATCTTAATTCTAATGAGCTTGCTGTGAGACGGCTACGTGCAGAAGCGGGTATCCACCCAGTTGTGAAGCAAATTGATACGGTGGCCGCCGAATTCCCAGCATACACGAACTACCTCTATCTGACTTATAACGGCACGGAGAACGACATCGATTTCAATGACCAGGGCGTCATGGTCCTTGGCTCCGGTGTCTACCGAATCGGCTCCTCCGTCGAGTTCGATTGGTGCTCTGTGAGAGCCATCCGCACATTGCGAGACCAAGGCTACAAAACTGTCATGGTAAATTACAACCCAGAGACTGTGTCGACTGATTATGATGAAGCAGATAGATTGTATTTCGAAAATATCAATCTCGAGACCGTTCTGGATATCTACCAGCTCGAGTCTGCTAGCGGCGTTATCATCTCGATGGGTGGGCAAACACCGAACAATATCGCGCTTCCCCTCCAAAGATCAAACGTCAAGATACTTGGAACCTCTCCAGAAATGATTGATTCTGCCGAAAATAGGTGGAAATTCTCTCGCATGCTTGATCAAATTGGCGTCGATCAGCCCTCATGGAAAGAACTAACTAGTATCGAGGAGGCACTTGAATTCTGTAAGAAAGTCGGCTATCCCGTGCTAGTTCGGCCTTCATATGTCTTGTCTGGGGCTGCGATGAATACTGTGTACTCGAAGGATGACTTGGCCAGCTACCTCAATCAAGCTGTCGAAGTCTCGCGAGAACATCCAGTGGTGATCACGAAATATATTGAGAACGCGAAGGAGATCGAGATGGACGCCGTGGCAAAGAGTGGTGTGATGGTGGGGCATTTCATCTCCGAGCACGTGGAGAATGCAGGTGTGCATTCTGGAGATGCCACATTGATCTGTCCTCCACAGGATCTTGAGCCAGAGACAATTGCCAGGATTGAGGAAGCGACGCGGAAGATCGGAAACGCCCTCAACGTTACAGGTCCATACAACATCCAGTTCATTGCGAAGGACAATGAGATCAAGGTCATCGAATGTAATGTTCGTGCATCTAGATCCTTCCCTTTCGTCTCCAAAGTCATGGGATTGGATCTTATTGAGTTGGCGACCAAAGTGATTATGGACAAACCCATTGTGCCATATCCTCCAATCGACATCCCTGCTGACTATGTCGGTGTCAAAGCTCCACAATTCTCGTTCTCGCGTCTTTCTGGCGCCGATCCAGTGCTTGGAGTTGAAATGGCATCCACTGGAGAAGTAGCTTGTTTCGGTCGTGACCGGTACGAAGCCTATATCAAAGCGACAATTTCCACGGGCTTTAAACTCCCTGAGAAGAATATTCTGCTATCTATTGGCTCCTTTAAAGATAAGATGGAGATCCTGTCCTCAGTCCGCAAACTCCACCAACTGGGATATAACCTCTTTGCAACCGCTGGCACAGCCGACTTCCTCGAGGAGCATGGGATCAAAGTCAAATTCCTAGAAGTTCTCGGATCAGATGATAAGGATCAAAAGCAGGAGTATTCTTTGACGCAGCATCTGGCCAATAACAAGATTGATTTATACATCAATTTGCCATCAAGCAACAGATTCAGGCGCCCAGCCAATTACATGAGCAAGGGCTACCGAACAAGACGTATGGCTGTTGATTACCAGACCCCTCTCATCACCAATGTGAAAATTGCAAAGATCCTGATTGAAGCTCTCGCCCGACATTACGATCTGAAGGTCCGAAACATCGACTTTCAAACTAGCCATCGTACGATTGTCCTACCTGGCCTCATCAACATTGCGGCTTTCGTACCAGGTGTTGCTGAAAGAAATTCTCACGACTTCTCGCTTGTCAGCAAAGCTTCAGTTGCTGCAGGCTTCAGTATGATCAGAATCATGCCAGTGGGTTTTAATAGTGCCGTGATTGATGCCAGGTCCCTGAAGGTGGCACAGTCCAACGCCGAGTATGGCGCATACAGTGACTTCAACTTTTCAGTCGCTGCTACTGACTCGAACTCTGAGCAAATTGTTCATGTCAAAGCAGAAGTAGGATCTCTATTCATCCCCTTCAACCATTTGTCGTCAGGCAATATCAATAAGGTTGCAACAGTGAGCTCACATTTCGGAACTTGGCCAACGTACAAACCCATTGTGACTGATGCAAAAACGACGGATTTGGCATCGATTCTGCTCTTGGCAAGCTTGCACGACCGAAAAGTCCACGTTATGAACGTCACGTCTAAGGATGACATCAGTCTTATAGCCCTATCCAAAGAGAAGGGGCTGAAAGTGACGTGCGACGTGTCAGTCTATAGTCTGTTCCTGTCGCAAGTCGATTATCCTGACTGCACAGCACTGCCTTCGATTAAGGACCAGAAGGCGCTGTGGGACCATCTGGCGACTATCGATGTCTTCTCTATCGGTAGCTTACCTTATCAAATCGCTGGCGACAAGGCAGTTCCGACTGTTGGCATCCTGGATGCTTTGCCGTTGCTGCTCACAGCTGTTTCGGAAGGCAAGATGACTCTAGATGATGTGACAAAGCGGTTGCACGACAATCCAAAGGCAATCTTTGAGCTCCACGACCAGACTACAACATCTGTCGAAGTAGATATTGATCGACCGTACGTCCTCCAAGCTGGTGACGTCTGGTCACCATTTGTTGGAAGAACATTGCGTGGGGGAGTCTCTAGGGTCGTGTTCCAGGGCAAGACTGTCTGTCTCGACGGGGAGATTCTCATCGACGGGCCGAATGGAGCGGATATGTCCTCTCACCTCATCCATCCAATTTCAGGGGATGCTGTAACATCTTCTCCAACTATCCGTGCTCAAGAAAGCGCAGTTGACAGACGGGCATCACTGCTTGATACTAGCATATCAAGACGCCTCTCAGTCACATCTCGAAGCCGACCAATCACGCGTGCCCGAAATATGGACGAAATGCTCGAATCGAGCAGCCCCATGCTCCCCACTTCTGCATTCCAGCAACTGCAAGCACCATCCACTATTTCGCCTTCACTGCATTCATTGTTGGCTTCTTCTCCATTTAAGAATCGCCATGTCTTGTCTGTCAACCAGTATACTCGACAAGATTTGCACATTCTGTTTACTGTTGCCCAGGAGATGCGACTTGGTGTACAACGACAGGGAATTTTGCCTATTCTCTCCTCACGAGTGTTGTGTACCATGTTCTATGAGCCAAGCACTCGGACTTCCGCATCATTTGACGCAGCGATGCAACGACTTGGTGGCCGCACGATCGCCATCAACACGGATCACTCGAGCACACAAAAGGGTGAGACGTTACAGGACAGTATCCGCACTCTCGCATGCTATGGTGACGCTGTAATCCTTCGTCATCCAGATAACGAGTCAGCGGCAACAGCAGCTAAATTTTCACCAGTTCCCATTATCAATGGTGGAAATGGAAGTAGAGAGCACCCCACACAAGCATTCTTGGACCTTTTCACCATCAGAGAGGAACTCGGAACGGTCAATGGTCTTACTGTCACATTCACAGGTGACCTCAAGTATGGCAGAACAGTGCATTCGCTCGTCAAACTACTCCAATACTACGAAGTGCGCGTCAATCTGGTGTCGCCGAAGGCTCTGGCATTGCCAGCCGAGGTTCGAGGACAGCTGGTTGCCTCTGGAATGCTAGGAACGGAGTCGGAACACCTCACACCAGAGATCGTCTCTAGGAGCGATGTTCTCTACTGTACTCGAGTCCAGAAGGAGCGTTTCGAAAATCTTGAAGAGTACGAGCGACTCAAAGATAGTCTTCTTGTGGACAACAATGTGCTCAAACATGCGAAGTCAAGCATGATCGTGATGCACCCACTTCCCCGAAATCAAGAAATTAGCGAGGAAGTTGACTTTGACCAAAGAGCAGCATACTTCAGACAGATGCGTTACGGTCTTTACACGAGAATGGCTCTGTTGGCATTGGTTTTGTCACCCTAGATTCTTTCTGCTTGACATGCTGTGTATAGCTGTTGGATTCTCAACTGGAAGAGAGCACTTGGTAGTGATATGGAACATCGATAGATTGTGGGATGAGATGCAGACTGGGCACAGAAATGTTTTTGTTTTTGGCCCCAAAAAGTAGATTGACTAGATTGACCCAGCTCGTACTATACAATGGTGCTAAAAGTGGAGCCCAAAGGCATTGTAACGTTATGATGACTAATGAAATAAAAGATGTAATAATTATGACCTATTTACCATTTGTCCCTTCGCATTCGTAGTTTGAGTTCTTCGTCAATGCATTAAGTTATGAATTCGCCGAGACCGAGACTAAAATGAGGCTGAAACACCAGCCTCGGCACTTTGTTGCCGGGTGGCTGCCCGTTAGTGTCTCGCTTGATGTCTGGTTCTCATCTATTTTCGTGTGGCAGGAACACAGTCAACCACCAACCTCGTTCCACAACTGGCAAAAGACCAAGATATTTCAAATGTTCCGTAGCTGGTGTGCGGAGTCCGGATCCCCATTGGCCCGCGGATCTGCATGTTGACTCGAATTGTTGATTTCGAAAGCTTAATCTTGCCATCGTGGTGTACCCAGCCTTTCTCGAAGTTTTGTCATTGTGCATCGATGGCGTTCAGGCCATTTTCCAGAACTTGCAGGCACAATGTTTGGCTGGCCATGGCGACTGCCAAACCTTCAAGAATATTGAATGGGAGGTACGGTCAGTGACTCCGGCAAGAACAATGGGCGAATGCTTCAGACTCGGTGAGCGGTAGTTGCGGGTTGCACAACAACATTGCTCAGCATGCCAATGTTCCATGCCCGCACAAAGCCCATTGAGGTCATGGAATCCTTAGCCTCCCAGCCATCAATACAGTAGCGAAGTATAGCCATCATAGTGGGGAACAATGTGAGATGGTTGTCCAGCATACTATGCTAGCTTTGTTTATGGCTCCGAGAATGGCTTAGTTTCGGGAAGGCTGGGAAGACAGCCGAAAGAGCGACCAATGATAATCCAGTAAAAAGCTTGGTTGGGCTTGGCGCGATGCCAACTTTGACGCCATTTTATGCCTGCCATCGACTTTTCATTCATCGCCGCCTCTCGATCTCGCTTCGTACCATGTGGTTGCGGGTCTCCCAACCAATTCTCTTCGCAATGTTGCCTCGCCATCACCCTGCAGCAGCTGAACTTGGCTCCATCCGATGGCTGGGTAACTTGATGCAATATGCAATGCCAACTCCATCGGAGGACAACTTCACGAGGTATATAGAGAGTGCATGGTCACCTACTGGTCTGTGTTCAGTTCATCATTCTCATCCACTCATCTCAAACATCAAGACATAAAGCTTTGATCCGATCGCAATTCACACGTCTCATCGAGTGCACAGAGCTTCCTTGCAAACTTGCTTCCTTGACAATCTGCATTGACTTTTCTCCTCAAATCTAACTCCTCTCCATCGTTTCAACTTTCACCATGCATTCTCGCACCCGATCCACTTTCGTTGCTGCTGCTGCTCTTTCTTGCATTCCCCTCGCCAGTGCTGCCCCGAAGCCAGAGGGATGGGAAAATTGGAGCTCGAGCACTCCAGCGGCTCAGACAACTACCACTACCACCACCACCTCTTGCACTACCACAACTACCACCAGTTCGAGTGAGGTCTGGGCGGACTGGAGCTCCACGACGACCAGCTCTATTCCGGTAGCTCCCTCTTCTACCACCGAATGGGAAATTTGGACTCCAGTGACGACCACGACTTCTTCGGTTCCTGCTCCGACTTCCAGCACCACTACAACAGAGGCGTGGGTTGAATGGACTACTTCCAGCGTTTCCGCACCGATTTCTACATCCACTACACAGGAGTGGGTCGAATGGACGACTTCTAGCGTTCCCGCATTGATTACCACAACCACGACACAGGCGTGGGTTGAATGGACCACCTCCAGCGCTCCAGCACCGATCAGCACCACGACACAGGCGTGGGTCGAATGGACCACCTCCAGCGCTCCCGCACCGATTTCCACCACGACGACCGAGGCGTGGCTCGACTGGTCCACTTCCAGCGTTCCCGCACCAATTTCCACAACCACGAC